AATTTTCGATATTATATTTTTTCCTTTAATTTTTTCTTATTTTTCTTTTTTTTTTCTTAGATTTTTTTTTTAATATACACGATAAACTTTTTTAACTTACCCACCTTTTTTTTTTTTTTCGTTATAATTTAATTAAATTAAGTTTTAAATTATTATAAAATATATAAAAATATATTAATTATAATTATAATTATTAATAAAACCTTTTAATTAATTTTAATTATTATTTATAAAAAATTAAATTTTTTAATTAAACTTACTTTTTTTTATATTATAATTAATTATAATTTTTTTTTTATTATATATATTTTTTATATTTATTTTATATATTAATATAATATAATTATTTTTCTTAATTTATTTAAATTAAACTTAATTAAAAATATATGTTTTTATATCGAATGCGAACCGTTATATAATTAAATCGATAATAAATGATTTTATTCGTTATATAATAATATATAATAAATAATTATATAATAATATTAATATAATTATAAAACGGAATAAACGTAACGCGAAACGACTTATTTTTTTTATAATAAAATTTAAATCGATAATTTTAAAATAAAAATTAAATTTTTTTTACTTTTTAATGTTTATAAAGTATTTTTATATATAATATTAATCGTTTATATAAATTTATTTTATATTATAAATAATTTATTTACCCATTTAAATATTATTTAAATAATATAATTAATCGTAAAAATAACATTATTTATTATAAGTTTTTTAAACGTATATAAAAAAAATTATTAATATATATTATTAAAAGTTTATAAAAATAACTTTAATTTATTATATAATATTTTTTACTTATAATTATTAAAATAAAATTATTTAACTTATTTTTTTTATTATTACTTTTATTATTTTTTCGTTAAAAATAAATATAAAAACGAAAAAAAACGTAATAAATTTATTAACTTATTAATTTTATAATTTATTTCCTTTTTATTAAATTTATTATATATTATTTAACTTATTACGTATTATAATTTTAATATATTTTTTATAACGAAATACGAACCGGTTAATTTTTTTTAATATATATAATTTCGAATTAATTTTACCGGTAATAAACGAAACGAATATAAGTTAAATAAATAAAATAATAACGTTTTAATTTATATAAATAATACTTACACGTAAATATTAAATAAATAATACGTTATTAAAAAAAAATATATTAAAAATATTATAATAAATAAATTAACATATAATAAAAAAAAAAAAAAATAATTTTAAAAATTACTTTATACGTTTATAAATATTATATTTATAAATATAAAATAAAAATAACATTCGTGGTAATTAAATACTTTAAAACATATAAGTTAAATTTAAGTTTATTTAATTAAAATTATTTTTATAAATATTATTTAAAAAAAAATAATATTTTAATTTTTTTTTTAAAATAATATTTAACTTTATAAATTTAACTTAATATTAATATTATAAATTAGTTTTAAATTAATTAACGAAAAACTTTTAAATATAATTATTACGTTAAATTTATTAAAAAACTTTAATCGGTAAAAAAATATTATATTATTATTTCATTAATAAATATTACCGGGTATAAATAAATAATTATTAATAATTTATTTAAAAAAAATAAAAATCCTTAAAATAAATTAAAACTTTATATTAAAAGTAATATTTTTAAAACTTTCGTAGTTATATATAAAAAACGAATTAATATATTTTTACACGTATAATTTATAATAAATTTTTATAATTCCCACATTTCCCGCATTTCGACTTTTATTATATTTCTACTTATAAAATAAATAAAAAATTTAAATAATTCATTTTTTAAAAATAATAAAAAAAGTTAATTTATATAACGTTAACCGGTATATTCGTATATAAATTTTAACCTTATTTTATTATTAATAAAAAATTAAATATTATAAAAAAAAATCTTAAATTAATTTAACTTATTATTATTAATTTTTAAAATAACGTTATAATAAAATTCGAAAAATTTTATTTTAAAACGTTTTAAAATTATAAGTTTTATTAAATTATTTTTATTATTAATTTATCGTTAATATTTTTTAAAAAAATTTTATATTAATTAAACGTTTCGTAATTTATAAAATACATTAATAAATTAATTTTATTAACGAATCGTTTACCGTAAATTACGAGTTTTTAAGTTTTTATACTTTTAATTTACGGTAAAAGTAGTTTAACTTTTTTTTAAAACCGGGAATAAATAATATAAACGAAAAAAGTTTAAAAAAATTTATATAAAAAAAACCGGTTACGTTCGATAAAAAAAACTTATTTATTTTTATAAATATAACATAAATTATTAATATAAAAATATTATTCATTTTTTATAAAACGCGAAACATTTTTAATAAAATTACCCGTTAATTTTAATTTTTTTAAAACGTTATTTTATTAAAATCGTAATAAAATTTAATTACTTAAAATAAAACTTTTTTAAATAATTAAAATTTAACCATTAATATAAACCCCGTTATTATAATTACCGTTTTAAAATATAATAATAATTATAATTACGTATTTACCGAAAATTTTTTTACATTTTTTTATAAAAACCATTCGTTAAAACTTAAAATAAATGTTAAAAAACGAAAAATTAATTAACTTTTTATTAATATTATCGATTTTAAAAACGAAAAAAACGATCCGATAACGCATCGAAAAAACAAAATCGTTTAATTAATAAATATAAAAAAAAACCGAAATAATAAACCACGTAAAAGCCGTAATATTTTAAATTTTTAAATCGATAAAAAATTATTAATTTTTAAATATAATATTCGTAAATAATCGGAATTATTAAAATTTAAATATTATAAAAAACTTATTAATAAACGATAAAATATTATATAAATAAATAAATTTAATATATCGTTTTAATTATTTTAAAAAATAATAAACATTATATAAATAAATATTTCATTTTTAAAAATCTTTTATAATATTAATATTATATTAATTAATATTTTAAATATTAAAATTATATAAATATATTAATTTTTATAAACTCGTTTATTTATAATTTTATATAATACATTTAAAATATTCCTTTTAATAATACGTTATTACGTAACATTATTAAACTTTAATAAAACTCGATATAAATTATATTATTTAATTACGTTTTTTATAAAATATTAATATTTTTAATTATAAATAATATAAAACGAAAAAATTAAAACTTATTTAAATATAATAATATATTAAATTATAATTTTTTTTATATAAATTTAATTTTAAAAATTAATCGAATATAATTAATTAAAAATAACGCTTTTTAATTTAATATAAAATTATATATATTATTTTATATATTTTAAATTTAAAAAAAATTTAACTAATTATAATAATTATTTTTTAAACTTTATATACTTTAATTTAAACGCGTTTTTTTTACATTATAATAATAATAATAATAATAACATTATAAATAATAATATTAATTTTATTTAATAAATTTTTATTAACGTTAAAAATATACCGCGATTTAATTTCTTAATTATTATTTTAAATTATAAAAATAAAAAAAAACCGTGTTTTTTACCGAAAATATATTTAAATTACACTTAATAACGTTTAAAAAGTTTTTAATAATATATAAAAATATATAAATATTTTAAATAAAAATAAATCGAAATTATATTATTATTTATATAAAATAAATAATAAAAAAATTAAAAATACATAAATAATCGTTCATTATTTAAATAAATATAAAATAAAATAAAAAACTATAATTATTAAAAAATTAAATTAAAAATAAAAATATAATTATAAAAAATAAAAATAAAAATAAATAAAAATTACGTTAATAAAAAAAAATATTAAAACTAAATTCGAAAAAACCTTATTAAATAAAGTTTTATTTTTTAAAAAAAACATTAAATAATTAATATTTTATTCGTTAATTATAAAATTATTTTTTTTATTATTAAAAAGTTATTATTAAAATTTTTTACTTTTATATTTAATATATTTTTTATTTACTTATTTATTTTCGAAAAGTTACTTAATTAATTATTAAATTAATAATAACTTAAAATTTAAACTAATAATATATTAAGTTACTTTTTTTTTACGTTTAAATATAAAAATTTTCGCTTATTTTAATATAATTAAAAACTTAAATAATATAATAAAATAATTAAATTAATTTATTTTTATTATTATAACTTTTAATATTATAATAAATAATAATTATATACTTATTTATTTATTAAATATTTAAATATAATAAAATTTAATTTAATTAATAATTATTATAATATTATTAAATAAATACTTATTTTTTTAATATTTTTATAAAAATAAAAAAACTTATTATATTTATTTAATAAGTATTTATTTATACGTATTATAATTTATAAACTTTTTAATTTTTAAATTACAAAGCACAGTATATTTTCGTCGTACATTATATTTATATAGTATACTTTTCAATACATTAATTGAATTAACGGGTTGGCAGATTTATCCTTATGGTCCGCCGTCCGGGGTAAGGTGTCGTGGCTTACGATAAGATATTGTTCAGCTGGGAAGGCGCCCCATGGTGGAGATACTTCAGCTGAATGTGAAGCACCCTGTTGTTCAGCCATTGGTACGAACTTTATGGTACTTGAATCCGATTTGGATACGATTCCTGTTCTTAGGTTAGGTCAACTAAGTAGGTTGTATAGAAGAGCGAACGGTTTATTCAGATCTTACCCGGCTTTTATGAACTCTCCTAAATCCAGGAGATTGGGGCAATTGATTTCCAATTGATAGTATTCATTTCATAACCTCTAATAACCTTTTCTTACCTAGTTTACATCACAGCTGTTTTATTTCGTATCTAGGTACTGTCCCTTGAAAGGTGTGGTAAGAGTTCGATTAATAGCAGGTACCTAGGTATATGAGGCTCGCTAGGGCCCTGAAGACATAAGAATACATAAGCATCACTTACCACTCTGACGAATAGGTATTAATCCATCCCAACCATGGAGTGGAGGTTTAGGTGTTGCTTTAGAGGGTATCAACCAATCACTGACCTTTTGCCAATCACATTTCTCCCCGGCTTCTCCAGAAGTGCCATGGTAATGTATAATGATATTGCCAATGACTTGACGAGAATTTCCTGTCGCAAGCGCTATTCAACGGGTCAATACCTCCTCCGATTGGGGGCCATTTCTTGCATTTCGGTTGGCATTGGGCGCTGACCCCTTATTACGCATTCCGCAGTACGCCACTAAATGGTACCTATCGTAAAACATAGCTCCTAAAAGTTGGGCATAATTCTTCTAAAGAAAAGTTTTAGAATTCACGCCATCAATTATTAAACCTATGACGCGATAAGTCACGACATAAGGTCGTCATCGCACCGGCTACTCTCGCGTATCGGAGCCTCAAGTCTCTAAACGACACCATTACCACCCTCGGTCACGCACCAGACAATATTAGAGACCTCTGTAACGATCTCGACATACTACAAAATCTTTTTAGCTCCCTCCAGACAGAGCTCGGAGATGCTCAGAGTATCAGCGAAACTCAATCTTTGACTCTGGAAAGATTAAAGCCTGCACTGAACAATTGCAGAGCAGCTTGTGATGGGTTCAATTCCAAGCTATCTCGATTTACCTACCATTCTGATGCCGATAATGTCAACTGGTCCTGTCTACAATTTGAAGAAGATGACATCCTACCCTTCAAAGCTAAGCTAGCGGACTGCAAGAAGAGCGTGGAGGAAAAGACCGGCAATAACGTCAAATATGCGCGAGCATTCGACGAGTCGCGACAGTTCATTGGTAATATCGGAGATGCTGGAAAAGGCTGCCCAGTGACGAATGTTGAATACGGAGATGCTCGACAGAAGTCAAAACAAGTCATAGGGAATATGTCGGACGAGGCTGCCAGAGAACTGTTCAAGTGAAAGCTGCTTCTATGACGCTAGATTAATATAATAATACGCTGGTCACGAGAGACATACCACGACAGATACCGCCGGCCATAATAAGACATAATAGCATGGAATTAATACTTCTATCGTTCTACTAGTCAATATATTCTCCGCTGGCGGAGTTAAGAGGTATTCACATGTACACAGAGCGGGCCTTCGGATCTACGAAGCCCTGCATTGACGCCCCAAGACACGGCACACGATCATCGAGTCCGCACACCGGTTTCCGGGTTTCAGCCACCATAAGCAGCCCTATATCATGCACGCCATCCGTCCAATAGGGCTGGCGGGGTTCTGCCGACTGTACCCATCTGACCCCGGGATATTTGTTCCTTCCTTCAACTCAATGGGCTGAAGGTCTCACCGTGGCTGCAGATCCGTGACTTACATAGTATGATAAAATGTCTTAGATCAGACGCCGGCGTCAGCCTGGCTATGCCGATTACGTCTCTTCCGGCTAAGACATAACACTCGAGGTCGGAGATATATCAGCGGTGTAGAATCTCAGACGCGCGGTGGTGTTCTACCTGCGCCTCAGGTGCTATGCAATCTCACGACAAAGATTGCGTTGCCTACCTCTCGCTCGACGATCCCACAGTTTCCGGGTCCAACAGCGTCTTGAAGCCCGGAAGCGGGACACTAACCAGACCCGCCTAACGCGAATTAGGGCTGGCTGGCCCAACACCTGTGTCTCCAATTAGCACAAACAGGCGATCCGCGCCCACAACGGCCGTCCACGAAATTCTAGAACGCTTCTTTAGACAGCGCAGCTGAAACATAGCACCCGACGGCGTGTCGACGGGGTCATCGAACGCCGGCAACCCATTCGCTGTCCCGCCGCGCCGGGAAGGGCGCCGTCGTCCACTAGCACGAACGCCGGCGCTGCTGGTAGGCAGGGATGCCAATACCATACCATGCACGTCCTTGGCTTCCAACAAGTTCGATGCGCGGCCCCCGGATAACCGGATGGGCGTGCGCGAAAGCTGGGGAAAGGGAGGATCGATGGCCAAGACGACGTCGCTCGCGATTGGAAACGATGGTTCCGTATACACGTATACCAAGGTCTTGGATATACGTAGGTAGGTATGTCTCGGTTGTCAACTAGCCTACTAGGTAGGTAGGTAAGTCAGAGGACGTTAGCGCAGCCGACGAGTTGCCTAAACGATCGCTTGGGCTAGTTACCTGGGTTAGTGTATTGTAGCGCGGTTTGAACGTTGTGTGTTGGTAGATATAAAATTGTGATAATAATAATAAGGTTCGTTTCGTTACGTAGGTTATAGGTAGGGAATCGGGCGTGGTATGCCATTTGAACTACCGGCTTCCGCCGCCGAAGAGATGCGTGACGGGGCGGAGATACTGCTTTGGGACTAGAACGGCGTCACCTGTTACACGGCCGAGTTACGAGATGGCTTTAGTTTAGGTGTGTAGGTGATACCTAGTACTGTAGAGGTAGGTAGGCAAGTATGTATTATGTGGGTGCTCAGCATGGCCTTTCCGCCGCCGTGGTGACGATCACTTTCGGGGGAAAGCGTTAGTTAGCGTGAGGCGTTACGTGGGTGCGCGGCCGAGATCCCAAATGCAGGTAGCCGGAGAGGGAAGACGCCGGTGGATCTCAGGTGCGTTGTCGATCGAAAATCAGGGTCTTTAACCCCGAAGAAGAACGGCGGTTTCCTAATCGCTGGAAACGACCTCTCGTAATTGGTTCCTGGGCCGATAGATCCCATCGTGACTAGGTAGATTGCTTAGATGATTAGGTGGTGTGGATTCCTGGGTTTTGGTTCCGATGGTATTCTGATAATACGGGGGGGATTCGAGATGGGTGCCGAGCTTGGCGACTGGATTATAGGGATGCATACGGAGATGCGAAACCATGGATGGTTTTCTTCTTATGGTATTAGATAACATGCTCGGAATACGTTTTTATATACTGATTGACCATGCCACGTTGTCCGTGCCGGTGAGGTAGCTACGGTTGGGAGCGGATAAGGCGAGCAAGCTTGGTTATACGAGTGTTACGGTAGTACACGGGTCCTTGCTGATGAAGCGCGGAAGTGGTGTCTAGGCCGACGGAACTATATCATATACGCAGATGCAATAAAATGTGGCAATGTCATGTTCATCTATTCCATACATAGCGCTTTGCCACGGATCGTATCTGTATAGACGTTGCTCTCTGTACCTATAAACTCGATACTGGATCAATGACTGCCCATTAAGCTTCGTTTGCTTGATTTGTCGAAATGACTAAGATTATACAACGACTGAGGGCTTCGGATTTAAATGACGTTGGATTAGTATTCTATAGTCTACCTAGCTGAGTACCTAAGTAGGTAGGTTAACTGTTTTGGTCCATAATTGGAAACTAGAAGAGTTGAGCGAGGTTTGATCAGCGAGTCTTCATGTGAATTTCTTCTGTTTCGGGCATTTGACTATCGACAATTCTTAATTGGTAGACTATGACGAAATGTTGTTGTGGGAGGCGTTACATGCTACAGTCGATGCATTCTGCAATGCGACGCTTTCTGCTTCCACGTCCTCTGTTCCTTCGAGATGTGACCAGCGAACGGCCTGATGCCATCTCTACCCAAGACACGCGGGATGCGGGTAAGGCATCGTTAATGGTATGAGATCTGCACATCGGTGAAAAAAATTCCCATGACTTGCAGTAGAGCGGATGCCCGCTGGGTGGGTCAGAGATTATTATTAGTCCAGCCCGTCCTGCTTGACTGCTGCATGAGGTCCAGTCCGTAACAGTCGACCACCAGTTCTGGACACGGCATAGCACGGCTTGCATTGTTGCCCAAAGATTGCGACCGTGAACTGCAGGATGACAAAATCATCCCACACAGGCGGCTCCATGAATCTCGGGGCTATAGTGGTCTAGAAAACATTTTCTAACTATAGACGAAGAGTCTAAAGTCTTAGTATACGTCTACCTTAGAGTCGTTGACTAGCGTATCGATGGCTCCTTTTGGTCTGGCAATGGTTGCCGAATATGATCCCGTAAAACAACGAGTCCCTACTGCGTAAGCACTTCGGAACCATCCCTCTATTTCATTCCGATGGCCCGATAACCTGGGTCCGCTAACTTGTGGAGTTACTAGGTGAAGAGGCTCGGTCTGTTCGTTCTACCTATCGCGGAATGAAGGTAGGATAGTGTATTTAATAATCCGTGACTAATGGATAAGGGTGTCGATGCTGTTAAAAGGCTTTCAGGCACGAATAACGGGGGAGACGTCATGGGGTTAGCGGTCCTAAAACTCGCGGACTGATAATATGCTGGTATAGCTAGGCTGGGAAAGGTCAATTTGCCAGTCTTCCATTAATCAATCAGCTATTGGTTGATTATATGAGTTTCATTTGTCGAGAGAATTGAAGAGGACCGACCTTTTCCATTTCTAGTCATCCCCGAGAAAAGTATGGGTGGGAATAAGTACGCCGTACGCAGCCCTTGAAAGTGATCGGCATATCTGAGAAAGGTATCCCACCCTTGCTCTCCCTGCCTAGGTCCCTGCACAGGACGGACACGGTGCGCCATCTGCTTTTGCAAAACCTGGGGAAGACAAGGGTAAGCTGATCGATGTGAACCTCGGAAAGTGACGCGCTTTGCTCTTGTAGGAGTAGTGTAAATAGGTATCAAGACCTACAGTAGTAGTCAATATTAGGAAACTAACAGCATATTAATAGGCGGTCACGTTCTGATTTAGCATCACAGACTAAGCTGTGGCCCGCTGTGCCGGTAAAGATGAGAGCCGTCGCTTAGAACAGACGATAATACATATCGAATGGGTTGCAGTCTAGAGTAACTTCTATCACAACTCAGAAAACGACTCAGGAACGGGATTATGTACAAGACCAAGAGTTCACATATTGTTGGGATGGAAGACCATATCGGACAAACCTTCAGCTTGACTTTGGGTCACACTAGTGCCAACGTTTCGAGAGTTTTGACTGCGCTTCAATGGCTTCCATTGGCGTATTTCTTTAGCTTTCGAGTTTAACGTTGGAAATAGTAACGAGAGTCGTAAGCGTTTATACTGACATAACTCAATATGGCCTACGGGAAATAATAGCTAATGCCTTGCACAACCCTGGAATGCCGTCCACCTGACATTTCACACTTTTCATGCCTCTATTTCAGGTATAAAGCGGGTGGGTTAGTGCCGAAGCTCTAAGCGCAGCACAGCAGTAGACTGGCTGTCGGAGCTCACTCGAAACGGTAGCAGGAAAACCTAGATCAAGGTGCTATGCGGTAGAACGGCTTTTATTAGTTTCTTGGTGGGCCAGACTGATCCATCTATTAAAGGGAGTGTCTGGGCGCTGATCTGACCCCGAAGTGGGTTTTGGAGAAATTTGGGGTTCTGGGGGAAGAGGGAAGGGGGAAGAGCAAGTTCTGCATCGTCTTTCCCCAGATGCCGAAGCACCGGGAGGTAACCTCTCCGCGGTATGCGTGTCAAGGTGGACGCGTGCCGATTGGGAGCCCTACTACCTAGTATGGTAGTGGATAGTGGCCGATATCGACCTTACCGATGTCCCATGGATGCTCCTGAACGGTTACAAACAGCGCCGCAGGGTCCTTCGTCGAGCTGCATGCCTAGTACCTATCCCTTCGGCTACGGCCGATATTAACAATATACTGACCTACCCCATATAGGAGTCAGGTAGTTATTTGGAGATATCCATGTCGAGCAAGTCCAGCCCTAAGTTGAGCCGACGCATTGGAAGAGCTAGTATGCTAAATTCAACGGATTCATCACTTTGGGTTGTTAGACACAAAGCCACAACATTACGTATCTAAAGGATCTGGGCATAAGCGAAAATGATACACCTGGCAGATTCTTCAGCTAGCTCCTGAAGTGATCTAACAGCATTGGTCCCGATTGATATCGGATTCTTGCGGTGTGAGATGGCGCCAAGGTGAATAATCAAGGTGAAGCCGATAACTCAAGGGTTTGATTCGTCAATTGCTCGGAGAGGAATTCACCCCTGCTATCCGATATCCTTGAAGAGCCGGAGAACTCCTACAGTAAGAATTTCGTAATAGCTGATTACCTACTTGGGTCTGGGAGTCGCGTTGTGTCGGGCTTAATAGAATATGATATGATAAACCGACCTTGTTTAATCCATCGATCCGCTTTACAGACGGTTTCGGCGTGACGAAAAGAGATTGAGATTGAGACCCTAATGGATTGAGCAAAACGATATCGTTTAATGCAACGGTAGTCGGGGGCCAATTCCGGTCGAGGTCACTTCGGTTTGTGTTTTCTTCATACATAAAATGCATATTTCGGAAATTCGCTTATGTACCTGCTTAAAGCTGACTCTCATTAGTATGGTACGGCACGCATAGTGGCTTCAGCTTCGGAGTGGGTGGATCTCGTTGAAGTAAAGGTTAGGCAGGTATGGGTTTAAAGTGTTGCAAGGACTCAGCTTCTCTTAGTCTTGATATAGAATACATAGAAAGAGTGTATCCTGCTTTTCAATAATCAAGCTGTTGTTCTAGAAACGATCCTCGTATGTGAGGGAGGCGTCATATGTACTATGTATGTGGGAGGGACTAACGGTGCGAACAGATGGGTTCGTTCGTATCCTCCTACCCCTGTTTCGATAAATCTTGGCTGGGGCGGCATAGCCAACGGGCGAACATTGCGCCATAATATCGAGCTGCGTGGCATGCAGGGTTACCTCTTTAAGCCGTTGATACCCCAAACGTGCTCTCTTTAAGAACCTATCGCTGCCCTAGCTGGTTCGGCTAGCCGAGCCCGAGCAGCCCGAGATCTTTGCTTTCTTGCTGCAGATCGCACAAAGAGGCATAAAATTAGGACGGTCTTTTTGCAATATTTGTATCAAATTCTTATTTTGACGAGGCTTCGCGATGTTCGATGTAGAGAACAGTGGTTGGTATTGAAATGTAAAGGTAACGCACAGATTGCGAGTGTTAATGATACCAAAATTATGAAAGCCCGAAAAAAGGATCAGGCTATGTCGTCCCTTTCAAGGGCTGTGATGGATGTCTTGGCTTGTCAAATCAGCCAATCCCATGTTTTTGATTTGCTTCCGTAGTTACATAGTAGCTGTCGCCGCGGAAGGCAAAATCGTCGTTGTGCATCCGGAGACTAGACTGACCTAGACGGAAGGTAGCTTTCACCATTGGCTCGAGAAATGAACGAAAGTCCCATCAAGTGATCTCTTGATAAGAAAAGAATTGTATTGGACGTGGCTAGTGTCGAAGAGCGTTTATGTATACCTAGGTAAGAAGTAGGGAAAATGTACGCATAATACTCGACTCACTAGACTGTAGAGTTCCGATACATACCTCCATTTTTGTGTGCCATGCCACGTTTTCTTTACCAACGGGAACGGGCTGGCTGGGTCGCACGAAAGGTATCTATCCGTTAAGACATGTTTATGCCATATTGTTGGGTATGCTGGCAGAGTACATTACTAATAGCAGCCACACTGTGACTGCTATTAAGCTGAAGCGAAGAGGCTTAAGTTTATATTGGTATATGCCCTAACGTCCCGAAAAGGATGTTGAGAATACCTTAAGCTTGCCGTACGGAAAGTTGATCCTGGTGAGCGCGCCGTGTAAATACCGTGTGGGAATTGCTTTGAGGGACCCTCGAGGTGAAACTGCCATCGGCATACTTCTAGATTAGTTAAAGAAGCTTGACTTATCTGCACGTAAGACAAGTCATGTAAGACTGGCCATGCAAGACTTGTCATATATTTGATTCAGGGACGAATTTTTAAACGTATTCTTGGATGATTTCGACTGAGCGAAGAAATGGCTTTTGTGTGTCGGTACATACATACCTCGGTAGGTACATGGTTAGCAGCTTAATACGCTGTAGCTGCAAGCTGCGATCTTCGGCGGCTACAGCGCGCTGTTAAGACCCGTATATTAGATGTAGCCGGATATAAACTGTGTACTTGGGTACTTACTACATAAATGTAATTAACCCAGATAGGTACAGATTAGCAGTAGCCTGCATCTTTTTAGCTTGGCCTGCCATTTTTAGTCTATCGCATAAAAGGGGGTCCTTGTATCGAGAAGCAAACCTCGTCATAAAGAAAATGGTAACCGTAACAAAATAACAAAATACTTATACATCCTCGAAATACTTGTTTGTCATACCGATGAGGTGAAGAAAGGCTCGTATGAACACTTACCTGCCATATATCCATGAATGTTCCATATAAATCGCATGAGATACGAAGGCTTGTAGGCAAGCAACTCCTAGCCATCCACTTAGGCGGATTGAATCATTTGTCGTCTCCTTGGATCCGAGACAAGCTTCCTCTTTGGTTCATCATTACGGGAGTAGATGAATCCTAGATTACCATCGTTAACGCGACGTTGTATATATCCGGAGAGAGCTATTGGCCTGGGCGGAACCCCTGGCGGCGAGCGTATAATAATAGTGTGTACTACGTAATTTGTGCTATATGCGCGTGTGTTGTGTGGTGTGAAGCTCTAGGAGTATGCAGCATAGATGATTGAGATGTCTTTCTGTGGGAACAATGCTTAGCTGGATACGTCTAAGCGCGGGATACGTAGGCGTAGTGTAGAAGACGGACCCGATTTCAGCCAATGGCAACACACTCGTGAGACTCTAACGCTTGACGCAAGGCGGCCGGGATCGCAAAGTTCGATCGACTCATCCGGCGCCGTCGATGGTGATAGTGCATATACTACATACATACACATACATGTACGTCCTGTATGTCTTTTAGAACGTAGGAATACAATTGGGTAAATGGGGGCATGGTGCAGATATAAGGAGGACCGGACTGGTCGAGGCAAGAGGCGATGATGTGCCTGCAGGCCGCTAACAGACCGAAGAGAACCATCAGATTCGCCAGCCAGCTAGCTAGCCCAGGGAAGTTGACGAGTTGCTTCAAAGCCAATTGCCCCTCGGTCCCCTTCTAGCAGCCCCTCCAAGGGTCCCTTCGCGGCGCGAAGGCTGTTGGAGCCTTGGGAGGCTTGATTTCAAACCAGAGCAGATCCAAATCGGTTACCAAGCTCCATTTCGCCGAATTCGCTCCGTGGACAGGCTTGTGGAACAGGTAACTCCCTGAAGATCATCTCATTGGTAGGAAAAGAGGCTGACACTGATATCAAGTGAGGATATCGAAGACCGCCTTAAATACACACCTAAGCGAATATCTAGAAAAGTCGATGTAATCTCGTGATAACATAGATTACGAGAAGCGATAGCGCGACTCAAGCAATGAGGGTAATATCCGAGGATTGATGATTGATACCGTTTGATAGGCAAACAACAAATGCCTAGGTGGTTGAGGAAGAGAGCGTTGGTAAAATACGTGAACCGGACATTGAATGCAACCCGACCTGGTGAATCAAATTGAAAGGCAAGATCTAAGTAAATTCCCTGTCAAACGTTAAGGATAGCGGTTACTTGAAATCTATGTAGAATATACATCATTCAGATTTGCATCTTGTGACCAGAATCCACTCCTAACTGTGGATTTGGCTCCGGCGGTTCTTGCCATGCAAGCCATGCAAACCAATCAGGTGGCATATAGACGAACATACCCCTGTACGTGGATCCCTTGTCAGTGAGTAAGATGCCCTGAAACTAACGGGTTGCCCTTGCGCAAGATCAGCCCATACGCAATCGCCTAAACGAAGTCATAGATACATGGTTTAGTGGTACTCGTCTGGTAATACAAGCAATTTTAGCCATATCAAATGACCTGCTAAGTTGATTTCACAGCCCACTACCAACCTTAACCTGTCCTTCTCTGCCTCTATGCCTGCCCTGAGAAGTGCGATGAAATCACACTGTGGCAATGGGTCGGCGTTATTGCCTTCAAGTAACTTGAATCCAGCCCAATGAATGACCCGATCCTGCTCAACCCGGTTTAGTTTTTTAAGGCACTTCTATTCTGCCTTTTGTACTTTTCAGAAGTTATTTTCTTAGTTGTTTTTTTTATCTTCCATTTTCAAGTCGTTGAAATTGCTTTATCTACCTTTTTCCCGATCTTTATAACATCCCACCTCGTAGTTCCCGCCTGACCGCTGGTTGAAGCGTTTCCAATTGGAAGATTTGATTCTTTATCTGACCTACCTACTGGCAGCCTACATGTGCCTACCTAGTAGTACCTACCGTCGTCAAATCGTACCTTAGTCGCTACGTACTTGCACAGTACGACAATAACACTGTACAATGTACCGAGGGGTTACTCGATAATCGATACGAAAAGGTCCAAGCTCTTCTAGCTCTGTCGAAGCTCTGACGCTCTGCCCCTCCAAAGGAATCTTAGGTACCCGCCTAACCTTGGAAAACCTACCCACTAACCCACTACTGTGCGCCTAACCTCCCACGTCTTAGCCAATCCACCCGTCTAATTCCTTCCCAGTGTCTTCTCCCACTCCAAAATCTCCCCACCACACGCAACGCAGAGGCGCAAAAACACTTTCAACCACAATCAATCAACGGTTGTAATCGCTCGCTCTGCCTTTTTCCTCCCACTTACACCCAACCCTCGATTTCTACCCGCCGTTGAATTTATCTTAGGGAATAGGGAAATAATTACAAACTGCTTGCTTCCAATTCCGCAACATTTCAAGAGTTCGACGGTAGTCGACGGTTGGATTTCCTCTTTCCCCCCTTCTTCTCTTCCGCTTCTCCCACTTCTCAATCAGTCATGTCCAACCCATCGCCGCCCGCTGCAGTCTCAGGGAACAATGCTGGCAACGATGATTCCGGTATGGCTCCTCAACGTCCCCTCCAAGAACTCCAAAAGAGCTTTCTGATTGCCCCTCCATGTTCCCCATCCGTATTCTCTTATCTAGCTTCGGCGACCGTCAGCCACGCCGACATCAATTTGTTAATATTAACCACTTGAACTTTGTCACCCTCGAACCACCTCAAATGTGACCAATTTGACTCATTCAGCTGACTTTGACTGTCATGTAAAGCTTCTTCTATTACGGTGAACACTACCGCCACTGCTGCAGCTCCCGCGCCGTTTCCTCCGCCTAAGACCGACAAGCCTCGTCCTCACGTCTGTGCTACTTGTCAACGCTCATTTGCCCGATTGGAACACCTGAAACGTCACGAACGTTCCCACACTAAAGAGAAACCGTTCGAGTGTCCCGAATGCACCCGATGCTTTGCTCGACGAGACTTGCTACTGCGCCACCAGCAGAAGCTTCATCAGACCACGACACCTTCGTCGCGGCCGAGAAACCGTCGCGAAAGTACTAGCAGTACTGCCACCGCTCAGAGTCGAGCTCGCAAGAATAGTGTTGCTAGTGCAAATGCTTCCGCCCAAGCCGCCGCGGCGAATGCCTCGATGAGGCCTCGCGCAAATACAATTAGCCATGTTGACGGAAATCATATGCATATGATTGCAGCTGCTAATGCTCAGGTCGCGAGAAACCAACAGCATCACATGCCCCCAACCCACAGCCGGCACCAGAGCCTCGTAGGATTACCGTTACACAATATGGATAACGGCTTTGCTGGTATGTCTGCGGTAATGGGCCACAGGGGCATGAACCATGGACTCCCGAAACTGGAGACTCACAGCATTAATAACATGGATTTCAATGCCGGGTTGCGAACCGCGCCGCCTATGCCTTTCCAACAGGATTATGATTTCGAGGGTTTGCTGTTCGGTCAACCTGGTTCGACTATCAACCCAAATGCGCTTCACTACACCGAATCTCCACATTCGATGTCGTTGGACCCTACATCTCCTTTTGGTCATGGGATGACGGACATGTCTACCCCTAGCCAACATATAGATGATAGCTTTGACTGGCTAACAGGGTTCGAGCATCAGATGTCATTCAACACTACAGGTGAGAATGCCGTTGACGGTTCGTCTCCGTCCGCGATGAGCACCACTAGTCAGAGCGGTATTAGTGATGTGATGCTTGATGGCTCGAACCCTACAGCTGTGACAACCGCATCTAGCTCTATATGGCAGCCGGCTGTGATGGGTCCCCCTCAGATGACCAATCCTTTTTCCATGGAAATGAGTGGGACAGTGTTTCCAGATCTGTTGAATGGAGCACCAGTGTCTCCTCAGCCATCATCTCAAAAGAATATGAGTGATATCTATTTCTCAACACCACCTCCATCTATGAGTTCGCTTAGCCCTTCCATAATGCCTGGCTTGACCACCCACGGCATGAATCAATCAATGAGCAACTTTGGCCCTGGTCCGGAGACACCCACTTCTATTGGTGGTGGCCACCAGTCACACTCTCCCGTCTCAACCATCACCGATACTACGCGGAATGCAATTATCGCTGCATTATCCCAATGTGCCACATTTGGCGGCCGTAAATACTCATTCACTTCACCTACATCACCGATGTCTCCACAGTTTTCCAGCACCCCAGATAACGCTTCCGACAATATAAAGAACTTACCAAGTACTCAGGATCTCCAACGATATGTCACAGGCTATTTCCGATATTTCCACCCTCATCTGCCTTTCCTACATATTCCTACTCTGTCGTTTGATACCCCGTCCAATTCAGGCAATGGACGACCAAATATTATTGGTGGAAGCGGGTGCCTCGTTCTCTCAATGGCAGCCATCGGTGCCTTATATGAGATGGATCGCGGTCAGTCTAGGGAGTTATTCGAGATGGCGAAGAAGATGATCCAGTTATACTTGGAGGAGCGAAGGAAAGCCGATATGCGAAAGGCCGATTTTAGGCGAACCCCGTCGTCTGATCAAGGATCTCAAGGGCCCGAGTCTTCGATCCACACGCCGCTATGGTTGGTACAGGCGATGCTTCTGAATGTGGTGTATGGTCACAATTGCGGGGACAAGATTGCGAGTGATATTGCCTCAACCCACTCTGCCGCCCTTGTCAGCCTTGCTCAGGCTGCTGGTTTGCTTCGTCCGGTAAAGATGGATGCGGCGGAAATCCGAGAAATCCAAATGAATGATGCCGAAGGAAACTGGAACGGGGGACTTAAGGCTGAATCCGAGGAACAGGCCGAGTGGTTGAGGTGGAAAACAATGGAGGAACGAAAACGCACCCTTTACGTCATCTTCATTCTCTCGAGCCTCCTAGTGACCGCTTATAATCACACCCCAGCATTAACAAATTCCGAAATAGTTCTGGATCTACCTAGCGATGAAGAGTTCTTTGCAGCTGAAAGTGCCGCCTCTTTCCAGTTAAAGGGTGGTGTGCGGGCCGCCGGACACAACCGGACGACCTTCCATGAAGCCCTAAGTGAACTGCTTCGCACTAACGAGAAGCAACAAAAGCTAGCATTCGGCAACGGGCAACAGCAATTGGGCCCAGGAATTCAAATGAATGATATTCCACCTAGTGAGCTAAAACCCAGCACTCTCGGTTGCTTGGTTTTGATCAACGCGCTCCACAATTACATATGGGAGACACGACAACGCCATCATAACAAGATGTGGACGAATGAAGAAACCGAGAAGATGCACCGTCACATTGAACCGGCACTGAAAGCTTGGCAGTCAGCTTGGGCGAGCAACCCGCACCATAGCTTAGAACGTCCAAATCCATTTGGAATGGGCCCCTTGTCAGCCGATGCTATCCCTTTACTTGATCTAGCTTACATTCGATTATTCGTTAATATGTCCCGAACTAAAGAGAAGTTTTGGCAGCGAGACTGGGATGGGCTCGCCGATGAGCTCTCCCGTGGAACGGAAATTGCCCAGCATGCGGAGCATTCTCCGTCGTCAAACGCAGAATCTATGACAGACCCATCCGACGCCTCCGCTACAAGTTCGGTTTTCATCGATTCGCCACCAACGCAATCATCGTCGCCTGAATTTTCCGCTGTAAAGTTCCCTTCATCCGCGCAGCCGCAGGCTCATGGTTCAAACAGCCGAACCATTACTCGTCGGGAGAAACATCTTCGCAAGGCGGCTTTCTACGCTGCAGACTCTCTTTCTATGTCTGACAAGTTAGGAGTGACGTTTGCCGAGTTCAACAGCCGTGAACTTCCTGTACAGTCCGCGATGTGCTCCTTTGATTGTGCACAAGTCCTTGCTGAATGGGTCGCTACACTCCAGGATCGGGTTGGGAGATACCTTGGTGTCCTCGGTAAGGATGATGTTGATATGGGGGGAGTTCCTGCGATTATGCTCCTTGAGGATGAGGACGTCAAACTCATCCACAAAATACAGGAGCTCTTGTCTAGCGCTGAGATGAAGATGAATATGGATATCGTGAGTGGCAATGTCAATGGCGGTATTGATTCTCGTCTTCAGATGGATAGCCACGGCGGATATGCAGCCAAGATCTTAAGGGTCACGGCGTATATGCTTGACAAATCCGCTATATGGCCTGGTACGTTATTCATTTCAAGATGATCAAACCTTCCCGAGACTTACTGATTGTTCTATAGTACTCCATCTGATGGCGCACTGCCTCGAGAGTCATGCTAATTTCATGGCATCACGAGCCGATAAGTCGATCATTGCTAGTGAGTAAGCGATAATCGAAAGAATCAAACGTTCACAGTCGTCATTCGTCAAGGCCGGACCTTTGAGACGTTAAGAATTATTTCAGTGCCAGTGTCTTTCGAGCACCATCAGCCTCCAGGAGAAGCTTACCAAAGGGATCCGAATATTACCCACCTTTACAAGGAGGTCAATATTCACGATGAACTCAATGTTCCAACTCTAATTCAGTCCTTCAGTCCCATATTGGGATGAAATGGTCGATTCCGTGGAGTTATCAACGTTCAACAGAATATCTAACAATAACGTAGAGCGGATCAATCCTAAAGAGCCTACTCGCTCCTTGTACATATCTGTAAACCCTTCAGCAGTCATCCCAATATGTCGATACAACCTTTACGAAAAGGGAAGGATTCCCAATGATACACGAATATTCAAAAAAAGGAAAATAAAAATTAGGCGCCTAGCTACACTCGACGCTACACATATCCCCCGACTACCTTACAGTCTTGACGATTCTCATATGAAGCCAATGGTGGAAACTATGCAATCATGATATTACAGAACGACACGCGATCAAAACGCTCGAGACGAATTACGTAACAGAACAACAGGTCGAGGTTCATGTCGGCGATACGTCGCTAAGTTAAAAGGGGTTGGTAAGGCGCCGGGGAAAAAAGGTAGAACATGAGCGGATTCTATTTAGAACTATCGGCCCTAGGAGTGTTTATGGCCGTCATGGGCTTAGCCATCTCAAGGCGGCTATTTATTGTCTAGAGTCCGATTCGAATCTGTTTACGGATATACATGGCTCCTGCGATGTGCCCAGGTCACCGGGTAGGGCTATTTAGTGGTTATTAAGGAAATCTAAAAATTCGTTGTGTATATGACGAAATACACGGGTCCTGTCTTAGCTAGCGCAACTGAGGGTTGTTGATTTGCTGTTAGCGAGGGTGTTGACGGTCTTCTGGAGTTGTAGGGTAGCAAAGGCGTGCCATTATCGAGCTCGTGTTACCTGCAATTTGCTGCAGCTCTGTCGTTCATGATTTCGATATCTTATCGATTTTCCTACTAGGGAGGTTAGGTACGGAAAGTAGTAGGTAGGGACTTCATTTATACCCTCCGTGCCGGGGCTAGGCGTACTCCTTCGGTCCTTTGAGATGGGCGCATGTGCGGTCCCTGGATTTGATGTAAGGGTGTATTTAGGGATAGGTATATATCGGAACGAGATGTGTATTCAACATGATGTTACGTGTTGCGTCCAATGATATTGTGTGTTTTTGTGATGTTGTAATGTTATGAGGCGATGATAACATAGGTTGTATTTCGTACTGCGATGCTTAGTCAGCGGATTGCCCCTTTAATTCCGTTCAGGGGTAACCCCCAGAAAGGAATCGATTTCAGAAGGCATGGAATGATTGCGGAAAAGATACTGCACCTGGTTCTGCGGTCGAGATGGGTTAACTACTGTCCACCCAAGTCTGGTCTGGGGAAGATTAATAGCTAGAGATCCACGAGATTCGGGCTTGACCCGTGGAGGTGCGTTGAGTTTGTGAGGTCCTGTTGATCGCTAGCCCTGGGAACAGAATAGATAAATAGCCTCATCTGTATGTATATAATGTTCTCCTTGGTGGGGGTAGGTCGTTTAGAGCTCCTCGCGCAACAACGTCGTTATTTTCTTGTTCTTTGATTCCGTCTCGTGACAATTAATAGGTACTATTGAAATGTAAATTCATATTCCGTTGAATTTAGCCACAGTTGCTTCCCATATATGATACGTATATATTTGTCTGGTCAGTGGTAGAGAAAGGAGATCGGAGTAGAATGAGTAGATCATCTTTCAACCAGTATCTGAATATGTGGTATTTTGATTGGTCAGGAGTAGGTCAGATATTCCCTTTCAGGTAAATTTTACAAGATGCCTTATTCATCTTCTACCTAGGTTTCAAGATACAGCACTTGGCTACGTCGTAGCTTCTAAAAAGAATTGGTATTTAGACACTTAGCAGGTTCTAGAAAACATTTTCGTAACATTCCATGGCCTATTATCCGATCTCTAGGATTTACGGGCACTCTGTCATTCGTCATATTACTCCGTCACAACTTTTTCATCGCATTTCTTAAATCATATATCTTTCCATCTACTAGGTACCTATATTTTCTCCCTCTCGCCATCTTTTCCTTTGCTATATATTTCCCCGTCACTTTCCCTTTCTTTTCTATTTACGCCTCTATTTCATTAATGTTGCAAAGCAGAACGCATTGATCTCGCTATGATTTGTGTCTCCCGAGAACCTTGAAACACTTCATCCCATGGGATGGTTTTTCTCGCCCTTTTTCCATACCGTGACCAGGTGACCGGCTGTAGGTGAACCGATGGCGGACATCTAAAGTAACGATAACTTAAAATTACTACACTGATAATTGAAGAAGTTGGCCTTGTACCCATCGACCTTTGTAGCAACGGTCTAAAGAGCTTAGTTCCAAAATAACAACTTAGAACGTAGCAAAATGTATACCTATACATGATTGATAGATCATATGAATCCGTAGGTCATGGGATGGGATCATGCCCTATTAATATAAAAACATGGATGTCTTGTAAATTGTACATAACCTTATTCTAGCGGTACAGTTAATTTGATTATATTGCGACATTATACGAGCTGACTTGCTTACACCGCCGATCAAGCTACTCAGCTCTGGACCTAAGGCTACGATTTGCCAAGCTTTGGGCAGACATATGTTGATGCCGCCACTAGTTTAGAAGAGATGTAGAATGCGTTAGTATTACCCTCTAGGTATGGTAATGAAAATACTTTTAAGTAATCATTCTAGCTAGATGCGTAGAAAGTGGAGTAACTGTGCATAATATTAACTGTAGGTTCCAAATGAAGTTGGCTGCGAAATGCTACGCTGAGCTGACCTAGCTATTTGTTACATCATCCCATGATTAACTTTAAAGGGCAGAGATTTACAACAGTCCCATTTATATTATATGAATATCTGGATGAATGCAAGTGTCAGCGATCCGATTCTCTAATCCACTATATGCGACTGTGCGACCAACGAAAGACTACCAACATGTTCTATATGGTATTATGTCATCACGTTAACATACGGTAGTTGGCGACGCTATATTTGGAGTTCCACACTTTACTGATGGCCTTAATTGTAACTTCCACGGTAGGTACCTGCCTAGGTAGGTATTGTATAATCTGCGCAATAAATCGCAACATACGGCGGTCAATGTCAACAAAGACTCATACCAAAGACAGGTGAGGTACCTCCTCGAAAATACTCTTATAAGTCTATCCTCTTGTTCCAATTACTCAGATATTGCCTTATATTGTATGATACAAGGTCAAATCAGCGCCGTCTTACCCGTTGACTCACGGCGTTAACATATATTGGGGCGTCGTATAAAAGACCACTTATGTCAAACTGATGGAGTTCCAAATACTGCATGTAATCGGTGTAACACATTACACTCTTAGAAGATATTTGTCGAAACATGGCATGTGGTTTACGGCATGAAATAATGCTAACTTCTAGCCCTGAAGGTATCTCGGATCTCTAGCTAATCATACTTGGCGGCTTAGCTTATGTAGTTTTTAGTGTGCTGTCGCCTATGTGTTAGTATATTCTATGTTCGAAGCCATGTACGAACACAATATGGGACTCGAATATACCACAGCTTAGAGTGATTTTACGTTCTACGAGTTTTCTAATACTTTTCAACGGCTAGAATGTGAATAGAATAATCATCATTCTACTGTAGTTTAAGAGTAGATGTTTCAACTATCACTGGTCTCCGTTGACTACAGATCGAGCATCCACGCAGCCACTACATAGAATAGTAGGTTCTCAACGTGTTGGACGTCGCGGGACTGAGGTAATTGGTAACTATCATTGAGGCTATATGATTACCTACGTCTTCAGTAAGCTGACTAGGACTTCTCGATCAGAAGGTTGGATAGTTACACATGGAGTGACACGATTCCGAGGAGATTTGTATCGTGCTTCTAACATCCTCGAGTCCTCGGAGGTAGATTCAACAGATATATAAACATCACAGGGCCGCACCTCTGAAGACGAGAAAACCTCATCCCAAGACAGCTCAGTTTCAAACACCATCACATCAACAACAACAATATCAACCACATCTACAACAACATTTAAAATCAACTTCTTGATTCTTACCTTCCAAAACAGCAACCATGCGTTTCACTCTCAGCTCCGTTCTCATCGCCCTCGCCGTTACCTCGGCAGTCGCATCTCCCGCTGACAGCGGAGAAAAGCGCAGCGCCGCTTCCAAGTTTGGTGTAAGTTTTTGGGAAACCTTGATATTGTATCAGAGATTCCCTACTAACAGACTTCTGTACATAGACTTGCAACGGCACCTCATGCCGAGTTGGCTTCTACAACAAAGTGTGCGGCTCAGGCTCATGCGCCGGACCCCAGGGTGGTGACGGAAAGCCCTGCTCCATCGTTGACTATCCCAATGGCTCCAACAAGGCTTTCTGCCCTGGCTGCGGAGACTCGAGCCTGTGCCCCGACCACTAGAGGATCAAATGACAACTGATATAGTAGAAAGGGGGTTGGTCAGTGTATATATGGAGATCTATTATATATAGGGGTTGGAACAAGTACTATAGTGCAGTCGGTCGTTTATATGGGTTGAAAGTTGGATTGCCGGTATCATATCACTCGTTTAGTTATTAAAAGAAGTAGCCCTAAGTTGGGTTTCTTAACCATATATTGGACCCTAGATGCATACTAAAGTGATACTAAAGATTTTATATGAGATGAAAACCCAGAATGAATAATCTAGGTAGGTAGATAATGATCTCTAATACCTATTCAACCGGATTTTCCTCATGGAAAAAGTTGGTATCTAATACGGGTAGACGCGTGTTAAAATAGCGAGTCGTGTAAAAGTCTGCGACTCTAAAGATAGAAAATGAAAGATGTTGTAATTCCTTTCAGATAAGCGGGAGAGGGCGAGGGTTACTTAAAGTGCACCTGTTTTATGGAGCTTTGAATCGAGTATCGTTTTTATTTTGGCGCGTTTCATAGGCAACTATCAGGCAGTTTCGGGTAAATAGTGGTGGCAACTAGAGGAAGCATATATATCGAAAGAAACTTCTAATTGTCAAGAATTTAAGGGCAGTTGGTCAAGTGGTTAGATGATCAAAACACCAGGGGTTTAATTCCCCCAAGGACTAAGTCCTTTCCTGACAAATGTTCTGACGGTTTGCAAAATCCACACCTTACGCGACTGGGTGCCCCTACGCGACTCGGGAGTAATCTCTAGGGTCGCGACATGTAGGCTTATGGCGTCTAACCACCGACCAGATACTTGATCTTGTGAAGCTGGACGAAACGGTCTGTGAGGGTGGGATAACCAAACTTTTTTCTTTTCCCCCTTTTTCATTCCCCCCTTTGTACAAACCGAACATCCACGACGCGCCAACCAAAACGTAACCTACAAGCTATCACTTCAGCTGCACACTATTCCAACCCAAATTTAAAGTGAACTAGGGAAATCGGTTTACATTCAATATAGCTCCTAGCAACCCTTTGATAGGGACTTTCTTTGGGAGGGTGAGAGGGGGAAGCCGGGCGTGTCGGGGTGTTCAGCTGAGAATGGTAACAACGAATTGTATACAAAGTAGTCCGGCAAATTTCACATTTAAGGTGCTGACACGACATCTGATCCTCAGCGCCTCACTAGAGACGTCAATTGATTACTGTGGCACAGGCGTTGCTGACATCGGAAGTTGGTGTCCAAGTCCCGGAGGATCTCGGGTCCCTAGGCCGCCGTACAATGTCCCCACAATTATCGCCGATGACACGGAGATTCCTTACAACATGTAGGAGCCCATTGGAGAGTCGCAACACTCATTAGCAAACGACCGGAGACTGCAGCGATAACAATTTCTAGTATTTTATAATGAAAATGAATATAAATAATGGACGATTCCACGATTTCAGAACCAACATCTGTACCCACCTACAGTTTTCAAAGCACCTGCCACGACCCCCTTGACCAGCATTTTAGATCTGCATTGCGATTTACAATTCTACTATATTTCCGATTCCAAGGTCGCTATCATGCTTTCTCTCGTCGTCGCTGCGGTAGCTCTCGCGGGTACCACCACTGCGTCAGCGGAACTGCCACCAGGTCCTTGGTTGATGCCCAGAAATGGTACTTACGATCCAAGCGTCATTACTAGTGGGATCTTGCCAGTAATCAGCGAAACCCATAATACTTCTAAGTAAAAATAGCAGGCGACATTATAACTAACCATGTGATATGTAGTGCGAAGCTCTTAAGGCTGCTGGTCTCGGAGATCGACTCCTATTCGCAACGGACGCCGGATACGAACCTCAAATCGAGTCCTGGTACTCCGCGAACGCCCGCATGAGACCATACTGTCTTGTTTTACCGCAAAGTACCGACGAAGTATCTACTGCATTGACAGCACTAGTTAATGCCAATGACGGCGCGGGCGATTGGCATGTCGCGATACGTAGCGGTGGTCATGGTTGGCCCGGAAGCAATAACATTGCCGATGGTGTGACTATTGACCTGACCATGATGAACTCGAGCAGTTACGATAAGCAAGCCAACCTCGCTAAGATCCAACCTGGCGGCCGTTGGGGAAATGTTTACACAGACCTGTTGAAAGATGGTGTAACTGCAACCGGCGGTCGTGATGGCGATGTAGGTGTTGGTGGATTCCTCTTAGGAGGCGGCAATTCGTTCTTTTCCGGACGAATGGGATTTGGCTGCGATTCCGTCGTCAATTTCGAAGTCGTACTAGCTAACGGCACTATTGTCAATGCCAATAATACGACTAACTCGGATCTGTGGCGGGCTCTCAAGGGAGGCGGTAGCAACTTCGGCATCGTGACGCGATACGATATGGAAGCCATCCCAGCCAAGGATATATACTACGAACTGCGCTACCTGAGCGGGAAATACTCGGATGACGTGGTAGACGCAGTCGTTGGATTCACCAACCAAGACCAGTCTCTAGCTGATAACGCTCTCATAACCTTTTACAGCCACAACACTTCCGTCAGCCCCGATACCATCATCGGCTTGATCCATGTCAACACACAGGGCAATGCGAATTCATCGACCGCGTTTGACAAACTGAAGACTCTCCCTAGCTTGGTAAATGTGTCGACCGTTGAAAGTATGGCAAAGGCCGCTCTTGGATCGCAAGTGCCTGGTGATTCCAAGTATGTTGGTTCCCTCAAAGCGATGAAGATCATTGACTAACAGAATTTAGCAATGTTGGAACAACATTGACATTTCGCAACGACCCGAAAATCATCCGCCGTTGCGTCGAGCTTCACGAAGAATATGTGGAGACTCTCAAACGCTCCATCAACCCAGACAAGTTCAAAACGTTCATCTTCTTCCAACCACTACCTTCATACATGGCTCAGATAAGTCACCAGAAAGGTGGAAACATGCTTGGATTAGACAGCGTTCCGTACAATGGCATCCTATGGAGCACCGGTGTCGCGGTCGACACAAGCGAGGGCGATGCAGCGCTCGCGATAGCACAGGTGGAGACCAGCATATTCACGGCGCGCGTTAAAGAGGCGACGAGATCGCTTAACGGAGACATGGACTTTATCTACCTCAACTATGCGGATGCGAGTCAGGATGCCCTCGGCAGCTACGGCGCTGCAAACATCGAGCATATGCGAGATGTGGCGGCTGCTTACGACCCGACTAAAGTCTTCCAGAAGCGCATCCCGGGAGGATTCAAGATTTCGAGGGTCGCGTCGGACTGAGCTCGGACCGTAGATATCTCACAGACGGAGATCTTGTAATATTGGAGGAATTTGTCTCGTTTCGAAGTTGTTGCGTAACTTGCGTTAGATTACAGCATATATAGGCTTTGGCTTCATCCTTTTAATCCGTCTTATGTTTTCTTATTTTTCAAATTTTATAGAATATTGATAATTGCTTTTCGTTATGCAATGGAACACTTATGCCGATTTTGCAGACCTGATTCTACTCCACAGATTTGTTACATACCTAATCAGACTGTGAGTGGGTACTATCACGTGATCGCTGCTGACTCTTTCTATGCTGACATAATATTTAAGACTTGAAGTCAACATATTTGCTTAGTCATTCCTACTGTTTTTCTGCAACATCTCGACCTATACACATATAAATAAGGTGTAACCTGAGTTTATCGATTCAGATAATCCAGCGCTATTGTAAAGTTACATGATTCCATCTTAAATGAAAAATGAACAGCTTATTCAAGTGTTGATGTTTTCAGTTAAATGCTGACGTAAGTAGGAACTTACCTAATCTGATCAGGGTTTAAGACCGTGTAGAGTAGTGCCTATGTGCACTGTAGAATCCATTGTTTCGATAGCTCCCTTCGCCGATAGCAGTTATCCACTGAACTTCAGGGCAACAATCAGTATTACACCCAACCTTAAAGCCTTCCAGGGCTTTGCGTCAATACAGTGCGGATGAATTACTAACCTGGTCGCGCATTTAGCGTTTGCAGTCTTTTAGGGAGACAGATATTTAAGGAACAGTCCGATTGAAATTACATGCTATAACATGCAGAATTCTGCGTCGAGAGGTGCAGTGGCCATGCTCTGAAGGCCTAGCTGCATTTGAAGTTGGCCCGGATGCATGCATCGCGCTTTTAGCAGCCTACAACATTAGGTGGTTAGTAGCTAAAATTAGCGCCCCGTCCCGTCCCCAAACCCTGCCAAGGTGATCTTCAGAGCTGCCGACTGCCTAACGTAAATCCCCTAAAAATACGCTAGGCGCAGTATAGCTTAGCATCATGAGTACCCAAATTACAGCGCAGTTTCCCACCCATATAAAAATATTACCTGCTAGATATAAGTTCCATATTGATGTCATTTAATTAACTGACATTACACTTCGAAGCCTGGAGAAAGGCAAAGTAGACACATTCTGCTTGGAAATATGATATAAAGTGTTAGTTCAATACATCTCATAGTAATGATAATCCTAGGTCGTATTTCCTTACAAGGGGACCATATGTGTAGACAAAACTTGTCCATGAAGTTCTCAATAGCCTTATAATTTGTGTGAGAGAGAATACCCTGATGCTGGCTCGTACCTATTGAAGGCCTTTTGTGGTTGAACCCTTGTGAAAAGCGCCTTCAATAGTACCAGCAGTGTAGATGTGGAGGCAGCTATGATGACAAGATTGGTTTCAATGATAAACATTTGGATCAATCAGGCAGGCTATACATAGGGGATATATAGGTAGGTAGTTGGCTAACCCACTATCTAGGTAAGTTGCGATGGAAAGGTAATATAACTCCCATGTTGGGTCATCGGGGTAGTTAAGTTTCAGCTATGTTGTCTTTACTATATGAATATGTAACGAAACCCTGGCCATAGAGCCGTAATTCGACAAACGCAATGGAAATAATAGTGTCTATCTAAGCGATGACGTTTATGGCAGGCCCGCGATTCTCATCCGGAGGGAGCGCGATACTGGTGTTCATGATAGAGGTAAGGGGGTGGTAATAACAACACTAGGTAGTGAAATCTGGAGAGCTACGGCGTCGTGGGGGTTTTAAATCGTCAAAGAACACGGCGCGAGGAGAAGATAATATCCATGGATGCTTGTAAGTGAGTAGCACAACATACTAGGTAGCCAAGCCAGTCTTGGAAATACTAAAAAAAATCCAACCTAAGCTTGAAGCTGACATTTCAAATGAGTATGAGCATTTCCTATGTTGGTTTAATTGGTAGGCGTTGGTTCGTAGATCAATAGGTTAGGTGACCCACCACTAACCACGTAGCAAAGAAAGCCGTAGCCTGCAGTTAGTTTGATATATGGAAGCAACAAGATATTTATAGCGATTGGTTATCCCTTGCAGTAGCCTTCTTTATCGCATTGTGGAGGGGTATAAGAGGGACCTACTAGGTATTGTCCTAGCTAAATTGTCAAACCAATAAAATAAATAGCATATCACATCCCCTCCCATTAGATACTAGGTAGGTAGGTATTTATCACACTTATCGTCTTTATAAAATTCAACTTCTCTCACCTTCGGATTCCTTCATCTACGTGTTACTCATTAGGCATGGCTTCTGAAACGCCCAACGTAGATAAAGTCGCGCAAGCGCTTAAACAGGTAGCAGAGGATGGAGAGAAATTCATGACCGGCGACCAGGCCGCACGAGAGAGACTAGTCGCAAGTGCGAGAGAGCTCGTTCTTGCAGCAGAAACGCCCGTTGAAACTGTCCTGTGGAACATATGGGCAGTTGTAAGTGTCGTGCCATCAGTTTCATTAAAACATATTTAGGAACGATACTAACATATATCGATCTTTCTTAGCCAACCAGAACAGTAGCTTCCCGTATAGCTGTCGATTTGAAGATCTTCGAGACTGCCGTCAAGAACGGCGGCTGTCCCAAGTCTAGCGAGGATCTAGCTGCTGCAACAGGGGCCTCACCTACTCTTGTGAAGCGCATTAGCCGCGCGTGTGTCTCCATGGGCATGCTAGATGAACAACGCCCTGACGTGTATGTTCCCAATGACGTAACAAGGCTCCTAGCGATCAAAGAATACGCCGCCGGTATCACATTCTCGTATGTCCATGTATAATCTTCCCAATTTACCCTAGTTGCTTTAGTAACATCACCCAGCTTCGATATTACTCAGCTGTCCTTCGCCAAAATGCCAGCCTATCTAAGGAGCACCAATTTTCAGAACCCCGAAGATTCCACGGACGGGCCTTTCCAATACGCGAACAACTGCCCCTCCGCCTTTTCCTGGCTGGTCCAGCACCCGGACGTATTCGAAGCCTTCCACGACTACGTCCACACACTCCGCCTGCATCGCCCTGCCTGGACAGACATGTATCCCGTGCGTTCCAAGCTCATAAAGGGTCTGAAGCCGGATGGCGACGCCTCAGTCTTCGTCGATATCGGTGGCGGCACAGGGCAGATTCTGCAGGACTTCCGGAGCGATGTCCCGCAGTACACGGGACGGCTCATCTTGCAAGAGATCCCCGAGGTTGTGGCCGCCGCGACCGAGAAGGGCGTCGGTGCCGACGGCCGCATCGAACTGCAGGTCCATGATTTCTTCACCCCGCAGCCCATCAAGGGCGCTCGCGCGTATTTCATGCGCTCCGTGCTTCACGATTGGCCGGATGAGCAATGTCGGAAGATACTTGCCCAATTGAAAGACGTCATGGAGCCGGGATACTCCAAAATCCTCATCAGCGATTGTGTACGTGCTTCTCTGCCTGCCAAGTTGCCTTGCTTGTATTGAAAGTGGTTGAAACGACCTCAAACCAAATATTAACATGTTTCAATATTAGGTTATCTCCGACCAGAATGCTGCATGGCAACATATATCAATGGACCTTTACATGATGGCCCAGTTATCATCTCGTGAGCGCACTGAGCGTGAATGGCGCGAGCTCATTGATAGCTGTGGCTTAGACATCGTGGGCATTTATAACAAAGGGGATGGGAATGAAGGTCTCATCGAGGTTGTTCGGTCTGTGTGAGTCTAGAGGATAGTAACCGAGGTATTCGAGTAGCTAAGGAAGAGAAAAACTAGAATTAGCAACAATGTGAGAATGGAGTCTGTGTTCAATGCGTTACCCCTATTACCCCTATTAATCCCTGTCATTCTATGTGGCTGTGCACGGTTATGGCTTAGACTCCAGCCCCGAATTCAGCCCTGAATGTCGTCATCTCACTCCCTCCATCGGCGGCCTAGGGACCCGACGGGAATCTATGTACCCCAAGCCCCGGGACTTTGGAAGTTATCGGATCTAGTATTTCCATATTCTGTATTTATCGAAGGATACTGCGATTTCTAGAAAATGGGTGATACGGGCCCCGGTATCCCGTTAGAGCGAAGACCAGCGGTAAGACTTTCCCGTTAACTAAAAGAAACCACGTTTAGCAGTTGTTACTAATATAAGCATAAATATAACTTAGTGCGATAGTTGCAAGTCTCGAAAGGTATGCGCGTTGCTTCATAAGATCCTGCTTTAAGCTACTTGATTAACACTTTTGATAGACTAAATGTGATAGGAGGTCACCATGTTCAAGTTGTGTGACCCTCAATATCGCATGTCGGACCACACCCCGGCCGTCCGAGAAGCGACAGCGTGTCCTCATATCATCGAAATATGATGAAGCTGTACAAGATGTCAGACGTCAACTTAGTGATGTTAGAGAAATGCTCCAGACACTCATGTTAAATAAAACTTCGACACCTTGTTCAACAGGGGAAACATCAGAGGCCACACATCATACACCATCGCCGATGATTGATGAACAGGTTCCCAGCTTGTCTAAAGTTCGCGAAGGCTATAATGGCGATACCTCGTTCCAGTCGCACGCCCATCAGGTTAAAAATGCACTCGAAGCAGCACTAACAGCGTCCGAGCTTCTCAACGTCGAGTCTCAAGAGGCTTCAACGACGTTATCTCCACAGAAAGTTGCAGAGCTTCTCCATGGCGCAGAGGCAGGTGATACTGCAACTTCGGCCCCGATTGCTACCCCATCTCTCCCCTCGGCAGACGACCTTGATTTTGGGAAACTGCCACTACCCCCGGTAGATATTGTTCTGAAGCTCTTACGCTTAGCCAAGTCCCACAAACAACAGTTCTTCGTAGACATCCCCACCTTCGAAGAGGACGAATTCATCGATATGTGTCGGGGAGTTTATTTCGCAACAGAACCTATATCGCTGTGGACTTGGATATGTGTCAATGTTGGCCTGTACCACCTCTTCTCTGGTGTTAACGAAGCCGAACGCGAGCGTATGGGTACGACTTTCGATATAATGCGCTCGCACTGTGGGTTGTTGAAGGCGAATGCCGATGCAGCGATGCAGAGCCTTCGTCTATGCTCGGAACCCTCAAGAGAATCGTGTCGAGCCTTGGCGTTACTTGTTAGTATAAATCTTATATGTACTTGTTTACCAAGTAGATATGGGGAAGATAATACTAACAATTCAGGGTACCTTTTATGTCAAAGAAGGGCACAGCACGATTGCGTGGAGGCTGATTAGTGCCGCCGCAAGAGCCTGTTTAGACTTGGGTTTCCATCGTTTATCTGAAAATGTCGGAAGCCAGGACCATGTTCAAAAGGCCTCCGTGTTTTGGCATATTTATTGCTGGGAAAAGGGGTTGGCCATGACAAGTGGACGGACACCTATCATTCACCATTACGACGTGACAACCCCTATCCGAACGGACAGAGTTGATGCTCCAGCAAGGCGAGTCTTCCCAAGGCTGTATTTTTCGGATCTTCTAACGTTAGTAGAGTATACGCTGGTTTTCTCAATCAAGCCATTATCATGGATGAAATTCAACAAACCCTATTTTCGGGGTCGGCGCGACAGGCCTCACAACAGACCCGTTCCGAATATGTGAGAGGCTTTGCTGCTAGGCTCATTAGCATTCTAGATTCCGTTAGATCTGTATGACCTCGGCGTAAACCTCCTTCCGATCTCCCGCTGACATGACTAAACCATCCCTAGGCAACCCAAGCAGATCCTACGTGGGACGAGATGTATGGAGCGGCCGCTTTATTAGTCGAACTTGTATCTCATTCTTTACTTACTATTGTATACCGGATACTCCCACCTAGTTCCGCGCAGCCCCATCCATTGCAGTGCTCCAATGAATGCGTAGATTCGGCACGCAGAGCGCTGTCAAAACTGGTAGAGGTTGGAGATAACGTACTGCGAAAATACCCATCCAATTGGGTGATGTTTCTAAATATGTAAGTTTATGAATAGCCCTCGCCCTTCTATTGCTGATGTGCTTCTGAAGAATATTGTCCCTGGTACCATTTGTGCCTTTCATTGTCTTAGCTGGCAATGCCATCGCGACATCGTCTAGTACTGACCTGAGCCTCCTTTCCTCGGTGGTGTCGATATTAGCCCCGACAGGCGCAAATTCTCCCACAATCCAAAAAGTCCACGATGCTTGCGAGAGATTCGGTCGCATCGCCAACCTCGTAGTATCAAGCGCTAAGAAAAGCCACTTGGGTAGTGCGGGGTACCAAATACAAACTCCTGATCACGATCCAGCTGTAGGGGCTTCGAAGGATTCAGCCATAATACCTAATCCCATACAACCAAGCCTCGTTGATTACGGCTTTCCGATGGCGCAGCAAGATTGGGATAGTGTAATGGTTGGATTTGAGTCGGAGCTCGGAGATTATGATTCCAGGGCCCTGACAAACATCATAGAGCCTTATATCACAAATACAAGTTGGTGATACGGTGGCGTTGGGGCTGATCTCTTAGCGCTGGGGTCCAAGGAAGTCTAGGGGGTGGGCTGTCTGAGACATGATAGATCCCACTACAATAAATTGCCAGGCAGCCTGGCTTTGCTTCAGACTACTACTTCTCTCTACAGATTGACTATATTGTACCTACCTACTGGAATATGACATAGGTGGCTAGGAGTTTACGCCTTGTATTTAATGGGTATATATGTAGGTACCATTTACGACCCATTACCTTGAACTAGCAATTTAACCAACTAATCAACCAATATGATACTCATAACCTGCACTTATTTCAACAGAACCCGCACTTGATATACAGGACCATCCGAATTTTACCGCCATGACCAGTTCAAATTCATCAGCTATAAACATAGGCTTAATCGAGGATTTTCTACGTGATTTTGGTATACCGTCAGTGCCGGATATATCCGGAGTTGGTGTAAGATTATAATGAATGGACAAGATTTATGATACTTGATACCTAATTAAGATTCAATAGGTTCTCATTGGTTTCATTGCCCCAGCTTTCTTTCTACTCTTCGTGGTCTGCATACATTATATCCTCGCTTTTGATCCTACCTTGGACCCATTCAGAAGAAAGGACAACCAAGAAAAGAAGGCGAATCGCCCAAACCCATTCGATCAAATTATACTCAGAACTATAAGGGGTTTTTTTAAGATTAGGGCAGTAGAATTGAGAGAATCCTATATTTATCAGGCTTTCCACACTTCTTTCAATCAAGTATGTTATGGTCGTTTAAACTAGGAAACTTGCTCTTCTGAACTGATAGAAAAGTGTGTTTTAAGTTTAGCTGACACGCAAGCCATCACGGGTCTCTCAATACTTATTGGCAACTATCTTTCTCGGTCAGGGCGTTCTGCCTTCCATTGGAAAATGGTCACCTATTTAGCTTGGTTCTCTTGTGCGACGCATCTCTCGGCATTGATCTTTTTACGGAACTATCTCATCAACCACCCGACCGAAAGATGGTGGCGACTTGCGGCTATGCTCACCTTGTTAGTGTGCCTAGTAACCTCTATGTTGCCAACTGGCCACTTCGATTGGGAGTACTTGACCTGTTCAGATATAGACGTTGCTGGCGATTATTATGAACTTATCATTGGTTCTAATACCCTAGCTCTTCCTTCTGATAATGCCACTTCGTACTTCAATCTTAATTTCGACTATACATCTTCTAGCGGAAGGGATTCAATGATCATATCGATCCTTTTATTAGGATTAGGTTTCATCGCACGGATATTCAAGCTACATCGACGGATTTCATGGTTTGGAGTTGAATCAATCTCAGTCCGTATTATCAACAGACTACTCAAGAGCGCTCTCTTCTTTCAAAGATTCTTCGGCACATCAACTTTGGAAGATCGAGTTGTTTCTAATATTGTAGTCTCGGCGCATGTGACTCTTTGTGTGTGGGTAGATTTATGGGCATCACTAGCTTCTGATGTATGTTCCACACCTTCGTCCCTTTTAGCATTTACTAAAATATTCGGAATTTTCTACTAATATAAAATGAAGGTATTCTGGTTGATATTCTCATTGGCATGGGGGACAATTAAGATTAAAAACCTCAGAGTTCTTTCAACTCGATCGACAAACCAAGATAACTCATGGTCGTTCGGCCAAGTCCTCCCCGTTCTACTCCTGGCTTTGCCATTAATAACTTTATTTGAGCTCTTTCTCAAATCTCTATCTTCAGGTTTGAATGATAACTCTTAGAGCGAGTCTCATTACACATATTAACTACTGGTAATTCTAGAAAAGGACAAAGCGAAGCATACAACATACAATAACCCAACCCGGCAGTTTAGTACGTATAACGCCCAGTACCTACCTAGGTATAGTAAAGGTTTACATTTTCTAATTATGATAATAGATATGGAGCTCAATGATCTTCTAATTGGGCCTGAATCAAGGACTAGCGGCAGTGAATCTGATTCAGAATGGATAATTAGACCAGAGCTCCTCGACACTTACTACGAAGAAAGCATTTGGATGCCTTCGATTGTCCATATATGCAATACATATGTCATTTCAATGGCAGTCTCTCTGTTGGTTCCCGCTTTTGTAATTTTCTATGAATACAGGGATGATGGATTAATAATACCATCTGATACTGCGACAACAGCGCAAAGCTTAATTGTATGGTTCATCTTTGTGCAAGGGGCAACTATTCAACTTGCTATTCTCTTATCATCTCTCACCGAAATGAAATTGAACAACCAAAAAATAATTTGTTGTACTATAACATTTATTACGCTCTTCTTACAAGCTGTATCTTGCTATATTTGTTATCTTACATGGAACGCCGGGATATATGATGAATTTTATGTATACCTCTGGCAATTCTTGTATGTTCTAGTCACGTTTGGGTTGTTCTTGATATCATTAATTGTCAGACAATTATCTATTCTCAAAAGGGCACGGGGGAAGAGATCTCACAGATCACAAGCAGAAGCAGTTGTTCAAATTTAAGGATTTTCAACATAGATACTAAGTTAGGTAGGTGAAACTTTTGCATATGGTGTTCAATATAATATTTGTCTTATTTCTAGCACACATGATTATAATAAGCCAGTAGGTATAGACGCAAGGTGGGCATACCGGGCGGTATATCGAATGGCATTATTTGTCGGATTTAACGCATTACTATAAATGGTAACTAGCACTTTTAGCCCGAAGTTTCGGAGTTATCACGGGAGTCAGGGATTATAATCCTTTTAGTACGATTAACTGTTTTCCCGACCAGATCATCATTTTTCCGTGTCATGTCGATGCGATCCTGTGTACTGCCTGTTAGGTTGAACTTCCAATAGGTATTACTTCAATTGGTAAAAACACTACGCCAATGGCGCCAACGTGCCAAATATTTAGAATCTCGTCATCGCATCTTATCAAATAAGAACATTCATCTCGGTCACATGTTAGGTACTCGAAAAGAGAACAGATATTCAGAATTGGAGCGGCTAGAGTTTCCCCGTTCTAACGTAGAGCGAATGCAGAGTACTCTAACCGAGGTGTAACATCGTTATGTACAAGCAAGTACAAGCTCGAAGCAGGTTCAGGGCTCGGATGAGATTGGCCGAATCTAAGGCCGGTTTCGCTGTTAGTCCATGGTGAACCCTGCAAAGTGCGGATCTGATAACTTTGTCCATGCCCCACTCGCTGACGTCTGTGAGTGATCACCGCCCTTTTCGTTTTTTTATCAGATCCGTGTGGAAATTGGAATCTTCGGGTCCGGCCAAGGATTGCACAAACTGACGAACGGGAATTAGCAGCCAACCTACTAGGTAATAAGTCACTACCCATTCAATTGACTTACCAGCTAACCCGTGAATATTAATGCTCAGCAAGAAAAAAAAGTTAAACAGTCAGGTATCTATTTATTATGTTTACCTAAGTACCTAGGTATGTATCTAATTGCCTAGTAAGTACCACGATGCCCTAGGTGTTGACCATGTGTCGCCCTTGGCGCGAATCGACACAAGCAAGCAAGGTAGACTGTAGTATGGACCCCCGATTGTAACTACTAGGTATGTACCGGTATCCCTACCTTGGGTACTTGTGAATACAAGATGACTAGGGTTACCTTGTCTGCCATTGTCTTTTCTTATTCTTAATTCTTCGGCTCGCCAATTATGAATAAATCCAATGTCTATCATACTCATCAGCCTATTTTTCCAGACTGTGATCCGTGTACCGAGAAGCTGACCCTGACTAACCCTTGACTCCGTTTGAATTCCTCCTTTTTATTTTTTTCAATTTATAACGCAGCTAGCCGTGAGGAAGAGGGAATTATACATCCCATCCTAAACAATTGGGGTACCAAGATTCCTAAAATTCATGTTCTTGCGGTCAACATTTTCCTATTTGAATGCGTCCGCTGCCAGGTTTCCGACCCCGTCTCTGAAATACTGCTGCATCCTCTTCTGCGGAGCAAACGCAACAACTACTCCACGTTTCCACTCCACTTCCTTCATTTCTCCGACAGCAAGGTTCGCAATGGCCTCTAACCTAACAAATGTCAACGCCGCCCGCTCCGAGGCCAACCCCTATAGAGTCCTAATAGCCGGCGGTTGCTACGGCGGTCTAGCAGCAGCTATTAATCTGCTCGAGAAATGCGATACCATTGAGTCGCCCATTCCGGTCGATATCACCATCGTCGACGAGCGCGACGGCTTCTGTATGTGACATATCACAATCACACTACCCACCGTGCATGAACTGCTGCAATCCAGTCCCCGGGCAGCAATTACATCACAAACTCCCACTAATCACCATAATTCTAGATCATGTAATCGGCTCTCCCCTCGCTCTAGCCTCGGCCAGCTATTCCGAGAAGGCTTGGGTGTATTACAAGAACATTCCGATCCTGCAGAGGCCCGACGTGCGCTTCGTGCATGGCACCGTCAGCAAAGTCGACCCCGAGACCAAGACTGCCACCATTATTGAGCAGCCGAACCAGGAGGAACGGGCCGAGGCATACGACTTCTTCGTCGCCGCTACCGGTCTTCGGCGTGTGTGGCCCGTGGTGCCGCAATCGGCCAGGCGAGAGGACTACCTCGAGGAAGCCCGTCGACACATCAGTGCCGTGTCTAAGAGCACCGCGCCCGTATTAATCGTCGGTGGTGGTAAGTAAACCCATCATTACTCATCTCACCAATCTCACTATGAGTTTCTCCAATTCAGTCGAAGCCTTATTCACACATATACAGGCGCCGTGGGTATTGAGATGGCCGCCGAGCTGAAGGAAGTGCAGCCCAACGTCAAGGTCACCTTAGCCCACTCCCGGAGCAAACTCCTGTCAGCCGAGCCGCTTCCCGATAACGTCAAGGACTGCGCGCTAGATCTGACCCGCGAGGCCGGTGTCGAGGTTCTCCTAAACCACCGACTGAAGAGCCAAACCCCGGTCAAGAACGAGGACGGCACCGAGGTCTTTGAGGTGGAGTTCGAGAACGGCCACAAGATGATAGCGAGCTTAGTCGTCATGGCCATCTCGCGCAGCGTGCCAACGTCGACGTACCTACCTTCGGAGACGCTCAGCGAGCAGGGCTACGTCAACATCCGGCCGTCGCTGCAATTCAAGTCCGACAAGATTCGTGATTCGACGAAGCATTTCGCCGTCGGTGACATGATTAACTGGTCGGGCATCAAGCGATGCGGTGGGGCCATGCACCAGGGCAAATACGCCGGCCTCAACATCCACCAGCTCATGCTACAGGAGATCCAGGGCAAGGAGCCCGTCTTCAACGAGATTGCCGAGGTCCCTCCCATGATCGGCCTCGCTGTCGGCAAGAATGCGCTCTCGTACGGCAGCGATGGCGTTAACCATGGCAAGCAGGTGATGGAGTGGTTTTTCGAGGAGGATCTGGGTTTCAGAAGTAAGTCTTTCCACTTTCCACATCCAATACTCACCTTATCTTGATGATTTCGAAATTCGTGGCTAACATGTCATCTCGCAGTCGTCTGGGACCATCTCAACCTCGGTGGTACGAAGGCATGACGGTCTGTCCTTTAGTCTGGGTCTGGGTGGTATCGGCGCAATCGGAGTTAGTAAGGTAAAATAGCACCCAGCAGCGCGCTCATTTACGATCGACACACTAGACAGATCGTGAAAATTTGATGATGTTCTTCAGATAGACCATGATATTTGTTTCTCTGTCTTTTCGTTTTTTTTAAAAAAAATTCCGTGAACATATTGGTCAAAGTATGAAGGCAGTTAAATATTTTCGTAGGTGAATGAATATACAAACATTTAATGAACCGTATTATTTTTCCGCGATGACCAATTTTAGCAGAGATAAGCGCTGACTGGCAGGTATGAATGATGACACCTTTTTTAATCGCTCCCTTCCCCCTCCCTTCCTCGACGCGTAACAATATTGCTACCTAACACGTGACAAACCGCGCTCACAACTTCGGGATTAGCCCGACCAACGTGCCGCCCACGAACTTCTCACTCTCAGCAAGGGGTGCGAGCTGGAAGAAACGTTCGCGGGAGCAAGTCACAAAAGCAGATCGCTTATGCGGCAAGTCAACGAACTTGTCAAGCCCGAAGCCATGCATGAAGTCGTACATAAGCACGGAGCTATTTATGTACTTAGGCTCACCCACGACTTGCATAGTACGAGGGTCATCCAGGAACAAGTAATGCATCAAGCTCGACCACCACGCCGTCACACGATGCGGGCCACGGAACCTTACATCGCCAACAAGCGAATGTCGGCCACGATCGAAGTCTCCAGCGCTATAATACGCGCCCAAACGATCTTCCTAAACACCAAAGCACATTAGTACAACCTCCACAAAACCCCCAAAACAATCTCACGTACCTTAGCCCAATAAACCTCGAAATACGCAAAAAACGTATCATCAAACGCCGCCAACAGCGTAATCTGATGGGGATCCACATGCGCTTTCCTGAGATACTCACGATGCTGCTCCAACGAGCCCGTCTCATTCCAGCCCTGGGAAACCCTCGGATCATTCTGCCACGTATGGAACAAATCCAAATGTTCGGCATTCTCCCAATCGAGGGCAACCATACTAAATGTCTCGCGCAAATGCGGGATCCACCGACTATACACGACGCTCCCCGGACGCGGCTTCGCAGGGCGGCGCGGGTGCCAGGAGAGCGCGCCGGCTTCGGAGGTCATGTTGTGGTCGAGCGGCGTGAGGGGGTACGCGGACAGCGGCTTCGTCAGGGGCGCGGTGGACTCCGGGACCCAGACGCTGCGGGGTCCGAAGGGCGAGCCGGCGCCTTGCCAGAAGGTGCTTCGGAGGACGAGAAGCTCATCGGTGAGACCGGCTGCAGTGGGGTGGTCGACGGCGAGGAGGACGGCTTTGAGTTGTGCTCCGAGAGATTCTTTACCGGGTCCGCTGAGGGTTAGGCGAAGGCCTTCTGTGGACGGGCGGATGGTCAGGAGCACGTATACGACGAGCCAGGCCTGGGCGAGAGTCGGGGTCGTCGAGTCCCATGTTATGGTCGAGCTGGGGGAGCGGCGAGCGCGGCCCCAAGGCGTGTTGTTCGAGTCGGCGGGACGCTCGCTGGACTTGAGGTCCGCGGGCTCGGTGAAGAAGAGGGTGTCGCTGTGGAGGGGTTCAGGTAGGGGCGTGGCGTTCTTCGTCTTGTCTGAGGCGACGGCTTCTTGCGGTTTTACTTGGAACCAAGGAGCTGACGATTCCGAAGGACGGTCTGTCTTGACGAGAAGATAGGGCACGAGGTACGGGTGCGGTAGGCTGAGTACCGGCTCATTTATAGGTGGCGCCGCCATTGCTTACGAGGATTTCAGCTGGACGTGTGGTGTAACGTGAGCGGGAGACGCAATTGGATTATCAGATACGCCTTCAATTGCAGATTTTTCTTCCCGTGATCTTCCTACGAGACTTTTTGTTTATTCGGCTCGATGTAAACACTGGAAAGAGAATTTCTTATTTGCCTAGAAAAGCCGAGTGTTCTCCTTGGCCAGCAAAACTTGAGCATGCATAGGTACAAACTTCCAGCAGGCCTAGGCCGAGTTATTCCGCCATCACCCCGGTACGGGGCTACTCAGCTAGTGTCTACCTAGCTATAGCAGGTAGCTTCACTTACGAGGTAGCATTGTGGTAGCATAAGTACCTCGAAGTACAATACTTTATTCGACTTGCCTTTTTGGAAGGGGGGTTCTTGGTCTTTTGGGTCTTCATTCCCACTTTCCATCTCCGTAAAGGTTCAACGCTCAAAACTTTTTCGTGCGCTAATGCAAGGGATCGTCCGGTCAAACGTCAACTGGTCAACGTGTCTCAACGGTCGCGCAGCTTGATCTTCTTTCTAGCCTAGTCCCAAACTTGACCAGCCGAATACATAAGTAGTACACATCCCCAGCGGAATACACGAGGTATTTGGGGAAGCTTGCGTATTAAGGTGTGTCAGCAAAATCAAGACCATGTCTCTTGGCGGTCTGCAGAGGCGGATCAGATAACTTTAAGCGGATGGATCGGGGACGATACCCACGTTTCGTCGTTTGGAATGATGGGCCAACGGACGGTGCGCGATGGTGGGATGGCTAGCAGCGGATCAGATAAAAATTTCCCAAGTTTCATTTTAATGGCGCGGCCAATCACTTTGTGGGGCGTATTCGGATCTGATAAAAATCATTCTCGGACCGGTATCGGACTGTACTTAGTACTTGAGAAGTACAAAGGTACATCATTAACCCGCCCATTGATGTCATCGTCGTTCATTAAGATGCAAGATGGATAATTAGACTAAATTATTCATTATTCATCATTTATTATTATCAACTATCTAATAATTCAAGGATATATTACCCCAGTGTGACATTGGGACGCATTGCTACTCGAATTGCCTTAGGATCTGGGTACCGAAGTAGTATTGCAGCAGACGCAACAATTACCCGCACGCGTAGTAAAACCCGTGTGCTTGGGAATGCCACGATCGTAGGCGTGATAACGAGAAATATGAGCGCGCCGTCTAATTCAAAGCTTGAAAACACTCGAATAAACGAAATCAAGGCCTGAGAAGTTGATAACCGCACCCGACACATTCAAACTATGATACAGGTTGCAGTTTTCTGAGGAATATCAGGACATTACAGACTTCGGCAAAATTCAAGGTGCCTGGTCTCTCTCACATAGAACGGTATGATTTATCAAGTAAAAGGGAGCTTTGCTCATAATTAATGATAGCTCGAACTAATCCTATCCACGTTATGCTGACATAATCAAGGAGCAATGCTTTAGGTCAATCAACTTGGAAGTGATCTAGCTAGTATTACCCAACTGCCCCGTAACAAGTATCAAGTACCTAGGTATCTTAACAATACTAGGTAACACCATATAAGTATATCATTACTAATCATGCTAGAAATTTCAAATACCTAGTAGGAAGGAAAAATAACTTGGGTGAGAATCGAATCTGCGACGTGACGATAAATATGTACCTAACAATAAAATAATCTACGGATCTATAATCTAAAATAATTAATTCATACTCTTGAGTACTTTCCTACGTACCAAATACCTACCTACCTACCAATTATGTTACCTCATTAACATTCAAAGTTAAAATTTAAATATGAGAAATATTCGTATCGTGGACCCTTATTATCCCTAAACTCCATCGATCGTGTAAAATATTAAAGATGATACCTGTACGTCCAAACTCCAAAGGACTACATCTGAAATGCCCAAATAATCCATTAGGTTAGTTTGGTACTTTGGTACTTACATGTTGGTCTTGTAGTGGTGCAAACTGTACGCAAATACCCCTATTTACTACGTACCTACACATCTTAAATTGACCGGTTGCTTAAATCCGATAGCGACCGATATCCCGTCAAAATCATTGAACTGATATATTTAGAGAGTTTCGAGACCTAGAGAAATGATAACGGGAATGTAAAAAAAAATACATCCTCTATACCATATTAATGGTGGTGTTTAACATTGAAGTCGAAAAAAACATTATTGATTAGCCAATCATATCAGTCAACTGTTTAAAAGTGGAGAATTGCCCCCCTGAAATCACCGATTATGTAATCCTCCTAACAACAATTGTACCATTGACAGTGACAATATTGTGAAGTATTATTTGCGTACCTATGTAGATTGCCCTAGAAGGTAGAAGGTTGAATAAAATTCATTTACAATTAATGTTATAAATACTTAGGAAGGTCTCGTAAATGTATTATTTCATGTACAAGATGGCCAGCATACTAACATACCAGTTCAAACTACACAATATATATATATGCTACCTTAATACATAAGAAATCTCTAGTTTATTGCAATGAACATCAGTAGCCATCCTTCTATTTTTTAGATGGTATTCAATGAGAATAGTAGAAAATACCTAGTAGTACATGCGTACATATTCGTACTTGCGCAGATGTCACGATAATGGCGGATATAGGGAACCATAGAGCCGTAAGCAGGTACCTATTGGCGTTGAGAGGCACTTGTACATGATGGATTTAATGAGTACCCTGGTACGTACCTATGTAAGTACCTAGTAGAACACCAAATTCTATCGCGTCTCGTACAATACCTCTGTAAACTGAGTTGACAATAATACCTGGCAGAATCTGTTGACCGCCCGCCCTACTGATTTCGAGACTCGCTGCCGACCTTAAAACTCCGGCTTCCATTCTGAATTGTAAAACTTCTTTTCCTTTTCTTCCCCACGCACACAACATTGGTTCACAGAAACGTTTACTTCCCAACCACCAACGAACCAACCAGACCAATTCCTTGTGTGTGTAATACTCTGCGCCTGTTGCCGGCGAATTACTAGAAGTAATTCGAGAGTTTTTTAGGCCTTCCGTTTTCTCGTGTGCGCCCTGCCATCACCAAAGATGGCACCCATCGACCTCCGCCTCCCCGCCAAGCCCCCCGCGGTGAAGTTCCCAGATGTCAACTTTAAGGAACTTCACCGAGGAATCGGTATCCCGATTCCCCCGGCTTTCTCTCCTCCCTCTCCTCCCACCTCCTCCCCCCTCGCCACGTCTGCCCCTCTGGGAACTCACCAGACGTCGGCGGGCGACTTGTACCCGTCGCCCGAATCCGCCTCTTCTCTCGAGGCTTTCGGAGATCGTCGACGCCCCCACGACCGACACCGTGGACGACGAGAGAGGTAAGTTCAATATAACTTTCTTATCATATACCCTCACCATACTCATCATACAATTAATTAATTAATTAATTAATTAATTCAATGATGATGGTAATATTTCTTTTCCCTTTGTTCATTCATCCATCAATTAATTTCCATACACATACACACATACACCTCCCACAAATCCATATATATATTCATCTACCCATATACCCATACCCATTCACCAATCCATCCATCTATCCATCCATCCATCCATCCATCCATCCACCCACACATCCATATACCTATCCATTCATCAATCCATTCATCAATCCATCAAACAATTTCTTCACCTCATCACGTGACCAACCTCTCGTCACCGACCCCCCTATCTAACAAAACTTTCCTACAGAGATGTTGCGGCACGCAACCAGGGCAGTAGGGCCCAAGCCTCCCACCGACAACGCTCTCCGTACGAGAGCTCCTCGCCTTGCCAGCGAGGCCAAGTGGGACGCCGCCACCGCTCGACAAGGACTTCTCGCCGAGCATCTCCGCGTTCCCCCTCTCCCACCAGCCACCTCTCTGCCGCAGCCAAAGAGCGGCAAGAAGTACACGAGTACTTCTTCTCGTGCCTGCGCACCGGCAGCACGGAGCTCACGGCAGAGGAGCAAGAATTCCTGGTGGGATACCTCTCGGTGTCGCGGGAAGACGAGCGGGAGCTCGTGCGCGGCCTGGTCAGGCAGCTTGAGTGGTCAGGGTGCAGTGTCGCCCTGATCTACAAGCTCGCCGCGTGGATTCATTTCCACGACGGTTGTGACCAGACCGTTGTCGGGCTCCTGACGAGCCGTCTCTCCCTCCCCGATGCCCTCGATCGGATGAGATCCATCGAGAAGGAGGAGGAACTGGTGATGTGCCGAACTATAATCGGCATCAGCGAGAAGCGGCTCGCTAAGCGAGGCCGCCAGTAGATGGTGGTGGCGAAGGGGCTTGGTGCCCGCCAGCGTTGTTTTTTTGTTTTTCTTTTGGCCTTCGCCTGTGAGTTGGTAAGTGTAACATGATTAGTCATAATAATATTGTGTGAGTATTAGCTAACGGTTTATCAGAGCATAGCTCCTCACCAGGCGTGAGGCTATGCCGCACGAGACGGCAGAGGAAGGCGGGTTCGCACCCCGACCTTCTTGGTTTTCTCCAACGAGAGGTAAGAATACTTGCATATTAATATTAATATTATGTACTTGACATTAGCTAACCTCACTCAACTAGGATGGGGGGATCCCCGTTGGAAGACGCGCGTAGTTTGTTTCGGCTTTCGTCTGGGAGAGGTAAGGACATACAAGACCTTCAAGATATCAAACACATATGCTAATCAGTTGACCAGATGTTTATTCCTCCCCAGGCGTGGGGCTATGCTGAGCTTCGGCCAGCAGGGGAAGACGGGCTCGCTCCCCGTTCTTCTTGCGTCTTTTTTTTCGGTTTTGTTTTGTTTTTGTGTTCAAGATATTCTTGAACAAGGCTGGGATTTTGTTTTTTGCCTTTTTTTATAAATACCTATGGCATAAATTGCCATAGACGAACAGAGTTTTTTTCCCGTTACCTAATATCTAGTATTTGAAGTGATTCGTTAAACATTATAACTATGAGGAGCTAATTAACGGGGCAATTATCCCTATTATCATCTAGTAAGCACCCTCCCGCTTGTTATACGGTGGGCTCTCCACAAGCTCGACGGTCTCCCTGCTCGTCCAAACTGGCACACCGGCTACGAGTTCTAGAGCGGGGATCTTAGCACCACCTGCTTCAAGCGCCCATAGTGAGATGCCGACATAATTCGAGCCGTTATAGTTAAGGATACCTTCTGGGACCGGGAACACAGTCTGAGGTCCGATATTGCTGGCGATTTTACCGTACTGCCATCCATTGACATACAGCTGAGCACGGTAGATGCCGGACGTGGCAGTGTTGTTGGTGAACGAGAAAGAGAGTGGGATATCCCACTCAGCAGAAGGAAGGTTTAGGTCGAATGTAGCAGAGTAAAAACCAACACCGGGCGCGCCAATGCCTTCGAGAGGGGAGTGAGATTCCCAATCAGCTGTTGGTGTACCAGGAAGATGGAAACCTTGGCGTTCGGCGAACAGACCACCCTCATTCAGCGGGCCACGGGCGCGGTCCAAGTAGTCCTCGCCACCAAGATTACCCGTCAACTTCCAAGAAATAGGAGTGTTGGTCGCTTTGGATGTTGCAAGTCGCCATCCTAAAATACCTCGTGGAGCTTTCTCCTCATCAAATCCATGATCTTCATTAAGACCCATGTTCTCTACTACGACAGTAAAGACGTGTTCCGTTCCAGCCTTGAACCCAGGACCAGTGACATCGTATTTTCCTTGGAAGCTTTCGTTTGCTGGGTTGCCGCCGTATGATGAGAGTAGGTAGTCGTCTACCCAAATCGACGCGGCGAATCCAGTTCCACCTGATTGCCAAAGCGCAAAGGTTGTCTCGTAACCTGTGGCATTGAAATGGCCTCGGTACACTAGAACACCAGTATGGAAGCCGTAGTCAGACGCATACGTCGAGACTGGAGTTCGAAGGTATTGATACGTGTTATCAGTAGATGTCTTGTCGGCACTTGGCCATGCCGAGTCGTCGAAACCTGTGGTAATCTCCGGAAGCGAGTCGATGTACTTCCAATCGAGATCCGAGAGCTTAGGAACAGTAAATGACGGGGCAGTTATCGATACATTGGCAACCTTAGCAAGACCTGCTGTCTCTGTTGGAGTCTCCTTGCCATTTATAAAGAGCTTAGAAACAGTTTCCGGAACACCCAGAATCTCAACCTTTGTGGTAGCGTTGAAATCGGCCTTAATGTGTAATTCGTCAGCATCTATAGAGGCAGAGCGTACAAGATAAGGCCCATTGATGATTAGCTTGGAGGTTGTGTTGGCGATATCGGTAGCCCAGTAGTTGTAGGCGGTGTTGCGATCTAGTAACTATTAGTATCATAAAATGTGCTTCAGAGGATAGACAAACCAAGCAAATAAACATAGAGACCGCTGCCAATTTGAAGGATATAACCCTCTGAAGATGCTGTCCAGTTTACTGTGATGTAATCAGACGAGTTGCTGCTTGTGGCCTGGAAAGATGTTCCTCCCGAGATCTTCTTGACCTCCCCGCCTGTCGATCCTTGAATAGCAAATTCATTGTTTTCGCCAGCTCCAGCATATAAAATGAGTACTGTATGATTTTCTTGCTTCACATGTGTGAAGACATCAGCAGTAGAGTAAAGCAACTTGCTGCCTTGAATATCGTAGTCCGTAACGACCACTTTAGAGTCTCGGCCATTTAGGCTGAGCGATTGGTTCAACTGAGGGACAGTGAGAGTTCCTTTGGAGGTAGGTAATTTTAGGCGGTACTGAGTCGACGCGAAACTGGAGTAGTTGGTATGTCGTACGATGAAGAATGAGGCATCATCTGTGGTGTTTCCAAGCACAGGAGTAACGGTTATATCGGGGTTGTCGCTGTATATGCTGGTAGAGCTGTTACCAGGGGTTGCGGTAAGATATCCAGGGCTCGACACCAGGAAGGTCGCTTGTAACTTCAACTCTGAGTATTTTTCTCGGGTAACAGTTCGATCCTCCTTGATAACACTACCATAGTCATATGAAGTGTATCCACCTGGGTGTCCTAGGTTGCCCCAATTGGTGCCACCAAAGATCATGTAAAGGTTGTAAATTGTTACACCCTTTGTTAAAATGTTAGATAGTTTCCCCATCACCATCATTTCTTAGGAATTGATGCTTACTGCAGCGTAGTTGTTCTTGTAGAACACTCGTTCGAATTCATGGTTGACGAGCTCGCTACACTATTATTTTGTTAGTCGAAGATCTTGAGATAAACTATCAGAATTACTTAAACATACCTGATCAAAGCCCCAACCGCCCCAGGGATCGAAAGACCCTCCTTGGAACTCGACAATGGAATAAGGCGTAGTTGGACTCTGCTTTAAATGGAGGCTTCTATACGTTGTGGGGAGGTTATTCGCAGGCCACACTGTAGGATGCGCGCAGTCGAAGCCTAGGGGGTATCCATCATGTCCGTATATGTCGACCTCGCCTTCTCCAGTTCCTGGAGCATTGTGTCCTGCAGCGCTAGCATCGTTGCTAATGAAAGGAACGACTACACCAGCATCTCGAGATTGCTTCATGACATATTCCATGTATGATCCATCGGGGAAAGGAATAAAAGGTTCGGCATTCGTATACTCATTCTCTGGCTGGATCAGAATAATTGGACCGCCATTCGTGATTTGATTTTGCGCAATTATCTTGGCGATGTTCGACATGTAAAAGTCGGTCGCATTGAGGAAATCTGGTGCAACAGTCCTAAGGGAGCCACGATTTCTTTGCAGCCAGCCAGGGAAACCACCTCCGCTGACCTGTTGGGGTTCTTTTTAGCTAAATGTCTCAGATGACTCGACCCGAAGCTTCCTTAAACTTACTTCGGCATTGATGTAAGGGCCGGGCCTGGCAATGAGGTAGATTCCAGCCTTTGTAGCGGCGTCGAAGAACGGCTGGAGATCAAAAACACCATCTGCACGGAATTCACCGGGCTTTCCTTCTAAAAGAGCCCAGTCGACATAAAATGAGCAGGCATTGAATCCAAGTGCCTTCACTTTCTGCAAGAGATCGATCCATAGTGATGGGACAGGAAGTCTGAAAGGGTGGATCTCTCCGCTGAAGATCATCACCCTCTCACCGTGGACAAAGAGCGAATGGGAGTCCCAAGTAACAATGTCTTGGGCAAGCGATCTCTTCTCGGCATATTCCCAGATCATAGCATCCGGTCGCCCTCCAGAGCCAAATGCATGGCTTAGGAGAGCGTGGACGGCGACAGCCAGAAACAATGGCGACCTCATTGCCAATTCCTACTGTAATCCGAAGAAATCCGGTAACTCGGAAGTGGTGAAGAAAGAAAAAGAAAGCTACATTCTGACTATTTATGTAGCTACAGCAGCTGCCTTGCAAGCCCGGGTTACACTCGCATCGGAGCTCACCTGGTTCGTCATACAAAGAAACCCCTGACCTGTAGCCGGGTTGGGGTATTGTGGGGTAACGAGGGCGTAAAGATCGGCCACACACGGCCGTATTTGGTCATATTTGGAGATCGTTGGAGATGACAAACTACCCCATCCGGTTCACAAGGAGAACAAAATAGCAGAAAAACAGGTATGTTTGTTGGACCGCGGCACGGCACACATGGGCGAGTTTGTAAGAGGATCTTCGGTGAGGGATCGGACGGTGTAGAAGGATCATCCCCACAGCGGCAGCGTAACGTTAACGTCGTAACGAGAAACGGAATAATAACAGCTAAGCTTCCAATAGGACGGCTTATTTGTTGCTTATTTTTCAATAACAGGGGTTCTCATTGATCAATTCCTTCGGGTTGACTTCATCGTTCGGTACATCCCATCCCGCCAACGCGGATCTAGCTCACAAATTTCGTATGATTGTCGTGCCTTATTTCCTATAGCGAACGAGTGACTCGATCTAGATCTGGAAGAAAAGACGAATATTCCAGTATTTTGGCTAACCGACGCGCCGTAGATCATTCCGGAAAATCCGCACATTGGTGCGCATAAGAGTCTCGCATTCTTGTGAGCTCTCGCATCATCGGATGAGCTAATAAGTCTCAGACCCGAGGTATATGTACCTAGTATGCAAGATGGGTTTAATTTCCGTCGATACAACTCATGTAGGTATTAATGTTTGGCTACAAACATGGAGATATAAAGATGGAAGAAGGGTTGAAGATTGCTAAAGTTAAGTTAATGAAACAGTGTCCAATTAAATGACTTGAACATCTTAATAATACTAAAATGCACTATCCCCTCCATTATGTAAACAGCGCCTTCCAGCAGTCATGACCCCTGTAAAAGTCGCGTTTAGGTGAAGCAGGGTATACATAACCGAGGTGTATTATGTAATTTCTTTACTAAGCATATATTACATAATAATGTTTCCGATTAGGTAATCTCTAAAATTCTCATATTTCAAAGTTCTTTTATGTTTTTATTATTTCTAAGCTAAATTGAATTGAAATGAGGGGAAGATGACATAATCTCTTTGATTACATAACACACCAGTTCCAAGATTCCAACTTCGAAGGTCTATGCTTGAATTTACTTCACATTCCAGAATCCAGACACTTCAGAATTACAGCACATCTACGCCTACGACCTTCAACACTTCATCGCGCAAAATGTTGGTCACTTCCAAGGTCCATAAATATGGAATTTGAGAGATCCATAAGTCGCGACAGACATCCATGAATGCCCTTCAATACATTTATCATATTTCGTCTTTCGGCAGCCGTTAGCTGTAACGCCAACCGCAAACTCTTAGCCGCCAACTGGTACCCTTCAATTTACCTCAGTACGCTCTTCACATTAAGTGGGTATTGTATAGCATATCTTGATTTTAAATTGATAAAACCCTTTTGTGAGTAGTTCTTATTGATTTGGGATTGTTATTATTCAAAGCCTGAAACCTTCTTAGGTTAAATATTAGGAGACATAAGTAAGTGAAGCTGATGGCTGATTTGAAGTAATGCGGCAGCTGTTCTGGCAGCTGGCATCTGAGCCAAAATGAGTGTCTCGCAGCTGACAAGGACTGGTGCATAGAATATCTCTTGAAAGGTACCTCTAGACTGACCTCTCTAGGAAGCGTATCTCTTTTTTCTAATTAGACGATTGCCATATCAATCTAACTAACTTTCTTATGGTGTTGCTTCCCGGAATCTATGGCTCTTAAGAAGCTTGATATCCTAGCCACAGCCACACCACGATCATCGGAATACACCATGCCTTACCAACCTATCCTAGGCTAGCGACTATGAACGCCATTCTTTTTTCTTGGGTGTAAAATCTAACTGGGTGGATATAATGAACCATCATCTCAAGAAATATGACATTGAAGGCGTGTGTATGGGTTTCAGCAAGTTCAGAAAGCAGGGCCTGGACGCTTGGATAAAAGATTCCCGACGAGCTCGAAGGACTCTTCCCATCCCAGGGGAAAAAACGGAAATATGATGATAAATTCCTACTTCGGCCTATTTCACCCCTCAATAAACAAGATAGAGCAAGGTGTATTGGTATATGAGGAGATTACGACGGTTATTGGGAGGATCAGAGCATGCCAATAGCTCTGGCTCACTACTAAGTATGCCTCTCATGGTTCGTTCAAGGCCACATGGTCTTTCAACCACAAAACGAAGGAGGGAGTAAAAGAAAATATAATTATTCTTGAACATACATCTAGGTGCTCTACTATATATACCAAACAACTATCAGACACCATTATCGTCGCCCCATTTTCAACATTTTTACAGCCACAAAGTTCCTCAAATTGCTTAACGTGGCACTCCCCGTTCTACCCCTTTACTCAGAGATTCCAAGCATGCATGGGACCTCACCATCCTCTCCAGAACAGCCTTTACAGCTTCTCCAACCTTCTCGTCCGAAGAATCTCCTCCCCAAACCTCGCCATCTCAAACTTCTTCACCTTCCCGCTCCCTGTAAGCGGGACCACCTTCGGCACACCCGCCTCACCAAGCCAAAACACATGTGCGGGCGCCTTATGCCGACCCAGCTTCTGCTGCACCCACTCCCTAACCTCCTGATCCGTCGGTCTTTTCCCCTCTCCCTCCTCCGCAACCTCCAAGAACGCGCCCACAACCTCCCCATAATGCGCATCCTTAAGCCCCGTAACCACCGCCCCACTAATCTTCGGGTGTTTAAGCAGACGTTCCTCGATCTCAAGGGGATAAATATTCTCTCCACCACGAATAATAATATCCTTAAACCGGCCCGTAATACTACAATACCCCGCATCATCGAACACAGCCTCATCACCAGTCCTCAGCCAAAGCACACCCTCTGCATCCCGCGCCATGACCTCGGCCGTCTTCTCCGAGTTATTCCAGTACCCAGCCTGGAGCTGGTACCCCGCAATACACAGCTCGCCGCGCTGGCCAATCGGCACGATATTCCCATCATGGTCCACGATCTTCGCCCTTGCATGCGGCATCAGCGTTCCCACCGTCGTCAACCTCCTCTCAATCGCATCATCCGTAAACGCATTAAAGCAAGTCGGACTTGCCTCCGTCAACCCGTAACTACTCGTGAACTCCGTCATGCCAAAGCGATCAATAAGCAATTCCATCAAATACCTCGGCACGGGAGCGCCGGCGATAATGCCCGTGCGCAGGTTCGCGCAGTTGAAGCCCGGGGGCGGCTCCAGGCTGAACAGGGTGTCGAACATAGCCGGGACGCCGTGGACGGCGGTGCAGCGCTCGTCGGAGATGGCGCGCAGGACAGCGGCCGGGTCGAAGGTCTCCTCCGGGTACACGATTTTCGCGCCGTGGGTGATCACCGCCATCATGCCTAGCACGAGGCCGAAGCAGTGGAATAGTGGGGGCGGACAGCAGAGGATGTCGTCGGGAGTCAGACGCATGCGGTCGCCGATGAAGCGCGCGTTGTTCACGATGTTGTGGTGGGTTAGCATGGCTGCTTTCGGGAGCCCGGTTGTGCCGCTTGTGAATTGCAGATTGCACACGTTGTGCGCGAGGACCTTCTTGCTCACGCGGTTGACGTCCTCGGGGTTGATGCCGCGACCTTGTTTGATGAGGTCTGCGTACGTTGGGTAGGACCCGGATTCGCCTCGTAGGATAACGATGTTGGGGCCTTGCTTTTCCTTCGCGAGTTCACCCAGGATCTTGGTGTTGTCTGTTCTTCCGATCTTTTTTGTTGTGAAGAATACCTTACAATCTAGAAAACGTTTAATAATCACGTAATTGGTTGGAACTTAGTGGAAGATAGCTTACCAGAGAACTTCAACGCGTACATCGCTTCCGTCGGCGTGTATGTGTTGTTTAGGATCACGAGGATAGCACCAATTCGGGTGACGGCGAAGAAAACCGCAGCGTACTGCTCGCAATTACCGGCCATGATACCAACGCGATCACCAACTCCAATCCCGAGCGACATCAACGCCCTCGCCAACTGAGAGCTCTGCTGATTCAGCTCATTGTACGTCCACCTAGCACCCGTCCATGGTGTGACGATACACTCCTGGCTACCATGGTGTTGACATTGTAGATCCAACAGCTCGCCGAGTGTCAAATCTACCAATGGAGGGTCTACCGGTCCTTCCAAATACGACAACTTCTCCCTCTGGAACTGAGGATTTGGAGAGGACGAGGGGACAAGCGATTGTGTAGACATCTCGAAGGATCGTTGGCGCGAGGAAGAGGAGGGTGTGTGTGACTTGTCTAGTGTAAAGATACACAAGACTTCTCCTCCTATCGGGATCTTCACTACGCACTCGAGCTATGTATGAGAATAGAAGAATCAGGGTCTAGCCTTGCCGTGATCTTCCTTTCGAAGGTTCCAAAGAATGTCGTGCGAGGGAGCTAACCAGACATGCAGAACCCGATCTCCATACCCATGCAACCTGTCTTAGCTGCAGCTGTACCTAGTATACACGGGCGGGCCTGACAGCGGATGTCAAAATACGACTTCACGTACGCAACCTGACAAATTTCTCGGCCGCCGCAGGAATTATTAACGCACTAGTAGCCTTGGGATATGTGTTCGATGCTTAGCAGTCGATCCCTCATAAAATCCAAACAACTAAAAGTCCATAGTCCAAATGAGAGAACAAGTCCCACCAGTCTCGGCGATCGTCCTTCGTCGAGCTACCTGATCATCTTCTCGAAGAAATCCTTAGCCCACCTTAAGACACGAGGCTTCTCGGTGGGTAGTATCCGTACGTAAGAACGAGGCTAATAAAAGACAAGCGCATGAAACCGACAGAGGTAATAACCAAGTAGGGGTAGCGACCGAGCAAAAAAATTTCCCTCCCTGGTCCATGTACGTAGCACCATCAGATTTTGCTGGGACCGGCTTTGTTCAACAATGAAGCCTGTGGGTCTCAGACGGGAAACAAGAAATCTAATCATCGGATCTGATAAGATCAATCAAAAAGAATCCCGACATGGTCAACCAATCGTGATCGTACCTGGCCCCGTACCATAGTTGCATCCGGTTGCGAGATCGGAGTGTGCGAAGGGTGGGATTGCAGCTCTTGCCCGTTATAGTGGAACGTCCAACCTACCGGATCTGTTATGACGGCTGTCTTACCTGCCCTAGATGGCAACCTATGCGTGGATGCTATACAAAAGAGTACATAACCGGTACTTCCAGATACTCTGCAGTGTATTTCCTTCCCGATGTACCCACCGATATAATTACTTAATTAGCATAGTTAGTCCAAGCTAGTGCAGTGACTAAATTTTATGTTTCTAACTCGAATCGTGTTCAGATTGATATTATACATGATGCATAATTCTATGTGATTAGCTCTGTTGCGGTTTTGTAGAAATTTGAGCATTCCGAAAAAAAACTTCACGATACTTCAAAAATCGTGTATCCTATCAAAACAAATGCCAGCGTTACGTTACGCCGTCGTAAGCATAAGCATAGATGTGTATCTCTAATGTAATGTACGCCAAGAAACGCAATTCTATACGATACGTCATAAATCATCACAGCACAGTCCCTTTAACCTGCTTGGACTGGCTTACTCTGACGTCCCTCCATATACTCACTGCAAATATCTCAAAAAGGGATATAATCGTCCCCGTAATGCACATCCGTCTTTGCGCTTCGCCGTACGCGAAGATAATAGCATTCCGGGTCGCCGAACCCAAGGGATGGCTTAGTTGCTCCTTTAAATCTTGCCCGAGATGGACCAGTTCTTCAGGCGATAATTGGGGCAACTGCTCGGCGAGGATTCGTGGGAGTGTCGTGTTCCAAATCGCACCGCTAAGCGAGTTACCTATAGCTGAGCCGATATAGTAAGCGAGCCCTAGGATAGCCATGACAGAGGCCAGCTCTGCGTGGCTCGCGACGGCCTGCACGGCTATCTGTTCACACATAACGAGAGTGCTGCCGCCAACAGTGATCATAATCTGACACATGATAACCCATGCAATATGGGTCTCGGGTGTTCGGAAGACAATCATCAACGCGCCGCCAACTAAATGTACCGGAAGAGCAGATAAGGCGAGCCACTTGAATCTGTCCGATCGTCTAATCAGGTATCCAACAGCCACGGACCAGATGCACGAACCGAGGCCGTAGATGTGGCCAACATATCCAGCTTGGGCGACGTTCAAGTTATGCACAACTTGTAGGTACGACGTATAGTACCCATCCCATGCGAAATAAGCGATGAAGATTGTGATGGACAGCAAAGCAGACCCTGCTACATTCCTCGAGCAAAGGAGCGAAAATCTTATAAACGGTCGCTTTGTCTTGCGTTCGTGGACACCGAATGTGATCAAGAAGAGGACGCCGAATATAGGAGTGATAGCAACCGAGCTGTTAAACGAGGCTTCAGCACCGTGCAGCGAAAATGGCACCAGAATCAAAGTCAAACCGGCGGCGGCGAGAAACATCCCCACAGCTACTAGAAATTAGCTACCTGCTAACGTTGTGGGACTCAATACATAAATCGTCAACCTACCGTCAAAATCAATCAACGCTTGTCGCAATCTCGAAAGAGTCCATGGTCTACTTGGAGAATCGGCAAGAAGACCGAGTTTTCTCGCTTTACGAGCATTAACGGCGAGGATGGAAAGTATCGGCAACGAAAGCACGACAAAAAGTGTCGCGGAGAAACCGAATGCCCATCTCCAAGTACTCCCGTCCAGGAACGCCTTGGCGATGATGGGACCAACAAAAGTCGTGATCAGAGTCGGAGAAGAATTAAATGCAAACGCGAGAGTCCGATCCCTCAAAGACGAAGTATCGGCGATAATAATATCGAGGACGTAGGTGAAGCCGCTGATTCCAGTTTGGTAGATGACCTCGGCCGCGGCGTAAGTCTGGACATCCTGGCAAGCGGCCATTAGCACGAGGCCGAACGTCGCAAGCGCGATCATAACTGCGAGACCCTGCGGACGGCCCCAGGAATCGATCATCTTGGCTATCGGCAACTTGAAGATACCACTCATTATAGATGCCACTATCCCGATCGTCGGTATTAAAGAATGAGCGCTAAATTCGCTGACGACGAACGGCGTCAGGTTCGACATGATCTGGTATTGTAGGGTATTCGCGAACGAGCACAGGAATATGCTACGGCGCGATAAACGGTCAGCAAGAAAGAACTGCGACCCCGATTGCGAAACCTATATATCGCTCGTTTTCTGTGTTGTGGTTACGACTTACAAGCAGTATGCTAGAATGAGCGCAGCTCTCGACCAAACCTGATTGATGGCATCGGCCTGTCTGATACCATTTTGCACCGGGGCATCCGGTGCCTCATCATCTTCTCTCGGATCGATAGTAACTATCGTGTCATCTTTGCTTGAATTAGATCCGTACGATCCACTCCGGTTATGATTGCTACCTTCGCCATTACTTAAATCCCGACCTAGCAGCGGCTCCTGGCTGCCGCTGTCTTCCATATTGAACGATGGAGATGGTGTACCGGTAACACGTCGATGGAGGTTTGACATATCATAACCTCGAAGGAAGGAAAAAGATTAGGGTAGCAATACAGCAGGGTGCGCTAACTTTTATTGAGGAAGAGATATGTATGTCTCAGGATTCTAGGTAGATAGGCAGATAATAACAGTCATCAGGCCACCATGTACCATGTCAGCTGGTAGGATTTCAGCTCCCCCTAAACAGGGCAAAGGCACACACGGGGGGTGTTGTGGTGCCTTATTCGCGCAGCTTGAACCCGGCGGGGCTTAGACACAGGGGGGTCTCGCAGGTCTTGCGCGTACTTATTCCGCAGTGCTGTATTGTACAATGCTAAGTATAGAAAAAGAAAAGAAAAATCAATCATAACATTTAGGTTGATGTGGTAATACAAGACAATCTCACATTCCAAAAAATAGTCCGGCTGATTTAACTCAAACTATCACATGAGGCGATCCGGATATTAGGCAGGTACGTCGTCGGACGGGTAAGGTCGAAACTCTAAAGGCCAAAAGCCAAAAACATCATCGCATCTCGCCTTAACGCGGTACATGCTAAAATGAACGAAGCGACCACCCATCTTAAAAAAAGATGATGTGTTGTCCTTGTGGGTCGAAGACCAGTAGCGCGGTCTCTAGCGCCATCAGATAATGAAATAAATTAGAATAAAGCAAAGATCCACATCCTATCTCGGATTAGTGCCGGAAATCTTATCAGATGCTGCATGCCAAGACTTCGAAACAAGCCATCGCCTCCCAGGACATGACTGGAAATGCCAGGACCTACCTCACCAAGGTTAGTGGCTGCAGTCACCCCCGTCCTCGGAGCCAGGGCATCCTAGGGCATCGCAGGGCATCCCTAATGTGCCTTATGCCCTCTCCCTACTCTCGCGAGTGTACAGATTTGTACTTTCTTCATCTTGGTATTTGCGTTACATCATAGAAACTACTGCATAGTAAATACCGACGCAAACTCGCCGAAATGAGAAGGACTCTTTTCGTTATTTGGCTTGTGGACTCCGGCCCTTGGCTCAATTCTAGTAACTCTAGCCCTTTAGCCTCGTATCTCCACTGGTTAGTATTCGTAGTGCTGTAACATTAGTATTAGGAATTGATTGCGGGACATCATGCTACCGAGTGGACCCTTGGGGTTTGGCTCCGTTGAGGAGAAAATGGAAAAAAACTCTGATGTTCTCGAAGATCATGTTGAAGATTTCCAAGGTTGTTCTTTCTACGTTTCTGCATCTTTCCCGTGCGGTACGTTAGACGTCTTCCGAACCACAGACTTCTAAATGGCGAAGGATTCTGTATCAGATCCCGCGATGGATGTCGTGCCTCGCAGCAGTGGCTCGAGTAACAACGGAAGCGGAAATGATTCGATTTTTAAGACAGTCGGGGAAAGGGCGTCACATGTAAATCACCAGCATCCAACTTACCACATGCACAGTAACCGATAAAACTAACTGATCGAATTTTGAAGGGCGTACGAGGACTCTTAGGATATTTCCGCCTTCTTACTTGCGCCGAACCGAGCAAGGTAGACATTGCATTGCTGGTAGTTGGTGCGATCTCATCAATTGCAGCCGGTATACCGTTCCCGCTTCTCGGAATCCTGTTTGGACAGCTATTGGACGACCTTGACTCTGCAACATGTGCATCCCAAGAATCCATCTCGCCTGCCGAGTACCAGGACTCGGTCAACTCGAAGGTCTTGCTGGTAATGGCATGTGCTCTAGCCCAGATGGCGCTCGTTTACACCTATATCGTCTGCTTCAATCTATTCGGCGAAAGGCTTGCTCACCGACTACGAGATCGGTATTTTCGTTCCCTGCTTCGCCAGGAGGTATCTTTCTTCGACAAGTTGCCCGCTGGAGAGGTTTCCTCGCGTCTCAGCGCCGATATCAATGTCATTAAAAGCGGCACATCAGAGAAAGTCGGAGTATACATGGGTTCGCTCGCTATGTTCATCACCTCCTATGTCGTGGCATTTATCAAAGATGCAAGACTTGCTGGTATCTTGGTCTCCTTGGTCCCTGCATTCATGTTGATGTCTTTGGTCGGTGGCCACTTCGTCGGAAAGTACACCGCCGTGGCATCGCAGCACGTCGCGGCTGCATCATCCATCGCCCTGGAGAGTTTGTCAAATGTGATGGTTGTACATGCGTTCAGAGCCAACGATCGGCTAGAAGAGAAGTTTTCCAAGGAACTTGTTGCCGCAAAGACGGGCGGAGCGAAGAAAGCTATGGTATCCGCTATACAATCTGGAGTACTATATTTCATTGCTTATGCGGCAAGCGGATTGGCATATTGGCAAGGAAGCAAGATCATCGCAGATGTTGTTGGAGGTAGAGCAGAGGGCGTGACGGTTGGCACGGTATACACAATCATCTTTCTTCTTGTTGACGGTAAGTTTTCTCTATGCAGCGAACATAATGATCTCGTATTGACTTTCTAGCCTCCCTTGTGCTTAGCCAAATATCGCCTTACCTGCAAATCTTCGGATCCGCCACTGCAGCGTTAGAGAAACTTGAGGTAGATATGGAGCGCCGGTCTAAAATTGACGGAACTATTGCTCTAGTAGGCGACGATTTCGAATCATTCGAGGGCGACATCAAACTTGAAAACGTGGACTTCACCTACCCATCTCGACCGGACGTTCCTGTGATCCAAGGTGTCTCGCTTCATTTGCCGGCCGGCCAACACACTGCAGTCGTCGGTTTATCTGGAAGCGGAAAATCCACAATTGCTGGTCTACTGACTCGACTATACGACCCCGATAAGGGTGTCGTGTACGTGGACGGCCGAAATATTTGCGATGCTAACGTGCGCCAGTTACGGAGTTTCATTGGCCTTGTTCAGCAAGACCCCCTACTTTTGGATCGATCAGTCCTGGAGAACATTGCTCTTGGCCTTATAAATTCATCGCGTCCGGAGCATGCGCCTTTGCAATCAGTCCTTCTAGGTACTCAGTTATCTTTGATAGCCGAATCTGTGCGAGCCGGAATGGATATAATAGCCGCAGCAGAGCCTCATGGCGAACAGGCACTTGAAATCGTAAAAATGGTTCAACGGGCAGCAGATCTTGCTGATGCCGGGGTCTTCCTAGGTCTTTTGGAATACGGTCTTGGTACAAGCGTCGGTCCTAACGGTGACTTGCTAAGCGGTGGACAGAAGCAACGAGTGGCACTAGCAAGAGCTCTTGTCAAAGACCCAAAGATTCTTATCTTAGATGAAGCAACCTCGTCCCTCGATTCGGCAAGCGAACAACGCATCCAGGGGGCTATCGAAAAGGTTTGTGTGGGCAGGACAGTTGTATCGATCGCACATCGCTTAGCGACCGTAAAGAACGCCGACAACATCGTCGTTATGCGCAATGGAAAGGTTATGGAGCAAGGCAGTCATCTTGATCTGATCGCAAAAGACGGCGACTACGCTGCTCTCGTCCGGTTGCAGAATATGGGTTCGGAAACCTCGAGCGTTAGTACCGCCAGGGGAAGCCTAACAAAGGACGCGAATCACTCGGAAATCGACTTGGAAAAGGTATCGGACACTCTCACGATCGCCGACGAGAAAACACAGGAGGTAGCCGCGTGCGAGACCGAAAAAGAGACGAAGAAAGAGAAAGAAGAAAAAGCACCTGAAAAATCGAGGCCAACATGGGCAACAATCAAAAGCATGGCCTCTATAACTCGGCCTCATCTATTCTGGCTGTTTGTCGCGTTGTTCGCGTCTGTAATTGTCGGCGGAACTTATTCTTCAGCAGCGCTGATTTTCGGTCACACGATTGGTGCCCTCAGCCCTTGCAATTCTGAAGACTCTATCAGAGCGGCGGGTAGCTTCTTCGGCCTGATGTTCTTGGTACTTGCTATTGCTGAATTCTTTGCCAATGGGGTGAGCTGGTCAGCCTTTGGCTGGGTGTCGCAAAAAGTTTTATACACGATCAGGGTCCTTTCTTTCCGTTCACTGTTTGAGCAAGACCTTCAATGGCATCAATCCGAGAATCGTACCCCGTCATTATTGTTATCATACATAACGAGCGATTCGGCTGCTGTTGAAGGCCTGACGGGTTCCATTATCGGGTCCATGTTTTCCATCTGCATCAATTTCCTCGTTGCAGTTATCCTGACACTTATCATCGCCTGGAAAATTGCCATCGTCTGTCTTGCGACGGTACCGCTTATGCTGGGCTCTGGAATAATGCAGATCCGTATCCTCACTAAGTTTGCGGAGCGACACGAGAAAGCGTTTGCAAAGTCCGTAAGTATCACCGTTGAGGCTGTTAACTCGATCAAGACCGTCGCTGCACTATCTCTAGAGCATGAAGTCCTCGAGACATACCGTCGTTCGCTCTCGGCTCCGCGGAAAGAAATGACGCGTTCGAGTCTGTGGGCCAACCTCTTCCTCGCAATCGCCTTCAGTCTTTCGAATCTTATTTATGCTTTCATCTATTGGTGGGGAGCAAAACAGATTATTTCAAGCCACTATACACAGGTCCAATTCTTTATCGTCTTAATCGCGCTTCTTGTCAGCGCACAACTCTGGGGTCAACTTTTCACACTTGCGCCCGAGATCACGAAGGCCGGTAGATCGGTAGGACGGATCTTCGATCTGATCGACTTGGGCTCATCGAAAACATCTTCTGTCAAACATTCTGACTCTCATGATCCGGAAGCTGCAGTCGAATCTAAGAGAGCCGCGGTATCGAATGGTCAGGGTCTTGCAGTGAGCTTCAAGCAAGTAAAATTCTCATACCCGGCGCGACCGAATCGACGAATTTTGAAGGGATTAGACATCGACATTCAACCAGGACAATTTTGCGCTCTCGTCGGTCCTAGTGGTGCTGGTAAATCGACCGTCATCTCGTTGTTAGAACGCATGTACAGTGTCGAGTCAGGTAGCATCGAAGTGGATGGTCTAAATATTTCGGCTAAGAAAGAGCCCATTTTTCGCGACGATATTGGTTTAGTGCCACAAGATAGCGTCCTTTTCGACGGTACCATCCGGTTTAACATCGCACTCGGAGCGCGCCCTGGCGAAGAGCCATCGGACGCAGATATCGAAGAAGCATGCAAGTTGGCCAATATCCACGACACTATCGCTGCTCTACCGGACGGCTACGAGACACAGTGTGGACCTAGCGGTGGGCAACTGTCAGGTGGGCAAAAGCAACGACTCTCTATTGCAAGAGCTCTTGTACGCAAGCCACGTCTCTTGCTCCTAGACGAGTCAACTAGCGCCTTAGACGCAGAATCGGAGAGGTTGCTGCAGGACGGACTGGAGAAGGCAACGCGGGGTATAACAGTCGTGGCCATCGCGCATCGACTACATACAATCCGCCGTGCCGACGTGATCTTCATGATTGAGGATGGACAATGTGTCGAGAGGGGTACACACGAAGAGTTGTTAATTCGTAGCGAGAGCTATCGTGTTAATGTTCTGCATCAAACTTTGGATGGTTGATAACGGGCCGAAAAGGGCTTTCAATCATGTCGTATATATATGGGACTTTTCTTTTTCTAAAAAAAAAATTAATGGGATCTGTTGAGATCTCTCGGTAATGGTATGTTCATAGAGAGGCTAAGGGGAAATGGATTGCATGGGGAATACATAGAATAGTACGTGTGTACTGCATATTGTACATACATACACCTGTAATAAAACGTGTTATGATTATTTAAGAAACGATTATGACCATGATTAGACTAACTGAAGTTATCACGAGAGAATGGCCAGGTCTATCACCGCTTCGTTTTTGTTTTTGTTTTTGTTTTTGCATCGAAAGAAATGAGTTTCAAGGCTTTGGCTTGTAGGAATTAAACTCTGGTATGTTTCCGAGTCTCAGAACTCCGAGACCGAGGCCGAGCCGTAGGTGAATTCCATTTGTTCATAGTATATTATGTAATCATGGCATATTAAGTTTTTTCGTGTTTAAGAATTACGCGAAACTCTATTCTTTGCGAAGAAAACAAAAGTTATTCTCAATTATCTTTTCTTAACTCTATTCTTCAATTCTTTCTGTTCGATCCGTTACTCATTTACTACAAATCAATAATTTCGTAAATCAAATATCCCATACTCTGAAAACAGCATTTAATAGGAGTGGGATGCCATTTCAATATTCGATCCATTGCCTCGGCATGTCTAAAATTTAGCTGCAGCATTAGAACCTATCAGAGCTGTCTGGCTTTAGGGTTTCGGTTTTGCCCTGTTTTCAACTCTTTATGGCGATCCAGTTTCGCAACCATGAGGTGTCTCTCATGTAATAATTCCCAAATCCTCTCTGACAAACAAGACTACGCATCAATTTTTCATCTTATGTGGTCCAGTTAGTCCTTAGCTGCAAGGGAACTCATATCGGGGCACATGATGCATCTCCCACTTCCATTCCACCGGACACCAGCGAAAGAGCTGAGAGGCTGGAGGACAGCGAAGTCCCACCCCCGCTGAGTGGTTGTGGACTGACACTGGCGCGCTGTAAAACCCCCTGTCCCTTGTCCGTCACCCGCTGCCCAGAATCATACGACTAGCTACCGCCAGAAGCTCGAGTCTAGCCCTATCCGTTTCCATCCATCTCCAAATTCCAGACAATTCCTTCATTTGCAAGCGAAACTCTGCATAGTCCGTGCATAGCTGGAGTAATCCGCTGAAATGGAAGTCAACATCAACATGCAGGTAGTCGACATCGCATATTCCATTTCCCCGCGTTTGAATCTGTGCGTATCGGACACTAATTCCCCAGCTTCAAGATGCTCTAATAGGAAATATCTTCGAAACGCAGTGACGCGGATGGCATTCGGGATGAGTAAACGGCACCGGCGGGGTTCCGCGCGGCCGAAGGCTCGACGCTATCTAGAACTTTTGGACCCTAATCTGCAACGCTAAGCAGGGCACCTTTCCAGACTGCCAGACCTGAGGCTTGTTGGCCAGTTGTACTATGTAAAAGTGGCGCGGGTCTGGTGAGGATGCTCCGGCCGGAGCCAGATCTGCACCATAAGCACGAGCCAAAGAAAGCGCCTGACATTTTTTTGACGGTTCTCAGCGCCGCGCTGATCTCCCCCTTACTGTCCTTACTATGCCCTTAAGCCGTACCAACACCGACTAGCCTAGGATTTTCCACTCCCGGCCTCTTCCGTGTCTGCACTCGAAGGCCAGAATTCCTAGCTAAAACTCTAGGTCGACTGGCCAACATGGATTTGATTCTAACTAGAGTAAGAGGACCCATTGTAATGGAATTCACTGCGCCCATCCGGCGTCGTGAGAGGGGTAAGGTGACGTTGTGCATGCCATCCAGAAAAGTCTCGCCGGGCGGCCGCGAGCTGTGTAAGGTGGCATTTATCTCATGTAGGTAGTTGTCATAGATTCAACCATTGGGTCGTATTTGTATTACCACCAGGACTACTATATAATTCACCATGCTAGCCGCTTTACATCCTCTCAAGCTTGCATCATCAGCAACAATCAGACCACTCGGTTATAGAATCATCAGACGAGGTATCACACAAGGTACCAGACATCGCTTACCGAAAATTACTCCCATCCATCCTAGATTTTATTCAACCTCAACAACCATGAGCGCTCCCCAGATTCCGACAGAGCAATGGGCGCAGGTCGTCGAGCAGAAAGGCGGACGTGAGTATAGCCTTACCTTACCTAAGCCATGTTTACGTGGGAATAATCACCGATCAAGCAACTAACATCAACTAGCTGCCGTTTACAAGAGAATTCCGGTTCCTAAGCCGGGTCCCGATGAGGTCCTCATCAACATCAAGTACTCCGGCGTCTGCCACACGGATCTCCACGCTATGAAGGGTGACTGGCCGTTAGCTACGAAGATGCCCTTCGTCGGTGGACACGAAGGCGCTGGTGTCGTCGTCGCACGTGGCGAACTTGTCAAAGACATCGAGATTGGTGACTACGCAGGTATCAAGTGGCTGAACGGTTCATGTTTGAGCTGCTCCTACTGCCAACAGTCCGACGAATCTCTATGCCCCGACGCGTTACTTTCAGGTTACACGGTAGACGGCAGCTTCCAAGAGTACGCCATCGGCAAAGCCGCCCACGTCGCCCGAATCCCCAAGGACTTGAGCCTCGAGGCCGTATCGCCCATCCTATGCGCCGGTCTAACGGTATACAAGGCCCTTAAGGAATCCGGTGCCCGACCCGGCCAGCAAGTCGCCGTCGTCGGTGCCGGTGGTGGTCTTGGCAGCTTGGCCATCCAATACGCCAAGGCTATGGGCCTACACACAATCGCTATCGACGGTGGTGCGGAGAAGGGCGAGATGTGCAAGACCCTCGGAGCCGAAGACTATATTGACTTTACTACGACTAAAAACCTAGTCCAGGACGTTAAGAGTAAGACACCCGACGGATTCGGACCCCACGCCGTCCTATTACTCGCCGTCAGCGAAGGCCCCTTCCAACAGGCTAGCGAGTACGTGCGAAGTCGCGGCAGCATCGTCTGCGTCGGTCTACCCGGCAATGCCTTCCTGAAGGCGCCCGTCTTCGACACAGTCGTCCGTATGATCAACATCAAGGGCAGCTACGTCGGAAACCGACAAGACACCGCCGAGGCCATCGACTTCTTCCGAAGAGGTCTCATCCAGGCCCCCTACAAGGTCGTCGGCCTGAGCCAGCTCCAGGAGATCTTCGAGCTGATGAAGGAGAGCAAGATCGCCGGTCGGTACGTCGTCGACACGAGCAGATAAGACGGAGACGTGGAGTTTTCTTTGGAGATACCATAAACTTTGGAGTTTTTGCTCTGTTTCTATTGTATATATATGTCGAGGCCGGTAGAGCAATGGGGCGAAATATTTTTATACAATATCAAATAGGATGAGTGTATAAAGGACCAATGATTAAATACAGTTAAACCATATTCAAACATCAATTCTGCTGTTGTTCCCCGCGCCCCTTGTGTTTACGCTTACTTTCTTGCATGGACTCCACCTTCGATGGTAAGTCTCATCGCCAAGGGTTTATTCTCATTTGTAATCACTACCATTGATTGGCGAACTGTTGCATCGGTACCTGACGCTAAACGTCATATTAGAATATGTAAGTCATGTACGTTCACATGCCCTTGACATGGGCGATTACTCATCGCAAAATGGATATGTATAACCTTGGCTGAAAACCAGTAGATTTTCTCGCTGCGGTTAATAATCTATAGACGGTGACGATGATTTCCCTGTACGGTGAGTATCTCATATCGTCTGTCAAGGTTCAGCAAGGCAGCAGTCTCCAATTGAGAAGATTGACATATTCCAAAATCCCTAAAACCCGAACCCCTAATGAGACTAATAGGTGCCCAAAGGTAAAAAATCCCATCTCATATCAAGCCTCTAAACATAATTCGGAGGTGAATATTCGCCTTGCCCGGTTTCTATCAATAGGGACGTAAATCTTCACGGTAAATATTTACTTCCATCACCCTCCGCTCCTAAATCTCACATATAAACCCACCAATCCACTACCCCCCCATCACCATGACAACCACATACAGGCGAGTAGACGAATGGTGCAAATGGTGCTGGGCCTCCCCCTCCCCCAACAACGACGACCTCGTCGACAAGCTCGGCAACATCCTCCACCGACTCTTCAACCCAGACCTAACACCAATATACAAGCACGTGCCTAGCCACTACCTCGTGCTGTACAACTCCAACAAGCAAGTGTCACAACTGCAGTACATCGACCAGACGTACAACGAGTACCGGCTCAACGCGTCGTCCCTGGTCGTCTACATCGACGGCACCTGTCGCAGCAGCGGCACGGCGTTCGCACAGGGGGCCTGGGGCGTCTTTTTCGGGGACAAATCGCGCTGGAATCGCGGGGGCTTGCTGCGTGACCTGCTGCCGCAGACGAGTGTGCGGGCGGAGCTCGAGGCGTTATCGCAGGCGTTAGATGTCGTGGATGAGATCCGCGTCAGCCACCCGGAGTTAACGCAGGTGCGGATCGCGTCCGATTGTATGTACCTGGTCAACGCGATCGCGATATGGATATGGGAGTGGAAGCCGAGGGGTGGGGTTATGACGAGTCGTCGTAAGGCGAGGCATTATGGGCATATTTGTGGGATTCATGATAGGTTGGAACGGATGTGGAGTGTGGGCTGTATGGACCGTGGTGCTAATGATTTGGCTGACCGGGCTTTCGGACCTTGATTGGGGTGCGGTTGCACAGCAGTAGGGCGTGGCAGCGTGGGTAAGTACACCGAGAACCGTGCCGTACGACGGAGATAAATTTCAGTTAGCCTCCGATTCCGATGTGCCTTTCCAAAAAGAAAGAAAAAGCCATGACAAGGTACATACATGCATCAGCCCGTCTCTTGGCAGTAAGGCGTATTCTGTGGCTGCCTGGCAGCCTGGCTACCGATTAGGGGCCTACATCCAGGTTTGCGAAAATTTTCTTTTCTGCCTCTCCTCCAAAAGTTCTACGTTACCAAATACATACCCCTTTCCTCTCTCACAAGGCCATATTAATCGACATAATCTTACCCCTCTGTTGGTTGTCGCAAATACGTTCGTGAAGCTTCCCCAAATAGCACTGTTTTAGTCATCAAATAAACTGCCTACCTCCTAACTACTCTCCACAACTACCTAATCATCTTCAACGCCTATAGAACTTCTAGAGTTTATAGCTTAACTAGTACTTGGGTCGGCATCTTTGAACGTAGACCCAGAAGCAATCTGGTCGTACCAAATTTGTCTAGTTCCTTGAGTTCCCTCATACCCATGATCGTGCCAACCGTTGGCGTATAATCCGACCCTGAACTGAAAATACCGACCATCCCCTACCGTCGTCGGAAGGTTGTATGCCTCAACCACCTTCTCCCCATCATACCACAACTTGAAGTAGCCGGTGTTATCACTCTTCCAGCTAGCCTGAATCTCGATACGATGCCAAGCCCCCGCCGTTACTTTCTTGAGATTCGAGAAGGACTTGATCTTCTGGCTGGTAGTAGGACACACGTTGCCGTACTTCACCCGCGTCTCAAGCTGGTCCCCAACAATCCACACCATCGTACTCGGCATATAATCTTCGCCACATTTGAGGTCCGAGAAATCTGCGATGAACTGCGCAATGTTGAACTCCTGAGCGGGGTTGAACTGCCAGTTATCCTGGAGCCGGAAGGCGAACCCGTAAAACCCCGTGTTCCCTTTCTGGTAGGCGTTGTACTTGACTGCTTCGGAGTGGTAGCGGCCGTTGTAAGATGAGTCGTGGATTTGGGTCATTCGCAGAGCTGTAGGACCCTTGTAGACGATGTCGGTCACCTCATCAACAGTACCCTTGTGTTCGTGTGTAAATGTATCCCAACCGGCTTTCGTCCCTGTGTTATTCCAGAATTGGACTGCTTGAACAGCTGTCAAGCCTAGCGCCATCACTAATCTTGATAGATTAAAGACAGCCATCTTAACTAATTCACTACCGTAGCGAGATCTAACGTCCGAATACTTAATAGTTTGAAACAGTAGTTGATACAATACTACACCTATACAATCAGGGCGACTTTCTACCCTTTATAATCTGAAGAATTCACGAAGACGCAGCGTGGGTGCCAATGGTTTGCCTCTCTTTACGAGCTCACCAATCCCAGCCCAGGAGAAACGGTAGAATGGGGAAAGTGTTCACAGAACCCCAGAAAAGGAATTGCTTTATCCAATACCACCCTCTCGTCATTTTCTTGGCCACCTAAATAAGGAAAATGAGATTGACTTTTATCGATTTCAGATAAACTTCTGACACAATATTGTAAGGCTGATATCCCAAACAGGGACTCAAATTCTCATGAGGCGGCTGATTAAGCTGATATTTCGGGTTTCTCACGGACGAGGTCAAGAATGACCCAATTTATTGGAACGAAACAAATTATTTCCCTTTTAGCTGGCTCGTTCATCAACCTATTTCGCCGTTTCTTGACCTATTCAAGACCATGAGTTAGGGAATACCCCTTTTTGGAAATGTGGGGTCCATTTGACGATTAACATTACTCAACCGTTCTTCCATACAATGCAACAACGTGATGAACAAGTAAAATGGTTTATTTATTCATAGAATTTACAAAGCTATGCTTTGCTTACAAAGGAAGTATGACGGCCTATCTACTAGGTACCTACTAGGTATCTACCATAAAGGCCTAAGCGTGGTTCCAGCCTATCAATCCAGGGCACCGAAATGGCCATCGACGAGAACATAGGGTACCTATCCACGCAATTTACCAGTACATTTCCTAACACCCAATCCAGACTCTTAGGAAACCCATTAAGGATCGACGAAGAAACCATGCCTAAACCATACCTACCTAGGTAGTGCCTACCCACCGACATCCCGGACAGCCTGTTGATACAACAATATTCCCGCTTACTCCACCTTCTGAGGAACAGGAGTCATGTAAAGGTTCAATGACGGCTTGTCCCACAGCAGGTACGTCTTCTGGTCTCCTATCCACCTCAAGCTGTCATCGCAGATGCTCATATCGAAATTGTAAATGATCCTAGCCAAGATGAGGCGCATTTCCGCATACGCCAGACTAGATTATCACGAATCAGCAACTTCATCCATCATCTTCCATAAGGGGTCTGAACTTACTTCCTCCCAATACAATTCCGAGGACCAAAGCTAAACGGCTGCATAGCTTCCAGCGCGTCGTTCTGGTACTTCGGGTCGCCCAGCCAGCGCTCTGGGATGTACTTCTCAGGTTCCGTCCAGTGCTGCGGGTTACGGTTGATGGCCCATTGCCAGACGGAGACGACGGTCTATTGGGGTGAATCAAGTCAGTATAAAATACATCTTCAGCGCATGGGAAGGGTCAACTCACGTTTTCAGCGACGTATTTTCCTCCGATAGTAGCACCTCCCTTGGGCACAGTCCTGGGCAGATCAGCGGCGACGGGAGGGTACATGCGGAAAGCCTCGTTAAGGCACGCAAGCATACTGCGTAAAGAACCCCGCGTTAGCAAGCCGCTCAATAAACGAGATAGCACCCCGATAGGGCAAGAAGAGAAAAACTCACTAAGACAGGTTATTGACCGAAAGCAGCGTAATCTCCTCATCGCTCTTAAAGCTCGACCTGACCTCCTGGACCAACTTATCCAGCTTATCCCTATTCGTAGTGAGTAAGTAGACCGCGCCACTAAGCAGGGTAGCCGTAGTCTCCGACCCCGCAATAATAACCACATTCGCATTAACAGCGAGTCTATCATCATCCATCTGCCACTCATTCTTCTTCCTGATCAGGCCCTCCATGAAATCCGGGCGCTCCATACCGAGCTTCATGCGCTGGTGGACCTTATTCCTGACCAGGTCCATGTTTTCGTTGTTCTTATTCGTGCCGCCGAGCTTATTCATCAAGTCCACTACGGGGCGAAGGTTGAGGATGCCGAGGGCGCGGAAGGCCGCGGCCTCGTGGAGCGCGCTGCCGATGAGCTTGACCCACGGGTGGTAGTCCGAGTGCTGGAGGCAGTCGAACGAGGATCCGAAGCCCAGGTCGCCGATGATGTCGAAGGTCGTCCAGTTGAACCACTCGCGCATGTTGAGCGGGACGGTGCCGTTCTTGCCGTGCTCGTGTAACCTCTGGATTAGCAGGTTGACGTAATCCCCGATGATGCTCTCTTGGCCCCGTAGAGACTTCTCCGAGAATCCGTGCGATAGCTGGCGCCGGATGAGATTGTGTTCCTCGCGCTCCGCTTCGATGATGGATGGGGGAAGGTGTGATTGCACGAAGTAAGAGCCTGTAATGTGGTCTTAGTCGCTGTACCCCCTCTAGCATGTGAAAAGGGGGGTCTCCAAAAATTGTGTTCAACCAACGTTTCCAGACATAATAGTTTGTTGGACAAGTGGGAACGAAAAGAGTACCGCTCATTAAACGTCAAATTGGGAGTGGCTTACCTTTGTACTTCGGCATCTCCTGGAGGCCACCCGTCCGATGGCCATAGATGTCCTTCCACGCTTGAGGATCATTGCAAGCGAGCTCGTTAGGTGTGAGCCGAACGAACTTTCCGTACTTTGCTTGAAGTTCCAGTACTTTGAACGGAAGGTCGCCTATCATAAGATGGTACACTCGTGGGAGAGGAGAGATCTTCCATAGAAGAGGTCCAGGGAACTTGCGAAGAGGGTGTAGGAAGATCCTATAGACGGCAACTCCTACAAGATATAGTGTCACCTAGTTGAAGTGTTAGTATGGGTTATGTAATACTCTGCGGCACAGGTAGTTGACTTACTAATAGGGCACCTGCCAGTGTGGCGCTAACAGGACTGACGATAGGAAGCGGAGGCGCCATGATTATTAAGGTTATAATGTTGTTGTTTCTCTTCAGATGGTGTTCAGGGAAATGTTTGTGTAACTCGAAGCTCTAATCCTCAACTCTCAACCCAGGACACAGGTAGACTTTATATATGTCTGTTCGCATCGTGTTTCTGGTACTTATCGTACAGCCAAGCCATGCCATGCGCCACTTAGTCCTACGAAACGACAAATTGTCCCATGCATATACAGTAGTTATACAGTATACAGCATACGATGCCTTCAACCTTGATCAACCAAGCATAAAAACCCTCCGAAGAGCACATCTTCGCGTTATCCTTCCATCCGCTATACTATTACACAATATGTCCGTGCTATACAGATACGACGATTAGCAGACCGACCCTCCGACAGGGTGTAGTCGCATACGCTCTGCCGCGCTCGAAGCAACGTCGTTGATAAAATAAGCCGCCAGCCAATAGCAGTATTTGTTTTGCTAAAGAAGTGACATGGGCTAGCCTGGCTGCATGTCAGAAGTCCCGGCAGATCACCCGCTAGTTAGCGCAAGGGACACCAAACGGTTTGTGTAAATACCTTCGCCCCCCCCTCTCCCCTACAAGATCTCGGCTAGGGTCGTCTCGATACATGAATTATGTTTCAATAAGAAATCTACCGTACGACACATTTCTTCGCCCGAGTCTTAGACTCGGAAATTTTAAGCATATATGCTTTGCCGCAAAACTACTAATTAGCGTTTCCGTGATGATCGACCGTAGCCATTTTTCTATCGTAAAAGAGTTAGGGGCTTCACCGGCAGACGTTCCCGAGCGCTATCTAGGTCTAGAATTAGTGCCCGTTGACGGGAACTACGGGGTCTTCCTAGAACCCGAGACCCCCCGGACCTGCCCCGGTTATTGCAGCAAACCAGAGCCGGGATATTGTTGAGCCGCCTTAACCACAATGTCTCCGAAGTGACGACGTCAGAACTTTTTATTCCTATTCCGGAAAGCTTTTAGAGATTTGTTTCGCACTATTATATGCACAGGTCTTGCAGCAAGGGTTGCCTTGAGCACTCCATTAAAACAAGGTTGGATGCCAACAAGGTCCTGTATCATGTATGTCAAGAATCCAAGATCTTATCAGGATCAAGTCCGGACCCGAGATACCCTATACGAACAGGGCAGATTTGCGAATATCGCAAGAGTTACCTAAAAAGAAGAATCTCGTTTTCATAAAGCAGCTACGGATGAGCGCAGAAACCGAGTTGGATGAGAAACCTCGTACCTGCAGATGAACGGGCAACTTCGTATGTACCAGGTAGTTAAGATACTAAACAGTGAATAAATGTATAAAAGTGCTCGGATGGGGTATGTATGAAGAGGCCCCAAGACCTGAGAACGCCTGACGCCATTATGAATCATCCACTACATGTCTCCTGCAAATACGATAGCAAGGACTAAGCATAGTATGCGAGGGATAGTTATCGTCAACAGATGCACTAACCCCCGCCTACAACGCCACAATACAACCTCGAGTAGTGCCCTATTTCATATCTACACCTTTCCTGGACTTCATTGCACTAGGCTCCAACCTTAACCCTGGTCGAGGGCTGGATGCTTCTTTCTGTCGAGCCACCGGTCTCAGAGTCTTGCGCTGCTTCACCATCTGGCTGACGCGGCATCAGTGGCTTCTTGGGATCATAACCGACTGATTTAACAATGCCCAGACCTTTAGTTCGCCCTTCGCGGAATAAGAGTCTGTCACCAGGAGCCAGGTATTCTGGACGCTGAACGAATCGGAATGCCACCGTTGCGCGGTCACCGGTTCGTATAAAAGGGCGATCAACATCGATTATTGAACATGTCTGTGAGACTGGACCAACGTGAAGCATAGCTTGATATTTAGTCTTGATGGTGGTTGCGTGTGACAGGATTAAAACTTCCGCAACGAATTCACGATAAACCTTGGGGAGCGGCTGCCCTTCAATCTTTGGCAGGACCACCATTCCTTTACGCACGTCTTTTCGACGTACTTTCTTCAATGCGAAGCTAGCTGATTGGCCCGCGGAGGCTGCGGGGACGCCGATTCGTTTTCGCTCGATGGAACAAATACTGATTTGAGTAAATTGGCCCAGCGAATCAGGACCAACTAGCACACTATCACCGGAGTGAACTACCCCAGATTTGACTATTCCGCTTACAACCGTGCCGACAAACGGGACGGAGAAAGTGTCATTAACATGGAACTCAAAAGGGGCATCTGAATCGTAGCGACCATGATGCGGAAGTATGTTGAGGAATGTACGGACAAGGTCGAGGTTCTTGCCAGTGACATTTGAAACCTGGAATATCGGGCATATTCGCTGGCTGACAAACTGAGTCGCAGTGTTTATACATTCTTCCCGGTCGTTGATGAATATGGGCATTTTACGCGCCGCCGGGGATTTAAGAATTTTGGTTATCTGCTGAATGGTTTGCTCCAAAATATTTGGAGGGCAGATATCAATTTTGGTGACTACCACCATGATTGGCACGTTCAAGGCCAAGGCGATGCCGAGATGTTCTTTACACATGCCAATGAGCCCATTATTGGCAGCAACCATGAGTAAGCAGTAATTGGGGCTGCTAGATAAGAGGCCGAATACGGTGGTACGAAGATAGCGTTCGTGACCTGCCAAGTCTGTGAAAGTGATCACTTTTGCACTGCGCTTGCCGATCTCTTCCCACGAGAGTTTTCCTACATGTATATACTAGGTAAGCAAAGGGAGTGCGAAAAGAGTATACCTAGCTCGCTTAGCTGGGCATGCACATCAGAGGATAACTTACTACCTGGAGTGTCGGACGTTACAACGTTTCCGACGGTATCGAACCCCATGATTTCCATCCCGACTGAACTGGTCCGACCGGTCTCCATCTCATGCTTGTGGCGGAAAAGGTTAACACGAGCTTTCCCTCGCCCATCGTCGAGATCACCCTTAACCAAGACACCCAACATGGAGCTTTTTCCGGCATCAACTGTGCTCTATATTTAGTATAGCTATATTTCATATCTGGATCTGTGTATAACTCACCATTGCCAACGACAGCTATCCTGGTCTCGATGACAGTTTCAATCGTCGAGGGGGCCTGCCGTATCAATATTTTGCCGGTGCAATCTGTCTCTTTAATCGTATTCCCCGATTTTGTTGACTCAGCCTCAGCGTCACCGCCAACATTCTTGGTCAGTAAAATATCGCAATCGCCGCGCGCTTTCTTAGCCGTTTCTTTCAACCGATTCAAGGCAATGTCCCATTCTTCGCGAGTGAGGCGCATTGACTCGCCATTGTTCTCGAACCCCAAGTCAAAGACAGCTTCCCCATGGCCTTCTAAGAGCCGTTCATCGATATGTTCCTTAAGTTTCTCCTGGGATGTTGCATCCTCGTCAGGGGCCAATAGAAGATCTCGCAGTGGTACGCGTGGTTTCGATTCGCCAAGGTTTAAAGAGTCAAGTATGTCGAGCTCTTCATGGTGTTCAGTCTGGTCGGACCCGGTTGTTGGTGTCGAGGTCGTGGGTTTGGAGCTAGGATAGCGTAAGGCTTGCTGCTTCTCAACGAATTCGGCAAAGTCGCTTAATGCCTAATTGCCATATTAGAATTAGAATTGGAGTGGAAGTGGATAGGGCATTAGTGGATCTCCGTACGGCTTCTCCTTTTCGCCGCTCATGCGGCAACTGTTTTGCGCTTTTGCTAGTCATGTTTTACAGATCTAAGATGGAGACTCTCGAATGGAGCAGAGATGCTAATGTATTCGGGTGATCATTGAGACAATATATTGATACAGAGTGTGTTGGGAAAAGCGCTAGGTATCAATATCAAACAGGAGTGTGAGATGGGAAGAAAAGCTTCAGATATATTACAAGAAGATCACGAGGTTTAGATGGAAGAGGGTAGAATTAGAAGTTCGAGTCATAAGTCGTAAGTTCCTCTATGAGTAACACGGTCAACGATTGGGAAGTTGTCGGGGCAAGCGCAACAGCACCGTCATAACTTAGAATTACGAACTGCCAATCAACGAGACAGGTGGAGTCTAAGAGGACACGCTAAAGGAAGCTCCCCGCAAATTATTATCGATAATAGACCGGATAAAGAGCCTCAGCCACCCCGGTTTCTCGTTTGAAACTCTGAATTAAGGTAAGGAAGGTGAAATTGAAATCTGAGTCATCACGAAAGTCCTACGAAACTCTTTTCAAAGACTGAGAGTTTAGGTAACCAGAATCGGTTTCTTTCACTTTATTAAAGACTCAACCGTCCGTTTCCCTCAATTACCAGTTAGCAAACGTCACAAACACCACCAACACGCATCGCATTAGGGACCGGAGTTAACGTAAGTCTTGCCTTATCTGTCTATTTTATTCGTCCAATTACCTATGAAATAGCCCTAGTAAGGGATGCATGTGTGTTCTCGCTATACTCCAAGCAGTTTTACTACCCCGCCAATCGCCTTATCAACCTCAAATATTCAGCAGAAACCCCCGAAATGTCTATTCTATACAATGATGATGAATGAATGACCTGTGGTCCGTGTATTCGTCTCCTTACACAGCCGTCAGCACAGCCCTGAGATGAATCGCACCGCTCTCCAGCCTCTCAATCGCGTTCTTGATACCCTCTTCCGTCATAGGGAAAACCTCCGTGATCGGCTTAATGTTGTGCAGCGCCGCAAACGCGAGCATCTCTCGGTGCAAGATCCTCGACGCCACAAGAGAGCCCTTAACCGCGATACCCTGGTACACCAAGGGCATGTACGGAACCTCCATGTTGCCGCTCGCGACCGACATTAGGTAGACGGCAGACCTAGGCGCCATGATCGGCATAAGTAACTCCCAGTTTGGCTGCGCCGAAGTCGTTACCAAAAGTCGGTTGATAGGGAATTCCACCTCGATCTTGTCCTTGCCCTTGATAGCAACGAATTCGTGGGCGCCGAGCTTCATGGCTTCTTCGCGCTTCCTTTCCGTGCCGGACAATACTACGACGCGGTTTCCCATCTTAGCTGCGAATTGGATTGCCATGTGTCCAAGACCACCTAGTCCGATAACTGCGATGTACTGGATCAGCGAAATGGTTCCAATTTACAAAAGCAATGGGAGGTTTCTAGAAACTTACCTCCAATCGTCTCGGTAGGTTGCGTGTCATGAGCCCTTAGAGCCGCAAATACCGTGGCACCGGCACATTGCAGGGGTGCGGCGTCGATATCGCTCATACCCTCTGGGATCTGGTGCAGGAACGATTCGCGCACAACTGCGTATGAGGCAAAGCTGCCCTGATCAACCTTCTCCGTACCGTAGATAGCTCGCTCCGCGCAGTATGTCTCATTACCAGTAAGACATTCTTGGCAGTGGCCACAGCTGTCGTGCTCGTAACCAAATCCCACGCGATCGCCTTTCTTTAGGTACTTGGCCTCTGGGCCGACTTCCTCAACAACACCGACACCCTCATGGCCGAGGACGATGTCATGGTCCATCTGTGGCTTATCGTTAGCAAATAAGACTCATTATAAATCTAGATAAGGAAGTGTGACGAACGTAATGTAAATCAGTCCCGCAGAGTCCCGATGCCGTAATTTTCATCAAGACCTTATCACCGGTGAGTTGTGGCTTGGTGGCAGTGCTCTTTACAGCGACGCCCTCTTTGGATCCCTTGAAAACGGTGAATGAAGTCATTTCGAACTAGGTGGTTATGCGAGTTTTGGAGAATGGCGAAGGAGTAACAGTAAGACTGGTTCTTGGTAAGAGGGGTAAGTTGGATATCTTGTACAACTGCTTGATTGTTTGCTTATGTCTGTCGATGAGATAATTTGATCCATTGTTCTCGAGGTTGTCGGTTTATATATACATCGTTCAAGGCTTCATAGGACCAATGGCCCGCCACCATTGCGACTTGCTGCAACTTACTCATGCTTCATGCTTAGACATGCCTAATCACCGGTCTTTGTAATCCGGCCAATAGTAAATGCTACGGCTCATTTACTTTTGTTTAAGATCTTTTACGTCGCTAGGTTTATAATGCGGGAAAAAGTTATGATATAAATTTATCATGGTCGAGACTCCCTTACGTGCTCCGGTCTCTCCGGTTTCTCCTTTGGGACATACCGACTCCACCGAACGCCGGAGATAGTGACATCCCACATTAACGTACCTGCATCCCTACGTCACCACTTTCCATCATCAAGAAATTACCTAGGGGGTAGTCGGCGATATTTTATTTTGCGCGGCAGCGCGGGCACTAAAAAATATATGCAATTGAACGTCGGCGGGAGTACTTTGAAGCGTGCTATGGCCCTTTACGCTCCTTACCTATCAATATGCACCTTCCGTTAGTAGAGATAGGCGTGTTACACGACGGGAAAGGTTATCTCGTGCTAATGAAAAGTCATCCTTGATACATCAGGATATACCTCCCCCTTAAACTTTACATAGCATCCTCCTTTAAGAGCCTTGATCATCTATCGCCTGCCGACCCTTTCTACCACGTTTTTCACAGCCATGGTCCGAGTGAAGCTTCAGCCACTCATCATATAACTAGCGATACATGCCTCCCGTTCAACGCTAAAAAACTAAACAGCCCTGCGACAGAGTGAATACAGTTTTTAAGCTAATTTGACCTCGAACTAAGATCCTCTACAACTTCCACGACATCGAAGTAATCAGTCACTAGGAAACCTTCAGATAAACTACCCAGCCCCTCAACATGAATCCTCCGATTTATAACACGGCATCCCCGGCCATCCAGATAGCTGAAATAATAGGTCCGATCAAACTCACTGATATTCCACCTCGTGAAACCCAGTCCCACAGACCTATTACTTCCCACAGCATTCCCACTATTTATCCTCCACAATATGAGGCCAACTCGTCTCGTGTCCTACAAAAAACACGCAATCATGAGTTCCAAGCGTCGTCATGAAGATGTCTCGGAATCTTCCGACAGTAACACGCCGACCAAGAGGAGCAGGCTCCTCAACCACAGTAACGTTGACGGGGATATCTCCCCGAACCTACAAAATCCCAGCACATCCAACGAGGCCGCGGAACCAGAATCCGAATCCGAACCCAAAGAAACCGAGCCAGCAGCTGTGACAGCGACCGCATTAATCAACGCACAGCTAGGACAAGTCGAATTCGAAAACGCTATGATCACGTCCTACGACATCAAAGATCACCTAGGCAGAGCCTGGGACTGCGCCTTCGGGATGTACGTGCCAACGCAGGACATGCGCACCCTACCTCTCGTCTCCCCGCGCTTCGGCGACGGATTCATGCGCACGACATTCGGGGACAAGTACGCCAACGACATGTACTCCGCGCGGAACGGTCTCGCATTCCCATACCCCGTAAAACAAGCCCTCGAAGCCGGAGCTCTGGTAATCGTGCCCGCGATCCCGAACAAGCCGTCTTACGCGGACGTAGAAGCATGGGAGAACGCGCGGCCACGAGACTACAAGTTCCGGGTGACGAAGCCGGAGATAGAATCGTTCACGCGACAGCACTACCACGTCTTTGAGATCGCGTCCCTCGACAACCGGAAACTAACATTCAGGAACAACTTCCGGCCGCGCACGCGGTTCCTGTATTTCCTATTCATGATGACAATGTTTCGCCGCGCCAAGGGCGCGGGTCCTAGCGACAATGACTTGTTCAGGCTATTGGTGGCGCACCAGGATAAGCTGGCTCATGAGTATTGGGGCGTTGAAGAGGCGAGTACGAAGAATGATATTTGGGGAGATTTGCTAAGCGATAGCCCCCTGGACCTTACAAAGGTGGATCACGTCCGGACTTTGCTTAGAACCCCAATATGGACAATGGTAAGGGGTAAGTATGTGTACGTGGGGGAGGATGAGTTGGAGCAGGAGGAGGTGGAGTAGGAGTAATTCGAGGGAGAATTCGACGGTAGAAGGTGTATCATCAAGGTCATATGGATGCATGACTGGATAAGTTCTAGTGTTGGGAGTTTTTACCGGGAGGTCAGCATAGAGATTCCACGCAAGGGAAATGTAGATTTAGTATCTTATATAGGTGTATATTAAATGTTCCTCCCATACGATTACTAACACGTGGTCGGTAGCTTGTTAAGTTAGGCCTATATCTGTGGATAGGTCCATTGAGACGATATGTCACTGTTCATGTTTGGCCAATACAATATCCCGAAATCCTGCGTGTCGACGGATAACGCCATGTCGATTGAGTCTGCCCAAAAGCCCTGAAGTGGCACCGAAGTCCCGTCATCGCTGTTCCATATGCTGGCTGCTGTCTGCGGTGTAATGGGGTTGCTACCCATGATATTTCCCTCGCTCAATGATTCCCAACTTCCAGTAGTCGGCGGAGAGATGACTGTCTTTGACGTCGAATCTTGCTGGCCATGTATTTTCTTGGCAAGCAAATCGGCTTGTGCCCCAAGACCCCGCGCGATAGTAGCTGCGCTTGTGGCAGATGGGAGGCTCCTCTCAAAAATTTCAAATACGGCAATGGACATGTCAATTGCATTCCTGGCCTCTGGTGCAGAAGCGTGCTGAGGATACGCAATCGCAAAGCCGATAAGCGACATTGTGGCATTCCACTGCCACTGGAACGATTCGTGCCAACCTGTGAGAATAGTCGTCGACGACAGTACTTGATACATAATGCGCGTTAATGTGATAGCGTGGGCGGCGCAATCCGCTGCGGTCTTATCGGCCGTTGGTGTGGGCTTTGTAGCGGAAATAAAGCGGATGAAGGGACGGAAGAGGTTGATACATAGATTGTGGTACATAAGCTCTAGTAACAAGCGTTGCCGCTGTAGCCAGAGAGATGCGAATGGCTCAATCTCCAAGGGGGTAAAGTCGGTAGAAAAGGGAGTACCGTCATCCTGGCGTTTTGTTTTAAGAGGACCGGGAACCGCCTTCACCCACTCTTCTATTCGGTCGATATACAAGCCCAAGTATTCAGCATGAGATTCGATGATCTCCGATTCACCCCGTGGGGCTTGTTTGTTGGAGTTGTTAGTAGTGTTCAATTGTTTCTTATAGAACGCTGTATAAGCTGCGCGGACTGCCAAGAAGAGTTTGATGTTCTCGACGTGAAAGGTCAGCCAAGTCGCACCCTGTCCGAGAGGAGTGAATGCGGAACCAGATAACGTCACGCTTTCCCGGTCGTCTCTCGGTAGACTGCAGGTTGTATCGGAGTGATCTAGCAAAAACGGACGGCCTAGCTTCATGCTGATTTTACTCTCCAAGATATACAGTGTCCACCATAAACGCTTGCGCAATTCTCTCTCCCTCGGCGAAGTCTCTTCGGGTGGATCTAGATGGAGACCAAGCATATAAGCTGTTCGTACAGCTAATGTGCAAGTGCTATCGGCCATGTTCGGAAAGGAGCCAGCACACAAATATACAGTCGACAAGATGTGACACTGCAGCGTAAATACGGTAGGGCTTTCCAATTCGTTCGTCAGTAATCTCTGACAACGCTGATAATGCCACCGTCCAGCTATAGACGTATTATTTGCACCATTGCTGTCGGATTTCGGGCTGGGCGCGATGCTATTTGCCTGCCCAGTGCCCGATTGCTGTGCCATGCCGTACTGCATACATAGCGCAATGACTATGTCAACCAACGCTGACGGCTTTCGCTCTCCGCTTGATGTCTCCCATAGGGATTGGTAATGTTCCTTAAAGGCGACTTCATCTATAACTGGAAGTGTGGTATGAAATGATTGCCAAAAGAGGCTAATGAAATACTCCTCTTGTGTCGGTGTTAAGTAGTCGTTTTCTGTGACTCGTCCTTCGGCGGCATGAGTATGGCGATGGCTTTGTTCATTCTCGGAGATTTGGGCGGGTCCGTCAAATAGCTTATTTGAGTCGGGAAGCATGCGATTAATCGGATGTGTTTGTTGAAAGGAATCATTCAGGAACGTGTTTACGCGCCTAATGAAATAGAATAGAGACGATGGCCCGTACCAGGTTTCCTGTCGTCGTGCAGTGCGAATGCGTACTCCATCCCCCGATCGTTTCTTCTCCGGACTGCTTTCATCGTCGCTCGGAGGACTTAAAACCCCAGTGATTCCAAGGCTAGAGGATCCAGAAGAGGCCAGGCTCGATTGCCTATTTTGAAGTAGTCCATGCCCGGCGCTTGACTTTGTATTCCTACGCTCGTTCTCAAGCTCCCGTTCTAATTCTTTGATTCGTGTCTCTAAATGCTCAATTTTCCGAAAAGCATGAGGAAGGGTACGGACTTCGACCTCGCCTTGGTTGCATTGGCCGTCTCTTTTCCTACAGTTTGAACACGGGACGTGATTGTCGCATTTGATGCGATGTACACGACACCAATCACAGGCTCTAGCCACTTGGCTCCGCTTTTGTCTCCTAGGGAATTTCGGAGTTTCCGGAGGGGAGGGAGCGCTGGAGTCAGTAACCCCCGGAGCCATCCCAATAAATGTTGTAAACATTGACCCCCGAGTTTTATTGATTTGAAATGGAAAGGGGACAATTAACTGTTGGTTGTCATAATTCTCGCAGTATCGAAGAGGCAGTCAGAAATGTGAATGAGGGGGCGAACATTCTCACACTTGGCGTCGGAGATACCAAATTCCAAGGTTGGTAGGTAAGTACCTAGTAATGATGAAATGCTTACATAACAGGTAATACTGGATAATCATTTTACCGTAAAATCCCTTTTATGTCTTGTCAACGTCTGAACGTCTACGTAATCATTTATATTTATATCTGAAACAATGCAATTGATGCTCCAGAACGTTCTCTATTATTACAAATATTGCGCAAAAAAATCAAAAAAATTGTAGGCTTAAAATGAATTCATGTAACGTTGTGAGCAAAGTTAGAGTCAGAAAGAATGACCATGTGCTAATACTACTGTACCACACTGTATCACACTGTGACAAGCGCTATCCCCTGTGTTACATGGTCAACATCCACTACCTATCGTAACAAGTATAAGTTACCTATATGGGTGGGGAAGAGGATATTTAGGCATATATCTCAATATTACCACGCATCCCATTATGATATTTTCGTAATCGGAATCATAAAAGTAGGGTATCACAAGGTACTCTACTTTATGAAATCATTATAGGATGGTAACTGCATAAGTTGTTTCAATATGATTTCGGATACCATACTTATGCTCTCCATCCATTTACAAGTAGTGACCTTCTAATATATAGAATAGGGCCTTCAACGAGTGACCAGGCAGAGAAAAGTGCCCCTTAAGCAGGCAACATCAATACTCATTTCTTGTGGTGTTATATCTTACACATATATAAATTCATTGAATAATTGAGTGACTCGTATTCTATTATGCTTATCGGTCAGAACTTCTAATATTGGATGATGTTTGTGTGGAGATACTGTGTCAAACTACAAGAAAATAGGTAGCGACTTGTGTCAGCTACAGAATGAATCTGAGTATGAGCAGATAGCTAATCCCCTGAGTACCACCTATGTATGGATGACTTCAAATTTAATGAACTGCTATATTTTAATAGGTATACAATCAGTGTAACTAGAAGTAAACAGGAAAATATAAATCTATAAGATAGAACCCTCTATTCGAGTTGTTCCGCTCGCTACCTAACCATCCTTCTATTCTTCAACAGTACTTATACGACACTCAATTTTACAGACAAGTTTAAGTGCTTAGTTAAGAAAGGAGTATCCTCAATATGCCGCGAAGAAAGGATGGATTAGTAAAACTTTGCCATGCCAACAGTGAAAACTCAAAGAAATATCCGCCCAACTCGACATATTACGTTAACCACTCCGACAAGGAATTGCCCAAGCCTCGGGGCAAGGCTTTGGATAAGACTTCAGATAAAGTCTCCAATGGCGCCTATACCTCTTCGGGCTCCGGTGATACCTTCATGGGTTATAATCCGAAACAAGGAAGTTCTTAGGCATTTGGATGGGTTGCTCTGAAAAGCTGTGATTATATCAGATTAGAGATTGCGTGGACGAAATATATTTAATTAGAACCATATTAACATTGGCCATGTGTACAGGGAGGTGAAATTCCTGGTAGCTGCCTACCTAATTACCGGTGAGAAGCATTATGTAGCTAAACAGCGCGCTCATAGAAACGTTTAATGTTCAGCACATGTTATAAACCCTATTTTAGATGTTGGTAAGCCAGCCTAGGACCACGCTGGAAGTCTTTTTTTTCATTCCAGCCTTATATCGTCTCATCGACTGGCTCGAGTTGCCTTCGTTCGCCATAGAGATGGATATAGTGGCTTGGCTTCGAGAAACCATTACTGGGTAATGGCGTTGATGGAGAGGGACCATCGATGTTCCTAGAATATCACCTGAGTCCCCCGTTAACCAGTTAACCCAATGTATCTCCTGTCCAGGAGGTAGATTCGCTAACCTTTTGATACCCTCCACATACAGCATAAACCTATGGGCCAAGTAGTTTAGCAACAAGCCTCCAAGATAGCCAAGATCAAGCTAGGGTTAGTGCGGTCTGGGGAACATGCGGTCTCCAAGCATACCAAGAACCCACGAAGCGGGGAATCCGTGGGGATGGATGATGGGGAAGAGGTGATCGTGTGGAGAAAACTGGGGAGCTACCCCTAAACGGCAGTAAGAACCAAGGGTACGGTCGACGAATACATAGTATACGACCGGCAATGGTATCCGATCTATGACCCACGTTCAAAATCTAGCGCAGTAGATTTTCGAAGGGTTACAGCCGTGAGAAGTGGAACATCGATCGTCAGTCTAGACCTTACCGGTGAGAAACTTTAATACACGAGACCCAGACTGCTGGAAACGCTGATCATCACCATTTTAAGTCTTGACTGCATAAACCGAAGCTCCATCTCACCGATGATGATATTTTAACGTAGTTCATGTTTCGCTATCGTGGCGGTTAACTGGGCTGTCGTTATTGGGTAGGTTGCCGTGGTGATCAAAGAAAAAAACTTCGACAGAACTTCACTGAACCCTAGATTAGCTATTGTAGTCCTAAATAATTGACATAGGTCTAGTCTATTGGATGACTAGGAGATAGGGGTCCGGCAAGATCGGAGTTCGGTTCAAGGTGAGACCATGAGGACTCCTAGGAGACGTATTGGCGGCTAGCCCGGGAACGTAGTAGATAAACGGCTCTTCCTGTATGCATGTCATGCTCACTAGGCAAGAGTAATTGAGAGTTCCTTGCCCGTCATTTCCGCCTCGTGACAATTCTGTTATATCTTATTTCTCGACCCAGCTTAGGAAGTCAGCAAGCTTGGTGCGACTGGGATAAGACGGCTTGCTCGGACTAGCTACTCCACACACTATGAACCGCGCCGCTAGTGTGATCGTTTATTCGGTAAACTGAACTGTTACGACTGCTAACAAAGCCGTAAAGATGAGAGTCTGTAACAGACATCGGTATAGAGTTAAATGTTGACTGACGCTGACAAGTACCGCATGTTTACTGCTAATGGTAACGGAACATATAATGTCGAAAACGCCGACTTGGCCTGTAGCGTTAGTAGCATTAAATACCTCGTCTATAAATGAAAATGGAGGAAAGCCCCACTATTTCGACATGATTCTGGTTCCTGAGACTCGTGCTGCCGAAATCCGAGTATAGCGAGAGACCAAAACACGGCCAACGAGATTCAAGCTGTGTCGGCATCTGAGTTGCGCGGCAGCTGACTTCGTTATGCCCTCTTAGATTTATATCGATAGATGAAGGTTACCATACACAGGTAATAATAGCTTAGGCATTGACAGCACTAGGACGGCGCTTTTTGTGCAGATATGAATTCATATGAAGCCGACATGTCCTTCGCGTCGATACTCCATCCTTATTATAAGACTGGATACTTCATTCGCAAGACGTTCGACCACGATGGTACACACTTGGGTATGTAATTGCTACTCCGGTAGCCATAATTCCGACAGTTGAGACTTGGACCTGTTCATCACAGAAACACCGGGTTCTACAGCAAAGGCAGGGGTATCTATACAAGCAAAAGGTCCACCGGTCCCACGGCTCTGGCGAGCACCTTATAAACCTGTTCTAGTGGCAGGTGGAGGCATATTACTGTTAAAAGTTTAGTAACATGAATGGAATATATGTTGTTAATGATGGATTCAGGGGTAATAAGAGATTTGAAGAAATAAGCGGGTTGATGTGTAGTAACGGGTAAAGTCGCCAACAGGACCATGATCTTGTTTAAGTATGTTTAGGAGATGTAAGTGGAATTTACCCCTTAATAACAGCTGAGAGCAGATTCTGATGTCTTGACAGGCCTACGACACATGCCTACGACAACATACTCCGGCTGGATGGCCAGGAGTGTCTATGACCGTAGCCTGTCTGAGTCTGGCGTGTTGCGTGGCAATGCGACGTTGATGACAGCAGACCCGACCAAACCCGGGATAAGTTCAAGAATATCGAAGTCACTTACAGCAACTTCAAAGTTCGGCCCCATCGGATCGACGTATAATGCATGAGGTGATAGCGCTCCCGCTGTCCCGCCCGCTATCCCGAGAAACGCTAAGACATAGCCAGTGTCCCTTCATTTCATCATAGCTTCCTCCAACCCAAGAGCCAACTTGTTTGGATGGAACTGAGGATATGGGAGATATTCGTGGTTGAGGGAGAAGGCGTCTCCTAGAAACGGCAATATAGCACTTGAGACAGACATCTCAATGCTTGCATGAACGTAACATGGTACCTACATAGATCGACGATCGATCAGGTAATAGCGTACGACGGGTCCCACAAGGAAATGCTGTCAGCGTGATCGACGCTGCATCTAACATTGCGTGCTAGTCTTGTAAAAGAGCCGATGGCCTTATTATCGACTTTGATAATTGCCATAGCAAAGATCTGTGCTTCGGAGAAGTGAAATGTCAACGATCACGATGCCAAGTACACCGACGTTGAAGGTCTCCGATCCGATTGATTTTTTTACCTTGAATCTCGCCCGGTAGAAAATTCTTTCCCCCTTGTTTCTCTTTTTTTCTTCTTTAATTTAGCCCCGGGGTGGAGTAGCGGCATGCTTCGGCCTACCTAGGTGGTGGATACAGAGCTATTCGTTCACCGATACAAAGCAACATAGAAAAAAGATCGTGAAGGTGGATATGGTGTGGAGAGGTGAGACGGTCAAGGAAAAAAGTTTTGTGAAAAGTTTTGAGCTTGTGACTTTAGGTGGGTCCCGATTTTTACATAAGGTCGAGTTCCAGGTTCGGCGAGCCCCGCTGCCCCGCCGGATTACTGTACTAGGAAAAAAGAATAAAATTTCTAACGGCAAGAGATGCCTTAAGAGGACACCCCAAAGTAAAGCTTTACAGCACTACCGTAGGCGGGCTGTAGTGCAAATTTACCCCATAATATTTTCTCTTTCATTTCCAATTATCAACTTCATACATTCTCAGCTAGAACAGCCCTACGAGTCTACGAGTTTCTTTCATCTCGGTATTCGGTATTTTTCACAAGCTCATTCAAAAACATTCCATGTACACGTTTCAAAATCGCCGAATGTCAATCACAAATGACAATTTCGGAATCTTGGTTTTATTTCTTTGCCGCCGATTTCCTTGTCTCTGTAACTTCCAGAACCCGTTTTAGAGCACTTCCACTTCCTTCGCTTAGTCCCGCGCGCCCCAATTTGGTATCGGATGCGCCGCGGTGGATCTTATTGGGTAACGATCGAGTAACATAGCCCACTAGTCGACGGATCGTGGCCCTTCTATGGCTCTCTAGTGGTTCCAGATTGCCATCGTACGGTTCTCAGTCAATCTACCTCCTTCACGATGGCTTCGCTCAAGTGGGTCTATAGAAAATTTTGGCCAGACGACCAGCCCGTCTTTAGCCTTTTACAGCCCGCCACGGTCCACGAATGCATACAGAGATTTTTCCATGTCTTAAATAAGTCAAGTGTATAGATGGTCCGAGCTCATGAGTTTGTCCGGTGTTTTGGTAGCCAACATTGTATCACCACATCTGATGAAGGCGTCATCGTCAGTATATTTAGGTCTTCGGTACATTGCGATTGTTTGTCTGCATTGCCAATTATCTGCACAATGGTCAATATCACATCAGCTGTTACGCCTTAGAAGCTAGCCTTATGCGGTGACTTTCCAATTCCATCCAACTTGATATCCCCGGAATTGTGATAGGGCGCACGGGGCTGATTGCGCCCTCCTTTTGTCCTTCATCTCTATGATATTGTAGTTTTTTGCTCCAACAAGGCTTCAGAGAGATGAATTCAAATTTGAACCTCTTCGAAAAAAATTTAACTGATACCTTAACACAAGTACCTGATGTACCGAGTAAGCATCATGCTTCTAAAAAAATATTAAATTTAGTGGACCTGATATACCCTGATCCTGGTTTCCAGGCCCGCTTACGTAAATTCGGCGCCCCTCAATAAAGTGTAAGCTGTAGGAACGATACAAAAAAAATAATCGCTAAAGGAAAGAGGTAACAAATCAGTTACAGGCGCTTGAGTACGTGCTCAGGTACCCTAGGTACCCCTTGTCTGCTTGTGACCTTTGTGGCATTTGTGGCACCCGGCGGATGGAGTTTGAGGGCCTTGAACGCTGAAAATTGTCGAGTTTGCGCTGTAGCTACAAGGAACCGGCCCCAGTCCGCCTCAATTCATGACACATAATTACTTGATGGAAAGCTCTGGGGAAAGCATGATGTGAAAGAGCCTATTAATTACGCCAGCTACATAACATCACGACTGCCCATAAAACTTACGGAGTTTACGATGGAAAGTTTATTTCTAGGTACCTAGTTCAACATAATTGCATAAGGAGACGCAAGCAGTTGACGACGAAAGTTGAAGTTCTTGGAAATCTTTAAACATTATATCACCATTCGCCACTACTATAATTCTCTTCCCTACCACTTACACGATCTGCCCCGCAACCAACCTTGGAAACCAGGACACAAAATATTATACCTACCTATATATCACAAGGCAGAATAACTTCGTGACTCAACGGTTTTGAGGGTCATCGAAAGTGATTATCGATATTCAAACGGTTACCAACGAATTTTTTGAGCCGCCTTTTTAATCATCGTCCCATCACGATACGGCCGTTGCAGACAACTAGGTACCCATTTCGCCATAGCCAATCAGAGCCACCAACGAATCTCGAACAATCCGAATCGGGATACAAACAATATTCACCCTCAAACAAACTCGACATTAGCCGCATCGAGGCGGAGAGGTGTATTCCGTAAATCGGAACGTCGAAGAATCAAATAAAATCCATAAGAGAGCCAGCTGGACGATATCCATTCCTCAAGTCATCGAAAGAGTCATCCATCAGACTATTACTTCCATCCATACGAGTCTGCCACATATTTGACCAGCTAGTTGCATTAGCTGTTTGTATACGACTCAGCCATATCCTGGGCATCACATCAGCCGACACAATATATTTTTTGCGATAGGATTGGGTTGCATTACGCCATTGCCCTGAAATTAGGCGTTGTTCCCCAGATTTTCCCACCGTCACCGGTCGCCGCTTGGATGCATTAGCTACAAGCTACACACTATACGCTAGAAGTTATTGGTTATTAGCGAAATCGCAACTGCGCCTTTCCTTCGCCAACCACCAACCCGAAGCTAATATTAGGCCAGTCCAGGCCAGAAGGGTCCAAGAAAAGGAAGTCACAAGGCAAGAAGAACATTGAAGAATTAAGGAGGAAGGATCCACAAGGTCTTTTTAGACCTTAAGCCATCGGTTCAACATGCCACACAGGGTAGTAGATTTCTTCCGGTCTTCCAACGACAGCATTCACAACATCAAGGCCTCGGTACAACGGAGGAGTAACCCTAACTCAAGATCCGCCTCTAGAGAACGGCCCACTCGCCACTCATCTGCCGCATCTTCGGTACTAGAGGACGTCACCGATCACAACAACGCACAAACCCCGATTTACACCGCACTTCCCGTAAAGATGTCCGAAGTAAAGGAAAAGCTGAAGGAGAAGGAGTCTCACACGCATCACCGTCTGAGTTTCCCGAGCTTGCATCTCGGCAGCTCTAAGGCTTCAAAGGAGCAGCCTCAAAACCCTAATGCGTCGCTCAGCTGGAAAATTGAGTCGCCCCCTGCAGTAATGCACGGCGAACCGGAAAACAGCACAGGCGCATTGGTATCCGGGCAATTATTACTGGACGTCAAGGAAGAAGGCTTCGAGGTTGATAATTTCTCGGCCAAATTAGAGATTCATGTCGTGCAGAAGAGACCATTTGCCGGTCATTGCCAAAGCTGCTCAAACCAAACGACAGAGCTAAAATCCTGGACGTTCCTGAGTGAGCCCACAATCCTCACCAAACGTAAGTCCCCTTTTTTTCCACCTCCGACACCGGCACTTAACTTACACGACACACAGGCATCCACGAATTCCCCTTTTCCGTCTTGTTAGATGGTCATCTACCTGCATCGACTGACAATCCAGTCGTCGCTATCCGGTATGACTTCTCTGCCGAAGTCACACCGAGGACATCCGGTCCTGCAATTAAGTTCACCAAGAACATAGACGTAAAACGGTCACTACAGGTCCCAGAGCTTCCTCATCACAGCATCCGCATCTTCCCGCCCACCAACATCGCAGCCAGCGTGCACTTCTCGCAGGTCATGCATCCCATTAGCACCAACACAGTTACCCTCCGTCTGGATGGCGTCGTCAAGCACAACCCCGATGCAAAGAGCGTAGAGTACTGGAAGCTCAAACGCCTCTCCTGGAAACTCGAGGAGAATATGGAGACCGTAGCACCAGCCTGCGACAAGCACGCGCCCAAGGATCCGGAAACTGGTCTTCCCACGAAAAAAGGATCCAAGCGCACAGACTCCCGTATCATTGCACATGCTGACATGCATACTGGATGGAAATCAGACTACTCGCCATCCGGATGCATCGAAATGGAGATCCAGTGCGCGCTACCGCCAGCTACCAAAGCTGCCTGCGATTTGAAGAGCGAGGACGGGACAGAGGTTACACACCAACTCGTCGTGGAGATGGTCGTGGTCCAAGAGTACGCACCCACTGCGCACCCTAAGCATATCACGCCTACGGGTGTAGCTCGTATCCTGCGCATGCACTTTGGTGTGGTGATTACAGAGCGAGCGGGCCTTGGTGTCAGCTGGGATAACGAGGCACCCCCAATTTACCAAGACGTTCCCCCAAGCCCGCCTTCCTACTCTTGCGATATTCCCTACGAGAGCGTCGAGGATTTGAGCTTGAGCCGGAGGAGCGCGGAGTCGGGTAGAACAGCAAGTCCGGCCTACGAGGGGCTAGCGCCGCCGACGTCACCAACACCACCAGCATTAGGAGCCGATGATACCGCGCGCTAGGAAACGGCGGATCAGAGGCGATGCATACCTGCGAGATGGGTTTTGAAGACCTCGAAGAGGAAGATGAAGTAATACTAGCTACGGCTATAATTTTTTTTCTTTGTCATAAGATGATTTTTGATAACGAATTATACCCCACAAGGCGATGGCCCCGAGAATGGGCTAAGTCGGAGCGCTTCTTGCATTGGAAGAGGAAATTTTGAGACGCGAAGATTTAGATTTGACTTTTAAAACCTCCAAGGACACCTTGGTGATGGATTTTACTTGGATAGGCATTACATGAATTGAAATGTGATGAAATGGGACGGAGTTTGAAGACCATGATCTGGTCTGAGATAATAAAAGATGGTTGGGAATATTTGAGGTCTTGACTCACCTCACAACTTGCCGCTTGCTAGGAATGCTTGCGATGACACATTTTATAGTTAATATTAATGACCAGAATGATATGGTATGAGTAATTTGAGATGAAATGGTGTATGAATTGAGAGTTTGTGATTATTGGTGACTTATATCGTATGGCATATTGGTTTGGTGCGCGATGCTCCTTTTTAGGACGGTTGTGTCCCACATTCCACAAGCGCCCTAGCTTGAGATACGCGGGAGTGATAATATATTAAGAGTACCTTCCCGTCCATTTGGATATGTAGGTAGGTAAGATACCTAGGTATCTACTGCCGTATATTTTCAATATGGGTCCCTGTCGGGATAGACATGATGAAAATTATATATATCAGAAAATAAAAATTTGAACAACTTTTTTCTTATCGTTTTCAGTCACAACCGTGGAGATAATAGCTTTGGTAGTCGTGTTCACCCATTGCCCAAGATCACGGCGACGTCACTACGTCATTCTAGAAGGCTCTCCGTCGTCGTACTAGCCAGACGCAGGTACGCAGGAAATTCAACGCTATCTACTCTACTGAGGAGATGATGCGGCATAGAGCATGTTTAAGAGACAACATGCTTCTTCCATGGAGGAGCCAACACGATCTTGAGCTAGGTAGCAAAGTTCCTCCTCCTTGTCCAAGGCAAGAAGAAAATAAGCAAAGAAAGACCTTTCGCGTATGGGGAGTGAATCCCATTTAAGCCGAGTTAACTGTTGAAGTTCTGATGACTTTGCCACGAGCTTCAACGCGTTTGCGTTCCTGTTTCCGCTGGTGAGTTACCCATTTGGTCTACCGCCGAGCATGGCATTTGGATGAGACACAATTTAGAGCTATGTCAGTTCTTCTACTTATCTCTAAGTTTGCGTTTCTAAATTTCGCAAATGAATGTGAATATCCGCTTCCAGATACGAATATAGGTTAACTAACATATATAGCATACTACAAATAGACACCGTCGTCAGTGACAAGGTCGTAAAGACTTACAGCCAGCTTTACCGGATCTTGCTGATCTAGTTCGTACCTGCCCACGCACTTATATTCAGTCGCTAGTTCTTTCCCATGCTAATGTATTAACAAGAGAGCACGACGGAGTATTGTGGGGTCGTTGCGTTTTTTTATATCTGTTTGATTTAACGAAAAAAAAACAAACTGAGGCTAGGAATTTCATGTAGTTGTAGAATTAGGTGTTCTAGAAATTGCTTGGAAACGTTGAAAGAAAGAGCAGAAAGAGAAAGTATGAGTTCTCCGCAGACATTTTGCTCCTCCCCCGCCCCCTTTTTTTTTGTGACGCTTGGTTGTACATAGGTACCTAGTACCTTGGAGAATCAAGGATTTGAACTTATAGGGCGAATATGACGATATAGTAGGTAATAGTAATTGAATTCTAATTGGAATCTAATGATTTGATCTAATCGTCTTATCACCGAAAAAACATGGGAAGCCTTTCTTCCATTTGAAACGACAATTTGAGCACCTAAATTTATATGAGCTCATGCATCAAAATACTGATTATCTAATTGGAAGTTTTGAGATTTCAACCAACCACAGCCCGAATGATTGATAAAAGTGGGGTGCTATTTCACACATAGAAGTTTTTCAAGAGCACATCATATTATAGGTGCTTGCATATCTGAATTGATCGACTTATAGAACATTCTGAAAATTACCAATGTGTTCAATTGGGGTGATTACGAAATGTGGAATATAAATGTGCAGCAGGAGGGCGCCGACGTAACCTTTCAATTACGCCCTTTTGTCGCCGCTTAACTCCGATTACGCCATCAACCTTGCCTAAGTCGGCAGCATTGAAATCGAGGCGGGGAATTTCATGTCCAATTTGTACCACAATCGACACAATTAACAATCCTCAACCTAAACTGCAACTCCGAGAAATGAGAAATATTCTGCAAGAAAACCCATCAGGCACTGCCGACGCGGAGATGTCGTCGAACAAGGATCTGAAAGGGCACAAGCTGCTAATGCTCGTACCCTGGGAACCGCCAACGGGGTACATTGACGGATTACACAAGACGTTTCCCGGTCTGGAAGTCACACACGCCAATTGGGACACGTGGAAGGAGAGTTCTTTACCAACCCATATCGATGAGAAGGATTGGAAGACCGTCACCATTCTCCTCACTGGTCCAAAGTTCCCTACCAAGGAGGCGGCACCAAACCTCAAGCTAGTACAACTCCAGAGTGCGGGCGCAAACTACATCCTGAACAACCCGCTATTCACAGATACAGATGTTGCTTTTTGTACCGCGAATGGCGTTCATCCGTAAGTCGTGACACCCTCATTCAATTTTGCAGTATGTAGAAATCGTTGTGAAGTTGACATTGTTCTACTTGTGATAGACCTCAGATTGCGGAATGGGTCATAACCACATTCCTAGCCTTTCAACATCACAGTGAGTTATTTCTAGCATGAGAATCTCGTAGTGGTATCTTATTAATTCATTCCCAGTTCCGCGTTTCCTTAATCAAATGAAGGAACACAAATGGGTGCGTAGCTTTGACGACTCAGACACTCAAGATGCCGTCAACCAGCGAGTGTAAGTTCATAGACTAATTCTATAAGTCCACATATGAATTTCGAAATTGACAGCGATCCGCAGCGGTATCTTTGGATATGGAAGTATCGGTAGGCAGGTAGCGCGATTGGCTAAAGCCCTCGGGATGGATGTCTACGCCTACACGAACAGGCCCAGACCCACTCCCGAGTCACGACGGGATAATTCCTACATAGTTCCCGGCCTCGGCGACCCGGATGGTGTTCTTCCATCAAAGTGGTTTTCAGGAACTAAGCCGGAGGAGGTAATCGAGTTCCTGTCCTCGGATCTCGATCTCCTAGTTCTTGCCGTACCCCTGACGCCTCAGACGCAGGGGCTGATTTCGGCCCCGCAGCTCACGGCTCTCAAGGGAAAGAAGACGTATGTGGTCAACATAGGACGGGGTCCGGTCATCAATACCGGTGACTTGATAACGGCTCTTAACGAGAACTGGATCCGAGGAGCTGCCTTGGACGTAACCGATCCCGAACCCCTGCCCAAGGAACACCCTCTGTGGGATGCGAAAAACCTAATCATCACGCCACATGTCAGCGGTAACTCGACGAGCTATAATACTCGTCTCTTAGATATTCTGAACATCAATCTCCATAGACTGAGCGAGGGTAAGGGGTATTTGAATAGAGTAAGCAGGTCGAGAGGATACTAGATTTATAGTTCGATAGGTATTCCATTCCAATAGACGGTTCAGGTATAACTTCCAAGTCAGGGTAAAGAGAAAGGAAAATCATCAATACATATTTCACTCAAACCCATGATGCTTTTATATGTGCAAATGGAACAATACGCAACGGCGATATGGATATTCATAGCACTGTTACTTGTCTCTGACTCAGCGATACATACTTCATCTTAAGTTACAAGAGCCCTCTTATTCAACAACACGGAACTGCGTTACATAATCTACAGCACTACCGAACCCCAATGGGCCACTCCTGGGCGAGAAGAAGATGATGCAAATTATCAATAACGCAGCTAATGAAAACCGGGCGTTGAATGCGACCCTCTCTTACCAGACGTTATCGGCGACCGAATGGAATAGTCCACTAGGAAAAAAATCCAAAGCAAGAGGCTTGTTCGACACTATATTTATCTTCCAGCAATCTATCCCGAGGGATGTGGACCAGATCACGCTTGAGGCGATCCTAGATACGATGATGGGTATCAACAACGATGTGACCGAGTCGGCTTCGCTTGTCGATGAAAAACCTGGGGTGCTGGATGCTCTCGACCCAATCATCAATGATGTTTGTGATCAAACTGGGGGCAGTAAAGTTGACCGACAACTCCAAAAGAACGTCGACATCGTGTAAGTTGGGCTACACACTATCACCGCCTCACTAGATATTATCAATACCTTCTCCATGCCATTGTCTAGCTCATTCCCACCCCCCAAAAATGTTATAGTATGCGTAAAGGAAGCAATCATACAGGAAATTGATATTTATGATCCTCGTACTCAACAATCAAAGTCAAGGTCACAAGCTGATATACCGTACTCGACCGAGGGGGCGTTACCTCGCAATCATCTGGAAGTCAGAATCAACAGAATCAATCAGACGAGCATCAACAAAGCGAACGAGCGATTGTCTACAATACTTATCAAGTCACAATATAACACTTCTCATCATTTTGACCCAGTAAAAGTTCTCTTCGTTATAACTCACTGGAAGTTTCTTACTCCGGCGCCTATTTCATCATATCCCATAATGCCTTGCCAATTTCAACGAGACCAATGATAAACCGCGTCAAACCCCCACAAATAATAGAAAACACAATTAGCTTCGCCTGACTCGGAGTAATAGATGAGAATAAACTGGTTAATGATACGATCTCTGGTTGGCTAAGTATTGTTCATTAGCAATTCTATCCACGACATAAGGTTCTTAGTTTATACTATTAAGGATATCAACTTACATGGACATTGTGGTGGCGGTGGCGGTGGCGGTGATGGTGACGGTAGTTGTTGCTGTGTCGACGGTGGTGATGGTGGTGGTGGTGGTAGTGGTGATGGCAGGGACCGCAGGACACGAAAAGATTGTACTTGTCCTGTTCTCGCTGTTATTGAAAGAGTCTAAGACTTATGGAAATATCGAATAAAAGCACTTACATATCTCTGGGAGGTGTGGAAAGGGAGGCGAATGAGAAATCAGCTTGTTGAGATAGTTGTGTCGCCATTTTTGCAGTATGTGGAAGATCTGGAGAGGAAGGGAAGAAAAGAGAGATTGAAACAGTCCAGCGTTCTAGCTAGAATTTATGTCTACCTCTAGATCTCAACCTTAGGATTGAGATCTTAGGAAGGAACACATCATTTTGTCAAGCAGGTGGTTGTCATTTCAAAAGTTACTTGAGTTTATGGAAGGGGGCATTGAACAAGCACTTAAGGTTCACAGCATCTAGAAACTGCATGTTAGGCAATTGCGACCTCCCAGCGGATTATGCTAGGGAGAGTTATAGCTGTTAATCTGCGTACCTAGTACCTATGTCAATTATCCTATGCAGTCGCCATATATTTGGACCGTATTTGGTGTTGACAAATTTATGTAGGTAGGTAGAGCAAGAGGAATGTAGATATCAGGAAGAACATTAAATAATTACCAAACGTATCAAGAAGAAACAGGTCAACTAAAAATTGCGTAAAGATACATACATACATACATATTCGTTCGTCATCACACATTCGCTCACTAGGTAGATAGGTTCCAATCCTCAAGACCCTAACAGTTCGTCCACAATCGCTCGTCCCGCAGCTCTCCCCGAGAAAATACAGCCACCGAGGAAAGTCCCCTCGAGGGAGTTGTATCCGTGAACACCACCGCCTCCGAATCCAGCCGCCTCGCCCGCCGCGTATAAACCTGGGAACTTCTCGCCATTGGCCTTCATCACATTGCTTTCGAGATTCGTCTCGAGTCCTCCGAGAGTTTTTCGCGTAAGCAGGTTCATCCGCACTGCGATTAGGGGCCCGTGTTTCGGATCTAGAAGTTGATGTGGCGGCGCAACACGGCTTCGGGCTTCAGCCCAGTAATTTCGGCCGTTGCGGATCAACATTGCCTGTGAGTCCTTGCAGTATTCGTTTACCATCTGTCCGTCGCGTGTCTCGACGGTTTCCCTAATCGCTTTAGGGTCAAGTAAAGGCCCATTTACAGTCTTGGCGAGCTCATTCATGCCTTCGACTAAGTCCTCGAGGTTGTCGCGCACAACGAAGTCCTTGCCATGCTTTTGGAAGTTCTGAACGGGCACGGTTCCCTTGGAACTGAAAAGACGGTTCTTGAGTACCTGCCAAATACTCTTCGATGATATATCGGGGTTTTGCTCTGAACCCGAGAGAGCGAATTCGCGCGCGATGATGGTTTGGTCGAGAACGAACCAGGTGTAGTCGTAGCCTGTACTGCATATGTACTTGAGTGTTGCTAGGGTATCACATCCAGGATAGAGCCAGGGAGGAAGTCTCTTGCCAGTCGCATCCAACCATAGAGAGGAGGGCGCCGGCAAAACGCGGATTCCGTGGTCTGGCCAAATAGAATTCCAGTTCTGCAAGCCTTCGGTGTAGTGCCACATTCTGTCGCGATTGACGAAATTGGCGCCAGCCTCCTCGGCGATCCCCACCATTCGGCCATCAACATGCGCCGGTACGCCGATGACGAAATTCTCTGGTACTTTCGGTCCTAGACGGTCCACAGGCCAAGCCTTTTTCACTGCCTCCACATTACCTCCAATACCTCCAGACGATACTACTATAGCTGCGCCGTGTAATTCAAAGTCACCGACTTCCGCCCTGGATGTCTTCACTCCCCTAGGCGATGCATCTTCCTCAAGGACCTTTCCTCTAACCCCAGACGCTCTGCCATTTTCATCGACCAACAGCTTGTCCACCCTATGCCTAAATTTGAATTCAATTATCCCCTTCTTTGCTGCTTCTTTGACAGGATCGGCGAACACACGCACGATCTCAGGTCCAGCGCCCCAAGTAATATGAAAACGCGGGACCGAATTGCCGTGGCCGTCAGCCGTCCCATCGCCACGCTCAGCCCAGCCGACATTGACCACTACAAAAGAAAGTTAGCGATGCTTTGCGGGGGAATTTCTGGCGGTTATGTCAATGGTTTAGGGGTGGCTGTACTGAATTACAGGGCCTTTGTCATGTCCTAACGCATCATGCCAACATCCGAGACAGAGTGGGGAAAGAAAAGCAACTAGAGGAAAGGTACATACTGAATCCAGCGCCACGAGCCTTGAGATACTTCTCCATATCGTCCGTAGCGAAATTGACAAAGGCTTCAGCCCACTTACTCGGCCAAATGTCCTCGCCGTCGAGACGGTCGAAGCGCGCCGAGCCGAACCAATCGCGCATAGCCAACTTCCGGCTATCCTTAATCCCCAAGCGCCGTTGCTCGGTCGAGTCGACGCAGAAGATACCGCCAAGAGACCAGAACGCCTGTCCACCGAGGTTCTGTTCTCCTTCTTGGTCTACTATCAGTGTTCGCACGCCACGTTCCGATAGCTCGAAAGCCGCGACCAATCCGGCTAAGCCACCGCCCACGATAATGACGGGGAGCTTTTGCTCCGAGGTTTCATTCTCAGCTGCCATTGTTGTCGATCCTGCCGCTCTTCAAAATTGAGGATTCTTAAATGGTGAATATACAATTGCAGCTAATTATCTACTGGCCTATACATTTAGATGAAATGCGCAGTGGAACGTGAGAAAGCAAAAGATGAAAGGGACAAAGGGGGGTGATTAGCTGGTGTAACTTGATGTATTATCAGGATTTGGTCGGAGCATTAGGGGTGGCTGAAGCCGACGTGGAACTCCGTAAAGGCCGTTCCACTTTTATCCGCCTCAGTAAGAACCCCAGATTTTCTCAAGTTCACTGCCCTGGCTGCCTTCCTAAATAGGTAAATACCTAGGTCCTAACGATTAAGACTTAACCCGTTACTCGTTAGAGTCGTTGAGAATTTACCATTTTGAATGTTCAATAGCATGGTTAAATCTCGCTGACGCTTTATACCGAAATCTCTATTTCAAAATGTACAAGTCCAATTGGTCCATGTGAGAAACGTTACGAGTGCACCTGAAGGATTTTGAGGTGTAGGGCGAAACTCGGTACGGTGAACGGCGGGGTTACAGCGGTAATAGGGTAACGGTAGGTGCGCTTACACATGTGCCGAGGCTTGTTCCCTCGAATGATTATCACCATTTCTCTCTTCACCTTTGGCCATTTGAGAAACAAATATGTTTATCATTTCTTGTCATCTGATTCTCGCCTGTTTTGTCTTCAATACGAGAAAGGAGGCGACATTCATATTGGATGCATCTTTCAAGTAAAATATTGACGCACAATCCAACTCAATAACACATTATCATGATACCAATATGTCACACCCTGCAAGGGCTAGAATGAGGCATGATATAGTGAGCAAAAGCTGAGGTTGTTCTTATTCTTGGAGTTGTTTCTAATTAGCTACCTAACGTAAGTAGAAGAAATCACTGAAAGCGTTCCTTCAGCTTAATTAAGTACCTAGTAAGCAGTTTCTCCCCATTTAAGCCCAGAAAATATTGTCTTCATTATTATTTATAGGGTGCTCATTCCGGTGCTCCTCTCATTATATTCCATGCTGCCTTTCCAACTTTGACCAGCCCGGTAACGAAAGGCGTAAGACCTCTGCAAATAACAACAACTGAACACAGCCTGTGCGAAAGTCAATCGCAGGCGCTCGGTCTGATACAAGGTACACGATTACCTTGTCGCTGAGGTTCGTAACGGTTCCCCCAAGGTATGACGTCCAGATTGGCTGTGGGCTTGTGGGTGGTATGGGTGTTTATCGTAGGCGACTTAATAAGATCCATACCGGAGTTCCTCCAGTATCTATTCCCGAACTTTACTTCCTTGTTTATATCGATTCTTCTTGTCGGCTTATTGCGGTAAGATAAGTTTACTACCGCGTTTAAATATGTTTACTATATAAACCGAGCGCGAAGATGAAAGTTGGTGCGGAATATGAGCCGCTTTCCGTTAAGATATTCGACGGATTGGATATTATATACTTATTCAAGAGAATCGGAATACGCTTTTTAGTCTTTCCTTAAGGCTTTCGAATTTTCGAGGACTATGAGTTTATATTCTTTGGGATTCGAATTCTCCTAATCCTTGACGTGTTGTCGTTGGTTAATCATATCCGTAGTAAGGGTTTCGTTGGCGTTTGGTACTATGGCGAGGTACCCTAGCTCTAGCGCTTGTTCGATATCGGGACATAAAAATAACCCATTAAAGGCGCTTGGTTATTAACCCCTTCTTTGCTCCCTCCCCGAAGATGAGATTCATGTGCTTGATAGAGAGTCATCGCAAAAGATATCTTGTGGTTCTGACGCCATCCTAATGGTGTTTACTAAGGTCGGGCTTGCAAGATCCTAGCAAGTTGTGTTAGCACCCCGAACTAATGGCCATCGTTTACGATAAACTATACCGCTTTCCATGACACGGAAGAGATCTAGACGCGAGGTTCGGTGTCTATTGCGGCCATCCTGGATACTCCTCGAGTGTGGTGTGTGCGGAGTGATGGAGCGGATGAGGCGAGCCTTTGAACCCCCCCCCAATCATAGTTGCTGTTCTTGCAGTGCACTTACTAACAGAAGTCATCGATGCCTTTAGGAGAAGGAGGCATTGTTCCGAATCCTGACACCGCGTCTCTTAGGACTCGCATTGCTTCCCGGAAAGTTGAATCTAGCTCCTTAGGTCCTCTGTAGATTGGGACTTTCGCCGAGTCCCATCGTGTTTTGCTTATTTTTTACTCTGTATTCACTATTGTTAAAGGAACCGAAAAATAGGCACCGGGGGTGGGTATACTTACATACCACCACCAGGAGTCGCGAGGGGAAGGCAAACGACCCGAGTGAAAATTGGGCTGTCAAGGTTCCGTAATGTATATAATTAGTAGGGTATCTCCCCTCGCATGATTTCATCACAATAGAGGTGTAGTAATATAATTGATGTATTGGACAAGAAGTGAAGTTGACATAGGAAATTTGGTCGACACTATCCATGCTATGTGAAAGATGGCTTGAGGTTAATAGGAAATGAATGTATAGGTTCTGTTGGCGAATATGATTGATCCGAGGAGCGAATGAAATTGATTGGGGTAATCATTGAAGATGATGTTCGAAAGGGGGATGGACAGTAGGGGTAAGTTCGTGGTATATATATATATACGCATTGAAGCGTTTCTCTATGCCTTATGAGCTAGTTTCGTCATTCGATGTTGCCTTTCAGTCTAATTCAATTGCCTCAAGAGAGGGAGATGGGGTAGTTCCAGTTTCCCACTATATCATGAAGGTAGAAAATATAGGCACCTACACGATACCTTGGTATAGAGAACATTGAATGTTTATCCAACTTTGAGTTTCTTCTGGACATGGAATTAGCTCATATGATGCGCAAGATAATTAAATTCAAGGGTTGAACTATATACTTAGGTAGGTACTAGGTACTAGGTAGTCTAGCTGTGTTGAAGTAAGTACGACTATTATGGCAATTATTTGGCTCCGTAAATGTCTAGTTGTCGACATCGCGCCTGACTGAGCATGAAACGACTCGTGATAGCTCCTGAGGAAACTGGCGTCATACTCCAACGAGCAAGTAATCGCGTAAAAAACACAATGCATATGCATAAACCGCAAATCAAGGTAGCCAACCCATCCCATTACCCCCTAGATAGTCCCTTACCACCAATTTAATTCTTCGTACTTTCCAACACCGCCTTAACCATCTTGTTACCAACCTCTACAGCCGTCGGAAACCTCTCCTCAAAGAATTTCTGCGTGACCATGAACCTCTCCCTCCACGTCTCAAAGTGTCCCAACCCAACACACTCGGCCCATCCTCTTGCCGCAAATGTGAACTCAAGGTCGTCGCTCCTGAACGTGTTATCCTCTACTGCAATCCGCAGCGCCTCGTCCAGCCGATCCGGGTCCCGGAATAAGTGTTCGGTGACGCCTAGCCATAGGCGGAACAGCGGCGTACTACAGATCATATGATCGTATGGCACAATACCCAGGGCGCTCCAACAATCCACCATCGCCAGAAGACTTAGGTGATTATTCGGTAAGGGCTTGCTATCGGGTCTCGGTGCACCCAAGCTAAACTGATCCAACACCTCGTCCTCAAGCAAAGGTTTATCAGCCCACTTCGGTTTATGCTCCTTCCCAAACACCTTCTCCTTAGCACTTAGGACACGTGCCCGTAACTCATCGAGGTGTCCGCCGAGCATCATCTTGTACAGCTCCGTGACGCTCTTCGCGTACTGGTCGATCTGCTTGCGGGCCTCGGGGTTGAGGATGGCCAGGCCGGCGTAGACGTGCCACTTCTGGCTGTAGATACGCATAGTTAGGTTGATCTTGACGTTCTCGATACCGCCCACGTAGCGCGTGTTCTCCCATGGGAATTGGCGCATCGAGTGCCACGCCTTGCCCATGCTAAGGAAGGCTGCGTGCGTTACGGCTTGTGTATCCGCCGTGATGCGATCGTGCTCGTGCGCTGACAGGTATACGTGCTTCGACTCAAGGCATTTCAGGACGGTTTCGACTTTTTTAAAGGAGCCTCGTGAATCACGATGCTTGATTATGACCTAATCGCGGTAAGCAGGGGAATAGCTAAACGTGCCTTAGGATAGTTACTAATGGTTGATCTTTCGTATCGACTTTTGGGCCATGTAGAGAATGACAAGAGACGATATCTACGTCTGCTGGGAGATGGTCTTCGAAGGCCTTAATCTCGGGATCTTTACACGATGTCTGGCCACCGACGATGGCACCGAGCTTGGTTGCTGCTCATACTTAGTTACGTCTCTAATCAACTTAGATATATCATCTCATACAAGGGCCATACTCGGCGACAACACGGTCGATAGCCGCAGCTTCTACGCTGTAGATGATATAATCACTTGCGCGGGATACGAGATGGCCATTTCGAAGAATTTGTATATTGCTCTAGACACCTCTCAGCATGGGCTACGTTCTGAGAAGGGAGCTATATATATGTACCCTGCTGGCGAACTCCTTCTGCAGACCATCATATAGCTCTTCTCTATCACAGGCTATCACTCTAGCAAATAGTGTCGTTAGTACACCAGGAAAATGCTTTGTGAAATTACTAAAATCTGTAGACCACATGTTAGCAGACTGAAACGAACGTCGATATCAAACGAATGTGGTGGTGTGTTGAAGCTTCAGACAAGAAAAAGTAAGGTAGCTGAGAAGTTACATCATGGAAAGCGATCAACCGCCGGGAACCAGAATGGTCGACCCCGACAATTGAGGGCAATGCTCGAGCCAAATGCACTCAAGTCATCATATGCGAAGAAATTGTGCTAGATTAGAAAATTTGACTTACCAGGTAGATTGAAAGAAGTTGGATGCTGAAGACAACAATTGCAGCCATGTTGGATACGTCTTACCTCCAGCCCGCATCGCTAAGCTTCTGCGCATACATCTTTCCCATGTCGCCCATGCCAATGATACCGACGATGAATTTCTCCATGTCGGGAGACTCACTAGAGTTGCTGTCTGTTGCCATGGTCGACGTTATTTTCCCACGGATATTGACTAGAAAGAAGTCATAGGTAACAGAGAGTTCACATTCTTTATATCTTGCGCAGCTCCGACACAGGATCAGATGAGTCAGAGCGCGGTCAAGCTTCAGACTGTGAATTGCTCATGGAACCTTGGAAAATTTAAAGTGAAGAAACAAGAAAATTTCGGCCACGCTTGAAAAGATATGGAAAAATTAAGTGGACCTCGCGTTGGTGGGACGGCTTATCTGCTAGGTGCGGAACAATTCAATCCCGGAAGGAAATGTGGCTTGTGTAGATCATCGATTTTCAGCCACTACAATCAGATCCACCAATGAGAAGCTAAGCCACAAGTTCGGGCATCTCACGGTCGACTTGTGTCACAGCTCGTACACAATTTCATGACTTTCGCACGGTGATTTAATCAAGTATGGACGGCCTCTTCGCACTCGGCTCAAACGGGTCGGGCCAGTTGGGCATAGGGCACAAAGAGGACGTCTCCGTACCAAAACAAGTCGAGTTCGCCGGCGAGGCTCCTAAGGACGAGGTCGTGCAAATTGCTGCGGGAGGCAATCATACCATTCTCCTTACGAAATCCGGAAAAGCATACTGGTCCGGTGACTCGTCAAGTGGCGCCTGTGGAATCGTGCAAGACACTGAAAATACGGAAGTGTCTAAGTTTCGCGAACTAATCCTCTCGAACTCGGAGCGCCTTGGCCCTGTCGCTCACGTAGCTTGTACCTGGGACTCGTCTGTCCTCGTTCTGAAGGATGAGAATAACAGGGCGACGCGAGTCTACATGTGCGGGGTAGCTGATATGGGATCGGCAAGCGCAAACTCGGAATCAGCCACTTCCGGAACGCCGCATTTACTCAGTGGTTTCCCTCCGCAAGGAACAGAAGTACAAAGCCTTGCTACTGGATTTAGGCATGTTATCGCCTTATTAGACAATGGGGACATTTATGGCTGGGGTAACGGGCGAAAGGGTCAACTAGGAGAATTAGCTGATACGGCTGATTTAAAAGGTGTAATACACCATCCTCAGAAAATCAATGGAATTCCTTTCAAGGTATCTCGTGCCGTATGTTGCCAGTATACGACCTGTCTCATTAGTGAGCCTGGAGATGGTCGGATACTTGTTCTCGGAGCAGATAAATGGGGACTCAGAAGCGCCGCACCTATTGAGATACCTAACTGGAATATGATAGGCGCAAGTTGGGGGAGTATTTATATCCTACAGCGAAACGGTCAACTCGTCGCGTGGGGTCGGGATGACCACGGCCAGCTCCCACCCCTGTTACTTCCAGAAATAGAGAATATCGCTGTTGGAAGTGAGCATGTTCTAGCGTTAACTAAGGACGGTGATGTGTTGTCCTGGGGTTGGGGTGAGCACGGAAACTGCGGGCCACAAATCGAGAAATACGGAGATGTCAAGGGACGATGGAATATATTGGCATCTCTAAAGAACTTGCCGGAGGGATCCAAGATTACAGCTATTGGAGCTGGATGTGCTACGAGCTGGATCAATATTACTACAGAAGGCGTTTACCTCTGAACTATTATTCTACCACAGTCAGACTTCGAAGACCCACCTAATCAGCCATAGCCTAACCTCCAGGTACTCGCCCACAACAAAATGAGTCGTAAGGACCCTATGTACCTGCATAGCCCGCTAATCATTAAAGAAGCCAAATTTACGAACTTGCGAGAGTCGTTGTGTCGGTTCAAGATGATAAGGAGGGGGTTCAGTCGCGTCATTGGTACTCGGTCTCTGGGTGTTCTGATCTGCCATCATATTTCTTCTATTCGTGGCTGGTTGGTCTCGGTTCTGGAATGATGTCAGCCACCTTGATGCAAACAACCAGATCAAAGGGGATACTCACAAAATCTCCACTGACATCCCACTCAAGACGGGCATTTTCTTCCTCGTCTTCATCTTCGCCGACATTCACAGGATCCCACTGTTGTTCGTCATCTTGAGGCACGAAGAGAGACTCGGATTGCATTGTGGCCGGAGGTGGTCGTTGAGAAGGACGGGTAATCGGTGGTCTCAGAGAAGGAACAGGATCGACTCGTGGCCCCTGTGATTTGGGGGGAGGTATACGAGGCGCCGGTGTAGATGCATGTGATGCGGCTCTACTAGTAGAAGCCTCGAGCTGAGGCGGCTTCGCCCCTTTAGCACCACCGCGGGTCTTCTTGGCCTTCTGGCCGGGTGCGCCTCTTTCGCCAACCGTCATTAGAAGGAATTCACAGCCGATTCCATCACCTTCATACTTGAATTGCAAAGGCTTGGACGGGATCGAATAGTACGCTGAAATTGGGCAACCGATGAATCCCGCATGCTGGATGATTGCTCTAAAGTCTTTGACGCTGATGACGATATGCAACTTATCCTCTTCGACGACGAAATCCTCGAACTCATCTCGTTCGACAGCAATAGACGTGTGGAGCGGCTTTTTCAGCACTTCCTCGCCGTTTTTAACTTTCTCGGTGAAACATGTGAAGCTGACCGTATCGTCGTCTTCTGAATGAATATCGAGATATTCTATTCCGGGACCAAAGTGGTCCATGAGCTGTCGCAGTGTTCGAGATGGAATAGACCAATGGTTTATTGCTTGGTCCCTATCAAATTTGGCGTGGACTGGTGGAGTGACTTCGAAGGGAAGACGGTATTTAGTTGTGATTCCTACATCCCCGTCAGCTAGTAGCGCGTGGTGGACTATCCAGTATGGATTACTTGCCATTTCGGAAGACGATCTTGGCGATGAACCGACTTTTCTTGCCGGGTTCGTCTACGATGGCGACATCGCAGTGTTCAATAACCGTGTCCTTCTCTCTGTCATGTCCACTATCGCCGCTCCTAGCTCTGAATAGAGACAGCAGAGCCTAGAAATACTCATGTAAGAATAGAATATAAGACATAGTTGAGTAAATTGCATACCCGATTGTACAACTTGCAAAAAAACTTTTCGCGGTTCTGAGGCACACCTTCAAAATGGTACTTGGAGAAGAAACGTCTAGCTTGAAAGGAGAAGGATGCATATGCCGACTTGGAGAGATTTAGAGTGGTGAATACTAGCTACGTAGAAGACTCAGCGACGGATCTCAATTAAACCAGAAGGACAGCCGTACCGTATCCTTCTTAGCCTCGAGAGAAACTTCTTCACTAAATTTACCGAGGCATGATAATGCATCTCTCAGAGCATTGACGCCTTCTTCGCTCAATGTAAAGTTCAGGACAGCCATAGCTTTGACTATCCAGAAGAAGCCGAGCTTCCCACCATTTCCTTTCGAATAATTTCTGAAATAGGCCGACTACTTGAATATAATAGGGTCGCGATCGATCTGATTGATTGGCTCTTATACAGATAGTCCTAGAGTTTTAATTCGAGGCAACATGATTGGTAATATATTCCGTATCCCATCAAATAATGATATAGTTGATTGAGTTGATGTGTTCAGCTAGAGTGCAGGGATGTTGAGTAATGTGGGAATACAGCACCCTAGCACCCTAGTCCACTATTAGTCCGCTGTCCAATCAAGGTCGCGTTAAGCTTATTCAACGCGTCGCGGGGTGCTAATCCGTAGCTCATACAGTGCTCCGTACGATGACATAGCCTTTCAATATACCTTTTCAATACTTGAAATCCCGATTGACCGTCGGCTTTTACAGAGTACATGAAGGTACTAGACAGTGCTAAAATTGACGTTACACGCGGTAGATTCAAATCCCGAGAATAACCTTACTTTGGAAGGTAACTGTAACATCAACGCTGCAAGACAGACTGCAATTGCCATGCATCTAGATTAACGAACCTTATAAATTTTCGACTTCAGACAAACCACACATCGCTTTTACACATTCTATTCATCTTCGTTGTTACTTGGAAAAATTTCCAACTACTCCGAAAATGAGCTCTATCTCTCTACCACAAGAGATATTTCTCTTGTTATGCCAGGAGCTTGCTGCACGTCGTGACTTCGGTACTCTTTTCAACTGTTCTCTCGTCAGTAAAAGGGTTGCCCCTATCGCTTTGGAACAGCTCTACAGGTAAGTCTTATATTAGTAATGCACATTTATACTTGAGTTGACAAATCTTGCCATCTAAAGCATCCAAGAATTATCCTCGATCAGCATCGGTGACGATTACAATAGACTCGAATGGTCGCGATTATGGCGATCTATCATCCTCTCCAGTATTGGGAAAACCGCATATCCATATTGCGTCTATGTCCGATCCCTATCAATTGGCAATCTTGAGGATTGCCTTTCAGATATTCCCCGGGACACACATGTTAGAAGTTTCTTTTTCGAAGGCCCTATGGAACAATTCCATCTGGTACGAGATGGACGTCTGTCAATCATGTCTATACTGATTATGTGCGCCGATTCCATCATAAAATGTATAAAAAGATCGGCAGATTCTGCAGGTGCAGCAGTAGCTTTGGAGCATTTAGAGGGGACTTATATTCCCCACGACGTATTGCCAGGTTGGATTGCACAACTTCGCGGTCTTAGATCATTGCGTATCAGAGACGGATCCGTACTAGGTCTCGATGCTGCCACAGCCATATCTCAGCATTGTCCTGATTTTACGGATCTGACTTGCTACTACTGGTAAGTTTGTTGAACTACCTACCTACCTACAGTATTCCGTTATTCATACAAAGACTAATCTATCTCTAGTATGTTACGACGCCTTTCACTCTTACCTTCTTTCATGCGTGACCAAGATCCGAAGACCTTCATAAGATATATTAACAGACAACAGATAGTAGTCCTGATGCCGATACCGATCTAGCCGCTTTCTTCCTAGCGCTCCGCCCGAATAGCCTTCGAAGTTTTGAAATTATTAGCAAGAATGAAATTGGACCGGCCGCGTTGACGGCGCTGAATACCCATTCGAAATCGCTCCGGAGTCTCTCGTTTAGAAGTATAAGCGCGCAAGCAAAAGCTGCTCTCCCTCACTTATCAAGTTGTACTGCTCTAGAAACTCTTGTTATCGAGAACAGGGATTTCTTCAACTATCAAGATTCAGATGACGCCGAGAGCAAAGAGGTACTCCAAAGGATCATTGCTTGGATAAGCAACTGTAAATCTCTTAAAGACCTAAACTTACGCATAAAGGATGCCTTATCCATAGCCAAGGGAGTGCTATTGTCGCCTGACATTCGCTTCACATCATTATCTATGGTGGATGTTGGACCCACGTCCGAAGCAATGGAGGGCGTAGACTGGACGGCGCTTGGCTCTCAAGATCGTCTCGAATCGCTTACTCTCGGTTCCGGAGACACTGGCGCAATCAGCTTCATCCAGTCCGAATTCCGATTGGCGGAGTCAATCTGCAATCTGAAGAACCTGACATCCCTAAACCTCATGCTGACGTATATTACCTCTGATGTATTAGAACGCATTGCCACATCGCTACCTAAACTATCCGAATTCATCTTCTCCGGCGACTCGATGACTGACTCTATGCTACAACCTCTGGGAAATATCCCCCAGTTAAAATTACTTTCCATCAACACTTTTACTTCTTTTAGTTTTGAAGGATTATACGAGTTTGCCATGAAGCTTAACAGGCCGAATTGTATGGGCATCAGGGTGGATATCTTGAACCAAATAGGAGAGCTCAAACTTAAGGAGTCCGACTACGCTCGGTTACAACAATACTTCGCGGAAACGCTCCAAGGTCGGATTGAGATAGCCTACTACCACGACCCAGACGAACTTCACGAGATGGACTTCTCCGACACCGACTAGGGAATTTAGACTGTCGGGGGCATGGTTATATAGTTGACCGTACTTACGTTTAAGAATCACATTATTCAGAGAGTCGGGATTTTATTCATGTATTATCAAGGTATCTAACCCATGTAGACGCCTCAGTTCACGTATTCCTAGCGTATCAGAGTAGGTTCTTTCCCATCAATAGGCAACTCGTGCTGCCGGTTTCCTCGGACTACACATGTCCGCGAGACCTTCTGTTGTGTGCTTAGCTTAGTTAAACACATCGCCGTCAGCCATGTTTTCCGCGCTCATAGTAACCAGAACACGATCATCAGAGTCATCGGAATCGTCAGAATCAGAGCCGTCGTCACACTTGGTAGAATGGTCGTCCTTTTCATCCTCCATCTGGGAGTGGGGAGTCGGAGACAGTTGAGTACGCACGCGACGGGTCATGATTTCGCGCTGGGCGTTAGTCAGATCCTGCGTCTCGGTTCCCATTCGACTTGTTCCCGCCGTGCCGAGTGGAGCGCCACGAGGTTGGGTGTGCGGCTGTCGGATACGCGCGAATCTGTGGGCGGTGCCGAACTCCGAGATGGACTGAGGGTAGGTAGGACCGTTGCCGGGCATACCGTTGTCGTTGGCGCTAGAGGTCGGGGCGCCGCCGATGTACTGGTTGTAGTAGTATGGCTGGCTTTCCGTGCCCGGGTGGTAGTACGGCGCATTGTTGCTGTTGGTGCCGATGCGGCTGGCGTCGCTGGTGTTGTTGACGTTGCGAGTACTGCCGATGTTGCCGGTAAGACGGGCACCGCCGGTGCTGTTACCAGTGTTGTTACCGGTACTAGTGTAGTTACCGTAACCACCGGTGCCAGTGTAGTTACCGTAGCTACCGGTGCCGGTGTAGCTACCCGCACCGGTGTGGCTACCGATACCGGTGTGGCTACCAGTACTAGTGTAGTTACCAGTGTGACTACCAGTGTAGTTACTAGTGTAGCTGCCAGGATAGTTACTCATGTAGTTACCAGTGCGGTTACCGGTACCAGTATGGCTACCAGTGTGGCTACCAGCCTGGTTACCCGTATAGTAACCAGTGTTGCTACCGGTACTAGTGCTGTTACCGGTACCAGTGTAGTTACCGATACCAGTATAGTTACCGGTACCGGTGTTGTTACCCACACCAGTGTTGTTACCGGTACCGGCACCACTATCACGGGCACGGTCAAGCTCATGTTCGCGAATAGCATTGAGCAAGCCATTGCCGGGGCCGGTGTAGTCGCTGCGACCACTGCCTGTTCCGGAACCGTAGCTTTCGGTGGGAGTGTTGCGACTGCTGTTGTCCTGGCGGCCGCTGATGCTGCTCATGTCAGAGGCTGGAGCCATGGCGGGGAGCCACGAGGGAGGCCAGGTAGCTTGGGGCTGGGTAGAGCGGTCCATGGCGTGGGTGGTCTTTGCCTCCTGGGGCTGACTCTTGGGGGCCTCGGTCTTGGCTCGGTCCCGGATGGGGTAGGTAACCTGCATCTTGGCTTGGTCTTGGATGGGGTGGGTGACTTGCATCTTGGGTTGAGCCTGTGCCTGAGTCTGGGCCTGGGCCTGGACTTTGGCGCGAGGATGGATTACCTGAGTCTGGGTCTGAGAAGAGCGAGGACCCTGGGCCTGAGTCTGAGTAGCACGATTCTGGTTCTGAACCTGAACAGTCTGGGTAGAGCTGGAGACCGTATGCTGGACAGTGGCCTTATCCTCGACCTGAGCCTGGGAGTGACTCTGGATTTGAGGCTGGGTATGGCTCTGAATTTGAGGCTGAGGAGGGGCGCTGCTAAGGATCTGGGTGCCGTTAACTCCCTGGATGCCGATACCAAGGGCAGCAAGCTGCTGCGTTATGAGGCGGCCTGAGGAAGCTGCGGACGCAAGGTCGACGTAGAACGTGTTCTCGCATTCCCAGCCACACCAGTGGTTGGAGACAACGCGAGTCGTGTTCTGGCCATTGGGAATGCACTGAGTATAATGTTAGTAATTGATTTTTTGAATCTTTACTTGATGCGTTTTTTTTTCGGGTGTGAAGGGAGGGGGGGCGGTAAAATAAAGCCATATAAACAGCATCGCGTCACGTTCCGCGCCCCATAATGTGGCTCATGGACGTGATTATAAGAAGTCTACCAAAATATTTCATAGGATGAGGAGACGTAGGAGGAAATAATATATGACAAGGGAAAAGAAAAAACAGGAATAAAAGACTTAGTACATACAGCAGCAGGCAGCTCGAGCTGAAGGCGCTGGAAGCCTTCAATGGTCCACGAATTAGTGTCGATATTGATGCCGGCCAGCCTGATGAACATTGGCTGGCAGATCGGACCCGTGGTGATCTCGGAGTGACCGCAACGGTACTCAATCAGGACGAATTGACACATGATGCCAGAATTCTTCGCGTATCTGTATGGCAAGATGGAATCAGAAATTTGCGGGAAAGTGTGTGTATTTTTAGCCGATGCTCAGCGGCTTTCTGCTTACCTGGCTACTCGTAGCTTGGGCGAGTATCTGTTGGTGAGGTGAAGATATCAGAAAAACCAGATCTTGAAAATTGTGTCAAGGACTGGTATCCTACCTGTGGTTAAGTAGAAAAGAGAATTCTCTGGAGACTGGGAGCGTGGGCTTGATTGATCTGTAGTAAAGAAAACGAACTCGGGACTCGAAGCCGAGACGAATCTGAACCGTCCGCGAATAATCGTCACTTCATGGCTTTCCTCGGGGATGTGTAAAGGGAGACGCGAAATTCTGGAAAGGGGAGTTTGTGGTTGATAACTTGAGGCACGAGGGTGTCGGGTATAAAGATGCGTCTACCGACTTTCTTGAGGTAAAGCTTTAGGGTATTAGAGGCCTGTCCAGTATAGCACTTAGCCTCACGGGTATGGTGGTCCTTCACGAAGACTACCTAGGACTTAGGTATGTCTAGGCTTCTGTGGTGTAGTTCTCGCTAGTTTCTAGTTGTATATATCACGCGTGTTTGGCCTATAGGTACAAAGGGTAAATTCACAGGTTAGGATAGGGGGCAGATACCACTAAAGGGGCATTTGTGTTACCCTATTCCAGCTTGTAGTGTCAAGTCAACGTGTAATTGTCTAAACACGGCACAATCATTCAGTGCCTACCTAGGTACTTAGTTAAAAACGAGTATGATACACATGTATTCTTTGATTCAATACATACCTAGTACTAGTTGTAAATACAGAGTAGAAGCTGACTAATAATTTTCGCTTCTGGTACAGTACAAACAGGCCTGTTCATCTTGTTTGTATGCTTGGGATGAAAGCGTAACCTAAGAAATATAGCGACATGTTATATAGGTAGGTTATATTATAGACCTAAAGGGCTCGGTAGAAGAGGAAGAAAGTAATGTTTATTCGCTAGTTCGGCCTTCTATAAGATATGGTGCCTTAGAGTAATATTAAAGGATTGGTGGTAGGAAGCTCAGGCACATCCCTAAGTCAACATTTGATACTGCCTTTATAATCACCGAGCTTACAAGTCGGCTACTATGATATATTCCTAATATTCATGCATAAAGAAAAGACCCGAACATTAATTGCGTAGAAAATGGCGGGAAAAAGCACATCGATGCTGAAAACTAAGGCAGCATCACTAGGCAACGCAAGAAGTTGTCTTCCCAAATGACATCCTTTCCGTGAGATAGCAAAAAGTACAAGCTTCAAATAGATTGAACTTGGTTATTTAACAATACTTCTTTTCGCCAGCCAAGTAGGAATATATTTATGATCTTAGTCTCGGTACAGCTCTGCTCGTGAACGGGTATCAAGTCTTTGGTATTAGTCACCTCTACTCATGCTATGAATGCCAACCTAATGAAGGAACGAATCCAAAAAATGCAGCTCTAGCCCAAAACGGTATAATCCAATCCCAATAAAGCCAAGATCTCATACTTCCACATCTGCGCTCATTCGTTGGGTCTCCATCGCCTCATGCGATACCCAGTGGTCCTCGACCTCGGTAGCTACCGTAGCGGTATCATCCATAAAAGAATCTTGGCCAATCATACCTAGCCTCTTCTTTGATGTCATCTTTTCGTTCAGCTCCTTAGTGATAGCGTCAACGTCGACGTTAAGATATTCCCTCAGGTATTTTCCTACGTCGGTGTTCTCCACATTACCCCGAATAGCGTCGGTACCGGGGCCGCCGGAGCTGTAGATGTTGACGTCCACAGCTGAGTGACCGTGTGTGCTCCAGCCAATCTGTGCGCGAATGCTAATCATGTGTGCGAAGGTATTTTGAGCCTGTTCTGGCTGGGTGGCCAGTGCTGTGAGTTCGTCGTCGGACGCGTCGTGAATACCGAGACCGGGAACGACGAGTTCTTCGTTAATGTACTTCTTGAGCTGATCGACTGAACCGATTGAAGTCTTTGATACGTGGCCGTGAAGTCGATGAGCAAGGTACTCTGATGATGATGAGGCGTTCGCTAATACGGCGGGATACCACAAATATTGTGGGTAATTGGCGTTGATCTCTGGAAACATGGTGAGCAAATATCTATCACGGTTAGAAAGATAGACTTACGTCGCGCAACAGCTAATCCACCTGTTTCATGGTCAGAAGTGGCAACTAGAACACCCGGCGTGCGACTTTCGTCTAGAAAATCTAAAACAGCTTTGAAAGTTCTGTCATATTCGAGGACTTCTCGGACCTGTGCAGCTGGATCGTTTCCGTGTCCGGCATGGTCGATCCTACTACCCTCGATCATCAAGAAGAAGCCTTGGTCACTGCCCTCGGTGGCCTTCTCAAGAGCTCTCAGAGCGGTCTTGGCCATCTCGCTAAGACTTGGGTAGATGTCGTTCATGTTTTGCCTATCGAGTTCGAATGGAATATCCGTATCGGCGAAAAGACCTAGCATGGGAAGTGGAACTTCTTTCTCGCCTTCCCAGAACTCATCAAATCCTGTCCGATCGCTGATGTAGTTCCAACCGTAATCGTTCTTTGCCATTTCCACAACATCAATATTGTCGGCTCGGCATCCGCCATCAGTCCCGTTCGGTAGGAAACGGCATCGTCCACCTCCAAACATCAAATCTACCACACGGCCAAGAGGCCCATTCCCAACCTCTTGTACAGCAACATCATCGTTTTGTGAGCGGATGTCGACATGGCTAGCAAAGCAAGCAGGTGTAGCATCGGTGATATCCGTTGTAACAACAAGTCCAGTCTTGTATCCAGCTTTCTTGGCCGCTTCGAGTACAGTGCCACAAGGGGTGGAATCGGGTAACATAGAAATAGCTCCGTTGTAACTCTTCATCCCACAGCTGAAAGCTGTCGCTCCGGCTGCAGAGTCGGTGACTAAAGAAGAACTGCTTCGTGTTCGGCTGCTACCCCAAAAATGCTTGTCAAGAGTGAGGGTATCGCTATGGTCGAGCCCTTCAGTGTATTGTCTAAAGCTCCGGGTCATCGATAGAGATGCGGGTCCCATGCCGTCAGAGACCATGAAAATTAGATTACGTTTGCCGGCAGGTTTTTCGAACGCGGTTTGTTGTTGATGCGATGCCCAGACAGCGAGAACTAAGACACCGGCGGTCGCGAGAAGTGCCCATGCGAATAAAAGAGATTCCCGTAATCGGTTATGCCATGCTCGGCCATGGTGTGTAGCTCTAGATTGTCCACGTAGAGCATCTTCTTCAGAATCGCTCAGCGAATTAGAATTTGCGTCGGGATCGCGACGATCGTCGGCGAGGAGAGGCGTCGTCGCATTAGCCTAGATAATCAAGGATATTGTCAGCTTAGTCTGATATTTAAGACACGTTTTTGTAAGAGTTTCGCGATGAAATTTAGGGTGTAAGTCGGCGGCATACTCACCATATTGATCAAGTTTCTTTGATCGTAAGGCTTTAGATAGGGAGAGGTAAGAAGGAGGTGAAGAATGAGATCTACCTACCCAAGATACATGTTGGGATAATGAAGGTTGCACAAGTCGGAGCTTATCATACCTACTGTTTAGGTTCGATAAGTCCCTGAAACGGGACTGCATGCATAAGCCCCACAACACGGTTCCCATGACGTTATCATGCGTACCTAACAACTAGGTTACATCGGGCTGTTGTACCAATATGAGACCTCGTTTAATTTAATAATATGGGTTTAGAGCCAATTACATAAGTCGTATCACTCTATTCAATTATCCCGTTTCCCCTAAAAAGGGGCATACCTGTATGGTCTTTGTATTTGATATTGAAGAGAATTGAATGATGAATTTTAATTTGCCTGTGAGTATACCTTAGGCTATGTGTCGAAAAGAGTGAATCTAAGGTGTCCAGATACTTTGGTCTTTTAAACTTCGTTGAGGAAGAATTGAGCTTAAAGGGGCAGATATAGCATCTCAAAATTTCAACTAGTATCTATACAAATATTCTTAATTTCTAATGTTCCTCATGTCGGGAATCAACTTAATTGCTAGGCATAAGAGATCTTTGAGCAGGTTTCCAGGGCTCTTTGAAAATCGATTCACAATATCAAGCATTAGGTACTCTCAAGAGAGTACAGATTCTTCAGTCCAGTATGCTTCTCATTAAACCTTGGGACATCGTTCGCGAACTACGTCAGTAACTTTAAGACACAAGCAACTCTCACTATCTCATTGACGGATTTTTGGGGATTTTTCTTGCGACATAGGACCCTACCTCAGGAACAAGATAATACTAACTAAGGATTATGCGCTTGGACAATGCCTTTGGATTCCGTCGCTTATCTCTCGTTATTTCTCGAAGAAACAATGCGACAATGTAAATTGTTTGTTCCTCAAGAATTATTCAATGGTGTTTGTTAACACTGCTTTGTGTATTAGCGTTTTTCGAGAACAATCCATACAGACTTTTTGTATGCAGTATCTCCATAGGGGTATAAGAGACTTAGATCCTGGTCTCAAACATCAGTCAGTTGATTTATTCTTCCTCACTCCTATTACTTACCTCCCAATTCACTCCATTTCACAATCGACAATTAAGCGAGCCGGTCTCATAATACGTCGATACTAGTCTGGTACTTTTTTTCACAAGCAAGTATATTTCCCCCTCAAAAAAAAATAAAAATGATCTTTAAATCCATCACAGGCACCTTCATTCTGGCCTCCACGGCCGTGAATGGCCATATGATTATGGCAAAGCCCAAGCCTTTCGGCGGCGCCGACCTTGACAACTCTCCGTTGACCTCCGGCAACTTTCCGTGTAAGTTGAAAGGCGACCCGGCAACGTTTTACAAGACTGATGGCCTTGATAACACGATGGCGGTTGGAGAGAGTCAAACCCTGTCCTTCAAAGGCTCAGCCGTGCACGGTGGTGGATCCTGTCAATTAGCCATCACGAAAGACATGCAACCCAGTGCGTCGACATCTTGGCAAGTAATCGAATCTATCGAAGGCGGTTGCCCGAGTAAATCCGGCCAAGGGGCGGATACCTACGACTGGAAAATTCCCGATGGAGTAGCGCCTGGGAAGTACGTTTTCTCGTGGTCGTGGATCAGCAAGCTCGCGGGACAGCCCGAGTACTACCAGAACTGTGCCCCCATCACAGTTACGGGAGGTAAAAAGCGATCTAACGCTAATGAGACATACGAGCTTCTCTCGCGAGATAATTCCTTCCCCGAGCTTTTTGTAGCTAACCTCGCTGATATCAATTCATGCAAGACCGAACCCGGTACAGACCCCGAGTACCCTAACCCCGGATCTAACGTCGTTCGTCCTGGCACGAACAACAAGTTCGCGAAGGTCCAAGGAGATTGCGTTCCCAAGGGGGCAAAGTCTGGAGGATCGAGCGGAAACGTTGATGTGAACGCTGGTAGCGGGTCAAGCGACAGTGGAAACTCGGGATCAGCTCCGGCCTCAAGCAGCAGCAGTGCCTCTGCAGCAGCGAGTTCGCCAGCAGGTCCCCCCACGCCTTCGGGGTTCATAACGAGCGTTATCCCCGCGGGTAACAGTGCTCCTGCATCCCAGGCTCCTTCTTCCGCCGCAGCTGCTAGCTCCGCTCCGTCCCCGGCAGGATCCTCGAGCCCAGCGGGTAGTAGCTCTCCCGGATCGGGTTCCGCCGGAGGACTTACGGGAGCTTGTACTTCTGAAGGTATGTTTAATTGTATTGATGGTACCTCGTACCAGCAGTGCGCGTCTGGGAGCTGGTCGGTTGTTATGCAGATGGCTGCGACAACTAAGTGTGCCCTCGGACAGACAATGACCCTTTGGGGCCGAGACGAGATGAAGTCCGAGTAATGTAGGAGATGGCGATAAGGTAATTAGAATATGACTGAACTGCAGAGAAGAGTTTCACTGGGCTCAAATTCTGTGTTTTTGATGATAGTCATATAACCTGGACATAACGGTCCTTCATAAACTTAGAATAAATCAACTAGCTCAGTCAATCTACATAATTCCCATTTCATAGGTCCCTTTATATTAACTCAACATGGTATATCAAGCAGTATCGCATCCTCCACATCTTGTGTGCTGATTACAGAATATGCACGACGGAGTAGTGTTGATGATCATCGGGCCTAGCCCACATTGACACTGAAATAATTAGAGATATTTTTCTTCATATCTTCCAGTTTTAGGGGATAATAAGACGTAAGAATATGTGATACTAGTACTTACGCAATACCATATAGGTTTGCCTCCCTTTTTCTCACCCAAACTATCTTTGGTCTTTCTCAATGGATTATCACACACGATATCCATAGCAGATGGAGAAGGGTGGCTATCTCGTTTGGACTTATCAAACGAATCGAAGATAGCTATCGAGATCTGATATTGAGCTTTGTGGTGATATCGAGGCGTTTTTCTTTATAGTATTGTTAGAGTGACATGAAGATGCGTGGCGAGAGATTCCTTCTGGATGTTCCTTATCGCTACAATAGTAGTCTCATAGGGGTTATCGGAACACATACTTGTCTGAAAGCCGGAGTTCTCAAAAGCGGTTGTTGCATTAACAACTACCTACTCTTTCCTTTACTTTATTCCTGGCACCTTCGATGTCTGCTTATCTTGAAGGTGTTCTTGCAACCCAAAGAATGGACTTGTAGTTGGGCATTAACCAAAGGATTGTGGCTTTATTGTGGCGCTGGGCTAACTTGCAACGGAACGGAAACAGCCGGAAAGAAACGGTTATATTTCGATTTATAGAAAATGGCTGTCTAGGTCCATGTACATGAAAGATACATGCAGTAGGTATCTATATGTACCAGCACTAGTAGGCATGTAAGACATACATATCTGGATACTAGGTATCTAGGCTGATACTCCCACCGGAAGGGGCATACCTATCGCAACATATTTCGATATACTAGAAAGGTACATACCTAACTAGCACGTTTATAAGGCGGTAGGTTTGCCTAGAAAAAACACATTAATACAAAATAGTATATCCTGATTTGTTGATGCTAGGTACCTACTAGTACGTTCTACAATCCGCGCCCACGCCGGACTCCCAATACTCCGAGGCGTTGAGCTCACAGGGATGATAGTTCGCCAAATTCTGCATGGCTACCGGTGAGAACGGCGTTTGTAGGCTCGTACAGCAGAGAAAGAGAAATCCTCATCCCTGTTGTCATCGCCACCGCCGTTATGCAAGCCCATGACACCGAACAAGTTGAAAGATTAGCTAGAGTCGGCGACAAAAGGAGTAGGTGTGACACATTATCGGTTCCTGCATCTGAAGAAATTTATAGAGGAAGTGTGGAGGGATGTCGAGTATAGTTCGGGAGAGCTGGATCGTAGATGCGAAGGCGAAATTTGAGATTTGATGGACCCTGGGGCGTGTGCGCTTGATTAGTGCTATGGCCACTGTAACACAGGGGCTTAGGAGCCCTCCTGGGGGGGGGGGGGGTTCTGAACAACCTTGGAACTTGGAACAACCCTAAATCCATTAATGAACAGGGCTTATATCCACTATAATTACAGCGCACGCCGCTAGAATATAGGTACCTACCTGGTAGGTACCCAGTGATCTGGTAAGGGTTTAAAAGGGTAGTGTATTTCAGTGACGAATATAAATGATAACTATCTTAAACTATTGTATTAAAAATAAACATCTAAATCGATTTTCACTTTTAGCGATCTAAAGCGTTTCGAGTGCTTACTTCTCCCTCGATTTGAATACACACATTACCTTACCCGGCTGGGCTGTGACCTGATCCCTCAAACCGCGCCACATGGTCATCGGGTCGTACCCGGGTGCGAACTCGATATCATATCGGCGAAGAAGAAGTGTCACTATATGACGGAGCTCGACGTATGCTAACATCTTCCCCGTGCACTGGCGAGCGCCGAATGAGAATGGCGCAAACGCCCGCTTGTCGCGGATGAGCTCTGGTTGCGAATACCATCGCTCGGGGATAAACTCATCTGGACGCGGAAATGCGGATTCCACTAGCACCTCATGTTAGCAGCGCCCAATCATGAAAAGGGACCGGATATGGTATCTCATCATCTCTTGTAAGTCCCACATGGCTGATCTCAAGTATCTTGTCTTTACTACCTATTAACATGTGAGATCTCTGGTTGAGCCACTTACTTCTCATGATGATATATCTTGGGGCCGTAACCTTCGTAAACGGGGGTATATAGACATTCTCGAATGTCATCCCCTGCTCACCAGTAATCCTTGCCGTGCCTGTCATACCAGCAGGCGGTATCAGGCGGAGTGTCTCGTCAATGAAAGCATTGAGATGCGGCAAGCTGGCAAGCTTTGCGAAATCTCTTTCATACACGCCACGGGTCTCATCCCTTATTTTGTTGGCGTGTTCTGGGTATTTTGCCAGGAACCAGAAACTTGCAATCAAAGCCGCTCGCGTCGTATCACTGTATGTGCGGCCTACTGTCAGCCAAAGCGCATATTAAGTAGGAAGATACTAACCTGCCTGCGACCACTGCAGTAACCATGGTACCTGCTAGATATAGATCGCGATCCTTCAAGCTCATAGAATCGCTAAGCTTTTGATGTTCTTCAAGGAAATACCCTGACATATCAGGTTTCTCTTTATTCTCCCCTCGCTATATTTGAGCATTGTCAATGACTTTAGCAGTAGGTAACCATCTACTTCTTACGCGTGAGTTTATAGGACTTACATGAATACGAGCCTTGATTCGGTCTTCACAAAATGATACCATGAGATCCCAGTCTTTCACTCTACCATAGAAAGGCACAAGTAGGAAGGCTAGATGTGCAATCCAAGTGGCATCTGAGAGGGGTCCAAGAAGCGCCAGAGCGCCATCACGGTGTTTAATAGCAGGTTCCCACGTTTTAGATTTCAATAGATTGAAATCCTCTCCAAACAAAATATCCCCCATAATGTCGAAGGAAAACCAAGACATAACGTCGTCAACATCAATGGGCTGGGTGTCGTAGGACGCAATACATTCAGACAATGACTGAGCTAACGCTGCGATTCGAGGAAGGAAGGCATCCAGGGCTGAATTGTAAAATCAGCTGAAAATATAAGATTTGAGGGCATCATGTCACGTCATGTTTTGATTGATCTTACATTTCCCTGTCATGGATTGTACCCAGGCCTTGCGACCTTTCTTATGCATGTCTTTGTCACGGCAGAAGACAGCAGAAAATCGAGGTTGTAATAAATCATACCAAATATCCCTTGTGGTAGTATTTCCCCAACCATCGAGCAGACTGTACGCAGATGCTCCGATTATGGTGAGCTCATTTGGACCTAGCCGCAACGCCCTTTTGCTTAGCGGCGATCGGGCATGTAAGGAGTCAGTCTAAAGAGATATGGGTAGATTATCCGCTCACCGGTGCGTATAATATTCCCGTACCTCTTATGAAGCTCCTGCAAAAATATGTAGTTCGTGGATTTTCGGATCTTCCAGACGTGCCAGAGTTTAGTCACGGCTGCGAGTTTGGGGCCTGGGAAGTGGGAAATCCTGTGGAAAAAGAGGCGATAGACAGTTATGCTGGAGAACAAGGCCCCCAAGTAGACTGTGGCCATGGCAGTGATAACATGGAATGCCCCGCCGAAAGATGCATTGTTATCATGTCGGTATATTAAATATAGTATGAGAGCGCTCAGTAGAAGATGTCCAACAATAATTTGTAGGATACGCATATGCCACTCGCCATGAATGAAGATGGCATTGTGAGCGAAAAGGCCAACAAGGGCGACAGCAAGTACGTGATAGTGCATGACGTACTGTGATTGGTTAGGAACAACTATACTTATGAATTCAATTTGTATTAGAATCGTGTTGGGGGGTGGGGAGGTGGTTGAAAGGTAGGTAGATAACCATCAGGAATATGTAGGACAGTGGCCGGAGTTGTAGGTGTGCAACGTACTTAAGTAGGCACCCATCAATAACATACCTTGTGCTACACAAGAGTCATGTCATGTAAGTAACCGTCTTGGTGCATCAAGCTATCCACGGACTTGCGTAACCAGCAAGCGGAATACATGCAGATGATGGATTGGATTTAAGTCCCATAAGGGAAAGCTGTTAAGACAAATATCATACTCAGTGGAGAACATTTGAGACAGACCGAAAGATGGATAATGGGTAGTATCTGAGATGCATATTGTGGCTTCGCGATGTCTTCATTGCTGAGGACGAGAGTCCAAAGCATGTCGGCTGCGTGAATCTTGTTTCCTGGGGGAGAGCGGAGGAAGCGGAGAAGAGGGAAAGAGGCGGGTTACAATACTTAAAACAGGCTCGATGGAACGGAAGTGAGAAAATTGGTGATTAAGAGAGAAGTAAAGATCATCTATCGCTAATACTTACCAGTCTATTCCAGCTTTTTAATGATTTCAAACCTAGGTAGTCACAGGCACGACGGAATGGGTGATAATATCCAGCCGCATCCTGAAGAACAATACCCTAGCATCGAAGGTGAAACCCTCTCTCTGCCATCACCTACTAGAAGCAAGTTCGAGAGCCATGATGAACCGCCTACTCATATTAGGGAGAGCACCAGTCGTCTCGGAAGGTTTTTCAAAATCTTCTGGCTCCTGACCGAGTCGAACGCCCTGACCTTCGTCGGGCCAAACACCATATTCGGCATCTGCGGCGCCCTTTCCGGGCCATGGATAGTAGCGGAGCAAAGCGGCAACAACAACGACGAAATGTCGAAACTCAAAGCATTAGCGCGCCTCGGCCTCGTGATACTTTTCAACTGGTCGAACCTCTTCATCTTCGACCTAGCTAATCAACGGCTGCCGGAGTCGGTGGTCGAAGACGCGCTAAATAAGCCATGGAGACCCGTGCCGAGCGGGTTCATCACAACGGACCACATCCGCTGTGCCATGCTATACCTGATCCCGCTAGTCGTTGCGTTTAATCATTTTGCGCTCGGTGTCGGCATCGAGAGCCTCGTTGTTATGGTGCTCACGTGGCTGTACAATGACCTACGGGGAGGCGATGAGGGCTATATCGCTCGCAACGCGATCATCGCCGCTGCTTTCATGGTATATAACACAGGCTCCGTCAAAGTGGCTGTCGGGGCGCGCGACGGAGGGTTGTTCGCCGGGTTGAGTTCCGAGGGCGTGGTGTGGGCGGCAAGTAAGTTACCCATGTGGTAATAGGAGGGAGTGGAGTATTTCTTATCAAGTAGACTACCTGCTAACTCTGAGTGTGGCCGTAGTGGTCAGCGCCACCATCTTCACCACAATGCAAGTCCAAGATCTACAAGACGTCAAGGGCGACCGCGTGCGCGGACGACGCTCCGCGCCCATCATCATGGGCGACCGGCTGGCGCGCTGGAGCGTCGCGGCACCCATGTTTGTGTGGCCGGCGGCCGGCGCATGGCTCTGGGGCGCGGGTCTTGCTCTGGGTGGTCCCCAGGTCACTCTTGGCGCGCTAGTTGCGGTACGGTGTCTTTGGTATTCGGGCCTGCAGGCCGATAAGTTGACATGGAGGCTTTGGTGTCTCTGGACGGCCATGCTGTATACGCTTCCTCCTCTCTGTTATTACTTACCTACATTTCGGTTCATGTAAAGGTCTAAGAAGAAGTGAATTTTAACTCGAAAAAGTCATGACGCTATAGAATGACTTTATGTCACGTGTTGTTGTCTTGAAGGTTAAATATTCTGTGTTTTGGACTCTGAATGCTTTCTTATCACATGTTTCAGATCAGATTGGATTCAGGTGTGCTAAATAGCTATTCGGTTTATGTTTTGCCATTTGGAGACTGGATCTGAATATTGTTACTTATGTGACTTTCCGGGGACAAGAAGATTTTCCAAAAGACGTTCTGTTGAGACACCCTTAAAACTTGAATGCTTATGTAATCTTCTTTTCGATAAGAAAATTTCAAGTTCAGACCTCGGACCTGCGGGTTAATTACGTAATCAAAATCAATTAGGCTAGATTATGTCATCATTTCCATATTTTAATTTGAACTTAGCAGGTCACGAATTCCTTTCATTGGTTTAGAAACCCCAAGAAACGTCAACGTCCTCTTATTCTCCCTTGCTTTTATAACATAGTTATCTTGTGCCTGATCTCTCGCATTATAAAAGGTAGGTCCTAAAAGCGAGCTGTTCTAATATGGATCTACCCTTAGCTGACATAATCCGGAAGCTGAGTCCTGATTCCCAAGGGCACCTGGCAATCAGGTGACCTTCACCAGTATTACCTAATCGCCCTGTCACAGCTTTCAATCAAAACTGAAATCCATTCCAACAATGCCCCCCGACTACTAGTCCTTGACATCTGACGGCAAGTATGGTGATCTCTGAGAAGCCTCTCGGTAGTTGAAGGCTCTTTCACAGAGTGAGTGATGGTGTCAGCTACCTAGTCACTATAGGTTCATGGAACAGTGGTGATAATAATTAAAAAATTATTGACGCGTATATACAGCTATTATTCTGTTACATGGCGTGTCCCTAGAAAAACGACCGACGCTTTCCCCGATTATCTATTCCATTTTTCCTACAGTTCACTCAACAACATCGAATCTTTAACATTAAACTTATCTAATAACTCTATTTGCATCTCTATGAGTACCTCGCAAGTATGACATGTTGTACGTTGCTGACTAATCTTCATAATGCATGAGATTCTCGATATTCGGACATCTACTTCATACGATAAGTATCAGGTATTCATAGGCGATCGCTCGCTTCAATCGTACCTTGTAATTCGTCTAGCTTATAGCTTCCTACGTCGTCGTCGCCGTTACACCCGTCCTTGGATTTTCGAACATGATTGTCTCCACCTCATTAATATCGGATAGGTCAGACAACACATTCTACTTCGATCGAAGGCTTCTAAGAATGAACTCCCTTAGTTCATGATGACCCTCCTTTTCCTCCTCGGGAACTTCCATGTCCTCTTGGTGGAACTTCTTGTTTTCCCGCCTAGCCAAGTCCAAGTACTCCTTTCTCTCGCTTTCGGTTTTACCGAATGCACTAATCCGGCCACCGTACTTTAGGAGGATGATGTTTAGTAAGATTCGGCACATGCGACCGTTTCCGTCGCCGAATGGGTGGATACAGACGAAGCGGTGACAGTATCTGCTTGCCATATCGAGTGCCAGATCGAATGGATCGGTAATCTTTGACTCCTCCATTTTTATCACGTCGTTTTTGAGGTCGCTAACAAATGCTTCCATGTATTGAGGTACAGACGATGCCCGTATAAACACTGACTTGGATTTCATATCCTTTCCGTGCCGTGCCGCGATCTCCCATGTTCGGTAAACGCCCGGATTGCCGGCGTCTTCTCCAAGCACCTTGCAGCAAAGCTTCGTGTGGACCTCTTTCAAGAAGTCTTCGGTTATCTCCTTTCCGTCAATAACAAAGTGGTCGATCGCGTAGCTTAGGGCTTGTGCGTGGTTTATGACTTCTTGTCGGCTTAGTACCACGTCTTGGAAGGAGCTTGGCCGCTTAAGGGCTACGAGAGCGGCTTGTGCCATCCCATAGTCAGCACTTCTTTCTTCCACTTGTGCGGAGACCTTTTCCCCTTTGAATATCCTACGACAAAGTGTCTCGGTCACATCGAAGCCTGAACCGGTAACTTCGATGTAGTTGGATCCGTATATGAACTCAATCAAGTCTCCTTCGAATTTAGAACGTATATCCGAAAAGCTTGTGTATCTTGGGACAGGAGTCGCCGGTGTTGCCGGATCTTGTTCATTTTTTACACCCATTCTTGTTGGTAAGTACTTAGATTAGGTAGAAAACTTAATTTGAAAAGAATTTGACCTATTGTCAGCAGTATGGCCGCAATAGTTCATAAATTTCAGGGAAGAAATACAATTGAACGACTTTTGTCGAAGAACGGTGTGTTAAATGACGGGGAGGTAGTGTTATAAATAGTTTGGGATGATGTGTCTGTCAATTTCTTTCGAGAAAATATGAGGGCGGATTTAGAGTTTCGTGGCAACAATGTTTTATTTTGAAAGTTTTGCGCTATATAATACAAGTAGAGTTCATTCTATTAATATATCAAAGTAACACTCTCACGAACTTTACCACCATCTTAGAATCCGAGCGGAAGTAGTTTAGAGAAAGGGTTTCGTGGGTTAGTAAGCGAGATGCGAAGGGGATGAACTGCACCTAGGTACCATCGTCGAATGGCTTCATGGATATGGATGGTACCAAATAAAAGATTTATTACATGAAATGATAAGAAGTTAATAATATTTGATTGTGATATATTAACAAAAAAGATTTGTGTTTTGTTTAGGTATTCAATTCAGCAATTAAGGAGCCATTTGAAAAAGATTAGGTAATATATCTGTAATCCGATTTTTTCTGCGTACGTAATATGCTGACTCAGGTCAAGCCCATCGTATACGTAAGCCGCTGTATTGACATATGCAATGTCGGGGTTTTTCATGATGACAGAAGCTAAAAACGATAAATAAGGATACTGGACTTGATTTTTTTATTCTACACAGGCATCTGATTATTCGTGTCTAAATTTCGAGCGAGAAAATTAAAAGATATAAATCCTGCGATGCACAGCGCGAGATACAAGAAGGTGAAAGACACTTACGTAATTATTTAGATTTGTAATTAAAAGATACATGCTTGGTTGATGATATTCATTTAAACGGCTGGTAAATGGTATAAAGACCGATATGTACATAAGTAAACTAGACACTGGCTAATTTGACTTTGAATAACTTTATCAAACATATCAAAGTTAATTATTGTATTTTCAAGATTTCGTCAATCATCAAAATATATAGGCCATTGTGCGAGGTACATACGAACAGAAACATAAAATATGCAGCATCGAAGCCATTGTAGTTACCTATCGGCTGCTCTGCAGGACCCGATAAGAAAGTACCTTGTATCGAATGACGCGTAATACAAAGTGAGCTAGGCCTACACCACGTCGACGATGATCATAAGGTGAACCACAATTAAATTATTTATATTCTGCTCTTCTTGTCTTTGTTTATGTATTTTGCGTGTTTCCCTAGTTATACTATTGATTTGGGACAAGGAACTCTTGGCTGTTTCCAATGAGAATGATCTCAACTACTCCGAACCGGCTGGCAGCGCTGGTACTAGCGGTGAGCTCGCTTGGCTTCAGCAGTGCTGAGCCTCAGAAGAGTTTCGGTCCAACGCTCGAGAGCGCCCGAGAGAATGGACTTCAAATCTTTAATTCCATCCATAATGCGATGCGCGAATTCGGATCCGCCTTACATCACAATGGCATGTCATTATATCCTGGAGTTATCCCAAAGGGTGTTCTCTTGTACCATGGAACTAGCACCAAGGAAATACCGACTTCTTTCGAATGGCTCGCATTTGAGATAGAGCATGCAGAGGGCTTTGCTCGTGGCGGTCCCCCAGGCCCCAAACGTAACCACAGAAAACCGCCTCCAGGCCCTCCTCCAATGGGTATGGAAATGCAAGACGGCCATCCTCCGCCTAACAAACGTCTTCCACGCTTAAGAGGGGGAGGCTACTTACATATCTATCAGTCAGTGCGACCGCTCAATGTATTGTACATAGACGGCATGGCAGCTGGTAAGACCGACATGGGGACGGTAGATACGCAGGACATTTTGCTAGCCGGCAACAAGACCCGTACCGCTTGGGATGAGTGGATAAGGGCCGAAGAGCTATGCACGTTAGCTCAGCAATGGAAGATTGACGGGTTTATTCGCATGGAACCTGGTTTTGAGATTATATACTGCGACTTTACAGACGGGCTCAGGCTTGTATCTGCCAATAAACGGCCGCCGATGGACGAATCCGGTTCAGAGAACGACCTTATTTCTGGATTTGAGTGGGTGAGAGCGGCCTCGCAGCGCTATAATGGGATCGGATCGTCGCGTGTCGTGCTCGACTATTCCTCTATGGTGTCCGCATTTTTCTACCCGATCAATCTCACCAACCCGGATCCGAAGAGACCTGAACTACCTAGATTATTGGGTGCCAGCAGTGAAGAGATGGATGTCGTGAGGGAACATGTGGCCGAGTCGGTAGCCCGATCGATATCACACCTGCAAGCTCCCATAGATTGGCAAGGAGTCTCCGATATGATCGTCACTCGATACATCAAACAGCTCCCCTTCATTGCCCAGACTGATTCGATCGAGATTATCAAGGCTGAAATGAACAGCCTTCTGAACGTCTACATTGACTATTCCGAGACAGATGACGGACTCGCTGGCGCACGACAACGCTGCGTCGAGTTCTTCCTCCAGCCAGTCCAGCCACAAACTTCGGAGGACAAACTCATCTATGCGGCGTTTGAGAACACGACTGCTACGATCTGTGCAGCACTTTTCAAAGTTCGAGAGATTGTCATCGAGGACCCGGATGTAGACGAATCAGCCGCGATGGGCGCCACTAAGCAAATAATTGGCGAGCTAATGGAATCCCTCAGCTGGTCGAACTGGAAAGAGTGCGGCGCATGTAAAGCCGACGAGGTATGTTTCATTGCTATGTGGCCGATGGGAAATGTCGAAGACCATTACAACCCCAGCTGCTTGAACTTCACAGCCCTGGCCCGCGGCCGTAACACTTACTGGAGGTTTTCTGGGGGCCCTCCTCACGGACCGCCACCGCCTTCAACCTTCTGCGCGGATGGACAGCCGTGTGAGGAACACGAGGATTTCGGTAGCGAAGAACTGTGATGGCGAGGGTGATGAGCACATCGATATACCCCTTCAGGCCAGAATATTGGACGGCTTTTCCTTTCACATTGGCTACAATACCCCTCTACGGTCTTTCCAATTGGTTACCTAGTGCCACAATGTCTCGGTATCGGAATTACCCGGCCCGTATTGGATCACATCGAGGAGAGATATCGATCTTTGGCGATTATCAAGTGGTGTTCGATGAGGCGTATATTGAGACAATTGGTGGGCATTTGTTTACATTTTTAAATATCTAAGTCATCGTTTCGGAGGTTCCGTTTATGGCACATATCTACATACAAGTAGGTTCATAGTCTGTCGTTAGCATTGCCTCTTCCAAGTGGAGATTGAAGTCAGCTGTTTTTTATGATATCCATTGAATAAAACTCCCGTATATTTCTCTTTTATTTGCTTTCTCGGTACTATTGCCCCTCTCGGCGTCACGTTAAGACGGGCCTGGCCCGAAAGGCATCGGGCGTAACCACGGATATTAAGAGAAAATCCATATCATTCGTACACTTCGTAGTAAGTACTAACCTAGTGTAACTTGTGCTAGGTAATTGTGACTTGGTGCGCACTTTCTTAATCCTTCGGACATATCCAAAGAGACATCCATGGATTAAGATCGTCACCAGCCACCAATACTCTGATCCTTGGTACAATACGGCCATGAAGTTCAAGTTCAATCCAAGGCCTAGCATTTATGTATCATGTAGTTGATAAGACAATCGAACCTCTTATCCAGACGGAGTTCCAATTACCTAATCATCAACATGACCCCAGGTCCAGATGACGAAGCATCTAGGCCGACAAGAGTCTAACGCGACGCGTAGAACTACCCAGATCGGTTTATCAGTGGGACGGGGCTAAAGCGTACCCAGGTTAGTGTAATCGGTACCTGAATGCGACGATGAGCTTCTCGAAATCGCCTAGCCCCGCGCGCGAAAAAGCCAAGGATCGTACCGCAGCGCAGATCATGCAGGTGAGATATCGGAAGTCGTATCGCAGCTCCTATGTAGGTGTGAGCTCAGCTCAGCTAGCCACCACTGCCGCAGTACATACATACATACGGAGATGGGCAATCTTGCTTATCAGCTGTAGGGGAGAGCAGGATGTTGTCATTTAAATTGTTGCTGTTGTCACTTGTTTTACCTGTTAGAAAATGTCTGTCACACTTCACCCGCAGCTACAGCTCCCTCTGTACAGTCCGTTAAGACGACATATTTCGGTTGTGAGGACGTAATTACATCGCGATGAGATATACGGACGGGCGATTACTCGCCGCGTGTTGCGCGCTCGTCGCGCCTCTCGGATGTACTGCTAGAGTGGTGGCGCGTGGAGGAAATGATGCGACGGTGTGCCGTAAAACGACCGTAGCAGTTCTCGGCGCGGGGGTTGCCGGTATCACGGCCGCTCAGGCGCTGTCGAATGCGTCGGTCCCGGAGTTCCTGATTGTCGAGCGCAATGACTATATCGGAGGTCGCGGTATGCTTAACGTCTCCTAATTATTCCTTTTATGTCATTTAATGGTTTTGAATTGAACACCCATGCTCCAATTCGAGACCTTGAAACTACACAGACGAGAAATTTTACCGAACTGACTCAAATGTTGAAATTTAGTGAGGCATGCAAACTTCGGCAAAAAGCCCGACGGAACTCCCTACGTGGTAGAGCTCGGCGCGAACTGGGTACAGGGTCTTGGTTCTGAAGGTGGTCCAGAAAACCCGGTTTGGACGCTGGCGAAGAAGTATGGCGTGAATAACACCTACTCGAATTATAGCTCCATCCTAACATACGATGAAACCGGCGCCAACAATTATACTGGTCTATTCCGTGACTACGAAGATGCGTACGGCACGATGGAGCAGGACGCTGGGTACATTCTCACAGAGAACCTCCAGGACACGAGTGTGCGTGCCGGCCTAAGCCTCGCTGGCTGGAAGCCCAAGAAGAATATGCATGCCCAAGCCCTGGAGTGGTGGGAGTGGGATTGGGAGACTGCTTATCCACCTGAGCAGAGCGGTCTGTTGTACGGTATTACCGGGTATAACTTGACGTTCTATCAGTTTAGCGACCAGAACAACTTCGTCTGGGACCAGCGCGGTTTCAATACATGGGTGATCGGGGAGGCGTACGAGTTCCTTAAGGAGAATGACCCGAGGCTCTTGCTAAACACCACTGTGGAAACTATCTCGTACGGCCCTGAGGGCGTCATTGTCCAGCTTAAGGATGGCGGTTGCATTGAAGCTCAACGTTAGTTCCCTCTCCTTCGTTCAGGAAAACCCCTAACCGGAACCGCATCTGATGAGCTGTTGCTAATTTAATGGACTGTAGACGCTATCGCAACGTTCTCTGTCGGAGTCTTGCAGAACGAAGTGGTCAAATTCGACCCGGTGCTACCGCGATGGAAGCGCGAGGCAATCGAGCAATTCCAAATGGGCACATACACCAAGATCTTCCTGCAGTTCAACGAGACCTTTTGGGATCGGGATACCCAATTCTTCTTATACGCTGACAACAAAACTCGAGGTTATTACCCTGTCTGGCAGTCGCTTTCGGCTCCAGGCTTTATCGAGGAATCCAACATAATCTTCGTTACCGTCGTCGGCGACAAATCATACAAGGTCGAGCAACAAACCGACGAAGAGACCAAGGCGGAAGTTATGAAAGTTATCCGTTCCATGTTTCCTAACATAACGGTTCCTGATCCCACCGCCTTCATGTACCCACGATGGAGCACAGAAGAGTAAGCCGTACCCCAATATCCCCAATGAATCGTAACTAACAGTTTCGCAAAGGTGGGCCTATGGCTCATACAGCAACTGGCCCGTCGGTATGACACTAGAAAAACACCAGAACCTGCGCGCGAACGTGGGCCGGCTCTGGTTCGCCGGGGAAGCCACCTCGGCGCAATACTACGGGTTCCTGCACGGAGCCTGGTTTGAAGGCCGCGACGTCGGAGAGCGTGTTGCCGGATTAGTTAGCAAGAACCATAGCCACGAATGCGATGGTAATTCGACGATAGGTTGCGGGGCGATGAACGACTACAAGGTGCTCCACGGAACCACCTCGCTGGATGAATACACCGTGGCGAATGGGTGGGCGGCGAGTAGTTTTCTGACATACGGTTATGAGGAGGAGTGAAAGTCGTGTGCTTGCAACCATATTTGCGATAATACATACCTTAATCCAAACAATCTGATCCGTTTGATAAAACACCAATTTTAGTCGATTTATCGCAAACCATGACCGTTTGTAGCAGTGAACACAATAGTGAGGGGATCGCAAACGTGGCGTTACTTCCCCTCCACCCAAAACCGATCCAGCGCCTGCTGCCGGACCTCCCAACCCCAATGATGGCACGTCTGGTGCACGACGGGACTCACATCGCCCGCGCGCTCCTCGTCCCCATCGTCTCCCTCATCCATAACACTGCGTATGCCCATCTGCACATACTTCCTCAGCAACGTCCTCCTCCAGCGCCCCGTCTCCCCAACACACTTCCTCCACCGACTGATCTGGCGCTCGTCATCCGCGCAGCGCCGCCCAAGCCAGAACCGGCAGTACCACTGGAACCACCCGCGCACGTCGTACTCGTGCGCGATCCACCCCGCCGCTTCCCATTCTTCGATGGATTGTCCGCAGGATACGCCGTATTTGTTGATCTCCGGGTTGTATGTTTTGTTAGAAAGGTATTTCTGAACGTCGAGGCCTGAGGTCCAGGATGTGGGTAACTCTCGCCAGTCCTCGGAGATCGTGGTGCGTAGGTGCCGGGAGTATAGGGGGCGCCAGTATGTTCCGCCGAATGAACCCTCCTGGATTATGGCTTCGGGGGACTTGTTTGGGGTGAATTGGGGGTGGGATGGGAAGTGGTAGGTCCCCTCCACGTCGCGGGTTGGGGGAGGTGCTTCGGGTTTCCAGGATGACCAGCTTGCGATCAAGGTTTTGAGATCTTTACTGGGCGGTGGCTGCGGGCTGGGGCTTCTGGGAATTGATGATTGATCATTAGATGTTTGATTTTTGCGAGGCTTCCGTTTTGAGACAGATGTTTCGTTTTGGGCATCTTCGTTATAAATTGGTTGTGTAGATGAATTTGCGATTCGGGCCGATGTTCGCGTAGGTTGGGAAGTAGGATGAAGCTTGCGACGTTTCGCAGCGGGCGGCTTCCGCCCCGCACTTTTTCTCTCATCTTCATTTGTAAGAGAATCATTCTGAAGCCCAAGATCCTTTACAAGCGCCTCATTTCGCTTGATGTTCTCCAGGCGGAGAGCTTCGTATTTAGACATGGTGACTTGAAAGTTTCCATTTCCTTTAGTTGTTGTTAAAGTGGAAGGAAGTGAAATCTATAGCTTAGGATTGCCAAATACGTCATCCCTTCGTTCTACCTTTAGTGCCAGCGCTAGTCGATTGAACCACTAGTTGACTGCTAAGGATTTCCTAATAGGTCACATTGGCTTAAATTTGATTGGCTATTCTTCACGATTTAAAGTTTTTGAGCGAATGTAACAATGGGGAAACAATCATGGAATCAGAGTTATAAGATTTATGTTTGCTCTATGAATACTAGGTTGCCATCCATTGATTACCTAGGTAAATATAGCATTACCAGGTAAGGTTCATATCTATTAGGCAGGCATGGTAAGTGTGTTCAAAAGAGTCTATATAAATCGTATCCCAAGGCCACTTGCTAAACTCCTAAGCATACCTATACATACCTAGTGATTAAAAGGTATGAATAGCTTCTAATGTAAGAACGATACGGTGTACTATATTAACCCACCTAGTAATAGGTATAATATAAATAACTTTGTATATAGAGGTAAAATACTCTTATTGAATACCAAGCATATCTATTTTTATTCTTTTAATCCATAAATATGCTAAGAAACGCAAGAAAGGCGGCGTTATTTTTGACGGTAAAACTTTATCATTGTCGACAGTGCTAAATCGTTATTATCCAGGCGCCCCAAGACAGCACTGTGGAGACCCCTGTGGAAGGCCCTGCACCCATACTGTTAGTGCTTTTAGCGCGTCAAAAAAATGCTCAAAGCTCAACCCATCATACACAACTTCAGATCTAGCAATTTTGACTAAAACAACTTCAACTTTTTCTAAGGTTAACCTTCTAATAAATCCTACACCCATTTTATTTTGCCAAATTTACGACCAAGAGGCACACGACTATAATGAAGAAACAACACCATATCCTGCTTATTTCTGCTTTCTTGAAGTCTTGGCGTCATCTTTTTTAGGGTCCTTCAGCTGGAAGGTCACAGCCATGTCTCATAAATCTACCGATAGCTGCGAGACCAGCGCGAGCATGGCAGACACCACGCCCATCAATTTAGCTTCCCTGTCTCGGTCATCTTCGCCACACACAGATCATGCTGCTGATGGCGTTGACCCACCAACTATCCTGCAGTTTCCACGATCTTCAGTGTCTGGTATTCGTCACCGTCCTCGGTCCGGGACCTTCAAAACCGTTATGGATTTTAAAGATTTCGAGGGCCATCCGGTATGGCAACCCGGAGCCGAACCGGGAATTGACCCCTCAAAACCGGATGGTGGGCAGGGAACAGTACCCAACCTCCAGGCTCGGTGTCACATCACAATTGTAGACTTTTCGCAAGAACAATTGCAAGTGTCTAGATTGGACAATGACGAGCTTGTTGAATTCATCAAGGCACCACAACCTAGTTGGGCGCAATGTCGTTGGATCAATGTTAACGGCTTGTCGTGGGATGTGATACAGGTGTTGGGCTCATATAAAGGCCTCGATCCATTAAACATTGAAGATACAATGACTACGAGCAACCTTCCAAAGGTTGACTGGTAAGATTTCTCCACTTCCTGTCAAAATAAGCGCAATAACTAACCCCAATCCCATTATAGGAGGCATGATCAAGCATTTATAACCCTTACATGCCAAAAGTTGATGCGTCGAATAGAAGACGATGGTAGTGACGAGAGTGACGAAGCCCGGAGTATGGAAAGCTTTAACTCCGTGAAAAGCACCGTCAAAAAGGTTCGGCAATGGTTCACAAGCGAGGAGACTGAACCACCTGTTACTCCCTCTGGGGTTGAAAATGGGACAAGTCCATCAACACATCGTCACAGTGCTACACATAGACGCCGCAACTTCCAAAATGTCTCTGGACCAAACAGACTCCACACGTTACAAGGTTATCGTTCTTCGCGGAACACCATAAGAACGGAATACATGGAGGAGAACTCAGCCCTGTCTTCCCGGGGACTAGCGGTGATGGTCGAACAAGTATCTATGTTCATGACTACAGATAACACGGTCATATCATTCTTTGAGCAGTCTGCTGATGACGTCGAGAAGCCTATTCTCGCCAGGTTAGCGACCCCAGCTACTGTTATACGACAGTCATGCAATGCATCGATGGTCATCCAGGCTATCCTCGATGCGATAATCGATATGGCTATGCCTGTAACTTCATGTTACGCAGACGTATTGGGTGACTTGGAGCTAGACGTCCTTAATAAACCAAGAGCTAAGGATACGCAAAAACTGTACATCATTGTGACAGAGATCAACAAGATGTTCAGCCTTTTGAATCCCATCCAAACCCTGGTTAAAGCGCTTCGGGATAGAGCGAAGCTAACGCGGAAAGCCACGTCAAACGAAACTCAAACCCCACCAAATGGCATCACCATTGCGTCCGAAACTTATCCGTACCTGAGCGATGTGGTGAGTACATAAAAGTTTAGATATCTTGCGATCAATAGTGTATGACTTACTGACATTCATTTCAGTACGATCATTGTATCCTAGTCACTGGGGATCTAGCGTCGCTGAAACAATCAGCTGAGAATATGGTACAATTGATATTCAACGCTGTCCTGGCCAAACAGAGTGGCATCATGACAAGTCTCTCGATTATGAGTGCCATCGTTTTACCATTGATGCTCATGACCAGTTATTTTGGCCAGAACTTCGAAGACTTCCCATCAGTCAAGGAACATAGTGTGGGATACTTGTGAGCCTAGCTTCTTCCCAATACGGTGACCTGAGAGAATAGTATACTAACACAAAATAGTTGGCACATCGCCGTTCCAGTCGTTATTGGGACTATTCTAGTCGTTAAATACGAAACGGTATTAGAGTTATTGGGAAGATTACTCCGACGATGCAGGAAGAGACGAGTAAAGAAGGTTACTTGGGAAAAGTTGCATAAAATTGGATAGTCGATACAGGGTTTGTTTTGCAGTGCTAGAGCCAGATGGATATTTCCAGGTTTATTCATCGGTGCGTATGCCACTATACAATTAATGAACTTATATATCAGTGAGACAGTGGAGGGGGCGAACGATACGACGGCATGATGATAAAGGAACCATACGATACTTTGCGAAATGGTAGGTGAGATGTTTTAATGTGGATAGAAACTGGGGCAGAGAGACCGCGAAATGATGCGAAACCACGAAACACGACCGCGAACGATTACAAATATGGCGACGAATTACGAAGTTTTCAGTGAGTCAAGATACCTACCTAACATCTACTGTTTTTTATAAGGATATCCCCTAGCCACAGTCCATTTACCTTACAAGAGGGGTGATAGACGAAGCTCATTGCGTTCTTGTTAGGCTACGTACGCTAGTTGTGTATATGGCTATGATCGCGAGTTTGGTTCAGGACCCTCTCGGTGGCGGTATGTGGTGTCATAATATGCTAATAAATATCCCCCACCTACGGACGCTGGATAAATCGTAAGTTATGTCGGTTTCATTATTTATACTTAATACTTAAATGTGGGAGACTCACCCATTCATAAACGGTAATAATTCCATGAGAAAATCGCGGCTTGAACCCTACCTGGACCTAATAGCAATACCGATGTTAAACCATTATATCAGTCGGCACGATATATAATGGCCAAAAAGTAACTCTTGCAGAAAATAATAGCCTTATTAATTTTAATTATTACATAGACTAATATCTTCTGATCCCCCAAGCCTCAAGTGAAAAATAGGGGTATGATTTACCCCTCGCCAACTGCTCCCAGCTGCAAGGTTGATTAGTCATCTCAGTTCATGATCCATGTTTCAAAATCCAAAATCACGGTTACGTTACGCGAATCTTCGCAATTCAAACTCTAATAGACGCGTCCATTTATAAAAATGGAAGCTCACAATAATGCGGTAACATCCATATCCGGAAGGCTACGGCAATTCTACGCGCAACGCCGGCCTTTCCGCGTTTACCATGGTTCCACGAACAGTACCCGCGCAGCCGAAAAGAGTCGCGACAACACGGTAGACACTAGCAAGCTCAACCATATCCTGGAAGTTGACGAGGATAATAAAATCGCGCTGGTTGAGCCAAATGTGTCAATGGACGCGCTCGTCAACGCGACCGTGCATCACGGATTGGTTCCGTTAGTTGTCATGGAATTCCCTGGCATCACCGTTGGCGGCGGCTTTAGCGGCTCTGCCGGTGAGAGTAGCTCGTGCCGTCACGGACCATTCGATTCAACAATCAATTGGATCGAAATCGTTCTTCCAAATGGTGAAATATCAAAAGCTTCTAAAACTGAAAAGCCGGACCTTTTCTGGGGAGCTGCGTCGGCTTTCGGAACGCTCGGAGTTGTTACTCTTCTTGAAGTTCAGCTGAGAGACGCCGCTGACTTCATCGAACTGACGCATTATCCGGTGAGTGGCGTTCCGGAAGCCTGCAAGAAGATACAAGAAGAAGTTGCAAATCCTGTTGTGGAGTTCGTCGATGCGATCGCATTTTCTCCCAAAACAGCTGTCGTGTGTTCCGGTCGCTTAGTCGATTCCATCCCCACAGGTTCTAAACCAAGGCGATATTTACGACGTCGTGATTCATGGTTCTACCTTGACGTACAGAAAAGAGCTGAAAAGTCGAAACAACCCGTTATCGACTATGTCCCCTTGATTGACTACCTGTTTCGATGGGATCGTGGTGGATTCTGGGTGGCTAGGTATGCCTACAAGTACTTTTTCACGCCATTCAATCGCATCACTCGCAGCATTCTAGATACTTACATGCACGCCCGTGTAATGTACCACGCTTTACATAAGAGTGGGCTATCTGATACTTATATAATCCAAGATGTCGGCGTACCGTACGGCGCCGTCGACAACTTCTATCACTGGGTAGACGAGACCCTAGGCATATACCCCCTCTGGCTGTGTCCAATCCGCACAAAGAGAGACGCGCCCAACTCAGCGCACGGCCTACACGCCGACTTCGCGGACCCCAAAGGCCCTGAGTTCATGCTCAATTTCGGCATCTGGGGACCCGGACCGAATGACTACGAAGAACTAGTCCGTTTAAACCGAGCGATTGAGCAGAAGTTGCGCGAATTAGACGGGAAGAAGACGTTGTATGCGCAGGCCTACTACACCGAGGAGGAGTTCTGGCAGACTTACAACCGCCCCGCATACGAGACTGTTCGTGAGAAGTACCATGCGTCCCACTTACCAAGTATCTACGACAAGGTTAAGGTTGATGAAAGTGCGAAGAAGAATGCTACAGAGAACTCGAGAATGCCTGTCGCTCTCCGCAATGTTAGACCGTTCCAAGGCCTGTATGGTGTCTATAAGGCATGGCGTGGTGGCGACTACCTGCTGCAGAAGAAAGGGGAGAAGGTTGATGTGGAGGGCTCACCTGTGAAGCAAGGTTCATAGGGACTACGATAAGCTCAGAGCTTATAGATGTTTGAGCAGAGCTCTTGGTCTACGGCATTGTACTCGACGTAATACGACTGATGGTGTATTGTGTATATAGGTAGTTGGAAGTAGCGGTGCCTTCCGATTTTCGTGATTTCTATACAGGTGTGTATCTCTACTACCCATAAATTGACTATTAGATGAATTTTAACATTATAGCCACATAGTTTACATGAGTCATGTGCTCAAAGTTTTTGAGCAATTAATATTTTGCTCAGTGAGCGCAATTTTTCGTACCTACTAGGTAGGTAGCTATTGCCTCTTGATTGTCAATCAACTAAGAGCTACAGAAAAACCTGCTCAAATAATTACATAAATTCCCTCTGATGCCACCTCTTTAAACCCCAACTTATTCTCTTCATCATTTCTATCTACCTAGGTATTCTTCCTCTTTCTTATCTTTCTTGAGTACTTTCAGCTTTTATAATCATTCCAAACCTTGGAACTCATGAGGACTCTCCTTTAACAGAGACAGTCCAAGTTCCCTTTCTATGTCCATCCATAGCACATTCTTTATTATGACTTCCTAGCTTTTTCGAAAAGAATATACCCCAGCGACTGCTAAGGGTGAGACCTTTACAGAATCGCAAGTTCAGATGCATTCTCCCAAGAGGGGAACAATCAATGCATAGCGCCCGGGTCTGGCGCGATAGTGATGTGATTACTTTAGTTCTCTTGAAACATGGCCCTATTACTGACTATCGAAACAGGCCCTTTTACTAGAAAGAAACATTACCCACACCATGGCAGGGACGTGCATCCATAATTTGGGCTTCTCGCCACTTCAGACCATTTTCGGCCAGGCACCGGCCAAGACTCCTCTTGCGTGTATTTCAGGAGAGTCCGCTAGACTGTCCCTCCATTAAGCGAAGATTCAATGAATCTTTTATCGCCCACCTAACTCTGGTTCTTGTAGCACCTCCGGCGTGCTTTCTTTATTTCCTAAACTTTTTAACAATTATTTTTACCACAACCGAGTTGATCCAAGAGATTGACTGGGGCGATTCGTACGAGGACATGTACTCTACGATCGTGGGGATGGCGGGGCAATTAGATAAACAAAACTAGGACCCGATCGATATAATGACCAGAGCTGTGAGGCAAGATAGCAAGGCTATGAAGATGCTCTTGCATTCTTCCCTATCAAGAACGCCAACTATTCTCACGATAAAATTACGATCAGAGCATTAACAAATGCTTCAACGAAACATTATTCTTACACATTATAACCCAAATCGGCCACTCTATATCTAGGACATAATATCAGTATAAGATTACAAAAGCGAAGCGAGAACCCTCAGCGGCAGCACCGCGGACGAGGCGGAAACTAAGCATGCCCCATCCACCCAAAGATACTTAACCATACGCAATAGAACTGTTCGCCAAGATGCGCATCGACGGCATGTTCCTGAAGGAACTAGATCCGACTGAGAGGGAACAGCCTGCCACTACACAAGGTTCATCCTTGAAGCTGCATACACATCACACACTGATTCTGGACTCAAACTTCGAAGAGATGGATGAACTGGATGTCGTTGAGTCAGACGATGAGTATTCTTCAGATGAAGAGGAGGAAATCGAGTTTGAGTCGGAAAACTAGATTTCTTATTACGACCTGGTCATGTCTCTAAACTGATTACTGGTGGTCCCAGAGAGGCATTCAATTGATCATCATCTGCGCTGAAGCCATGGAACCGGTCTAAACGGAGGCACTGGACTCCTCCTGAGAAATATTGGTTGACGGAATTGACGCGGGAATGTCTCGATGCCGGAATGTTCGAGTCGAGCATGACAGCAAATGGGAATCTTTCGGATTGGACAGCACAGCCTGTGCTTGTGGCGAAGGACAAGGTCTTGGCCCTGCTATGCCTCGATTATTTGTTTCATTGATTGAAGAGAAATTCGTTTCTGTTTCGTGTTTTAGGACTCTGCTTTGTCCTTTGTTTATCTATGTACCTACATAAATTTCTATGGGTAACTGTGCCTTAAGTATGTATTGATATGAGGTCAGTCTGATCTTACGTTCCGGAGGATTGACGAGCGAACGAGATAATCTCAAAGTGCCACAATGGTTTACCCAAACTTTGAGGGCTATTGTGTATTAAATCAAGCTTTTAAAAATAAAATCAATTGTTTCAAATATGAAAACTCACTTACCTATCTAGTACCATGTTGACAATCCAGTCCAATTACGAAGATTTGGGCCAAAGATTTAGACGTTCCTTGCCTGGTACGCGATTATATACCTAAGCAGCTGATTCGTACTGTGTTTAATCCAAGCTAAAACCGAAACCTAACAGTGATCCCTTCACTAAATTCTCGTGCGTAGCTGCTGGAATGTAAGCCTGCTTAGGGGTCTTGGCCACTAAAGAAAAACGCCACACAGTAATAAAATTGCATCCATTTCTAATTTACACGGCTTTAAGCCATCAGCACCCGTAGCGCATAATCCAAAATTTTGCCCCGAACCTTCCTATACAATCCCTCATCGCAATAAATAGGTCGAGAACATGGGTGCCCTTCTTTCCCACTTCTCACACAGAAACAATCTAACCTAAGAAATACCGCTCTAGGGCTTCACCTCCAGTTCGTCTGTAGTAAGGCTACTGTTTCCATCTCCATCTTCCTGAGCGACCGAAAGTTCTGTAAAGCGCCCCACCTGAAGCCACTCTCTGATCTCATCAGACCCAGCCAAGGCAAGACAGTCTCTAGGACCGTTCGCGCCGACATAACTAGTTGAAGCATCGCGGCTTACCAAAAGCTTCACGGCTTCGAGATGCCCGCAAGCACTTGCTATCATAAGCGCCGATCCAATTGAACAGCCTTCGAAGTCGATGTCAGCTCCGGCCAAGAGGCAATTCTCGATGATCTCCACGAGGCCCCGCGAAGCAGCTTCGCACAGAGGGCTCCGTCCACGTTGCGGCTCCAAGTTCAACATTTTGCGAAGGAGATCACGAGGTAGTGCCCTCGAAAGATCCTTGAACCCCGTTCTTAGGAAGGCTATTGTCCCAAGGGCCTGCCACTGCATATGCCACGGAAACGGAATAATTCGAGAAAGATCCAGGTTGTGGCCTAGCACAAAATCTAATGAGTCTTGTCGACAAATTGCATGATGGATAAGACTCCAGCCGCCTTCCTCCTCCGACATCAAGTCTATGCCATGCTGCAACATAATCTTAATTCTAGACGGACTGAGATCGATCTTCATGCAGAATGCCGGTAATTTTTCAGTCAGTGTTTGCACCTGAGATAAGTCAGGACGATGCTTCAAAAATATCTGAATTAGCTCTTCAAACTTGGGTTTCATAGGTTGAGTCACTAGGAGCTTGAGATCAGACATATCAGCAAGCCATGCTGTTGGTGCCCCCGCGCCAATGAGATATTCTGCCATATCAGCATCAACTACCCGTTCGAGGGGGTATCCGCCGTAAACATCGGGGATATGAACGCTAGCGCCGTGCTCTATAAGTAGCGAAGCGATTTCTATGTCGCCACAAGAAGCAGCAATGTGCAACGGTGTTAAATAATTATCATCGGGATGCCGGCGATTTAGTATTGCTTTGATTGCTTCCGAGGGAGACAGGTCCGATTTGACAATAGTTCTAGAAAAGATATTAGAGAGGAACCCAAAGGTGTTAACATAACGCACCGAAACGTCGCCATTCTATCAACAAGGCTCTTTAGGAGGATCTTGAAATTCTCGTTATTTTCACTCCAGAGGGCATGGTGAAAAGGATAATCATCGTCCACAAGCAGGTTACCGCCTTGAGACCAATATGCCTCCAGAAACTTAGGCACTAGAGACTCGAAGTCAGGCTTCGTTACAACCTTCTCAAACATGCTGATCCCAATCCCAAGGGCGCTTTCTCGCTCGGCCTTTAGAACGTTGACTCCTTGGTCGACAAACCAGGTCGCAATATCAAGCTTGGACTGATTGATTGCCAGAAATAATAGATTCGATCCACGAACATCGGCTAGGGGATCATCGTATTCCCGATGTTTAGCAAATAACTCCTTGCAGCGATTCAAATCTCCTTCACTGATGAATAACTCAACGGCGTATTGGAATAAATCTTGTACTTGGGATCTCGTAGGGTTGCTATCCGGCCAAATTTGGCGTTCTAGCTTTTGGGCAGCATTCTCAGTATCCCGATCTAACCACTCTAGAATGTCTTTATGGCCCAACTTATATGCGTAGCGATACGGAGTGTCACCAGAGGAATCTATTGATAACTTCGCACCGTGCTCTACTAGGAACTTCACTTTCGGTAGAGAGTCCGCAATGACTGCTAAATGTAGAGGAGTTCTGCCGATGTCGTCTTCTGCCGATATATCAGCTCCATGGTCAAGTAGGATTTTGGTTATCTCTACGGAATCGTGAAAAGCGTCGATGTGTAGTGGTGTGAGACCTTCTTCTGATACCGATTCTTCAACAGTCAGTAAATCCTCATCGAGATAAAAGCTGAGACATCCAACGGCACCCTTTGCTGAAGCTAAATGCAAAGCATTTGCCTTGTGAGCATCCACATTATGCTTCTTAGTGCCAGCGAGGACTGATATCTTCCTTTTCCAATCAAATGTTGTTGACATTCGAGAAGTACGCTTTAAAATATTCTTTAGGAAAACCACATTGTCTCCCGTGATTGCCATTTGCGCGGCATCGCGCGAACGGGGAATAGAAAAGCCGGGATCGGCTCCGAGGTCGAGGAGCAACTCGGCACACTGGTAAGAGGCCTTAGACACATGGTAGACGAGGACAGGCTTTTCCTCATCTCGCCCTGTCCCATTAACATCAACGCCTCGCTGAACGAGGGCCTTGACCAACCACAGGATACTAGTGGCATCTTCGCTTGTTGCAAGCCTATGCAGAAGTGAGAGCCCTGATCCATGTGGTGAGTTTTCTCTCAGTTTTCGGTCGTTCGAGTGGTTGAGAAGTTTTTGAAAGAACTTAGAACCTTTGTCGGTTTTGCATAGCCTGAGAGCCCTGTGAGCCTTGAAGGCATACTCCACTGCGGACCCTTCTTTGCCTACACGCTGATGTATATCCACGCCCCGCTCTAGAAGTAGCTGCAGTACCTTTACGTTCACATCGGTGATTGCACGTTTGAAGTAGTTAATCGTGGCATCTGAAATCTTGGCTGGTTCCCACCATTTTGTTTGATCGAGCACATTGCGCAAGGCCTTCACAGGCAAATATCCAGTTGGGTCGTCTCCCAAGTCCTCATATTTCAGCAGACTCGAGAATAGCGGAAGCACACCTGACTGCCGGTTCTGTTCCTCATAAGCCCTCATGGCACCAAGCTTGAGATAAGCCGGGATAATCAATTCAAAGAACACATCCCATTCGTATGAATCGGTGATATCTGAATCGTCGTCACTGATCTCTTGATCAAACTTGGCTAACGAACTTTGTACAGCACAGATAAACTCCCAGCATGACCCTACCTCTCCACCTCTATTACCAATTGATATCAGAGGGAAAAGGGCTTCCACAATATCTAGATCTGGGATATCATTGTGCGATAAAGAGCGTAAGATATACCGTTCGACTGGTAGAAGCCCTTCATAGATGTAATCGCGTGCCTGCTTGTAGTATCTTAGCAGAATCTGAACACAATCAAAAGAAGCTGATCTTGGTATACTGTGCAGCGGAGTGAGGCTGCCGTATTCGGCTTCTTCTGGTATGGCGCCGGCCCTAAGAAGGCCATTGATCACCTCTTCTGAGCCCCCGGCCGCTGCGTCTCCAAATACACGCTCCTGATTCTCCCAGAAATTAGGGATGCTAGGGCACAGATCTAGTAAATGGAAGAGCTTTTGCTTTGATAGGTCAGAGGTGTCTTTTAACAATAGAGATAATGGCGTGTCACCGCCGCTATTCCTCTCTATAAGAGCCTTCGCAGTGGCCTGAGGATCGATTTTGTAGAGAATATCTAATGCGTCGTGTGTCCATCGATAGTCTTCTGCCCAACAATGACAGATATTCGAGCCCCCAGAGTTCGAGGTGAATAAGGAGATTCCACGATTGCCAAAAATATCGAACACTGGCCTGAAGTCGCCATAAGCCGAAATTTGAATCGCGAACCTGCCAACCGAATTCTCTTTGTTTGGGTCACAGCCCATATCTAGTAAAAGCTCCAGGACATCAAGGGCCACATGTTGTACTGCCATGTGTAATAATGTGTTTCCTTCGCTATCAAAAGAGTCCATCACATTGATTCGATCGTCAGCTAGACATTGCTTTGCGACCCCAATCTCATTATTGCGAACAGCAGCAACAGTTCTGGTAGTCAAGGTCTCTGTAGACATGGTGATTCTCGAATCTACGATGAAATCGAGTTGTGTATAGGAAAAGTTCAAGGTGATGGCGAAGTGCCATAAAGTAGAGCTCATTTTTAAGCTCCAATCAGCCCCTTCGGAGGTTACCGCTCGGATGAAGTACAGAATTTCGAGCGTTGAGGACTCGATATTAGGATTGAGGGGTGTTTTAGATGACTTGCAGCGCATCAGGAGTTGATCCACACTTCCAACAAAGATACCAACCTCAGTTTGGCTGGGTATAAACCCGGACTCGAGAAGTTTCAGAACAGCGTTGAAATCTTGCAGTTCTATGACGAGAATACAACATACCGAAAAGATAGAAAGCTCCCCCTCATCAAGTTCATGGTTTGAGGCCTTCGCGCCCCTTTCGATAAGACACTCGATCGTTGAGTTGCGTCGCTCTGTATTCTTAAGAAACTCCGGATACCTAGAAATAAACTCCATAAATTGAGGTTGGTCTGATCTAACACCAAATGGTATTCCTAAAATGGTGACCATGGCAAGATCGATGGGCCTGGCGCGGCGAAAACGCGCGCTTACGGCTGCGCCCTGATTCAATATGGAAGTGCAGACTTGAGGGAGACTTAGAGCCGCAGCCATGTGCAGTGGTTGGAAACTTGGATCCATGACTGCCTTGATGACGAGACGAGAAAGGTCATATGGGAAATGCATGTAACCAAAAGACTCTTTCAGTAGTTCATATATAGCTCCTATCGCCCAGGAGCAGAACCAGGGGGTCTTCTGCGGCTTGAAAAGAGATTGGGAAAGTTCGAGGATGACGGCGTCATATGACTGAACAGGCGCTATAAACCTAAGCCAGTTGATTACTGCATACGGATAGAACGAAAAGGTCTTATTTCTCTTCCTTATGAGGGACTCTTCCTTGCTCGTGTCTTCTGGTCTTCTTTCAAAGTTCTTCAATTGCAAAAATCTCAGGCACTGGGTGGCCAAACGTGTACGGGCACCAGTTCTAGAGACCATATATTTTTTAATATTGGGTTTTCCGACGTCTGCTGTAAGGGCCTCGTGATCCTCAAGAAACTCTCGGACGGAGAAGTGGGCGAACTCGTATGATAATCCATCTTCCGACTTTCGAATGAGACTGCTACACCTTAAGGCTATTTCGTCTTCTGAAACTGTGTTAGACTCGTCGAGGAAGTCTCCGAGTTTGTCTGGTGTGGATACCGCTTGGCGTAGTTGCGTGATAGTCAGTTTAGGCTCATCAATCGCAATGAATTGAAGGCACATTTGCACAAGAGCCTGTACAGCTGGAGAACACCTGTTGACTCTCTCTAGAAGCCGTCGATAACTTTCAGGGAGGTTGGGCGGCAATTTGTGTAATGCTTCTCTTCTCTCTTGATCATGAGCACAATCGCAGAGGTAGTCCAATTGACAAACGACCCACCGGAACCTAGGTTAATCTTGTCAGCGTCTTATAAGTATTTCCCTAGTAACTAGCTACTTAATTATACTCACATCCCCTGTGATCGAATAGTCAGAGTCTCTAATATTTCCTCCTTCATCGTCATATCGGCAAGCCGTAATCGGCGGTTTTGAACTCTCCTTTCGATCTCAGACGCGACATAAAGTTTAACATCCTCTATTTGAGCTTCAATTAGGATCGACTCATAATCCTCACCTAGTCCCTGTCGAATCTCTTGATGACCTCGACTGAGGACGGCTATTGAAAGTGTTTCAGTGTAATCCCCGAGTTCACGTAAAACATCAAGGACGAAATTAACGTTATCTCCACACTCGTCGAGACCATCGAGTACAAGGATGGTCTGGTCAAATAGTTCTGATATTTCAGTGATTTTGGCTCGAAGGTCGTCGGGATCAGGCGATTTGGCGAACCCCGTCGCCGGATGAAGTGTTTCATAATAATCCTTGAGAATCAAAAAGGCCTCCTCTTTCTGACGTGCTAGTTGAGCAGCAATTGCCCCTAGGATATTGACGGGCTCCCAAGTATCAGCGTTCTTGTAGTCGCAGAAGAAAAATGCAACGCTGACTGATGATTCACGGTGGCTACGCTCAAGCGCTTCCTGGATCACCGAGCCCGCTAAGACCGTTTTTCCGGCTCCAGGGATACCAGTTAACCATAGCCTAGACTTCGGGGTCTCAAGCCAGTCCCTAAAATCTGGCGAGTCCATCAACCAAAGCCCAGTCATCGCATGGCGGAGCTTGATGCTCAACTCAAGATACGGCTGAGGACTGATTTTTACAAAATAATCCAGCACACGTTGCTCTTCGTTCTTTACAACGATAATGGTGTTGATCTCAATTCGTCGCGTCGCCTCCTCAATTGAAGAAACCCTTTTACCCAAATCATCAACTTTAGCAAGCGATACTTGTAACTTTTGCATAGTGTCGGCAGATAACGCCATGATGATGGTCTCTTTGTGGCGGGCCAGCTCCGTAAGCAGGTCTTGCGTCTCCGAGGACGAGAATGGCCATTTGAGCTGCTGAACAACCGCGCCGATCTTAGATTTGGCGAGCCGATCGACAGCCTTCCTGACCCTCTTCTCGATCTTGTCGAGCGTCCGGCGACAATGATTAAGATAGTGCAGCCTGAGCGTTGGATCGAATTTGTCTCCTTCCGATTCTAGCGTTGTAGCGATCGCTTCTAGGGTACGTAATACACTAGAAAGGCCATTGATCTCGTCGGCGAGAGATTGAATGTCATTTCTGGCATCTTTCACGCCTCTGACATATTTGTAGACCAGCTTGAACGTCAGGTCGGCCAAAGAGATCAAACCAGCGATGCTGGCTGAGACGGAGAGTGGATCGGACATCGGTTCCGATATCAGCGTGGTTGACCATCGATGAAGGTTCTCGAGGGGAGAAGTCGATCGAGGGGCTGAAGATGGTAGACAAAATCACCAGCGTAGTATTGTACCCGATGCAAACGTGCATGCTTACTTACTCCACGGCGCTTATCCAAGAAAAACCCCCGCCATGCTAACCCAGCACTCATTGGATGCCTTGTTCGAATAGGCGTAATGTGAATAGCTGATGATACATGTACGCTTCTGGGGTGCTTCTGGGGTGCATTTCGTTTCGTTTGCAAATTGCAAAGCGCTATCGCACATCTTAGTAGTATCCATGGATATCTCGAGAAACATTGGCGATACCCTGCTGTAAATTTCTAAGTAAACTAAAAGTGACTGAGCCGAATCAATAGCTAAAATAATTCTCGATCAAGCTTAGCTTTGCTCCCCTCAAAAGAGTGGGTGGTTATAATGAAAAGACACGGTTTTGCTCCTCTATGACAGGTATATACCGATGTTATGTTGGAAGGATAAAAAGTTAAAGTTCAAACTGAAACGATTCAAGGGACGAGGGAGTACCAAATCAATTAGCTTACGTAACACACTCCACAGCCTGTCCCCATCGGAGCTCGGGCACAGTACAGAGGTGCCTTCCTCTGTATGTACGAACCTGTAATTACCAATTAATCATCCTGACTTCTTACCTCAACATTCTCTAGACAACTTTACAACTAAAAAACGACCATTTCAATCATAAAATACGAAGACATGTTAACTTCTTTTCGGTGGCGGCAGATGTCAGGTTTACTAACATAACATGGAAGTTACATGTGTGCTACAGATAGGTAAATGTCACTACTGGTTAATCACAACTCTCTCTAATGAACTTATGAGAATCAACTTACTATATTCCACCAACACTACTATCGCGCCCCTAATTATCGATAGCACCTCGAAAGGCCATCCCATGAGAAGACCATTCAGCAAGTGCAAGGAGAAACCGAAATCTTTCCCGCGGTTGTGCAGAGGAACACTTTTTCTTTCTACCACCAGCTTCTCGTGGCGCTAAACACGAGAGCACATCCCCATCGGATGTCCGAAAAGGCTTGGGCACTATCAAAATACAGGGCGTTTGCACAGGGAGTTCTAAGCATTTCATGAAATTATATCTATCCCGTTAAGACTAACCCAACCAATCCCCCTTTCATGCCCTCTCAGTCATCATATATTTTCCTAGGAAGACAGCTTAACGACATAAGCACCACGCTCAATCGTGTTAATCATGATGTACCCGCTCTTGAAGTACGGGTAATGACTCCAAGTTCCCTGGAACTCGACCTGGCCACCGCCCTCCTCGTCGTCGTCCTCGGGGTAGATGTCGAAGTAAGCGACTTCCTTAACGCCCTTTCCAGTCGGGTCGGAGGGGATAGACGAGATATCCAGGATGTGCAGGCCGCCTCCGTAGTTGCTCTGGTACACGAAGTCCCCGTCGACGAACTGGTTGTGGTCGATGCCCTTGCGCGAGGCTTGGTAGTAGCCCGTCTGCTTGGGCGCCTCGAGCGACGAGATGTCCCAGATGTATGTGATCGGGTATCCCGGGGCTCCGAGGCCGGCGTGGTCGTACTCGTCGTACTCGTCGTCGAGCACGAGGTACTGCTGCCACTGTGTGTCTAGCACCCATCCCTGGTGCGTGTAGCTCGCGCCCTCGTATGAGGTTCGCGAGATGATCGACGGGCTCGCCTTGTCCGTTACGTTGTAGATCGTCAGCGTGTCCTCGTTGTATCCGTAGCAGATGTCCTCGCCCACGTACTTCTCGTCCGGTCCCCGGTAGATCAGGCACTGCGCGTCGTGCACGTAGCCGTCGCCCGCAGCGCAACCTGGAGATGTTAGGTTTGACAAGTCCGACAGGTCGATGAAGATCAGTCCCGAAGCGCAGCTTGAGTTTCGCGGCTGCGCGCCGGATGCTACGGCGTAGTTGCCCTCCTCGTTCGTCTGCACCGTGTGGGAACGTCCCGACGGTAATTCGTTCCAGTACGAGATGTCGTCCACGTTGTTGAACGTCTTAGGGCTAGCCGGGTCGATGTCCAGCAGCTTCGCCATGTCGAATACCTGGATACCGTGGTTGACGGCCTCGGATCCGATCACGATCAAGCTCTTAAGTCCCTTGATCTCTCGCCATAGTGACGGCTGGGCGGTCGGGTATTGGGGTAGGCGACCGAGGTAGATGAGCTTACCCTCGGAGCTAATCTCCGCGAAGGCGGCGCCGTCGGATTGCGCAATCGCGACGAACTCACGGCCGTCGGGGCTCGTCCAGCCCCACGATCCGGAACCCTCGCCACCGTTGCTGCCGAGGTCCGCGTGCGATTGGAAATCGTAGAGGTCTAGCTTGCTGCACTTGAAGCTGTAGAGCGGGTCGCCAGCTACGAGCTCCGCGATGCCGTCCGTGCAGGGGACTGAGGCGACAGCCTTGCTCATGCTCTTGTATTGGGAGGAGTCGAAGAGTCCTTGCTCTCGGCGGCCGGCCCAGTATGACTAGTTCTTGTCAGTGATATTGTGAAAGTGTGCCTTTTTAGGTTTGCTTACCTCCTTAGTAGCCATGATGGTCTCGTGTCGGATACCGCTGTCGAAGAGCTCCGCGGCCAATGCCTCATCTGGCGCCATCTCCTTGGCTACCGCATAGCTGGAGAGTGCCGCAAGGGCGACTGCGTTTAGAGAGTACCTCATCTTGTTTGGCGTCTGGTCACGGGGTCGACTTTACAACTACAGATCCTCGCGATCTTTATTTTCGGGCGTGAGGGACGAGAGAGAGGGAAACTAGTCCACAACTTAAGCGCATCCGGGCGATCCTTAAGTATTCATGGCGCGGGCGCAGACCAAGTTTCCGACGATAAGGCGGCTCGGGTCGACAAGCCGTAACCCCAATACTCCTAGATCGTATAGCGACGAGGGTAGCTTCATCCTGGGCAATGGCATCATGAGCGTAGATACTGTCGTAGCATCTCAATCTACCCAAAGCGGTAGGTGGGCGATTTTAATTTGTAGAGCGCGCGCGGCATCAGGCGAATTCTGGTTCTTTACCCCGGCAAATTGCCTGCGCCCAGCCCTTGGCAGGCGATTCACGGCCACCATCTGATTAGGACGGTTCGAAGAGAATCGACTTTCTCTATAGATGAGCCCTGTCCCGCCCAGCCTGCACTTAGGCCATGTTTTGTCCAATCGGCGCAGGTCTTTTGGATATATAGTACAAGATGCTGGAGGATTAATAAGGTTGGCATCTCTGCCGTTCCTCCTATCAATTGCCGAGAGAGGCAGGAGCGCAATCAAGCATCCCCACGTCGATGGAGGCTCTTGGCGACTCTGTTTACTGCGTGACCCTTCACCTTGGGTGGAAAGAGGGACATCAAAGCGAGGCGGTCGGGAATGAAGAGGGGATAGAGATGGGGTTATGAATGCGGAAGATTGGTCAGGTAAATCGTATGCGCACACACGCCATACACATGCGCATTTGTATCAACGAGGTCTTTTATGGGCTAGATCGCGATATGATCACTATCGTCATTGACGTAGCAGATTCGCACCGGTAACACAATAACAAAGGGCCGAATTCCCACTCGCGATCTCATTCGAAGATAAGTTAGTGTCGCGGGTGTCCTCCCGCCCGGATTTCGACGTCGAAGATCCTTCAGCCTCCGCGACGAGGCGTCCGGGGATTCCAACATGCCTAACCAGTCAGGTATCACCGGATTCCGTAGTTGTGCAACCTCTCCAATGCCAAGGTCCGCTTGGAATCTTCCCTGTCGATCTGCCTCGAATACGGGTTCCGTCGGGCTGACGAAGCCGGGGGGCATCCGACCAATCCAGTCTTCGCTTAGGGATGACAGAGTCCCCATTCAGGAAACTCCTCGTACGACACTCGGTCAACGAATCGACTAGCCGACATAGGAAGCTCGAAATATCTTCAGCTCTTGGGGACCAATACTTAAGACGATGGACCTGCTTGGCAGTGAACATTCAAGACTTCTAGAAGGGGACTCTAAATTCCCTTTCTTCTAGGCAAATTCGGCCTTTTCTTTGCCTTCCTAAATCCGTAGCAGCTAAGGTAAAGGGAAAAGGGGCTCGGTCTTAACTCTAGCGACGAGCGTGGAAGGAGTTAACGTTTACTCGTAAACATTAAAGTAACCGATGTTGGATCGCAGCATTCCAATGCTCTGTTCGGATTTGGATGTAGGTAAGACCGGCCCTTTCGAATAGAGATGTTGCAATCTTTTGATATGTTTAAAACTCCGTTTATGGTTGAGGAACACTATAATATATGGTGTGGAGTGTATACAATATAAATTTATATACTAGCCTCATGATTAACCCGTCAAACAAGGCTTTTCCAACCGCCTTCGAAACAATGTAGCGCGAAGGTACTGATAAATCGAATATTTCACAGGTCAATACCGACCAGGCAACTTACGTCTCACTTCAAAGATCTTGAAGATATCCACTCGATACGAAGGACGATATATTACTGGCAATACTGATATTGCGTACATGTACTCTTTCCATCAGATAAGTAGATATCCAAAGACCGAACATCGCCTAGAACCTCATTGAAAGAAACCGTTCTGACTTCATGTTCATAGGTACTGAGATATGACAATCGACGTTGTCTTTTTTCGTTATGGAAATTCAGTAAACCTACCAATAAGAGGAGCGTTCTCTAATATGGAGCTCGCCTATCGTCGCCGTCTTCGATTTATTTTCATATTATTCGATTAAGGACTCATCAGGAGACAACGGCGTATAAGCAGAAGAGTCTTTGGTGTGACCCTTAGAGGACTCTAACGAGGTAGTATATAAGGAGGACTTCGATCTTTAGAGTTGGAAAAGAATAAATGTTAATATTGTTACCATTGGCTTCGAGACATTTATCGGCATCCAGGTAAGTAAATTGCCACTCATCTAGAATATACAAGATAGTTAGGTATTTATACCTTATATAGGTATTATCAGTAAAGGTTTTATTACAGAGTCAGTGATAACAAAAGCGAGCTCGCTGTAAGGTCGCTCGAGAGTTGTAGAATAGGAGAACCTACCTAGATTTAAACAATTGTTTACATAAGCGTATGTTCCACAACATACTGCTAGCACGCCATTACATTGATTCTCCCTTTTAACCCCTGAAACCTTATTGATACAAATGATGATTATCATGACTATTGATATCTTGCGGTTAATCTTATATCCTATCACGTATTAGATATGAGAAAGAGATACCTAAAAGATGAAGTAGAAAGAGATGAAATGAAGTGTTAAATAAGAACTGTTGTGTCATTTCAACTCATAACTGATAACCATAACTATAATTCGTGATATAATTAGATAATGTTGAAATTTTCCCAATATGACCCCTATTATTCTTTTCCCGGAAATCTAGTAGCCCCCCCTGTTCATATAAGTACCTAGTAGGTACTTACCACATTATTCGGCAATTTTCGAAAATACCTACCTATCAACCGACAAAAAGTAAGAATATTGCCATTCAGATATGACTTGACAATTCGGATAATTGAACATCAAAAGAGGAGATCATGAGCATCGTTGATATGCCATCCTCTTTGTATGCTAGGTTGGCCCTAAATTCTTACACTCTATCCAGATAGGCAACACTTTACGCGTGTGTAACCCCACGTGGCATGCCAAGACCGTCCCTCATATCAACCAACATTTAAACTTCAACATTTGAACTTTGACAACTTCATTCTTTAATATCTATTAGGTAAACACAAAAAATCGGCGTACCTAATATCACGTTTAATTAGATAAGTATTCATAATCTCATAAAAGTGAACCTCATAATTGGAAAATTGACATTTCAACCACTAATTCGCATGATAGGTAATACCGCAGATCAGGTTCAACGGTTTTACCATGCAACTCCCATATGCATATCAGATCAAATAAGGACGCGAATTCTGCACCGTTGAGTCGGTCTAACCCTTTCTGCATAAGTCCACATCACTGGACCCCAAGCATACCGAAAATAAACAAACGTCTCGAATCGCCTGAGGCGGGTAAACGGCAATAGGCGCATGGTATCATGATATATCTAATCATAATAGCTATCTAGGGAAGGAACTATTATCTATGTACTTACCTAAATGCAGAGATAAAAGATCGAGGCTCGAAGATAAAGGAAGATGGAATGGACCGAGGTTATCACGATGAATCCTGCAAACCATTACCTATCACGGAGGCTCCAGTCAATCTATCTCACGTACTCGAGTTTGCTCCATGATAGATGTTTCACAACGGCACAGCAGACGTCTGTGCAACTATAACAGGTGCAGGTGGCGTAATAAAATCTTCAACAATGAATTTGATTCACGATGCCAAGAGAGCTATACTGAGCAAAAGAATATTATTTGTGGACATTTCTCCGTGGTTTAACCCCAGACCGGTTAGACTGACAGCTTACCGACTCGTCGTGCAGTCGTCGTGCAGTTGCTAAGTATCAGCTGGGTATCCAGTCTGCCAATTCCCGGTGTGCGGTACATATGCGTACCTGGAACGCTGTAGGGTGCTACATGCATACCCAGTATCCATCCATGGGTATGTAGGTACTTAGCTAGTACCTAGGTATGTAAGGCTCTGCGTGGTGACCGGAAAAAACTCCGCAGACACTTTATGCCCACCTTGGGGTTCGGCGTCGTTTGGGCGTTTAGGATCGCTGGAACTACTTTATGTATCACGTCACCCAAAAGCCACGGACTTGTAAGAAGGCGTATCTCGTACAACATCAACTCGGGGACACCGGGATACCCCAATCATGGACCGTGGAGAAAGCAGCTCTGGTCCTAATAAACGTCGTCTTCTCCCATTAGCACCGGCTGCCGCAGGCGGCTCAGGACAAGGTGCCGGCGGTGGCACAACCACGAAAGGAAGAAGACAAGTTACCGCAGCGTGTGAAGCATGTCGGAGAAGAAAGTCAAAAGTAAGAACCAGAAAACACGAAATACCTATTTAACCTACATGTAATACCGGGAAACTGTCCAGCATGGTATATGTTTTGTATTAAGCTAAGCTTACTAACCGATCATGTTGTATTTTGTAGTGTAATGCTGAGCGCCCAAAATGCAGCCTCTGTGTCAGACATGATACCGAGTGCAAATATGCAACGGCCCCAACAGAAACACATTCACAGGCATTGAAACGGAAACATAGCGAACTTCAGGACCGTATTACTCCATACGAGGAGCTATTCGACATTCTAAAGTCTAAGTCTGAGACCGAATCTCTCGAAATCCTTAAGAGGATCAGGTCCGGCAACGATGTCGGATCTATCTTGCGTCAGGCGAAGGATGGTGATCTCCTGATGCAGCTTTCCTTGGCCCCTGAGGCCCGTCGCCGATACGAATTCCCTTACATACCCGACATGCCAGCCACGATCATGGTTCCAGATAACTTGTATCTACGTTCTTTCATTTACGAAACTACCTTTCATGCTCATCCTACTCATGGTTCTGCACTTGATGTCAATCGTGAAGGGCACGGTGATGATAGGTATCTCAAGCCGTATCATGCAGCTCAGCTTGTTGAGCCAAGTTTCTCGAATATAAAGGTCTCGGAATGGACTCCAGTGTTAAAGGACGATCACGTATTAAGGAAGCTTCTCCAAGCCTACTTATACTATCAACATTCATGGACTGCCGCATTTCATATGGATTATTTTCTCCAGGATATGGCAGCGGGCCGGACACGTTTCTGCTCTACTCTACTGGTCAACGCCGTCCTTGCTGCTGCATGCGTAAGTCTTATTCCAAAAGTGCAATAATTCTTGTATGTAACTAATTCTATATAGGCCATGAGCCGTGAACTTCCAGACCGAAATAAGTTCTGGGTCCCCCAAACCCTCGGTTACCAATTCCTAGCGGAAGCAAAGAGACTTTGGGAAATCGAAAGTGGAAGTGTACCCGGCAAACTAACAACGATACAAGCAGCCATTATTCTCAGCATTGTGGCAACTACCACCGCCATGGACAAAGTCGGCACATCATACCTACTCCAAGCCATGGCCATGGCAACAAATATAAACCTATTCACGGCTACCTGCGGTACGCGAGATGGGATCACGCGAAAGGCGCGAGCATTCACTGCTTGGGGATTATTTTGTTGGCAAGCGTAAGTACCCCAAAACATAAAGCCGTAGTCACGTTCTCTGCTAACTAAACATATCAAGCTGGCAACGTTTCTACTTCGGGCTCCCCCCTCTCCTCGCAAGTGCCCCAGCGTACCCCCTACCAGACCCGATGGTCGACCCAAAGTGGTTCGGGGAGGTATGGATACGCTACCCTCTAGGCCAGGACATATACCCGACACATCTTGGCTGCACCATGAAAGCGAATTTCGAGTTGCGGAAACTGATGAACGAGATGGCGTCCCAAATCTTCGAAGACAACGGCTCCCCTCACATCACCGTTGAGAAGGCCCTCGAATGCAAGTCTATGTTAGATAATTGGTTCTCCAATCTACCAGAGCCTCTTATCCCGACGAAGGTTGTGCTGCCAGATCATATCAAGATACAGTAAGTACCTATCTACCCACCATAACCACTCACCCACCCCCCCTCACGTATCCAGAACTAACCCACCTCCTCACAACCAACAGCATAGAATACTACGGCACAATGATAACCCTCGTCCGCCTCCTCGCGCAATGCGGCACCCCACTGGACCTAACATGGCAAAACGTAATCACGCACGCCGAAGTGCGTCTCGAGACTCTCCTGCGGCTCTACTACCTCCGACACAGCTTCGAATCCTACGACCCGCTCCTAATGCACTGGCTAATGTTCCTCGGCGACTCCATCCTCCTCAAACTCGACTCACCCCAAGCCATCCTGCAAATCCCCTCCTACCACCCACGCCCGAACCCCGAATCCCTCCGCTCGACCCTAATCCTCTGCGCGAAAGGTCTCTACGACCAATCCCGCAACTTCCACATCGCAGTCCTCCTCTACCGTCTCCTCCGCGACCGCATGAAAGCAAACGACCTCGACCTCCTGCGAACCCACATCTTCGCCTCCCCCTCATCCAGCAGCAGCAGCGGCGTCATCGCCGAAGACGACGAGCCCCTCATGACGCAATACGTGCAAGCGCAATGGCTCGCGCCGATCGTAACCCCCATCGACGGTGGTTCCAGCGACGACAGCTCAAAACGCACCCTCGACTACCTCCTGCGGGAGTACGAAAAACTCTCCATCGACCGCCGCGGAGACGCCGAAGACGTAAGCGAAGCGGAAACGGACACGACTCCTCCGCTAATCACGCCGTCTTCGTCGTCGTCGGTGGCCGCGCAGCGGATCACGCCGCCGCAGCCGCCGCGGCGCACCTGACTATCACGGACGCTGGTCTCCGAGTACCTGACCCGCGTGCTCGGCGCCCGCTTCGGCGACTTCTTGCCTCGGCTGAAGGAGCTGATGGAGGGGTAGCTGAGATTGGGCTGGGGTTGTTTGGGTTGGGTACCTACATACTTACTTAGTACCTAGATATACTCAGCTGCCTAGGTAGGCTTGGGTTGCTGGGAATTTGGATAGTTAGGTGGGTAGGTATCTGCCTAGGGATATATCTAGGGGGGAAGGTTAGGAAGCTACTTATTTCGGTAGATGGAGGATATGTCTCTGGGATCCTGAGCAACAGGTACTATTTCCGGGTTCCGGCGTCCTGATATGAATTTGTCATTTGACATACACACGACACGACACGACACGTTACGGCACGAGCTATTGGCGGCTACTTTGTAGCCATATGTACTGGTTATTTTTACGATATATCTCACGGTGTATCGATTGATATACGACTTACGATGTAAGAGACGAGCAACAATTACGAATCTACGAATTCGACGATTTATTTATTTTAGATTGTTTTTTCTTTCTGTTTTTTTTTGTTTCAAAAGGGGGTGAATTAAGGGGTAGATTTGGAACCTGTTAAGATGAGATCTGCGAAGAAAATTTGGTTTACTCTTATGGGCGGAGAGCGCAGATGATGGGCTAGATATAGAACCTGTAACTATATCTTCTTGGGGAAGGGGGTTTAGATTTGTGTGTAGCAATGGTTGGTGGTCAAAATGATTTTGTTTGAATATATGGTCGCGTTCACTCTAGCATGTATGCTATTGAAATGTCCACTTCACTCGCCATGTTTCGAAACTCATGATTGAGAAGCCAATGCCGATGATCCGACACCCATCACGCTCTAAAGTGAAGCCCGATGACGACCAAAAGATGCTCCCAATGTAAAGCCATTTTGTTCCACCGTGGGGTATACCGGTCATGTCCCTCTATTATCATAAAAGCAATCCAATTCATCTAGCTCACTTTACATGCTGGTTTAGCTCAGCAATTCCTTAATGTCTTCAACTCTCTGGAGTCTCTTTTCTTCGTCCGACATCATACCCAAAGACGTAGCACTAGAGATAGCCGTGTTTAGTAATCGAAGGTCATAGCGTTGAGATGAAAAGGGGTAGGGCCGCTTACATAAACTTCTTCCTATCCTGAACCCTCAACATCCGCTCTTCGACACTTTCCTTCACAATAAACCGATACACTTTTACCTCGTTCTCCTGACCCATTCTGTGCACACGGTCGATGGCCTGCGCCTCGACGGCGAAACTCCACCAAGGATCCATCATAAAGACTCGATTCGCTTGTGTCAGGTTTAGTCCCACGCCACCAGCCCGCAAACTCAGTAACAGAATTGTAAACTTGTCCGACTCTCTGAACTCGCTTAAGATGGCAGACCGAGTCTTTTGGTTGGTGGAGCCATCGAGACGGAGAAAGCGCATGTTTGCCTTGTTGAGTGCGGGTTCGATGAGTGACATGAAGGATGTAAATTGGCTGAACACCACCGATTTGATGCGAGGGTGTTCCCTGCGCAGTTCTCGTAGATGTTTCATGAGTGAGACGACTTTAGACGAAGACTCATTAGTGCCCAGTCTTTGCAAACTGATCTTTGGCGTTGTGTGAAACGAATCCGGGTCATCGTGTCGAACCACTTCAAATAAGTCGCGACCGTTTATAGGCTCACGACAATTGAAGCATTTTGGTACTTGATGATGATCCGCGCTATGCTTAATGAAATCCAGTAAACATTTCTTGCAAGCAGAATGCCAACAACCAGTAACTGTTTGGTCAATCATCGGCTCTTCCGAACAGATGGGACATTCGTTGACAGCCTCGTCCTTGATTTGCTGGAGAACATGTGCGCCAAATGCATTGGCATCCTTTTCATCACCAGTAGTTGCAGTGAATTTTTCGATCAGAGATTGGAGATCCATATCATCACCAAGGCCTGCGGCGGCATCCGCCTCTGCCCCTGCCAATTCTTCTTCGGCCACTATATCTTGATTCCTCACCAAGATTGGGTGACAGCATGTCTGGCGTAGACGGAGAATTTGGGCAAAGATAGTGGTGTATGCTTTCATCACCGTGCCCTTCTCAACATTGGCCGAGAGCGTACGCTTAGCTCTGGTAAAGATATGGTCGTATACAGCTCGCTCGGCCTCGGAGAGTTCGACTTCGACGATTTCCATCGACTTTGGCGGTAAAGGAACAAGTCTAGATATAATTAGCATCGTATTTTTCATTTTAGACAAGTACATAGTCACAACTTACGGTTGTCCATCAGGGGTCTTCATGTCTTTGGTTCTCCTCATCACCAAAGGCTCCAACACCGTCTGTACCACGTCAAGAGCACGAACGAAATCTTTAGACTCGAATGGAACAGTAATAAAAGTCCGCCAGAAGGAAAAGTTGTTCCAAGGTTCCACCCTAAGAAACCTAACTAAACTGAACAGATCCTCTAGACGATTTACAATAGGGGTTCCAGTGAGAACCCATCGGTGAGTTGCTGAAAGACCATAACAAGCCTTAGCTGTCTTCGATTGTCGATTTTTGATGGTATGAGCTTCGTCGAGAATAATGCGGAAGAAGTCTAATGAGAACAGGCCGTTATGTAATTCTTTATAAAAGCCTTGCTTAGAAGCGAGCTGGGTGAATTCCGATAATACCACGCCATAACTTGTAATTACGACATCCGGGGCAGAAGAAATATTAGTCTCGCAGCACAACGCTTGAAGGTTGTCGGTCTTTTCAGTGCCATAGTAAACGATAGATTTTAGCGTGCCTTCTTTCGACGCGTTTTCTGCTTCACTTTGCCATTGGGCAAGTAACGACATAGGAGCAATAACCAGAGTCGTCTTGGGCGCAGGAACGATGCCAGCTCTAGAAAACGTCTTTCGTAGACCATTTGTAGAATTGAGGGGGTTATTTTTGCTTTGAATTGCAGCTTCAGACTTATGGGAATGAATCAAACTCAGCATTTGAATTGTCTTACCAAGACCCATCTCATCGGCAAGGATACCGCCTAAGCAGTGCTGTTCTTGTACAGGGAAATCCAAGGACATCTCACCAGAGTATGGGTTCATGTAAAAGCTAGACTGGCCTTCAACTTGAGGCAACTCTTGATCATCGACATCTTTCGTTGGCCAAGTATATTCTTCCCAGAGTGGATGCATTGAGGCTTCACGGGCTTCATTCGTCCGGTCTTTCTCTTTAGCTAACATCCAATATAGCGATTGCTTTTGGTAGGGACGGAGAGTCATGTTAAATGTCTCTGCTGGCTCGGCTTCGGGTGTGCTAAAATCAAAGGATTGAGCTTTCCGGTAAAGGGCATCTAGTTGATCCTGCTCGAGTTCTTGCCCGTCTTCGGCGTCATCCGCCGGTGGAGATGAGCCTGGTGTACCTTGGCTACTAGGTTTCGGATCGTTATTCTTCTTGTCAATCGTTTCGGCAGCGGAAAGAAGGCCTTGTCTCGCATTCCTAGTTGCGGTCGCGTTGCCTCTTGACGGGTCGAGATTGATCTCCTGGAACAATCGCACAAGTGACACTTGACGCAGACGTAGATCACGTTCCTCGCCTGTTTCCTTCTCCTCGAAGAGGCCAGTCGATCGGTTATCCGATAATTGATAACCTACATTCTGGAAAGTAGAACTTATTAAGAAGCATCGCAACTGCAGGAATACGGTATCATTTGTCCTTAGCCTCTCAGGCGCATATACGCAGCTACCTTCAAACCTGCAGACATTTTGATCCATAAGCGAAGATACCCAATTTGCGGTGTCTTTTGCCAGCCGACCGATCTCAGATCCTCGGGCATCGGTAAAGCGCACAATCACATCAACCCTCCTAGCCGCAGCCGAGTTCACCCTGGGGGTCGGCATTAGCGTACCTGCTTTACCCTTAACATATGAACTTGGTGGCACGATCTTCTGACGCTCGATTTTGACACTGTCTCCGTGTTTGAGAAGGTTTACTCCACTTCGAGTAGCCCATCCCTCTACACCAAAAGCGCCTATATAACGACTACTCATCGAGAGTTGTGACTGTTGGGGCCGTACCGGTAGAGGACGGGGTTGGTTGGAGTTTTTAGTTGAGATCGTTGGGGGTGTTCGGGGCAGGGGAAAAACTGCGGTCTTGTTTGTGGGTTTTGGAGTACGATATTTCTTCCAAGTGCCGTCGAAGTACATGTTAACAGCTCGCTCAAGATTGCCTTCACAGTTACTACCGATGATACTCAGAGCCTCGGGATCGACCTGGTCGCCAACAATGCTTTGAAATGCATTTGCGTCAAGATTCGTATTGTTATCCGAGGTAGAAGAAGACATTGCCGAGAGTGGACCAGCAGTGCCCGCGATGGGCGCCTCGTTAATGACATTGTCAACCTTCTTCTCTGCAAGAGGCGGCTTTCTTTGTAAACAATGAGGGGTCGGATCATTTTCTTCCTCTGGGTCTGCAAAAAATCTTCTTTTCTTGAATGGAGGTTCTCCTGATTCTTCTAAATTCATGGTGAAATCATTGAGGCACTTGCGGATCGCAAGCAGAGGATATACTGTATATACAGGTCGAATAGCAAAATGAAAAAAGTTGATCTGTTCGAATGTGAATAGGCAGACAGGGTCCGTAAATGGCCAGAGACCAATCAATTGTTTAGTAGGCGAAATACTAGATACCCAGTGAATAATTGAAAAAAATCTTGTTTACTGGAAGAAATTGACAAGAAAAACAATTAGTCGGCAACAGGTAAGAAAAATAAGACCCAGTTCAAGAAAAGGAAGCCTCGATGCTTGAACAGCATGGCACGTCGCGTTAATATTTCCCAATTAGTAATTAAAATAAATCCAGACGCGATTTCCTCAACACGGGTCATCATGTGATCGCGTCTCAATTAAAACCGAAAGAGGAAAGGTCAGATCCTGCCATGGCCCCACATCCCGCTATCCGTGATATCATTTTTACTTTACCTAGCTCATCCTTGCCATCGGAAAGCCACCAATTGCAGAAGTCCGATTTAGAGATTTTCCATCTCGAAACTTTCAATTCTCGACATCGAACACATTAACGCCATGGATCTTTTATAAAGGAGAATCTCAATTTCTTATGTATCGTGCAATTCGAGCACGCCAAGGCCTTAGCTGGCCTAGAGACCTTTTACGATCCTCACGAAGATATTACGTCACTGATGTCGAAATAGAAAAGGCGCGGCAATATTGTATTGCGCAGTTGAGGTACGGCTTAAGACTCCCACAACAAATATTAATATGACATTATGAGTGTATGAGGCTAACTGAAATAGACAGTCTGACTATGATTCCTATTTAATTCGGAATCTGCTGCCAAAGTCGCGGCAAGATATCTACGATGCATTACGAGCATTCAATCTTGAGTTGGTGCGACTCCCGGAGCTCGTCTCAAATCCGACGATCGGCCAATTGCGAATGCAGTTCTGGAGAGATGCTGTGAACAAGACATTCGCCGGCAACCCACCTAAAGAGCCTATCATGATCCTACTATACAAGGTCATCAAGGAGCTTACTGAGAAAGGCGGCGCACCTAGTTCCATCAAGTTTTGGCTCTTACGTGTGATTAATACTCGGGAGAAGTATATGGATAATCGGCCATTCACCAGCTTAGCTTCGTTAGAGGAATACGCAGAAAACACATATTCGACCCTTATGTATTCGAACCTGGCAGCACTCCCTATTCAATCCATGCATATGGATCACTTAGCCAGCCACATCGGCAAGGCGTGCGGTATAGTGGCCGTCCTTAGGGGCATACCGGTCTTGGCAGCGCCTTCGCCTCCCGTGAAGTCGCCTGAGGGAGCTAGCGTGGGTAGCGGTAGGAATCCCGTCTTATTATTACCACTGGACGTGATGGCGGAAACAGGTCTAAAAGAGGAGGACGTATATCGCAATGGCCCTCAAGCGGAAGGTTTCCAAGACGCCATCTTTAAAGTTGCCACCCGGGCCCATGACCATCTTATTACCGCAAGGGAGATGTTGAAAAACCTCCAGGCGGGACAGCATCCGGGCCACGAATATGAGCACCATGGCGAGGAGCAACACGATTACCCGTTGGTAACTGTTGAAGACGATGACACAAAACGAAACCTCCGTCGGGGATTCGGCGTCCTAATGGAGGGTGTCCCGGTCGGCGATTACTTGACAAGGCTTGAAGCTCAAAACTTCGACCCTTTTATGGTGAAAAGTAGCTGGAAGCTACCATGGCGATTATGGAGGGCAGCCAAAACCCAGCAAATATGAAGCTAGGGTTAGCTGATTGTGTACTAATGTATGATACGGCCGCAAGTAAGCGATCTCTTATTAGAAAAAGCATATGAAATATCTTGGCATGGTAACCACGGAGTTAAGCTAAGATACATACCTTCAGTGTCATAAATACGAATCTCATCAAGCTAATTATTCCCGAATTCACATGTTATTGTTCTAGTTTGTTTCTTTAATAAGTACCTCCTACATGTAAGGGGCCGAAATATTCACTCGTATCCGAAATTCGCGTTAATGAAGCCGGGATCCCGACGCCATTCTGGGACATGCGTCAGCATCACCGCTGTCTTTGTTTTTAATATTATGAGCGGCACAAATCACCAACACGCAATAATTAGCTCTTAAGACGGCATATTAATAGCACCTCGAATGTCACACCTCAACCGATTGTGTTCTGAATCCTTAATCATTGCGTCTGTAAACAACCCATTAACTACCGCCAAACTCCGAAAGGAAAAACCGAGATAACCGAGATAACCAGCCCAATGCGTTTTAATTCCGTACGCCTCGGCCCTGTCGGCCTATTAATCAGCGCGTACGCAGCCGCCACAACTGCGTACCCCAACTCCTCCATCCCAATCAACGACCGTACCGCCGCCGAGGTCGTCGCACAGCTTAACCTAATACCCAACGACGAGAAAGGGTACTACGTGCAGACGTTCGAGGACCCAGAAACCGTCATCCGGACCGCGGCAAACGGCACCCAATCCACGCGGTCTGCCAGCACCGAGATCTTCTACCTCCTCGAGGGCAGCGTCGGCGATTCGTATTGGCATCGCGTCGACGCCGTCGAGGTCTGGCATTACTATGCCGGCGCACCCCTGACCCTATCGTTGTCGGAAAACGACGGCACCCCGCCGACGAAGAAACTGCTCGGTCCTGACGTGTTCGATAGTCAGACCCCGCAGGTTGCGATTCCGAAGGGGACGTGGCAGAGCGCCCTTTCGCATGGATCGTGGACTTTGGTCGGGACAACCGGTACGAAACATTTCTTTTTCTTTCTTCCGTGATTTTCTTTTGTGGCGTAATCGTGTTTCTTTCTTCTCGTCCCCTGACCGTTAAGGAAATGACTCAATGAAACTAATTGCCGATGAAGTGGCGCCTGGTTTTGTCCCAGGTGGTGTCGAACTTGCGCCTCCTGACTGGAAGCCGAATGGAGCTTAAGACGCCGTTGTGAAGTGTGTCTCGGTGATAGAGTAGCTAGATATTCGATGCGGGGAGTTGGAAGCTAAGTCCCCGTCGTACTCCAATATCTATTCGTCTCTTATACCTACAACGACGATTCAGCGTCGAGAGAGTCTGGATCCCCCTGTGATGACTGAATAGTACGCTCATGGTCCTCCCGCTCCTGCTGCCGTCTTTCGAAGTCAGCACCTCGTTTTTGGAGCTCTGTCCAATAATCCTCGCCAAGGAGAAGGCTCGCCACTGTGTGTACCAGTTCATAATACTCCGGCCCTTCCTGGTAATCGTATTTACCTTTGGTTTTTATGTGGGCAAGCTCGAGTGGGCGAGGTGGTACGTAAATGTCGCTCTGGTTGCGGTGGGACAGATATTGATAGCAATCACCACTATACCACAAATAAGGCCACAGCGTATGCTTTGCGTTCGAGACTTTGCTGTAGTCCGCCCCATAGTACAGAAGACAGCACAGCGGAAGAAGATTCTTGAAACGCCGAGTCACCAGTGCGTATTCCAGCAGTGGCATGTGTTTGACTGAATACTCATACTCATCGTACTTATTCAACACCATTGATTCGACTGTGCAAATCGAGTTGGCTGGGACACCCGAGTCGATCGCGTCGATCATTATTTCGGTATTGTTTAAGTTTATAGCGGATGTTAAGTGGTCCAGAGTGTAGTTGACTCCACTTAATCTCGCGAGAAATCGAACTTGCTCAGTGGAACCCGCGCCTGCGGCAATATCCATGAGATCTTTCTTGCGATCCAACCGATCCCATCGGCCGAAACCTATTCTCCATGCCCCCCCTGAAAGCAGGTATTTGAGGACTTCAACTCTGTCTTCTCGGGTTTCGACAGCTGCCTTGGCTAGAATGGCCGAATCGATTGGCCTATCACGGACCAGTTTAACGTAGATCTTCAATAAGTAGATCGTCCGGGCGGCCAAGTCGTTCGTATTGGTGGTATACGGCACTTGCTCCTGAGAATGGCTTGTCGGCGTGCTTATCATGGAATGAATAAGCCATTCCACGTACGTTGCTCTCTCTTCCCGGTTGGGGATGGCACCTAAAAGGGACATAATAATATCCAGATTTTCGAAGCTCTTGTGCCGGCTGATGATATGGAACACCGTCCCCTCGATCACAGCTTGGGGAGTATCGGTCAGGAATTGGTTGACAATATCGAAAAAGCCGGCTTTGGCAGCCAACCATAGGTCCCAGAAGTTCCGAGGAACACCTTTAGATATCAAGAGTCTGGCGATATCTTCGCGGCCTGACTCGCAAGCGCCTCTAAACAAAGTGTATTGAGACTTGCGTAAACTTATCTCCCCGGCGATATGCTGGGGATTCCTTCCTACTGCGTCGGTACGATTGTCTATATTCCCAGGCGTGAGATTAGCGCCGCGTCGGAGCAGCGCTTCAAAAAGATCAACTCTTCCTTCCTTCAAAGCCATGTATGCTGGCGAAGGGAAATATGAGGATCCATTTCGGATCTTAGGGTACCACATACCATGGATGGCGTTGATAGACATGTCTTGGTATAACTCGATGCAGTACATAATATAGTTTATGTCTTTCCCTGATTCGATGGCCCAGAGAACTGCCGGTCGCCAACTGGGTCGCCAGCTGGGTAGCTTTTGTGGGATTTCCGTCCGTTGTCGTTTGACGTCCATTTGTACCATTTGGTACAGGCCGACAGCGGGATAGGCACTCTTACAAGTGCAGGCGAACTCGAGAAGCTGTCGCTGAGTGTTAAAGTTGCGTCCAATCGCTTGGATCAACTCAGCTGGTGCGGTCGCGAGAGAACCCTCTCGAGGGCCGTTGTGGGCGTCCATTTTTTCCATAATCGTAAAATGTTGAATCCTGTTATGGGTAGATTATGAAAGTGTTAAAGGTGTATGTTTTGAGTTGGGAATTAATTAATCTTGGTGCACGAAGGGTGATGACTCTAGCACGACGCACCGTGGCTGTTATATAATAGCAGATTATTGTCAGAGTATTGTGGAATCACTGTAAAAGCATTGTCAAGGTGTTGTCAAAGTATTATTGTCAAATCACTACCAAAATATTGTCAAAATATTATCGTCGAATCACTACAAAGATACTGTCAAATCACTACAAAGGTATTGTCAAAGTATCATTGTCAAATTATTGTCTTCTCGTACTAGGTACTGTTTAAACCCTCACAACTTAGGTAGAAGTCCTTGCTCACATGTATTCAAAGGGGCATTTGGATAAAAGGGGGACAATACTCGAACCTTAATTATGTGGATTTTATTTTATTTATCTTTATTTAAATACTAGGTACTTAGGTACCTAGTAACCTAGGTATAATTAAAATAGGTTCATATGTACAGAGTACCTCTATACCTTAACAATTCCAGTCACTCTCACCTCTGTCATCGGTGGAGCTACTGTCGGTAGAACAATACCTACATAGGTATGTACCTACCTACTCACAGGTATTTTGACGGAGCAGGGCTACCTAGTACGATATAAGCTATATTCGCACATACCGCTGCTGATTCACCCGCATTCTACCGCAAACGTAAAATAATATCACTGATCGGGAAGCAATAGTAAAGATGCAAAAGAGTGTATATAAAACTCATCACTGAAAATGATGCTATCGTACAACGCTGTGCTAATAGTCACTGATTAATAGCTGAAGGCTATTAATCAAGATATATATCACCATCCCATGCATCTATATCATCATCCCATGCATCTCTACCAACATCCCATGGATATACCTCACCATGATCATGTATGGAGTCCGGCTCCATAATACTATCAAGGTCATGGTGTACAAACGCGTACCCTTTCGGTTTGAGGTGCGGTTCGTCATAAGGATAATCACTTGCCAAAATTTTCTCTCGATAGTCGTCGCCTATTACCAACTGGGCCATCGCGTGTACCATTTTCAGATTATCTGCGCAAGCACTAAATTTCTTATAATGCTTCAATCGACGTACCCCGGCAAAATTGAGTCGGCTTGGGTTTGTCACCAAATTTCTCTCGTCGTTGTAACGACTTTTCTTAATGAAATACATAGGGAAATGGTGACAATATAGACGCACCGCGACCCAATCCTTCTCCTCTTGTGTGAGATTAGTAAAATCGGCACCAAGATGTATTAGCTCAAATGCTGCTAAGAAGCTTCTCCCCCCTCGGAGGATGTGTAGTGCTAGCTTGAGTGGAGTTTCGAAGAAGGTAGCGGTAGGACCCTGTGTATACTGCCAATATTCTTGGGGTCCCGAAAGTAATAATTCGCGTTCGAAATCGAAAGTACAATTTACTGAGATGCCGGACCTAGTTATCTCTCTTATGGCATCAAGATGGGCGGACAATATTGCTTCGTACAAGTGGAATGTAGAATATTTACCGCCTTGCTGAACGAGGTATCGCATAATCCCGCCACAACCAGCACGGATAGCGGCGCTCAACGCTCTATCCATCGTCTGTGATCGCTCTTCACCTGTTCCTATCGTACATGTATTTCTACATAATATGAACTTGATGACGTTTAGACATTCAACGTGCTTCGCAGCTTCTTGAAGAATATCACCTGCTTCGATTGGTAAACTCGTCAACTTCTCCCATACTTCTAGTAGACAGATTATCTTCAAAGATGTCAGGCGTCGACGGAAGATATAACGCTTGGGACCAAACGATGCAATGACAGCCCTTCTAAGGCGGGGCCCTCTCTCAAAATCATAGGTTTGTGCTTTGATAATGCGTAGTATAATCTCTTTGTTGAAGATATCGTAAGAGTAAAGGGCCTTCCAAAGGATATAAGCCCCGTTCTTTCTACCCTCTTCGTCGTTGAGGGATGGAAGGAGCATCACCGATGATAAAAGTTCGCAATGGCCATGTTCGGCAGCTGTCAATAGATTTCTCTCCGTTGACAGTAGTCCGTTAGCTACTAAACAACTTGCGATATCTAGAAGTCCTTTCCTACATGCGAATTTGAATGCGTCATCCATGGATACTCGTTTCCCTGCTTCAGCCTCACGTCCGCAGTCACGTCCGATAAGCTCTCTTAGAACATCGAGCCTTCCAGCTCTCGTGGCTACGACAATTGCTGGGCGAAAGCGCTTTGCAACAAATATGCCATAACTAGGTCTATCGCTGTTAAACAACCAATAATCTTGGAGAAGAGTAGGGAAATTCTTTTGATAAATATCGATATAGCGCTTGATGTTCTGGAAATCCTTGCCTGTTTCAATCGCCCAAAGGAGAATAGGCTCATAAGCGTCGACCGGAGGCTTTTCATTACCAATACCCCTAAATATAGATAGGGGTTTACTGCGGTCGAATTTCCGGAGCGCGGCCAGACGCTTTGCGTCCACGGTAGCCAACTCTGTCACGGTCAAGGCCGAATGAAAATGCTTGCAAAGGGTGGAAAATATCAGGAGCTGTGACGGGGAGTCTAGGTTAATCCCGATTTTTCGAATTAATTCAACTGGTAAGGTCGATAGGGGAACCATATTGGAGCTATTTCCAGAATTCATGATATGATTGTCTAGGTATGCTCGGTAGGTAATGTGGTGATCGATCGAAAAACCACATATGTACTCGGTCGTCAACCTTATATAAAAATCGTAAACTGTTTTAAAATTAGATAAATACATGACTGTTGTCTTACAATGCCATTGTGCTTACAAACGATTTATAAACGATTTATAAGTGGTCTTTGTTTGAAAAAGTCCTCGGTAGGTACCTTCCTACGCATTGTATAACTACTGTCAACTTTAAAATAGTATCATTATTGACATAAAAAAGAATAAAGTGTTTGTTTATGTACTAACCTATATGTGGGTAGACACCTGAGTAGCTTCCAAGGTTATCTTGCAAACTAGGTAGGTAGGTAGGTGCTCTAAATGTAGAGTGGTTCGTGGTTGCCGAAAGTGAAAGAGTAAAGTTTACAAGCCCCTAAATTACCAGGTACATACCTAGTACTAATAACTTAGTCACCATAGATCGTCTTCCAACCTCTCTTATGATAATCTATTTCTTTTCAAACGCGCATAATAACCGAATAAGTAACAATGGATTCTCGCGACGTAAATTTAATTATCTTTGAGCAGGCGATGGAACAGATCTATGGCCCGTACACACGGAACCCGGTATATTAGCAGCCGCCGGAGGATCCCGGGACAGGAGGGCACCGCGGTCGGTACCTCTGGACCGATGCGTTTGGCGTTATCAATTTCATCACTCTGTCTCGCTTAAAAGAAGGCTGTAATTCTCGGAAACTCTACCTCGGAATGGCCAAGGGACTTGTAGATACGGTGCATTCCGTCCTCAGCCACACTCGAGATGGCTGTTTACGGCTCCCTGGCGCAACTAGTAAGGAGCCACTGAAAGGAGGTCTCCGCGCCGGGATGCCAGATAACATGGACCGTGATATTGATGGCCAGTACCACCACTGTCTAACTCTCTGGATGTTCGCCTTGAATCGGCTATCTCTAGCGACCGACGAGCCGCATTAGAACGCGCTTGCCATCCAGCTAGCCAAAGCCATACACCCCCACTTCATCATCACACGACACGGCCGAGACAGGGTAGCCTGGAAGGTATCGATGGATATGCAGCGCGTCCTCATCGCTAGAGACGAAAATCTAAACGACGTAATCGGGTATTTCATGTATAAGCTTCTCCAAGACACTGTGGAGCACTTTACCCAACGGGGTACCCCTAATAACTCGCCGTCGCTAGATGCGGAGATCCAACAATACGACCGCATCATGTCTACCCACGTTATAGACATCCCAGAAAACCCGCTAGATCTTAGTATGAGCCTGTGGTTAAGCCACTTCGACCGGTCGGCGGCGTGGTCGCGCAATCTCTCCGAGGCAGGTCTTTTCGCCGTGTGCGACAACTTCCTCAATAAGCATTCGTCCACCTCTTGGGGCCGGAGTCAGTTTCGCGACTACTTCGCCTGTCTAGGGATCAAGTGCTACCTAAATGACCCGAACGAGCCTCTGCAGATGGGTTTAGAGGCTATACTTGATAAGTGGGAAGATTCGGGGCCGACGTATTTGGCTATGTTCGCTGCGGCGTTGATTCCTGGAGGTCAGTACAATGAAGAGTTGAAGATGTTGATCAACAGTCGTAAAATGGCTGACTGTGTCATGTAGCGTTTCGAAAGGGATTCTTGGACGAGTGGAAGTGATTCGCGATGGGAGCTTCGGCTACGGTAAAAGGCGGCTGGGAAAAGTAAAAGGTCAGCTACCTGCAGTTGCTCAACATTGACTCGCCACATAGTGTACTTGAGCATCAAATCGAAGCGGCTATATTCTACTTAGTTTATTGTTTTTGAGTGGCATTAGTGAATAACTCAATCGGCAGTGCCGTCTCGTTTGTTGCCTACCAAGCAGCCAAGGTAGGTAGCTTTACTGGGTCCAAAACCTGTACACGATCCGGGCAATCTCACTTGTTGTAGTACCACGTACAAACCCATGATTTGCCTTTTCTACGACTTCAACGTCGGTAAACCCAACATCAGTTAGCTGGGCCTTGCTACAAACAGCATCCAACTCAGCAACGATTCCGATCTTTTTTACTGGTAATTGTGCGAATTTCCGAAAGTCCTCCACACAGCCAGTAACCCCGCCTTCTCGAAACATGCTTAGGACGCTATGGGGATATCCAGAATGATGCTGCAGCTCCCATTCTCGAAGTACTTCGGCGACGACCTCACCAGCCTCGACTCGTTCTCGCCAATCCGTCGGAACAATAAGCGGACCACCTTCAAGCCAATCTAGTACAGCATCTATCGCCTGAGCGTCTCCGCCTTCCGAGTTTTCCAAGAGTTCTTGCATCTTCTCACCCCAGAGCTCCTTGTCGCACAAGCCAGCGGGCGCTAATAACGCCACGGACAGCACAGCCCAGGGATTGTGAAGAGCAAATCTCACCGCTGTCGACGCGCCAAAGGAATAGCCAATGATATGCGCACGTGTCCACTGTAGAAATCCCAATACTTGGAAGATCTGAAAGTGGAAGATCTGCGGCGTGTGCGCCACCAGAGGCGTGGAGGAGAAACCATGACCCCAAAGATCGAAGAGGACTACATAGGCATCCGGGTCCAAAGCCTGCAGTTCCTTCGCCAGAGGCAACATTCCAATAGCAGGCGTGTTCAGTCCGTGGATGATTAATACGTGGCGTTTCGATTGGCCCGAAGGAGGGGGGACGTCGTAGAGAGCTGTGGTCCCCAGATCGGACTCGAGGTACTGCGGCTTCGGGGACGCATGCCCGAATACCGACGTGGACGATTCATAACTAGGAGCAGCGATGAAGTTCTTGTGGTGCCCCCGGATCATTCGTTGGGGGAGCTTGAGGTCTGGTGGTGACTGAGACATGATGGCGCTTTATGAGGACGGTTGGTGGTGCCGCTTCCCGTGTCCGATGTCGCAAAAAGCCGACTTGTCGAAATACTTAATTCTTATTTTAACACCTAGTGAGACAAGAGTAGATGAAGAATAATCTAACGATCTTCAAATAGATACACATATGCCACCTATATTTTTATAGTTTATACAACTGTATTCAATCAGTTTTGATCGGTAGACTGCTTCTTGCCTGGCGCTACGGTACTGTATGTACCACATGATAAGATACCTAGGTGGCTTTTCTAGCCAATCAGAACGGATTATCTATCATATATCAACTTGGTCATTATCCGAGACACGCAGCACGCAGGCGGGTTCCCGCCGCTGTTCGCTAGGTGAAAATATGGCCAAAATAAGGACAAGTTATTTGTTCAATAAGGATCCCTTTGTTATGAAATTTCCATATGAATTCTTAAGTACCTAATTAAGTACTGTTAAACATTTGTATAGTCACCCGATACGTCGACATGACTTCGACGACTGTCCACCTTCGACCTCGAGCATCCCGCGAGCTCGAGACCTGGAAGATGCATCCTCGAGATAGGCGGATTGAATGGTAGTAGATAGTGGCTCAATTTCATAGCGTTAGCGAGACGACGACCTTCGCGACGACCACCACAATGCTTTCTGTGATACTTAGGACTAACGCAACAACGAACGCGAACACAGATAACCATTAAAAAGAAAAACCAACGAAGCGTGCAACGCCAAGGAGGATATCGTCGATGGGGATAGATCTTGAACACGAGAAAGAAATGATTGGCACGTCAAGCAATTACCGGATCGGCAGGAGACGTGGTAGATATCGTGTAAACGGTCCACGGAAAGCTTCCAATCTTACGATAAAGAAGGGAAACGTGCGATTGGCGAACCTATGAGGAAAATGATGCAAGAGGAGCGCAGCGCTATGTTGCGACGCTTGCCGTTTCATATCGCAGGCCTCGACAGCTTGGGTCGCAGAGCACTAGGGTCTTGATCGTCTGATCTCCAATTCCTCTGTTTCTATTTTATTCGCATCTTATCTCACATAAGGTATATGTATCTTAATGCGATTCTTTATTTTCTTCCACCTCGAATCTTGAATTGATTTCGCTGGACGCTCGTTTGGAGTCTAGACGCGTCATTAGTTACGACGCCTTTTTTTCCTTCTCTTCTTAGCGGGCCGGGATCCCAGTTTTTATTTTTATCGACGCTATAATTTTAATACGTACCCTAATCCCCTCTTACAAGTCGGACGGCAGAGCCGTTTCCAAGGTTTCATGATTCAGAAGTGTGGGAAATAAATAAAAGAATAAAGAATAAAGAAAACATGAAGGACGTAAGGAAACAGAAGGACGAATACCGATCTCTCGGCACCGTTCACGAGGATCACGACGACTCGAGTAGTACGGACGTCGACTTAGAGGCGCTCGATTTGAATGAGAAGGATTACCTTAACGGAGCGTCGCGGGTGGGGAAGAATGAAGACGAAGGCGGGCTCCGCGGCGTTCTCAAAGAGTACTGGTGGATCGTCGACACATTTCTCTTAATGGTCATCATAGTCCTCTTGTTAGGGAGCAGCTATACCGGGCGAGGGAGATACCACCTTTTTGAAGGCGGCGGGGACCTGACGGGGTTCGCTCCGGAATTCTCGCAGAAGATCACGACATTTTCCCCGGACCCGGGCTTCGTCCCGGAAAACACGTCCGAGTTCTTCTCGAAGGAGACTAAGCAGAAATGGTTGGACCTAGTGCCGAGTAAGTACCTACTTCGTAGTCAATTGGTATTCGAGATACCGGCTATTGTAACAACAAGCTAATCAGAGATGTGCGCAATCAGAGGGCCTCGGGTACCTAAAGATCAAAGACGCCGAGAATTATGACAGCCTCCCGGCGAAACTCAACTCCTACCCCAACGAATTCGTCGTCACATCGTCGATGACGCACCAATTGCACTGTTTGGTAATTCCTCCCGATCAGCCCTGATTCTGAAATACAAACATAAATGAGCATTTACGTACCTAGTAGCTAACACGCCACCCAGTACGCCATAGCCGAAGCCTACTCGGCACTGACCTCAGACGTAAGCCGCGTGCCGAAGGAGACGCCGTGGCACCTGAACCACTGCTTCGACTATCTGCGCCAGAGCATCATGTGCTGCGGCGACGTGGCGCTCGAGGGCGAGCAGACTACCTTCCCCGAGGGCTTCGACGGCAGCGACGGCTGGGATGCGAAGCACGTGTGTAAGAACTACGGGGAGGTGCTGGATTATCTGGAGACGAATCGCGCGGACGATAAGGTGTGGATATAGGTTAGGTTGAGTCTTAGGTACGGTGCTTAGGCGGGGTTTACGGAGTTCAAATGGCTAGCGGTTCGATTTTCCTGTCTCAACTTTGCTTAAGCGCGTGCGTATGTGTGTGCGTGTGTGTGTGTGTTGAGAGATTCGCGGAAGTTCTGGTAACATTTTTGCCGTTGGGTGTTGGGCGTTGCCTTCACATGTCAAAGGTAGATGTTTGATGGTTTAACCTAAAGTCAACCTAGGGTTGACGTGCAAGTTGAGGGTCGTTAAGGTTAAATTCCAGGTGAGCCGAGTAGTTTAAATGGACGGTTGTGTGTGAAGTACCTAGTATCGCCTCCTGAGAGTAACCTGCTTAGCTCAGTGGAATTACCCCGCAGGTCCAATGCCTTCGTGGGTGGGCAGAATAGATGCGCTTGAGGGCTTCCAATATACTCCGTTAAGGCGACATAGGCAGCCGAATACGATCAAGAAAAGGAGTTGTGATACTAGATTCAATTTGAGCCAAATATATTCTATGGTTTTGTCTATTTTCTTTGATGTGTTTTAAACGTCGGTTTCCTGGTTTTCATCGTCGTCATCCATCTCCGTCCATGAGCTAAAGCCCTCATCAGGTTGGCGGTTGGGGTCGTAAATGTAGAGTGTTGTAACGTCGAGTTTGTCGAACTCGTCTGGTCGAAGGCATGAGGTTACTGTAGCCTCCCCATCCTTTTGGTAGACCTTTCGTAGCCGTAGCTTATGATCAGATGAGTAATACTCATTGACGATGTAGCTGCCTCCGATTTTGGGTCTCATGTATGGCCGAGGCTCAGGTTCCGTGACGTACCATGGATCCCAATAGCACGTCATCTCCTCAAGATTAGTTGGGAAATCCTCGACTGTTGTCTCGTGAATCCTCATTCCAAGCTGGCTGCGGTATTTCTTATCGATCCTCTGCTTAGTACCGATTGCCTTGGTTTGGTGTCGTTTTAACTCCTGTTGTTTGTAGTATAGCTGTATATGCTTGTTGAACGCCGCAAGCCCTCGAAGATAGTCCTTAAGCGACCTCGACGGGTGAAGCGACTCAGCTTGTGCAGATGAGGAACAGTTGACATACTCTAGAGGTTCTCCCTGGCCCATGATTCCTTGAACAGAGCTCATTCTGTCCCAATACATCTCCCAGTACTCGAACACGCGCTTTTCCCAATCGTGAGATAGAGCATCGAGCTCACCATGATACTCGGCTAAGAAGTTCGAATCCAAGGTTCGTGTGCTTGGAAAACGCTTCAGATGGATGTTGCCGAAGCAGGGCAGCCGCCCAAAACGGTGAGTACCGGAGTTGGAGCTCCATCGGGAGACAAGTGAATGTGTACTATTATTCATAGCTGATGATTATGAGGATTTCAACGAAGAGGAGATGGATAGGGATGACCGAATGGCGTTCAGGTCGCAAGGATAGAACCAGATTAAAAGCTAGAAGATACATTGACGATACCGGGCGAGCAATGTTGAACGTAGAAGTGGAATGAAGATATGATTTTGCTTGTTTTCAGACATGACAGGAAGATCACACCCAAAACGATAGACAGAGTTTAGTTTACACCAGTTCCAAAGTCTTGTTGTGGCAAGAGTTGATTTCTAGAATGTGCCGGACGGCGGAAAGCAGCATCGGAGACATGTATTGGCCATGGATTGGTCCCAACAGAGGATGTTAACTTTCTGCTAAATGAAGCATATCGTGAATTTTGAACTTTAAATGAAACTATCCGTTCGAGTGGCTTGTCTGAATGGATGAAATTCGATTAAGCAGCCGGGAAGCGCCGCCTAGATTCGGTACTACCAATACCTAACCCATAGCCGGATGGTACACAAGGCACTCATCAGATCTATCGGACAGGAGGCTCGGTTTCCGTTGGTCATAAACAGCCAAGGCTTAATCGCCCAAGTACCAATTTGCCAAGTAGTTGGTAACCGACATGCTGTTAGGTACTGCTAGATGCATGTACGTCATTGCTGGTATCTGTTGGGTTTAGCCATGCAGAAATTTGCTGTTAAGCTTAGTAGCCATGCGTCTGTACATGCATACTTTACCCCCTACTCACATGTAGGTAGATACATGAGTGGTGACATTGGAGGGAAGTTGCTTGGGATCGCGGCAGCATGGTAAGCAAAAGAGTCTTATACATATGCCTCGTGAAGCCCATCCTCTAGGCAGAAAGAATCCATCTAGATTGTTACCAACAGAAATAGTGTATGATACCTACTTGTATGACTTCCTGCCTAGATATCTACCGAGTAGATGTAGCGAAGATTACTCATGTTAAACGTGAAGGAGAAGATTGTCTTCGAAATTTGAAAGAAGCTAATCGACAAGGAAATCCGATATGCTCTTACTGAATATATCGATAGCGAGGCTTTGATTTCATTTAACCCTGGTATGCAACTATAATAAGGTTTGGGATAGGACTTTCCCCAAAGTTAACGGACGGACCCATAATGTCGGGTTCCAAAGTGGAGGACCGTAAGCTTACTGCACGGACCACTTTATAAATCGTCTATTTTTCCAAAAGAAGAGGGTCTACCCTAATCAACTTATCTTAGCACATTTGATTTGTTGGAATTACCACTACCAAATCAATTTCATCCAAATTTTAAACCTCACACCTCTCTACCGCACACAGCCAACTTTTTGCGCGACGAAAACAACCGACTTTCCTCACACCTCTACCGACAAAAACACAAATCCAATACCGTAAAAATGACTGGAGGTATTTCCGTTCGCGATGTTGATGTAGGTTTTTTCACCTTTCACATGTAGTTGCATGCGCCGCCGTGAATGAACTGCGCAACTTCGAAGTCCGCATTCATTCACGAGCACGAAGTTCAGAAAATATCTTCAAATCGAGAAATACACCCACCGGAAGCAGCAGCAACATCGAAACTTGATGCTAGCAATGGGGAATTCTTGAGAGCAGGCGCGAGGGAGTCGCAAGACTTCTGATGACGGAATATTTGCTGATGGGTTTGGATAATGTAGGCGCACAAGTTCATCAACGCCTATGCCGGCTTCTTGAAGCGACAGGGCAAGCTCCCTATTCCCGGTAAGTTTTATCTAAGCCTAATCTCCTATTTATACATTTCGATATCTCAATACTAAGTCGTTCGTACAGGTTGGGTTGATACCGTCAAGACCGGTCCTTCGCGCGAACTTCCCCCCCAGAACATCGACTGGTTCTACGTCCGTGCTGCCAGCGTCGCCCGCCACGTCTACATGCGCAAGACCGTCGGTGTCGGTCGTCTACGCAAGGTCCACGGTACCGCCAAGAACCGTGGTACCCGCCCCTCCAAGCACGTCGAAGGCTCCGGTGCCGTCGACCGCCGAATCCTCCAGGCGTTGGAGAAGATCGGTGTCCTAGAGCAGGATGAGGAGACCGGTGGTCGCCGCATCACCCAGTCCGGCCAGCGAGATTTGGACCGTATGTTTTATCTAATCTCCTTCTGATTATGATCACTAACACTCTATAGGAATTGCCCAGACCACTGCTGAGGCTGACGAGGAGGAAGATGAGGAATAAATGATGATACCAGCGGGAATGATTCTACTACGGTATAGGTAGCATAGGTCTATGGGAACGGCGTCTGAAAATGGCTGGCTGAATGAATTGATTGGCGAATTTTGCATTCGCACTTCCCCATGGCAAATCCGAATTTAATTCAAGTGACTGCCGCACATGTGACTATCATGTTTCGGAATACCCAGGTACTTATATGTACTAATGTAGACAGGCATGTATCTTGAAAAGGGTTAAATCCCAGGCTGCTGAGTAAGTGCAAAATGTTTCAAGAAAAAAACAGATCATTCTAACTAATGGGTAAGTCATCCACTTACTTTCTTCACGGCTAAATACCTATCAGCTGGACTACCTACTATATAAATGAATGAACGATTGCAATCGATGAGTTCTAGCACTATTAGCGAGCGTGGTGTTCTCGATATTTTATCCCCCTTACCGCCCACAGCAGATACTCTACCCTTACATTCTTCCCAGTGCCTACCTTGTAGGTACCTAGGTAAGTACGCCTACATTTTCTTCACCTTGCCTTGCATTTCCTTCAACTCCTATATTCCCCTTTAGCCCCCATCACCGCCCAAAGCAAATACTCTGCCATCCTAACCCCTCCGCCTCAACCCACGCCCCCGTTCCGGCTCCGCCCCACCCTCCACCACCTCCGGGAACGCAACGGGTCCCTGTTGCTGCCAGTGCAGTCTCGGCCTGCAGAAATGCCGCGATACTTCTTCTCCGCCTAGCTGTGGTTCGAACCGCCATTGTTGGAAGTTTGGTGGGCGGGGGGCGGGGCGGGGGGTGTTTGATGGCGGGATGGTCATGGGGGTGATGGGTGGGGATAGCATCGCGGTTGATGCTCCGGTGGTTGAGAGTGGTGTTTGTGCTCTGCCTGCGGCTGCGGTGGCGGCGGCGGGGATTGGACATGGTGTTGGGTCCGGGGATTGTGCGCCCATTAGCAGCGCTGCGGCGTAGTAGCGGGATCCGGTTTGTGAGAGGAAGGGGGGTTCGGAGGGGGGTTGGGTTGGCTCTGACATGGGTTGCGGCTGTGGGAGGTTCTGTGACATGGCGTGGGAGAGTTGGGAGACTATGTGAGAGGGCAGAGGGGGTTGTACGTGGATGTAGCCCTCTTCGTCCTCTTGATGGTTAGGATACATGGGGTTCACGTGTGTCTGAGACTGGTGTTGGAATTGAGGCTCTCCAATGACCATGTTTTTATCCTTGGCGAGGTTATTGGCTTTCTCGCGAGACTGGTTCGCGATCGGCTGGAAGCTGCTGTGTGAGAAGTTTGTCTGTTCTCGACCTAGAGGCGACGGGGTACCCTCGTAGTGGTTGCTGATGCGGGCATTGAATGCAGCGATCGATTCGCGGATGATGGAGCTGCTGGGTGGAGACGAATATGAGACGTTGCCGTTCATCATATCTACGATAATCGGATCATCCCCTTCCCCAGAGCCCTCCCCTACACTCCCTTCATTCATGGCCATGGCCGAGCCGTCATTTTTATCATTATTCGTGTTAACGCCTGGGATCAACGTATGATTAGATGGTAATGCAAGCGGGGAACCGAGATTAGCATGACGGAAGAAAGGGGGACGGCAAAACGGAGTCATCCCTGCGGGATTGTACCCGGGCCAATTCCACACCGGCGTTTTCTTCTTATACTCGGCCACCAGCTCGTCAGGATTCGCCGGCCTGCGAGACGGAATGTTGCTAAACGGATCTCCTCTCTTAATGGATCTAGGGCCAGAGTCTGGGACCCCCCATCTCATGCGTGACCGTGCTGGTGTGAAGGGAGCAGCACGTTGAGGGGTGACAGGTTCTGGGGCAGGTGTGGTCATAGGCACGTTTTCGGTATCCATGTCGGATGGTGAGAGGCTAGATATCCTCGCAAATGCCTCGCTTGCTGCTTGTGCTTGTGCGTGGGCAGCCATGCCATCTTCTTCCTTGCCTTCGTTACCCTCGATTGTTTCCCGGATGCCCCCTGGAACTCCCAGGCCTATAGGAGTCTCCAATACAGTATCCACATCAGAATCAATGTCGGTTGACTCTTCGTAGTCTTCCGCCCCGTCGATATCATCCTCCAGAAACACATCCCCAAAGGTGTCCATTCTAACACCATTCCTTTCGTCCTTAGTCGCCAACGTCGGGCCTACACCCACAGCCCCCTTAACGGAAAAGTGCAAGCCCGTGTACTGGAAGAGGTAATTAATGAACTTGAGGCACGTAGCACAGGGCTGTGAGTCTATCATAATGACGGCAGACCGCGCCTGTCCTATCGTTGCATACTTGAGGGTATGCAGATTATTAAGGCACCACTCCAAACTCACATCCTCTCCGCCATTTTTAGCCATCTCTTGTTTTTTGGTCATTTCAACCGCATACCAAGCCCCCAGCAAAACTTCAACATGTCCGGCATGCGCGCGTCCTCTATGTTCATCCTCGGATGCTTTCTTCGCTCCATTATCGTGTTTATTCCCCGGGAAATGGAATTTCAACAATTTGGCTATATGGTGGAGCGCGATGTAATTCCACTGGTTTGTATCCAGACTTCTTTCGTGCCGATCAGTGCCGGCCCGGAATCCACTATGGGCCGACATGAGGATGTCGCCAGAAGAGGCCTTGGAAGTTATGATACCGATGGTCTTGCTACGGTCTAGCGGGATGTCGGACCGGATGCGGAGTACGGGGGCAAAAACCACGATATCTCGCCCTTGCTTCGCGAGTTTGTAGTCCGGGAACCCGAGGTCGGAACGCGCGCCGCGTGCTATGAAAGAAAGGGGTTAGAAAAGAATACTTCTTGTCATGCTCAATCTAAAAACTTAGTGTTACTTACTAGCACGAACGACACTTCTGCGACCAGGCGAAGACAATATGTCAAATATAGTCTTGCGCGTATTAGTAGAATCGGGGTGTTCTCGGCCGATTCCGACGGTATTGAGGAAGAAGTCCCGACGACGTGTCGCGAGACCTTCATCTGCCGTATACGAGGAGGCGAGGACACGGTCATGGGTCAGGGCGGCGCCTTGTTCGACGAGGAACCATACTATATCGACATGACCCATAAGTGCTGCGAGCTTGCTAGAAGATACGGGTTAGCCCTGTCTGAAAACAGTTTTTTTTTCTTTTGGAGAGAACAGCTGTTAATGTGTGGTCATTAACCAAGTTTTTCTCCAGCTTGTCTGCTTTTAAATGAAGAACCATCTCGATGTAAAACTAGCACGAAGAGCTCTATTTCTTCCTTGCCTATGATCACGGTATACATATGTACAGTCGAGAGACGCAATTACTCACATAGGTGTTTCACGAAGCCCACGTTCCACGCCATTCCGAGGCTCAGTTGGTACATCGATGATACCCGGTTGACAAGATAATTTAACAACAGCTTCGAAGTCACCTCTAAGACAAGCCTGATGGATGTGCCTTAACCCGAGTTCGGGGTCAGCGGGGAGATAGAGGTTATCAACCATGTTTACAGTGAAACCTGGGTATACCGCGTATTAATCGAGAGTGAGACAGAGCTGAATATCGAAACGTGCTTCAAATAGAGCGATGATATTCCAAAATTCCAAGTACCTCGTCAAGAGATAAAACCAAAGATTATTACTATCCCTAGGTATGTAATAAAGCGAGAAAATAAGAACTCAAATAGGAAGACATATATAAGCAACTAGCAAATAGCAAACTAGGCAGACAAGAGCAACACACCAAAAACACAGGCCAGTAAAGGGGATAGGTAGAAGGTTAACCATGCTATTCACATTCACGTCTGTGCTCGCACTCGAGAGGGTTCGAGGATACCTGCATATAACCCCAGCCATAAGAACCACGACCTACTCATACAGAACCACACCATTATAAAACCAAGCTGAACGAGCTAGCAGACGAGCACCTACAGAACCATCCCCTCACAGCGCTCCTAAAACACTAACACGTAATTCACGGAGTACCAGCGAGGAGTCATAGGTCCAGCCAGCCCGCCAACCCCTTGCTTTTCGAACTAGAAGCAAGCATACATACCGTGCGTGCATAGAAGTACCTATAGGCAGGCAGGCAGGTAAGCAGCGTCCGAACCAGCTATCAGTGGCGTGCGGGGGCGTAAGCAGTAAAAAGAAAAAGCAAAAAAAGAGTCAGAGCTTCGATTTCTATCACAAGTCACATTCACCAGAAGCTGGGCACCAGCCGGGTTTAGGGCTCACAGTACGAACGATGGTCTCCGGACATACCATATCCATGTTAACGGAAGCCGCACCGCGAACCCCCGTGTAATGATTAATCACATTCCGGAGTATGTACGTAGAAGCACCTGGAACAGGAGGACAGGATGTATCGATAGCGGAATTGTATTAGCTCAAGCGACCATTCTATAGTAAGATCCTTTCACTCTTTCTCTCTCTCATGCAACCGTGTTGACGCCGGTGCCGTGCAATAATGCAGAAAATATCAGATGGGGAATATCCCTTTCCCTTTTCCCCCATAACTAGGTACTATATACCTAGTAGGTATGTACAATCCATTTATCGTACGTAACCCATCTGATCCATGTATACCTCGAAAAAAAAGCCTGACCCCGGTCAGACCTCGAGGGGGAAAAAAATCCCGGTAATAAAAAATCGTGAAAAGAGCTAGGTGGAAAGCGAGATGTGATATATGCAGAGCGCCCATGTACCGTGCCGGGATATTGATAACCATCATCGTATCTTTTTATCCCGATCAGACTTGTTTCGTTTTGTTCCCCTATTCCGTTATATCCCATAGCAACTAGCAAAGTATAGTAATTTTGAGATGCCGTACTAATCTCAAGTCGAGATCAGGATCCATATATCCTCCGTATGTCCTTGGGGTATCTACTTAAATCATCGAATTGTCGAACTTTTCCTCTTGGATTCCTAAGGCTTAAGCCCACTCGGCCAACACGGCCATTAATCCGCATCCCAGAGCCACGCACAGGAGCGCGGCAAGCTGAACCTTGAGGCCGGCGTTGCGCATATATTCGTTAAACATAAACTCGTGAGCGAGAAGCTCGACCAAGCCCGTGTAGATGAGGATACCGGCGCTGATGGAGTCGAATACACCGTTGATGATCAAGGTTTTAGGGCTTCCGGGTTGAAGAGTCGCTCGTACGCCTAGGCCGATGGCGATAGATATCGGGGTGCTGAGCGCATAACCCAGTCCCAGAAAGTACGGCATCAACCACTTCGATCGAGGCCACTGCGCGGATGCGAGTCGAGAGCCGAGACCGAGACCCTCGAAGGTCTGATGGAAGACGAGGACGATGTAGAGAACCGTAAACTCTTCTCCGGCGACGGCTAGTGTAAGTCCGATGAAGACGCTGTGGAAGACGACGCCGAATTCGAGGATGAAGATACTGGTCATCTGCGCGGCAAACGCGGCGTGATTGTCGTTTCCGTGGTGCTCGCGTTGGTGGCCAAGATGGTCTTCGCCGCCAGGTGGGTAACTAAGGTCGGTTGGTAGGCCGTTGGTACCGGCGACACTTGCGCTCTCCTTAATAGCAGAGCCGGCTTCAACGTCTCGGTCCGTCATAGGGGTACCCTGAGCGCCATTTCTAAGGGCATCCACGGAGGGGTCGATGGCCTTAGCGTCGTCGCCGTGGTCGCCGTGGCTATGTCCGAAGAAATCGAAACGACTGGCGAGTAACTCGACAGTAAACATGACGAACACAGTCATGAGGCAAATACCTGCCGCCCAGTCGTAACTGGTGATGGGACCGGTAAGACAGGGAGACTTGAGGGCGTCGAAGGCAGGTGATAGTAAATGCATAAAAGCCGTGCCGATGATGACACCCGAACCGAAGTATTTGGCAATGAAGAATGCCTTTCCGTTTACCCTCATTCTGCTGCTGCGTCCTAGGTAGACGGGTAAGACGGCGCCGATAAGTGAACCAACTAGGATGACGAAGATAGACGAGATTCGCAATCCCATTCGACCGTCATAGTCATTGCCCGCGTCGCAATCGACTGTGACTTGGAATCCCGATTCAGGGGCGCTAGAGTCATCCTGTCGGGTTTTGAGGGCGGCGCCCACGACTTCATGTAAGATAGACATTGTGGTGAGACTTCGTCGACTAGTTGAAGGCCTAAGGACTTTCGTATGTAATTTGAGTAAGTATGTTGGCGATGAGTTCCCTTGTAGCTGACCTTCTTCAACTAGGTGCCAGAAGACAGTTGAGAGAGTGCGCAGGGACGGCCCCAGATAAACAATGACTCAGAACTTTCTTAAGATTCAGAGGCTGAAGAATAGAGTTAGCGGGTATGTACAAGCGGGAAGACGCAGAATATTAATGTTTTTATCCTTGCAGCCGCAGGAAGTTGATGCGAAGAAGAGGACGAAGCGATTGTTCAAAGACAAAAGAACACACCAACAAGGTGTATATCCAAACTAGGTAATATGTCCATGAATTAAAGAGAACAATCTCCTTGTAGAAAGGGAAGTGGGATTTTACATGCGACTAGAGCCACTAATCGGAAAAAGCTCACGCGAGAGGGAACCTTGATGGCTTTGCGCCATCAGCATTCTATCCCAGGTAAGAAATTTTTGTTACGTACCCGATTTCATGGATACCTATACATGATAGATCGTGATGAACAAGCGAGGAGGAGATAGGTAGAAAAAAGATTTTGCGAAATGGGCTGATGGAGAAGAAAATGAGACTTACCTGTTGAAGCCGTTGAGGGTGGGTGGTATTGATTCTTCTTATTCTTTCCCACAAATTTCGAAGAAAGACTGAGACCTTATGAATACGAGTACCAGTCTCGCAGGTTAAATAAGTCTTCTTGAATTTGCGCGCTTTGGGAGAAAAAATGATAAAGGAATTGTTGGTTTTGGTGGTTGACACCAACAATGGTGATAAGGATGTTGGTGTTGGAGAAAATAAGTTGCGCGTTTTTCAGATAAGAAATAGACAAATCCCTATAGGTATTTTGTTCTATGTTCCCCGTATTTTCAGGGGATATTAATGAAGCTTCCGGAAAGATGCAAGATCTTGCAGAGAGCGGGAGTGATCCAAGGAAGTGCTTGTATTGGAAACCACGTAGATCCTATCTATGGCAGGAACACGCGCGCAAGGGTGGGAAGCCGACTTCGAAATTGGTAAAGTATTCGGCGAAAACCACGGTGTACACGGTAAAGACCAGCGAAGACCGTGAAGACCAGAAGAGCTCTTTGGCGGAGCGCAAGGTGAAAACTACGACGCGAACAACAGCGAAGACCGTAAGCTCCACGAACACAACATCTGGGTTAGAAGCTAGTTCCCTAGAGATGATATCGGCAAGTTGACTTTGAATAGACCACAAGGTTAGGTAAGTAATAAGTTAAAGGATGATAAGTGTAGTGGCTTCAGGTTAGTTAAAGAAATACAGGGTTCCAAACAAGTAGGGTGAGTTCAAAGTTAGACGCCCCCATATGAATGGATGGTTACAAATATTACACAAAGTATATAGACTAAACCAGGGCAAGCGATAGGGCAGAATGGGAGGAATGACATAACACCCTTTATCTCTAACTTTCATTATGTATGACATTGTGTCTTAGATTCTAATTTGTTCAGCTCATCTATTAAAAGTCAAAAGTAACGGTACCGATACTTTGTGTGCGGGAATGGTTTACCAGAAGTGGACACAATCAAGGGTATGAGAGAGAGAAAAAAAACCAAACGAGGGATTTGAAGAGGGAGTAGGAAAGACGCCTAAAATGACTAGCAGAAAATAAACGTCGCAAAAGGTTATGATCTTGGTAAAAATGAGAACCTTGATGGTCAACGACAAACGCAACGAAAGCCTGGGCTGCAACCGCAACCGCACAAAGTTCAAATAATTGTCAGCAATGTGGTTAGTTCCTTCAAGGTTTTCCTCCCTCTCCGTTAGGCTCTTACTTTAGATTACTTCAAACGGTTTAGATTGCATCCACACAATCGGGTAGCCAATCCCTTTTCGGAAAGCAGGACAAGGGTTTTAGTTTCATTGATTGGTTATTGGCTGGTCGGTGACCGTGCCCCTCAATAGAGTATATGTACTTCTAACATTTAGTTGATACTCGGTTCTCAATTGTGTACATATGTAAATTACCTATGTGCTCATGCTTCCAGAAACAAGCCTCATCGTCAGTAAACCAAAGGTAGATCTGTCTGTTCCCAAAACTCTTTGGCAGCTTCCTTTTTTTATAAAACTTATTCCATATAAGGTTATTTACACTCTCCAGTTAATTTATTTGACATGAACTAAGCATTTCTCAGTTTACCCTTCGTGGGCAACGTGACACCCGGGTATTGCGCTCACATGGCTTGGCTGTCGTGTGATAAAAGGTAAAAACAACGTCTATACATACCACCCCATCTCGACTACGTAATTAATGTAACATATCTCGGTTCGCAAGGCTGTTCATCAGATTAGATCAGTCCAAGATCACGAGTATAAAAACCAACAACAGATTGTATCGCCCATGGTGGGACGAACATAAAAACAAACTACATCACCCACCTTATTCCCAGCCTCCAGATCGCTCTCTCTTCGGTGACACTTCGTCCATCCTATGGATCATGAAATCCATGAAATTCCTTCTGGCCTAACCATTCTGCGTAGTATGTACCGGTACCTGCTGACCTGACTAATCCCCCCTCTATCAGGATTCAGGGTGCTTGTGATACGTCGGTTGGTACCGCTACTAGGCTTTTCATCCCCATGTCCGTGCATTAGCCCGTCCATCAAGGTTACTACCCTTGACGCTTAACTCAGCTGAGCCTAGTCGACCGTCGAAGGCCATCAAGGTTCTCAGCCTCCAGTACGTACCGACCATCTGAGCTGAACCTCACCTTTACGACGAGTCTCGGCGTACATGACCCCTCCCTTATGACATATATATTTGGTTCTGGATTGACAGCTCGCAATAAACACCAATAATATTAGAAGGATGAGCCAGAAATTTTTCAATAATTCTCATTTGGATGTGCGAACATCAGGTCTATTTATGAAGCGTAGTATGTGCATTCATCCTGCCCTCTCACTGGTCCCCCTCCCCAAATTTTTTACCGTTATGCATAAGACGTTTATGCGGCTGTCTCGTAAGACCAACAACTTAGAAAAGCTTGCCATATATGGCACAAGTGGATAACTCGAGCAAGTTTCTTCGAAGGCGGTCCTTTTCTAGGTGCGAGTTACAAGACTATTATACGATAGTTCATAAATTTGATCAAAGATCAGGCGATGCTCGGGTTTGTGCCTATAGTAGGTAGGGGGTAGCTACCCTTGCGGCAAGATAGCATCATGCTAGATATTGAAAAACTAGAGCAGTGCCTCCGCGGAAGCACAAAGAATTAGCAACAAGGCTATTCGTAGGGTAAGGCCACATTTGGGGTTATTACGAGTCCGGTTGCACCAGTATGCAAGCCAACGGAACTGGTCCAAGCCCCGGGCTGACCGAATCGTTGATATTACCCCCAAAAATATGAGGGCGCTTGTCCTTGTCAAAATCATTTAATATCAGCGCAACAGTAGCGGCCCCCTTTCTCATTCTCCTTTCGCATAGGCAAAATGGCTTAGAGAGGACCTTGATACCCATCACCCATTTTCAATGTTGACAGTGCCGCGAATGGAATGCACCACCGATGCGACAGATGCTGCTGTCGTACAACAATTCAGTCGGTCAATGATATCGCAAAGTTAGGTTTGACAAGCGACGTGTAAGCTACCGAGCGGTCGAGGTTGATATTTGTTATCGAGCATCACGAGGAGAACTGTACTTCCATCCCAAGTGTGCGAAAGGGTGAGTCGAGCCGTCGTAGGTCGATGCTACTGCCAAGGCTAAAAAGCAAAGACTTGACTCGGCCCTCCCACAAAAGGCCGACTCGTAGGTGCTGATCTAGGCGCGCCTTCAGAACGCCCGAGTACTCCTCGTCTTCTTCATTGGGCGGCGGGTCCACATCGGGATCATCCAACCGCCACTCTAACTTAGCCTGGAAACTCCTTTCCTTCTTCTTCTCCGGCTGGTTCTGAATTGCTTCTTTCGGCGACGCCACAGCTTCAGCCGTGTCTAGGGGTGGACTAGGGAGAGGTTCGTCTAATCTCCATTCCATTTTCGCCTTGAAACTCCTGTCGGACGTAGCGCTTACTGGCGTTGGTACTGGTGCTGGCGCTGGTATCTGTTCTAATTCTTCATTGATAGACCAGGATCCTCTCTTCCTCCAGAGTTCCATACCGACGACCCAATCGCTTTCGTAGCTGTAGACGTTAAAGTCCATCCTCGACGCAAGCGAGCAGTAGCTCCCGGCCATGACGGCGTAGCTCCAGCTAATGTTCCCCATCAGCGGGTTAATAGTCATAGTTGCCGTAAGAGGGGTGCCGTTGTGCGTAGGTAACGTGGCGAACCGTGCCCCGAAACTCATTCCACCAGATTTGTTCAATGTTCCGTAATATAGTTCAGCACCCGTGCTAAACCGACCGTAAATCCGTTCCCGCTCGCCGTTACCCGACCCGTTTCCATTAGTTGCCACCAGTTGCACCGGCGTGTTTAAATGCCCAACATCGCCGCCGAAATTGTACAACCCGCGCATTCCAAGCAATCCGCCGTCTGTTGATGCAAGACCCTCTACCGCATAACGGCCCTCGTCATATTGCGCCATCCCCAAGATGGTACCTCCATTCCGTAGCGTCTCGCTCGAGACAGCGCTTAATTGTAGCTGTAGCGTAGGCGAAACCCTCCTAACCACCAATGCCTCCAGCATCGACGCCGGGAGGTAAAGCCTCCCATATGAAACCGTATCTTTGATCAGCTCCCCGCCTAACCCTCTCGCCCTCTGTGGTAACTCTGCAAGCGGGCGATAACTCCTCAGAAGATCGGGCAAGGGTATCTTCTCGCTCTGGGCAATAGCATTGCTGAGGGGTACCGTGGAATACAGGTACGATATAGAGCCATCGACGATACCTACATTTCCCAGTTGGTACGATGTTGCGAACTGAGGCGTCGCAAGGGAGGAGAGGGTGAGGCGAAGGCCCCGAGGTGTGGGGAAGTTTAGAAGAGCATCGGACGTAGCATTAAGGGAGGAATAGCTGTTGTCGCGGTTCCAGCCGGTGGCAGAGTAGAAGGCGGACTGGATGTAGTCCATGAACTCGCGCATTGTCGTCGACGCATACCCAGCTAGCCGGCGGGAGGCGAGCTAGGTGGAGAGCGGTGCTACCGACTGTGCATTAGGTAAATTGTTGTGTGGTGATATCGAGGTTTGGTGTTGGGTAATTTTTGAAGGTCGTTGTGAATGCACTTGCATTAATTATTGAAGCTCTGCACAAAGCTTAGCATATTATGCTCTAGTGAAATTACGTCATCTGCCGATATTTATCCGAAATGGCCGAACCGACTGGAACCTTGAACTTAATAATCTTACATAATAGAACTTTCTTAATAATCCAATAACTACTTGTCTTGTTCCTCTCTTTGCTTCATCATGCTCGAGAATGATTGAATCTTGAGATACTGCAACAAGAACAATGCTTCTTCTTTACGAGTGTCCTTATCTTAATGTAAAAACAAACCTATCTATTTAACCCTCAATGCAAGGTTTCTCCTTCGTGATAATTCTATTAATACGAAAGACTCATCGAAGATTGCCTAGGCAGCTAGGTAGACATATTGTCGCACAGCTATGAATCTAGAGATGACCCTTGTGTTCTATACGCCGCAATCAAAAGGACATAAGCTGAAGAACTAGGATATCTTTTTCTATTCTTACCCACCTACTACCCAATCGCTTTACGATCGCCAAGAGATTGAATCAACGCGTAGGTTAGATTACGGCGCAGCACTCACTCCCACAGCACAGCCATCAGATTAAATAATATCATTCTCAACTAACCCGCAATACTATCGGGATAATATACATGCCGAATAGGCACAGCAGATGTGCGTCACCGCGTTAATCCGGCTTAAAAAGTCCATTCAACTTAACATTCAATATGGAGTCTATTACCAAATTCGACTGTATAGGTGTAGGCCCGGTTCGACTATATTCATTTTCGGGTTCTCGGGGACCAGCCGTGGCCGATTTTATTCCTTTCTATAGAGCATATCCACCGCCTTCAGACGGGTGGATAGCTCTTCCACCTTGTATAGACACGGGTGAATAGAGGCTCATCTGAATCTAAGATTAAGGGCAACGACAATCTGATTTCTAAGCGTATACTTAGGCAACATAGGTTTTCGTTGGCCTCAGAATAGCATATAAACTCATGGTCATGATGGCAGTTCAAGATGATTCAAGCAGATCACACAACCAATTCACTCTCATATCCAAGAACAACTCGGAAACTTACCCTTTAACTTACTCCTAAACTCTCTAACCATCATGGCTGAAACTCAAGTCTGGCTCATCACAGGGGCATCCCGTGGCCTCGGTCTCGAACTCACCAAAACCGCTTTGAAGGCCGGGCATAAAGTCGTCGCATGCTACCGCAGCAAGGCCAAGCTCGGTGCTACTTACGCAGAAATCGAGGCCCTCGGCGGAATATGGCTTCAGCTCGATGTAGTCGCCGAGGACGTTGAAGCCAAAGTCCAGTCCGTTGTTGCTCAACACGGCCGGATCGATGTCCTTATCAACAACGCCGGATACGGCATGCTTGGAAGCCTCGAGGAAACAAGGTACGTTAATAGTCCGTTGAGGTAGCAGCTTTGAGAACGACCCCTTAACACTGTTTATAGCATTGCCCAAGTCGAAGCCATCTTCAAAACCAACTTCTTCGGCGCCCTGCGAACAATCCAAGCCGCGCTACCGTCCATGCGATCGCGCCGCTCTGGAACTATTGTCAACATCAGCAGTTCGCTAGCCATAAGCCCAGCTCCCGGCTTCAGCATCTATTCCGCGACGAAATTTGCTACAGAAGGTTAGCATAGCACGCCTTTTAAGACCCTACCCCTACCCAAGCACATTCGCAGCACTCATCGGAACCTTACTAACCCCACAAAGCCATCACCGAATCCCTCCAAGTCGAGCTAGCATCATTCGGCATCCGCACCCTGCTCATCGAGCCCGGGATGACAGCGACCGAATTCGCCGACGCCTCCGGCACCGGCGTGGAAGTCCCCATCGGCGAAGCCTACCAAGGCGGCGCGGTATCGCAGACCATCCAACTCATCCAATCACCCGAGTTCCTCGCGCAAGCCGCTGTTCCGGCTAAGGTCGCGCAGAGGATCGTCGAAGCGATTGACCGCACGGGGTTCTTCGCCGACAAGGAAGTAGCGCTTCGACTCCCGCTGGGAGGAGATACCGGGGCGCAGTTGCAGCAGCGGGCTGCTATGTGGGGGGATCTGGCGAAGGGTATGAAGGATTCTTGGATGAGTATTTATCTATGATATACTGAAGTAACGGCGTTAAGACGGTAGGGGTTGCTGGGAGGTGGTTTGAGAAGGGTAAAGGGGTTAGGATTGTTGAATTGGGGGTATAGCTTGGAGTTCTTGTTTCCGCCTCTCTGCTCTGTTTTGGAAAATTATGTTAGAATACGACTTTATACCTATGTTTAGGCATTTGAATTTTAAATTGACGTCTTTGCCACTTTTATACCCCTCGTGGTAAACCCCCTTTTCGTTATATAGTAAGTTAAAGTCTTATAATATCCCCGGCTTGAGTTAGGTTACATTGATACTTGGCTACCTAAGGAACCTACAAGAATACCATGTTAACCAAGATCGAAAGAGCTAGAACAGGATACGTGTGCTATTAGGGTTGGACTGTACAATTCCATGCGTATTTTTACACCACATATCCCTAAGGAGGCCAGTACTAGGTTGTTATATCCGAACCAGCTCATCAGCCTAATAGCACGTACACACCAACTCAACTATTCCCCTACAACAATTCACAAGCACAACATCATCAAAGCCAACAATCCCAAGAAAAATATACATTGCGAAGCGAACAGGCCAGCACGGCGACCTACATACCTAGCATCTCAAAAAATCCAAACACATAACGTCAATTTTCCATACCTAGTACCATAGCATCACCCATCTCTACCTACACATAAACAAGCAAGCACCTACCTAGGTACTTAATGCGCCCACTGCCGCCCATGCGGTCTCGCAATCCGTCCCCTCAACTTCCTAACCGCCCTCTTAACCCCTCCCTCCCCCTCGGCCTCATCCAGCGGCGCCTTCGTCCCCTTCGCCAACTTCGCGACCGTAGTAATATGGCTCCAATCCGCACTATCCTCGCCCAAACTCCACGCCATAACGCCGCCTAGCCCCATCGGTTCAATGATCTCCTTAAACTTGCGTTTCATAAGCTCAGTCGTGTCCCAGGTCCAGAAGAGGCGGTTTTCGGCGTCCCAGTACCACATCCCGCCCTGCTGGGCGTCGAGGACACCGTTCGCCAGGGCCTTCGGGAATGCGGCGCTGATGTCGGGGCCCGTGCACGTACCGAACCCGGACTGGCATCCGAGTCCGCAGTGCGCGGCTGAGGACCCGCAGTTGCCGTATTGCGAGCAGCAGGTGCCTTCGCCGAACCCGGTGCACGTGAGCCCCTTAGTCGCGCCGCAGGTACCGTCGGAACTCGTCGTTAGATTGGTGGGTGGTGGTGCGGGGAATACGTTTGCCTTTTCGAAGGTGACAGCGCCGGAGGTGCCAGCGTCACTGCCGTCGTCGTTCTCGGCTTTGACGATTGGGCAGCCGATTGGGTGGGTACAGGTTGCGTTGGGGGCTGTCTCGAAGAACTTGGCGTAGTAGGCGAGCCCGAGGTTGATTTTGGAGGGCGGGCAGCCGAGCTCTAGGTACCGGTGCACGGCCTCGAGGGAGCCGGCGACGGAGCTGTGGTGCGTGGTGGTGGTGTCGCGGCGGTTCATGATGTCGTAGGACATCACGTTGACCATGTCGACAGCGGAGAAGATGGCCGGGGCCCTGGCGGCCGTGTACGCGATTAGGTCGCCTTGTTTGGCTGGCACGGCGATGGAGAGTGGCTTAGGTTCGATGGCGGCTTTGATTGCGTGGAGGAGTTGGGGGTAGCTGATGATTTCGGAAGTCTTGTTCGCGTTGGGGATCTGCTTGTAGTCTTGGCCGTTGCCGCCGGGGTACTCCCAGTCGACGTCTACGAAGTCGAAACCCAGCTCCTCAACCATGGCAGCGACGTTCTTCGCGTATGTAGCCCGGCTGGCCTCCGTCTTGGCGCCGGCCGAGAAGCCGGCTGTGTCGCCCCAACCACCTATTGCGATACCGAGTTTAGTTCCGTTATCGAACATGGCGCGAACGGAGTCAATAGGCATCCACGGCTTGAAAGTGCCGGCTGTCTCAGCTGCGAAGAGAGAGGAATTGGCAAAGGCCATAGCTACATGCGTGATGCCTGCTGTGATGTTCTTTCCGGGAAGGATGGACGTGTGATATCTGGAGCGCAGAGGTTAGACAGCCAACCACCATATGGAATTCTAAATTAAGGAATGGGGGAGACGTACTGGTCGAAGTATACAAGGTTACGGATTTCTGCGGCAGCGAGCCCGGCCATGGCCAGACTGGCCAAAGTGTTGACTGCTCTCATATTGAATGTAGTCAAGCTTGGTCAATGGTTAAAAGAATGTGGAATGTAAAGAATGAAACGAAAGAATGAACGGTACCGCCAGGAAAAAAAGTCCCCCTACTTTTATGAAGTCTAGCTGAACCCATCTTGACGTCCCTGTGGTTCTTATAAGAAGTCATGGTCCCGACTCCCTAGTCACTGGCTGACGGTGCTGACGGTGCTGACTGATGCGCCAACGTTGATCCCCGTTACTCAACGTCAGCATCCGTACGTGATAGCCTGTTAGGCATATGCATACTACAATGTACATGTAGTGTATTCTGTAGACTTAAGCAATTGGAGATAGGGATGGGATATGGACCAGGACAAGGAATGACGTGGGGAGATGGGCTTGGGATGGCTCGATGCACGAGAGCAGTTGGTTCGGGCGTTAGCCAATTACCCTATCATATCTAAGTAATACCCCTGCCACGAAATTATGATCGCTCAAGCCATCTGGGGAGACCACTCATGCGATAGATCTAGCCTCTTTGGAAACCGGGCTTAGAAGCCATCGTGTTACATGCACGACGCTAAGCATTACCGATTAACTAAACGAATGGGTCTGCAAAGATCAATGCATGCCCTCTAAGCCGGCATTCTCCAGTGTATCTGTGGCCCGGGAGCTTCTAGAGAATTGCCGTTCATGGTACAAGTGGTGTAAGGGCACAAAGCGGCCTGACTGTGTCCCCAGAAAATCGACATCTGTTGGTTACTCTTGAAACGGTGAAACAAAGCGTGAAGGGGTGCAAACAGCCAATAGATTAATAGACTTCCTTATTTGTTACCTCCTACCTTCATGGTCATCTCCTACTCAATATATCCAGCACGATCGTACAACGTCGAAAATACAACAACATTCGTGACGTTGCATAGATGACACGGACGAACTCCCTTAAGGAAGAACCCGAGAACTGTGTATGTACGTCCGGGAGAGTCGGAATATACCAGTATACTGGCTAGCATGGTTGTCCTACTGCACAGGTAGTATGTGATCTTTCAGCCTTAGCCAAGATCTAAAACCTGTCTTAGCTCCGGGTTCCGGTCTCTTGGTATGTCCGCTGAATGTCTATCATGCTCCTTAGGTAGTAGGTGGTAGGTAGATAAATTTCTCTGTCCCCGTTGGTTTGTTGCTTTCGAACTTGTCGCGGAGAGATAGCTCTCCTGTCCGTGGTTGGAATATTCGAACTAACACGATCTCCTTAATCTCACAATCTGGCGACTACCTATCTTTCTTGAGAGTAGGTAAGTATTAATATTTTGCGATACTCCAATGTTTCCGGTGTCTCCGACCGGACTCCGGTTTCCATTTAATTGATCGCAAACAGCTTCGGTAAGTCCCGAAGTACCGTGTGGTCCATTCTCGGAGACAAAATCTAGCTCGAATTGTGGCTCTTTATGCCGCTCGTCCTCATGCCTTGATTCTTTAAAAGCTTAGCATCGTTCGGCGCATTATAATACGGGATGTTAAACCCTTCCTCCCATCTCGTGTTTCTTTTTTGAGTCGACCGATACAGTTAGGAACTCCGAGAGCCAACCCGGCGACCCAGATTTCAATCAAGACGCTCGAGGCAGATTATTGCTCGATCTGAAAGAACTAATTCCTGTAGTAATTCGATCGAACTACATGCAATAGGTAGCGTGTTTCAAGTATCAGGATTTCTTATGGTTACAAGTATGCTGATGGACTTTTTCATCAGCTACCTCAATTGAAGCTTAGTAGATGTTTCCAAGTTATAAGATCGACATTTGAGATCGATTCTTTGTCAGCTAACCAGCTATTAATAGCAAAGGTTATTATTTAGGAAAAGGGGTCCAAGACTGCCTCCTTTTTATAGAAAGTATCTAATAATTAGAGTGCTCATTTAATTTAAGATGGAATCGGTTAGCCAAATATAAAGAAACCAACCTTACCAATATGTATGATGGAATTTGATGTTAGACATATTGTCGTTCTTAGGGGTTTCTTCCGACCTGATCGATAGAAAAAAGACTAACTAGGTCTCCCTGTAATGTTAGGTACGCGTTTTGATTCGTTCTTATTCATGATAGACTCGTCGATACAATGTCTCACTTAGTCTCGCCCATTTATTACCCGAGTATTCTCGCCCGGAAATCGACGCTGTCTCGGTTCAAGCGCCGGGTACCTACATATATAGGTAGGTATGTACCTAGGTGATTGTGCATAGAGTGTTGTAGTCCTATTTTCTAATTGAATAGAAAATAGTAGCGACCGGGTCATTGAGCTGCTTCAGATTGCGATGCTGACGATTATGGCATGGTTCGCAAAAAGATCTCAAGGAGACGGCTGTCAAATATTATAAATTAGGCTAATAAGTAATGAAAGTGAATATTGGATCCACGGTAGCAGCTGCCCAGGCGACGGGCAATAGGGATTATATTATGGTGATCCAAGATCAAAATGGATTTGTTTTGACGGAAACGCGCGTTTTAGTAAGTCTGCATACAATTGATGTACAGGTTAGATCCGAGATACATGTGCATGCAAGCTAGGAAATATACAAGATCTCTATGGGCGACCTGCGCGATTAAAGTTTACATAGATGCAGATATAAGAACTAAAAATCAACTTGGAAACGGCGGTGATGTCGAATTGGATGTCGAATATTCATCCTCTTTTGGGATGTCAAGGTTTGTTTTGATTGGAGCTAGTCGAACTTTATCGATAGGACCACGAGAACTGTGTCGCCCATGGTACTGCGATGGTGGGGCAAATTTGAAACCAAAGCGCAGGTTTACAAGGTACTACAGTGTTTCTAACCGAACTAAACCAATAAAGAACAGTGCTAAGTTCAGCGGCGGTCGTGGTTGCCGTGGTGATTGTTGATGCAACACAGACGGAAGGGTCGACCCTTAAACTAGCGAATGATATTTCGCGTTCATTGTTGATCTACCCAGAGAGGTTACTTTACTGCACCTCTCTTTCCCCTCCATCTTTAGCCTCTTAGCTTCCTAGACACCGTCTCAATTCGTCCTCTAAAATCAAGACACATCATCTAGCCAACTGCAAAATCACTTGCATCTTGATCCTCTTCTGTGCTTCGCACTTCTGCATCCTGCAAATATTTCCCCGGCGGCGCTGCGTATGCACAAAGCACGAAACACTTTCTACTGTGTAGATTGATCGCCTGAAATGCGACAACCGAGTTCATTGAGCTTTTAGCTTGTTCGAACGGCACTCCGCATTCATTAGGCTGCCTTTTGTCCATTTACTCATTTTGCCCATTTACGCATTTACACATCTGGATATACAGATATACACACATTTGTACAGAATTATTCTGAACATCCATTTCAACAAATCGCGAGGTCAATGCGTCGCGCAATACGAATCACTCAGACCACCGCTCATTAAACCAATCTTACTTTCTACAAAATACTCAACCGCTAAATCACTAAACCACTATTACCTAGTAAACTACCAGATCACCGAAACACTTCCATGAATATACACCACCAAACACTTAGCTGACTCTCGTCCATATCGCTTTCAACATGGACGCGAGCTACCTTTCCCAGCAAGTCAACACCATTATCGGTCAGCTGCATGGCTTATTTGACGAGATTGGCGTTGGTAGCCATGATCGCGAAAGCAGAGAAGCCGAGGTGAGCAACATAAACAATGTTTTCCAACCTCCGCATCCACTAATAGAGGCAATTTGCAGCTCTTCGCAGCGCTCTCGGAAACCCTCAACAACCAGGTTAAGCAGGTAACAGCCGAGAAGAAGGGGTTAGTAGAGGAGGCGCAGCGAATTATTACCACAATTCGTCAGATGGAGGCTTCTCTCGATGGAGCTCGCTCGCAAAATAACTACGACGATGATGATCTTCGCATTACCTATCCGCTTACACGATGCTTGCCGATGTTAAAGGAGAAGCATAAGCAAATAAGCAAGCTGCATCGTGAGCGATTCGAACAAGTCAAAAGTAAGTAAATCTTGTTATGCGAAATACTCCCAGAAATAGGGGAATGAGTAGTCGGTACTAACCTAGTCTTAGAACTTGTTCAGGCACTCGAGTCCTATTCCTCGCACCTCGAGCCGAGCTTTGTTCAGATTGCTTTACCGCCGACTGGACAGAACCAATCCATCCCTCCTACATTTGACATCTCCCCTGCCTATGTCAACGAACTTGACGACGAATTTACTCGAGTCTATGAAGAGTATACTCGACGAGTTTCGACCGTCAAAGCTATATGCGAACACATTATTCAATTATGGGCGGAACTAGGCACGCCACAAGCACAGACCGACGGCACGATCGTCAAGTATTATCGCGATGCACCCGAGCAGCTTGGCCTACATGAAGAAGATTTATCTAGACTCCGCAATAAAAGAGACAAGCTAGCAGACGAGAAGAAGAATCGCGAGAAGCGCTTGAAAGACCTTAAGGTGTCTGTCGAGGCTCTCTGGGATAAACTAGGCGTCGAAGAATCGGAGCGTAGGGCGTTCTTGAACGGTAACCGTGGTTGCGGCGTACGGCAAATCAACGAGTTCGAGGACGAATTAGCAAGATTGAACGAGCTCAAGAGACAGAATCTCCATCTATTCGTGGAGGATGCGCGTTGCAAGCTCCAAGAGCTATGGGACGCGCTGTACTTCTCAGAGGACGAGATGCTCGAATTTACGCCAGCGTTCTCGGACGTCTACAGCGATGCGCTATTAGAAGCCCACGAACGCGAGATCACCCGACTGGATACCTTGCGAGAACAGCGTGCTCCTACTCTAGCTTTGGTCGAGAAGCATCGTACCCTTGTCCACGAACGTGATGAGCTTGCTGCTTCCAGCCAAGATGCGTCTCGATTAATGATGCGCGGCCAGAAGGGAGAACGCCGAGACCCTGGTAAGCTATTGAGGGAGGAGAAGATGCGAAAGAGGATTACAAAGGAACTCCCCAAGATCGCCGCAGAGCTTGTCAAGTTGCTTGAGAAATGGGAGGACGAGTACGGTCGCCCATTCCTTGTTCATGGAGAGAGGTACCTAGATCTATTGGAACCTGAAGCCCCAAAACAGGCCCCCGGTCCTAGATCGAAGACCCCGGCAGGCCCTCCTCCGTCAGCAAACAGAGGCATACAGAGAGCAGCAGCGCCACCCAGCCGAGGCAACAGCACTGCTACCAAGGGGGCTGCCATTATACGATCAAAGACACCGACCGCGAATATGAATGGGAATGGAAATGGGAACGGTACGATCAAGAGAACACCTGGGCCTGGTCATATACCGAAAGATTCGAAGAGCAGCCCGACTAAAATACCGGCGCGAGTTCCTTTGTCGAATCTTAAGCACGGTAGCAACTCACCTGAGAGACCTCGACCTGACTCACGAGCTCAAGGTGTCTTACGCGTGGGCCCTCCGCTTACACGCGCACCTCCTCCCAAGATGAGAGAGCTTGGACCGCCTCCCGAGTTGGAAACACCAACAAACCCCTACCGCAACGTCGGGCTTGGTTCAGGTAGCTTTGTTCGAGCAGTCGACCCCGAGGACGTGTACAATGATCAAGTCTTCGACGATGCTCCATACAAGCAAAGTTCGTATCAGATTTATGCAAAGTCCCAGCCACATCATAATCTTCAAATGGCCATACACAGCGAGCGTCTTGCCCAATCCGCATATCCTCAGGCGCCTCCCCCTAGACAGATCTCGAACACCTCTACAGCTGTGAGCGGTTCGGAGAATTGGGAGACTTATGATGACAATTCCGAGCCTGAGGAGGACGCGTCTGATGCTTATTACGCTAAGGTGAGAGCTGCGAGAGGGAAACGCTTTACGCCCGAGAACGGCTATCCGAATCCTCAAGCAAACCAGCCTAAGCGACAGCGAGGCATTCCCCCTGCCGCGCATACTGGGGACGTTGTAGACGCCGAGGGCAACCGCATCATTTCAGGTAGTGAGTGGACGGATGAGGATGCCTACTGAGCCTTCAATTATTCTTGGTGCTGGACGATAACGAGCTCCGACAAGTTACGCAATTATCAGTTACGATTCATTGGATGTCTCTCACGATTAGTCATCAGCAACGGCGCCATTCCGGAAATTCTTCACATTAACATTCTTGGTCAGATCTTGACACTTTCGATTTTCACACACTTCTTTCCTTCGTCTTCTTGTATTTGTTTTTAATTGCATTAGGGTTTCCGCCGCCGCAAGGCAGCTAAGGTGGAATCCTCTCGACAAATTGGACGTCCGTCCAATTAAAAGCCTGTCGATAACACATGGCACTTGGGGCGTTTTGATGCTCACGGTTGCTTCGGACAACTTTCTCTGGAATTACATACTCTCTGTTGGAACATAATCGGGAAGGTGTCGAGGGCGGAAGGTCAGCAAGCAGGAGGGGGGGTTCGGACTATCGGAACAGGCGTCGGTACATAAGGCGTTCAAGACGGAGAAGTGCATGCTTGATTTTTCATACTCTGATTTCCTGACCAAGATGATTTGCGAATAGTACAATTCGGCATCACTGGAATAAAAAACCGACTTGAAGTTGGTAAATTGTCTAAACATGATGTTTCCAACGTCCCTAAAGTGATAGGTGCTCTTCTAAATAAGGGTACACCAATAGATGCACGGGAAATACCAGTACGACTGTAGATATGTATGACATCAATAGCAAGATTTATCATGTAATTATTAGGTGCATTCAATGTGCATTCAATCCCCCCTGAAAGATGGGACCTTAACTCGTCCCCCCGGGTCCAGTAGCGTTCCAATTTTTAGGTTCAAAACCTTGTCGGATTGGATGTTTCAGCCCTACCTCCCTGTCTTCCTTCCTAGCTCAATTAACTCTAGGCTGTCTTACATAGTACCTCCAAGCGCCAAACAAACGCCAACTTTCAGCTTTCTTAACAATTACATGGTATAATATAATGTAAGACGATTGATCTTAACTTTGCGACTATTTTATCATTGCGTGGCGATACCTATCAGAAACAACACATTCTAAATATGAATGAAACATCGTTATATTAGACCTCCCAATTAGGCGGTTTTTTCTCCACCGACGGGCCTCATGAATGGACCAGGAACCCCTAATCGGAGCCGATTGACGCCGAATCCACCCGGAGCTCACGATGATTCTTCTTATAACGCCGCCTTGAAAGGCGCTTCGCTTGCCTTTCAGAAATCCACGCCGAAGAAAGCACCAACTCCTGCGCCCTCGTCTCGTCCGGCCTCTCGAAACATCGATAATGGAGCTCTCATCGCAGCTACCTCGGCAGCTTCGGCCTCGCGAGATCATTCACGAAGCGTTAGCCGACAGACAACAGGTGGTAGTGTCCAAGGCGGAAATGACGACATCGAAACCGAACAACGGACAGCGAGTCGATCCTCACTACACAATTTACAGCTACCGCCACAGCGTGGCCTTGGCGTTTCCTCTCACTTAGTTATTGCGAGCAAACAAGCAGTCCCAGATCCCCGTTCACCTTCCTTCATAGCCGCAACACTCGCCGCCAGTAGATCCGGTAGCCCAGTCCGCCATCAAATGGCCCAATCACAGTCAACGCCTCAACCAGTCAGAAAACAACGGAAACATAGTGTCAGCGCGAACAACAGTGCTGCCAGCTCAGTAACGAGTTTTGACCTAGCAACTGATACGACATCGATCCCATCTACGAACTCCCTAATATCAATGTTTGAAAAGAGGGAAGATGACACAGATCCTACCAAGAAAAGCAACGTGAGGTTGGATGACAGGAAGCCACTAGGAGCAAATATCGCATCTCGAACTTTAAGTCCTTTGGGGGGTATGAGTCCCATCGTTAAGAATGAATTATCCCCATCAAGACTTGCTAGTACTACAGCATGGGAACGGGCTTCATCTCCTTCATCTCTTTCTTCAGCGGTCGGCATTGCCCGAGAGAAGCCTCGTCGTCCTCAGAATGTAGCTACAGAGGCAAAGGCACGCCCACCTGCTCCTCCACCAACAAGGACGAAGAATACGGTCCAGGCGTCCACGCAACCTAATGCCTTAGAATCCAAAGGCAAACAGCGTGCATCAACGCCTCCGCCGAAATCTATAAGCCGTGTCGAAACATCGATTCTTTCACCACAGCCAAGACGAAATACTTCTAAACAGATTATACTTGATGATATACGGGCACAAGACTCTGTACCCAAAGGTGTAACGCCTCCGCTTGCCAAACCTAAGCCGAAACCCCCAACGCCCGTACGCGCCATTACAAAGCCATCCCTACCAGAGGATGATCCACGCCGAATTTCAACTTCGTCAAATGACACTTTCGTGTCCGCTTCCTCGGCGCCCTCACCTCAACCCAATTCTCCACGACGAGGCAGATCACGACCATCAACACCCGATACGGTGCGACCAATGCGACCTGCATCATCTCAGACCACATCCACCGCGATCTCCACTGCGCGTCCGCCAGCCCTCCCCCCTCGACAGTCACGGCCCAATTCAACCTTACCACTTGAGTCCCTCACCGACGCCATCATGGCAGGCTCTCTAGCATCGTCCCGCATCACGCCTTCGAAAACACCTCCGCCAAAACCACCATCACGCAGACAGACGCCGCATATGCGTCAGACGTTGCGACGGCCTACTTCTATTTCTGACGATGAGGAAAAACGCCGAAAAGCTCGGAAATTAAGCGGGAAAAAGAAACATTCTCACCACGAGGGGGCGCGGAAGCGTTGGCGTGAGGAGATTACTGCAAGGGAGAGGAAGCGATACGAAGGCGTATGGGCGAGTAATCGCGGTCTGCTCCTCGTCTCACCGGAGGGTTCAAGAGCCTCGTCTACGAACGGACAATCACAAACACTAGCACAGACAGCGGGAGGGGGTGACAGGGAGCAGGGCGTGGCTAACGTAGTGGTAAGGGACTTGTGGGCGCGCAGCCGCTTGCCAATCGACGAGCTTGCGGAAGTGTGGGATCTGGTGGATAGAAGGGGTAGGGGATACCTAGACCGCGCGGAGTTCGTGGTCGGTATGTGGCTCGTGGATCAGAGGCTCAGGGGTAGGAAAATTCCCCGGAAGGTCACGGAGAGCGTGTGGGGGAGCGCGAAGGATGTTAGAGTTGCGGGGGTCGGGGGTAAGAAGTAGGAAGTTAGAGCGTTAAGGAGGTGAAGGGAGTGATGTATACTTTAGGTTTGGGTACGATAAGGTTTGCAGAGCTGGTTTGTAAGATGCATAGATGGGTGGGTATATGGGAGCTTGGTAAACGGATTCGGGTTCGGGTTCGAGTCCTAGGAACACTCGAGGCTATTGGTATCTAGCCATATTCTCTCTTCCTGAAACATGGGAAGGTTAGAGAATAAACGAGAGAAATCCGGAGCGAAGTGAGTTGAAGTAAAGTAAAGCATATGAGTTGGCTAGTAGTAATGATACCCCTGGTAGACTTAGGATAGAATGTTTAGATGGCAATGCTTATTCTGTGGGTTTGAGGCTCTGGTTTTCGGGACCATGGATCGAATCACATGGAATTTGTTGTAGATATATTCAGATTCAAGATCGAAGGTTTCACTTTCATCGTGACTTGCCCTGCCTAACAAGTAGTCACTCAGTGTTAATGAGATTTTACTTCTACATCATACCGAAGTTGCGGTCAACTACATATCATACTCAGCACTAGGTACTTAATAATCTTTCATTGGACCCTCCTCATATGATATTCTGTAGGCTGCTATATATAGATATAACTTTATCGATAGCATGGCCAGTAAGATTAAGTGTCGGCTAGATCCATCGAGAATCAAAGCCCATCAGTGGATCGATACATCCAATAGTTTTAAAATCGTGATGTGAGACTTGCAGGACAATACAACATATCTGATGATTGTCCTAACCTGAAGAGCCTCATAGCCTCACAAACATCATGACATCATCCATGTCTCTCCGGACGTTCATCTATTGACGTGTCTTATTAGAAATCTGCCAGATGTCTCTTAAAAAGCTCCGGGAGATACGGAGGTCTCGTGTAAGATCTACGTAATGGCGCATACCAACGGAGGAACGTGATTGGAGAACAAAGCCACAACTACGGTCACAAGCCTCATCACACGGTTTCGGTTTTGTGGCTGACATGAGAAATTGGGGGCTAACGACCGGCAGTTCGTGAAACACCTGGTCCCTGCGGCAATGTTAGAGCTTATTTTGGTTGTTTTGGTAGGGGACTCCCGGGGAAATTGGCGCTTGTGCGACAATAATTATACTAAGTATACCTAGTGCCACTTCTCCGTCGGTAGGAAACTTTCTTTATTACACAAATTCTACGTACATAATTAAGAAAATCGATTCTCCGACTACTGAACTTTCTTTTTTCCTTGTGGCCTGCACGCGTCTTTATTTGGTTAATGGCGAGTTTCCCGGATTCTTCAATGCTGCATCACACATCAACAAACAAGCTGATTTGCTAAAATCTCGAAGCTATTGCTGCGACCCATTCCTGGAGCAACTGGATCAACTGGAGCATTAAGCAGCAACCCTGAATCTTGTTGATCAGTTGAGGGGCACTCCGCGGATCCCAGCCTTATTGGTTATTGGCTTTAGCTACGACCGCTTCTTCTGGCGTCTTCCCTTCGCATGCTTTCCGACTTTCGCTTGCAAGACTCCTAGTTGATATTAATCATACGCCATACTGGTGCTCTCTTTTTGATCCTTTTTTGTTCGACTTCTTGACTTTTCTGCGACTCGTCAGGTTAATACCCATTTTTTGCGACATTTTGCTATTCGACACACTAATCGGCAATGAATCGTGCTCCCCATTTGGCATCCTGAGCTATTCATACTTCAATCCACTTTTCCCCCTGACATTACGGTCCAGATACGTTTTCTTGTTGTCAACACTACGATACACTTAGTCATAATTCGCTCTGAGGATATCCTCTCTAATTTAATACTCGACCACCGACAATCATCGACACACTTCCCTAAAATACGAAATTCCCAAGTCAGAAGGATGGCCGAGACGGCGACTCAGTGCCTTCACGAACCAACAACCGCGAATATCCCAGGTCGCGGTGCGACGATTAGTATTCCTTCTCCTTCCGCGATGGCAGCGCCCGCGAGTTCCCAAGTCAGTCGTTTACGAAGCCAATTTTCTTTACCATCAACGAGCCCAGTCAACCAGAATGGAAGCTTCGAGTTCGATCGCGTTCTTAAGTCCGGATACCTCCAGAAGCGGACCCAGAAGACCAAGGTAAGCCTCCACGTGCTTTGACCCCGAACCCAATTGTCTCTCTCGTCATCAATATACTAAACCTATTCCACATAGGCTTGGAAGTCAGTCTATCTGGTTCTCAGACCCAGCGCCCTCTCCATCTACAAGTCAGACAATGAGAGCAAATTGCGTCATATGATATACACCTCTGAACTTTCGGCTGTTACGCTCCTTAAGGACCCAAAGAATAAACGCCACCACCTCTTTGGCCTATTCTCGCCGGCGAGGAATTATCACTTCGAGGCCCCGAACTCGAAAGAAGCGCAAGAATGGATAGACCTAATTCGAAAGGACGCGAGAATAGAGGAAGAGGAGGAGGAGATGTTCCTAACTAGCCCCATTGTGCGCCGGCAGACCTTCGCTCCCGTTAGCATGCTGCAGAATGGATCAGCAGCAACGCGAAGTCAGCTATTGGACGGTGACAGACCGTTATCAAGCTCACCGGAACCCATCGATCCGACCGCAACAAGGTCCATCCCCTCAACCGGGAAACGATTATCATACCACGATTACTCTGGACTCTCTGGAAATGAACTGGCTTCGCATTCAGACATGTCGGACAACGAAGGCCAACGAGTCCACGGTGCCTCCATTGAAAGTCTTACAGCTCGTTCACCCGCCGCGTCAGGAACGAAGATAGAATCTGGTTCTAACGATCGCCCAATGATGAGGAATCGAAACGCAAGTCAACTGAGCGGCCTTAATTTCGAGAGCGACCCGGATCGTATTGTCTGGCAAGGCTGGCTTTGGCTTCTCAACAGCAAGCGCGGCGTTAAGCAATGGAAGAGTCGATGGGCAGTCCTCCGACCGCGGAATTTAATCCTTTATAAGGACGAGTCCGAATATAAGGCTTCTTTCATCCTGTCTCTATCGGCTATTGTAAATGTGGTGGACATCGATGCGATCAGCAAAACGAAGAAGCACTGCTTCCAGATTATCACGGATGAGAAGACCTACCGATGCTGCGCCCGCGACGAGGAGACGCTGGTACATTGCTTGGGGGCGTTTAAAAGCCTCTTGGCTAAGCGTAGAGAATTGGAAGCTCGCGTAGCTGCATCGGGGAACGTGGCAGCTCAGACAGCTCAATGACGAATGAGGGTGATATCACCCCAAGAAAGTCGTTGTTTTTTTTCGTGATACCCCCTGGGAGCATATAGGTAGATGGAGCCGCAGCTGGAACGTGGGACGGTCAGCACGCAGGCGATGCGTGTTCTGTACTACGTGCCTTACTGCCGTAGCACAAACCAAATAGAGGCAGTGAGAGACTGGCGCAAGATGGAAAAGCAAGGGTATATTGCGCGTTCCTTAACGACATGTTACGATTACAAAAAAGAGTTTGAGCATTTACTCAGAGCCCGGACATACACGTGTTATACGGCACGGTTTAATGAGCAGAGAGGAGTTGTTACAAGCATGCAATGCAATGCGAAGCAAAGCAAGCAAGCTCTTAATTACTAGTACTTAGTGCTTAAAACTACTACTACTACTATTACCCAGACACAGACACAGACGGAATAAGACGGACAAGATACCACGCGACACGAGGCTGTGGTGGTGGATTGTTTTGTTTTGTTTTGTTTTGTTGGTTTCTTGGGGAACTATATTACCTAATATAGCAAAAAGAACAGTTTTGATATCTGTTGGTTTGTGGTGATTGTCGATACTTGCATACATACACCGCACTTGTGTTTTGGCTTTTTGTTGGCGGTGAGGTGGGATGTTCAGCTAGCCTTGTCGGTTCAGCTGAAGGCTACTGGGCGAGAGTGCGTGTTGTTGGTGAGTTCGCAGCTAACTTGCAGATGGATGCGTTCATATCCATGAGATGGAATTGACAAGAATGATGATAAGGATTAATAAGGCTATCCTTGGTTCAGTTGCTATAACTTATCTATAACAGGCAAACTCCTAACCAACATTACGAACGAAGACACGATGATAAATAGCATGGACCGGCCGACGACGACTTCTATGACCTACCTAAACCAGCCGTCGATCCTCGAAGTGGGCTGTTCCTGGCTTGCGGCGCAAACGCGACAAGCGGGTACCTGAACTTCGAAGCTAATGTCCAGGATCCCCAGATAGCCGAAATCCTTACTTAGGTCTATACATAGCTCTCATAGGTGAGTCGGTTTGATGATCGTGATTTACCTTATCTTTCACAAATTTTCCCATCTCTGCTACCACGACGTAATTTCGCGTCGTTGACAGCTATCTGCCTGCTTGCATGCTGTAAGGGACAGAGAATAGGAGAGAGATTGAGATACGGATCTCTTGGCCTGCATTCGACGGGTTAGAATTAGGTTATTACAGCTGCGGAGAGGGTGTGCGTTCGAGGTCATCTGCGCCTCGTCCTATCAGATGCCGTTCGCAGGTGACGTTGAGTGCTTTGCTTTTTTACAGCGGACTTCCTGGATGCTGGTCGGTTTGGAGCGCGATGTAACGCTGCGACCCCCTGGGAGATGTATACCGAGCCGTTTATGGATGGGGAGGGAGCGCCACAGCGGCTTCGGTGCCGTCGATGCGCGCGATGTTGCGCTCTGAAGCCACGGTGCTGGGTTTATTTGAAGCCACGGATATGCCACATGCGGGTTTCCGTCACGCTGCTTTTGTGTGTGTGCCAGTATGCTTGGTTTCGCGTCACGTGCGAGGGCTAGGTAGAATACGGGTGGTTTTATGCAGTGAAGACGGATTGAGAATACGGTAGAATTGTGGTTACAGTATATATGAAACCTCCGCCTCTTATTCATGATATCTCTAATTCTCTGATATAGATAAAAGAATCATAGTATACAGCGATGGCCGTCTGTCTGGCTAAAGAGATATCCCCTGGCTATCCTTACCATGCAATGCCTTGGAACACTATAAACTAGACCATGCTAATTGAGTGAGTATCAAGGTGCCCACGAAAGTGTTGACAGAGTTTTGGCTATCACGTTTCTGCAGTTCCTCAAGACTATCCTCCGTTTCCTTCTGCTCATTCCACCCTTCACTCAACAATTGCCTCTTTTCAAAAATAAGCTGTATCCACCTTACACTAGACCTCACAACGCAGAAACTTATGCAATATACCAATAAGCGCCAAAACCTCCCTGCCATGAACGCAGCGAGCAACACCACAGGAATGAAAGTGCTCGCGAGCAACGCAAACTCGATTGCGTCCCGCACGCCTGCTCTCCGCATACCAGGCTCCACGTCGGCGAAGACGCAGAGAATTTCGGGAAGATGAAGCGTATTCTGGATTTGTCTGCCCCCGCTCACGATCGTCTTGTAGTGCGGCATGATGTGCCGGTCGATGACCACGATTAACTTGCTGCGGGTGACCCGAATAACGGAAGCGATGACCAGCAAGGCGCAGGAATGTATGAAGAAGCTAAGCATATTGATAGAGTGGTCTTTGCGAAGTTGAGGGCTGTTTCGATGTCGGATATAGCTGGTTGAAAGCAGTTGACGATAGTAGCTTGTTGTTGGAAGTTTGGTGGTGAGTTACTGATGATAATGTATGGGAAACATGAGCCTTACTTAAATGCGGGAGGGGCTTGAACAGATTTTCAGAGGCAGAATTTAAGTCAAGTCCTATGGAACGAATTTACGACGCCTACATCTGCGCCACGCGACGATCTTGAAGGATTGCTGAAATAATGATTCTAGCAAATCAGAACAACACTTAGAACTTGAAAGAGGCATATAGGCAACAATAAAGTCTTTAATGACATCATTGTTGCTTAAGCATAGCCAACTTATAAAATAGCATAGTTATCGTGATATACCATACACCATTTGTCTTAAACAGCATTCATTTGAGTATAACCCCTTTTCAATCCTCAAATAACCGTTTAATACGTGAAGGTGTATCAGTATATAATAATATAAGTACCTACATATCCTTCAATATTATGCATGTTCATAAAAGTAAGGAAGCCACAATGTTCGATGATAAAAGCAGCAGCTACGCTAAACTAGAATTGTCGTGTGGGAAATGGCGATGTATTGATTGATGTACCTAGGTACCCTGTATAGAAGTTTAAGATCTCCAAATTCCGAAGGTCAAGACCTGCCCGTCTTGGCTTTTCCCTGATCTCCACTACTACTACAACCTCACTTTCACTCGTTCACGTCAAATAGTAAACCATCCAATCATATGCCTAAGTCATGCGATCTCTATATGAACCCCTTGTCTTGGGCATGAGCGGCGTGGTCGACGCACCTGGTTGTTTGCCGCCGCCTCTCTACATTTGATTAGATCTTGTTTCTTGTTTTTTGCATGAGAGCTTTCCATCGATTTGAATGGACGGTTCCTTAATCATTCCCTCGCCGCATCAGGCATGTACATTGGTTCGATAGGTCTTCCCCGCCTATGTCGTGCCGGAGGCAATATTATATTGAAAGGGGTCCCGGTACCTGATCTTCAAGCTGGGCGAGGATCGTGGATCCTATTGGATCAAACACTTTTCCAAGATGGCTTCCCCGACGGTCTCGGCCCCCGTCCGATCTCGTGGCGACATGTCAATTCTTAGCCCAGCCTATGTTGGCTATCATCTGTTATATCGGGAAGGTCAGTAGGAAGTAAGTATGCAGGTAGGTCAGGTCCACGTCCCGGTGTAGAGAGCTCCTTCGGATGAAGGGCATATAGGTACTACGCATCGCGGTGTCCGTCAACAGGTCCGTCAACTTATATGCAATACCTCTCCGAGCTAAGGAAATCACATTCTTCTTCTTTCCCTTCTGATTACTCCAGCTGGTCGCTATAATCCAACGGGTGGATCGTACACGGGATCCCGTTTTCGTCTGCGGTTCCAGCTATACGGCTCTGTGTTGCCAGTTTTTTCACTAATACCATTAATAATGATAACTACCGAATGAGCAAAGGGCCCTATACCAAGTCGTGCTACTCCTAGTCATCCCGGCCCATCTGATGTGCAAATTCCCCGAGCCTGACACCTATCTAGCTTTATAAAGCTCTAATAACGTAGCACTATACGGCCGAACCTTTCCTTGACTAAGTGTTCTTTCGTCACACTCTCACCATGAAGCTACTCTCGCTCCTTACGGTTCTGAGCACCGCTGTACTCCCAGCAGTCGTTGTTTCTGCTCAGAAGCTTCCGCTATCGACGTCATCGCGATGGATCCTGGATGCTGACGGACAGCGCGTCAAGCTACGCTGTATAAACTGGGCAGGCCATCAAGAAGCCAACGTACCCGAGGGTCTGAGCAAGCAGTCTGTCGACTACATCGCCGATTTCATCCAGAAGCAGGGCTTCAACTGCGTACGCTTGACATACTCTATCGATCATGCCTTAAATCCGGATGTCCTGGTCTCGGACTCGTTTACCGCCGCTGCCGGTGCCGCCAACGTCTCGGCCACTGATATGAGTAGCACGTACACTCAAATCGCTGAGAAGAACTCGTTCGTCAACGGCGCGACCACGCGCGCAGTTTACGAGGCAGTTATCGCGGCGCTCTGGAAAAGGGGCGTGATGACGATTTTGGATAACCATGTTAGCAAAGCCAGTTGGTGCTGTGAGTTAGCCCCTTATTATATACTCAAGCTACACTCGAAAAACAAAGGGACCGAAATATAAAAGTACGGTGAAATAGAACTGACAACTCGATAGGCAACATCGACGACGGAAATGGATGGTGGGACGAAGGGTTCGGCTACAACTCCCTAAACAGCCGCTACTTCAAAACCCAAGACTGGCTAAACGGCCTCCAAGCAATCGCGACATGGTCGACCTCGCAACCAGGCGTAATCGGAATGAGTCTGCGCAACGAAATCCGCGAGTTCCTCCTCCAAGGCACGAACGGGCGAGCCGACTGGTACAACTTCATGACGCAGGGCGCGCAGCGCGTGCACAACGCAAACCCGGACCTACTAATCATCATGGGCGGGACGCAAAGCGCAACAGACCTAACGCACATCCGAATCAACCGCAACATCGACTGGAGCAGCTGGCAGGGAAAACACGTGTGGGAATTCCACGCATACTCCTTCACCGTGACCTTCGCGCTCGCGAAAGGCAACTGCGACATGCTGAAAGACGCGTACGGGCTCTTCGACGGGTTCGTGTTAGTCCAAGGAAAAGACTACACCGCGCCGCTCATCCTCTCCGAGTTCGGGTTCGGGATGACGGGGGGACCGAACTCGGGGCTCTCCGATGACGATAACACGTACTTCCAGTGCTTGCGCGATTACATCACGGGCAATGATGCGGAGTGGGCGCTTTGGGCGCTGCAGGGCTCGTATTATGTCCGCCAGGGCGCGGTGAATGCTGATGAGAGCTGGGGGCTTATGAATTCGGATTGGAGCGGGTTGAGGAATGCTAATGTTACGGGGTTGTTGGAGCCGATGTTTAAGGTTACTCAGGGGCCTTGAAGGGGGGGTTGGGATGATATTAGATGGGAGGGGAATTTGTGTGTGTATTTGTTTTTTCAGGATGTATATAGATGGATGGATGGATGGGTGGATAATGTTGAGGATGGTATAGGACGATGGATGGACATAGTACTTGGATAGCTTGGTTCAGATACCCCTATATTCACTGTGATGAAATGTAGTTTTAATGTCAACATTTATGATATAAGTTTTCCAAAGATAAAAGGGGTGCTAAGCTTTATGCCAAATATCTACGTACTTAGGTGCGTAGATACCCAGTCTTAATTTAGCGGGGGAGAAGGCGACAAGCATAAACTCACGAATTGAAAATCGAAGCAGACATGCATCAAGAGGTATATTACTCCCAGAATGCAACAATCATCATCCTTCTTCTCTTTCGCTGTTATCAACTTAAACTATCATCGTACTAGATGTATCCTCTAAAAGAACTAAATCAACCTATCCAATACTACGGAAGGAAGTAAGCCTCGTCGAACTGCGCCATCTCCGAGTCGTTGCTGTTGTCGAAGAACATCAGGTCGTCGAATGTACTATCATTAGCACCGCCACCCCCTAGGTCGAACATGCCGTCAGCACTGTTGCCGTCGCCGAGGTTGAATAAATCGTCGAGGTTAGTATCGGTTTTATCTTGTTCCTTAGGTTGCTGCTGCTGCTGCGCTGCCGCGTTGGCGTTCTGACCGCTATTCGTCGTGTTGCCCGCTTCTTGCGGCGCGAAAGTCGTTAGGTCGAATTCCTGGGTCGGCGCTGGAGGCGCGCCTGGCGCGTCGCTGGTAGATGGCGCGAGGGAAAACCGCATGTCCGTGAAGTTCGGCCCTTTGCCTCCTGGCGGGTTGGGTTCACTTGCCGCGGTGTTGGTAGGCATCATCATGGCATCCTGAGCAGGTGGCGCCGCTGGCGCAGGTTGTGGCTGTCTAACCATCTGCGGAGTGGGCACCGTTGACTGGGGTTTAGCCACAGCCATTGGTCCTGCGGTGGGTGGCTGAGGAGGTTGGAATCCTTGGGGCCGTGGGATCTGCGGCAGAGGGACTGGTGTTACCTTAGGAGGCTGGCTTGGCTTTGGTGTTGGCTTGGGCGTTGGCTTCGGAGTCTGTTTTGGTGAGGGTTTTACTTCGTTCCTCATCGGAGGAGTTGCCTTGACCGGAGGCCGAATGGCACCAGCCGGAACCCGGGGGGATGGTTTCTTGTCGTTAGTTAGGTCGACTACGTCACTGGACATACCCATGCCCATATCGGGGAAGGGGGCGGCTGTCTTGATCTCTTTCTTGGGAGCGAAAGCTGGGGTGCTGATGGTATGCGCTGCCGACGACGGCAGTTCCATCATCGGTGCTGGCGGCGCTATAGGCCGAGGGACGGGAATGGGAACGGGTGGGGGAGCCCGGGCTGCGCGTAGCTTCTCCAGATCCCTCAGGACGACGGCCTTCGCCCTTATCTACAATTTTTAATTAGCATTTAAGTTATCAAGGGGCAAATACATAAAAATGCTCACGATCTCGCTCTCAAGGTCATCCAAGGCATATTGATACGCTGTCAACGAATCTATTGCCTTTGTTTGCACTACGCCGCTAGCGATAGGGATGTTCTTCGGGCCTTCTTTAAGACTGGCCTTGAGATTTTTTCCGGTTTGCACGAGCTGATACGTTATTAGCCAATGTGTTGATGTATGAATTAGATAATATTACTTACCACTTCCCTAAACATTTGGTCTAGGACCTGTAGAGGATGTTGATTTGGGGCTGCCATTGCGCCTGCAGCTCTTCCAGGCTCCCTCCCACCGAATGATAAAAGTGTAGATCGGGTCGTTGTATTGAAAGGTGTATAATTAATTGTACACGTTTTCAAAATGAATGTAAAGCTAGATTAACTTGTGAGATGAGAATAAGCTCAATGGTAAGTTTAGTTGAAGAGTTTAGTTGAAGTTTAGAGGATAGATGTACCCACATTAATTAAGGTTGCCGTCTCTACACTAAAGCCTGGGCAATGCCTTGATTCGCTGTAGTTTCATTAGCGTCCCGCCTGTGCTTACCACAAGTGATGTGGCTGATAACTAGCTCCGGGGTCACATCTAAGTCACAATCTTAAGTTGTGACGAAACTCCAGGCACAACCGGTGAGGGCTCACGAGACCTACTATTGCTTGGTCTTTGATAAACACGTGTGTGATATATCCAGAAAGCTCACATTATTGTCAATTCACTAACGTCTGACTTGAATTGATGATAAATGAAAGACTTGCTTCTCACACAGATTCTTTGAGTAACTTACCTAGTATGTCTACCATAAGCTTGGTACCTAAATACTATTACATGTCTCCTTTCGATGCCTATAGGACTTATCTACATATCGAATCTTTCTTCACGTAGACCGTCTTTTATCTTGTAGTTTCATCAAGAATAGGGGAAATGTAGGTAGCTTTTCAAACAATCACCTAGCGCCTGAAATATTCATAATACATGCATTATATGGTCCTGTAACATCCCACAACCTATAAAAAGTTAGATTGGCAATTGAATAAAATTGTCACATCAAATGCTTAGCGAATTGCTTAACAGGAATTTGACCTATGGGAATAAAGATTCATTACGTACCACCTACCTGTAGGTACGGCAACTCCTGAAGCAGGCAGCAATGACTTTAAACGAGTATAGAGAGAAAGAAGGAAAACATCTTGATATCTCCAAGGCAGCTTACCTTTCTCATCAGTACATAGAATAAAATGGACCACCCCACGTTTATAAATTTAACGTCTTTCTATGTGGCTTAGCAGCTATTTTACTACCCAGCTGCCTACCCCGCTAGGCCTAAGAATCCTAGGCACATCTATGTACCTACATGCGCCTAAGGCAGATATGTAGCTACCTGGTAGCTGGGTAGGCCTTAAGCAGTATTCAGCAATTCAGCAAGGAAGGTACCCGCGAACGACAACAGGTAGGAAGACGGGAGTGTCCCACATATTTTGTCAAGGCTTCTCCACCTATCCACATCCACCTTATCCACCTATCCACATCCACCTTATCCACCTATCCATCAAACTCGTCTGAAAAAAAACCCAATCCACGCCGCATCAACTGGACCCCGTTTTACTTCTTCCTTCCTCCTCCATCTTCCCTATCGTGTGCAGAAATCTCACGTCTTGTCGGTGCCGTTGTGTGTTGAAAATCGGGGGACTCCTCCTTTCAAGGCAGTTTCCTTTTTCTCTTCCCTCTCATCTTTGTTCTCGTCGTCTCGTCACCGTGTCCTCGTCTTTTTTTCCTCGGTCAAGGTTCACTTTTTCTTTTTCCATTACAGCAAGTCGGTTGGATTGCCTGAGGCGTTGCATCTGCATACCTTCTTGTGCACCCGCCGTTGCTACCCACATCCCGCCGACGCAGCATCACTGTAAAAAATATTAAAAAATTAAAGTGAACATCAAGTCTTGGTCTATTCCAGTCGGTCACCCTTCTCAATCTTTCAGGTTGCGAAGCGAACCTCCTCCATTGCGCGCGTCTTCGTCTAGAATCGCATTGTATCGGCGTCACATTTCGAGATCGAGTTCTCCATTTCGAGGAATCTCTATTCCACAGCTCTGCGTCCTTACGTCTCCTAATCGTCGTCGCGCATTTCCGCCTTTCCGCCTTGCCGCCTTTCCACCTACTATTTACTACGATAAGAACGATAACACAAACAACACCGATAGATTCGTCTTCGTCAACTACAAGCGCGCGATCGTGAATTTAGTAAAAGTTTGGGACTAGGATCAATTATTCAATACCCTCCACCTCGTTATTCACCACTTCGTTTTTTTTGTTCTCGATCCGATCTGAACGAAGTTACGACAACTTCTTAACGAGAATTGACAATCTTCCGATATTTTTGTTCAGAACACCGCAACTGCAACCGCAACCGCTAGACCCCTCTTTTTTTTCGCACATCGACCATTTTCACCTACTTAATTTTTCGCGTCTTCGGCAACAATCCATTTTTTGCAAGACAATCGCATTTCATCTTGTAACTGAAACTAGCAATCCTTTGGTTGATAACTTGTTCACCATGGCCGACGCACCAGCTGCTTCACAGCTTCCTCCGCCTCCCCAGCCGAATGCAGGCGCGCCGGGTTTTGATGGCCAAAACGGACAGGCCAACCCGGCTCACATGCCACCGCCTCCCCTCCACATCCCACCCAACACGAACCCCATCCCTACCGCTATCACATCTCCCATGTCGGCGGTTGATAAAGGTTCTGTCATGTCACCAAGCAGTGGAGGGCCCTTCCCGCGCCGTGCTGCGCCCGAACCTAACAAGCGCGCCCTGTATGTCGGCGGCCTTGACCCTCGCGTTACGGAAGATGTTTTGCGACAAATCTTCGAGACTACTGGTCACGTTCAAAACGTGAAAATCATTCCGGATAAGAACGTAAGCTCAATCCTGGTTCCTATCCGGGCATCATGTCGACAACGAACTCGCGATAGGAAGACACCATTGTCAAAGCGCTAACTTTTTAACAGCAGAAGGGTTACAACTATGGTTTCGTCGAGTACGATGACCCCGGCGCAGCAGAGCGTGCTATGCAGACGCTCAATGGCCGACGTGTCCATCAAGCCGTAAGGCCATCCTCTCATTGGCTTGGAAGGTCACAAACTGATAGGTGCTTTATAGGAGATTCGCGTAAACTGGGCCTATCAGTCTAACACGACTAACAAGGAGGACACATCGAGCCACTTCCACATCTTCGTTGGTGACTTATCCAACGAAGTCAATGATGAAGTTCTGCTACAAGCTTTCTCGGCCTTTGGAACCATCTCGGAAGCTCGCGTCATGTGGGATATGAAGACCGGTCGTTCTCGTGGATACGGCTTTGTAGCTTTCCGAGATCGCGCGGATGCTGAGAAGGCGTTAAGTTCCATGGACGGAGAGTGGTTGGGCTCACGCGCTATTCGTTGCAACTGGGCCAACCAGAAGGGGCAGCCTTCAATGGCTCAGCAACAGGCGATGCAAGCTATGGGCATGACGCCTACTACCCCCTATGGCCACCACCATTTCCCAACCCACGGCATTCAGAGCTACGACATGATCGTCAACCAGACCCCAGCTTGGCAGACGACTTGCTACGTCGGCAACCTAACCCCCTACACTACCCAAAATGATGTTGTCCCTCTTTTTCAGAATTTTGGTTATGTAACCGAATCACGATTCCAAGCCGACCGTGGATTTGCATTCATTAAAATGGACACCCACGAGAACGCAGCGATGGCCATTTGCCAACTAAATGGATACAACGTCAATGGGCGACCTCTAAAGTGCAGTGTAAGTAGGACCCAGACCACTTAGTATGAACTAGTAGGAGAATGAGTGATATTAATAACGTGATAGTGGGGTAAGGACAAGACTCCTAACGCCCAGGGCGGGTTCGATCCTTCGCAGCAGGCGTTCAGCCCTCAGAGCGCTCAAGCATCTGCGTACCCTGGCACTCCCTCGACATACTTCCCTCAGTATGGAGGTTAGTAATTTCTATCTTCTGTATATATATATCACCGCCGTACTAATTCCTTTTCTAGGTCAATTCAGCGGTCAGCAACAGGCGTATGGTGGCCCCCCGGCTCAGTCTCCCGCTGGCTACGGAGCCCAACCGATGGGCTACGGCGGTCCGCCAAGTGCCGGAGGCTACGGCCGCGGCCAGCAGCCGCCCAACCAGCCATGGACCCAGCCGCCGCCGGCGCAAGGCTTTCAAAGCGGCTATCCCGGCTACCAGGGTTAGAATACCAGGGTTAGTGGGGATAGGGGCAGTAGAAGGGGTAGAAGAGGTAGAGGACGCTGATTTCTTTGGTGGAACATTGGGTTGTACGGAGGTCCTCCAAACGTGTGCACTAGGTGTATGCTTGGTCCTGGTTTAGTCGCTTTCTGTTGATTGAGCTCACGCATGATGAGCATAGGCATCCCTAAGTATTTCTTGATGGGAGATGCGCCATCTGTTATGGGGGATTTTCTCTTAGATCGATGCATTCCATTTTCTGCTTCCTACTTCACCCTATTTTTCCTGCCATTCTTCTCTTGCTGGTTCTCCATGGTTGTGATTTTAACTTGGGTTCTTAAAAACCCAAGGCATTCATGTCGTCTGTTTCCATTCTGAAAAGAAAAAGTTTCTGGCATTTCCTTGAAAGCTTCTTTGATACCTCCAAGCATCTATTGATACGGTCATGATGACACCCGTCTTTTTTTGTCTGTCGGGCTTAACGAAGTTACGGTGCTGCTGTTATTCATTTCACACCACTTCACTTCACCCCCTTAAAGGCTGTGGGAGCAGGCTTCTTCTTGATGGCCCGTGAGGAATAAAATTTACTTTTGGTTGGGAAAAGCTAAAGCAGAGGATGCTGTGATGCCTCTCCGAAGGGAGATTGGATTGTATGTATGTAGTCCTAAGTGAGTACTGTGGTTCGCAAAGGCGACCAGTTTGTAGCTCCTGAACAAAGATGATGATAAGTTAAGTTGAGTGCTACCTAGTAGCATATTCCGATGATTGCTAAATGTTCTTTCAAACTCGGCAAGCGCAATTGAGTTGCCATTTTAAAAATCTGATTTGTGGCTGTTTCAAAAGCGCCATGGCTTTGGTCATGAACGTCTATTGGAGATTTGTGACGTTGAGGGTTTTTAAACGGCTTCAAAGAATTCGTAATCGTAAGCAAATTGGCGAATCAGATTAGAAACATATGTAACAGCTAGAAACATTTTATTACCCTCGGACTCTTCGCAAAGAGCAAAGTCTTCGCAATTCAAAACTCCAAAACCATAGCGTCTGTATACCACATGATACTAATACCACCTACATACACGATTACATCTCGGGCCTCGGCTCGAGAGACGAGATGTGACTGTTACAATTCCGGCCGAAGGAGAAACCCCTTGCTCGTCTGGCGTCATTTGGGCTCGGAGCGTTGCGATCATGCCCAACCTAATCTATTAAACCACAAGGGGATCACCCTTGCTTTTTTTGGACAATTCGATTTTCTCAGCTCTCTTTGGAAAAGACGTAATATCCTTAAATTCGGATATCCCTAAAGATATTTTTTCTCTCTATGTAAATGCCGGGATCGAACGTTCACTAAATAGACCGGTTTTATCTAAGAGGTCGACGGTTTAGTGGACGGTGCGTGTATGGTCGGGAACGCTTAGACGCGCCACCGGCCGGACCGGTAAAAGGTAGTATCGCAGTCAGATCGACGAATGTGTGCAATGCAGCACACAGAGAAGGGTCGAATGGGTTTGGCCGGTTGGGTCTGGGCTAATATGCTAATCTACGTATGGGCTGCCTATGAGAAGGCCCCAGTCCGGCACGACGTTCGCGTCCTGTGGGACCGGGCGCCCACTCTCTGGCCACTCCTGCTGACTCTCTACCAACATCGTTGTCATCATCAGACGCGGACGATGGATGTTTGATGATATCCAGGACTACCTAATTAGGGAGGCAAATATGGCCCGGGGAAGGGAGGGTTGATAATAGGGTACGTATGCTTGGGATTAGTAGGGAAATAAGAGATCATCGAGAAGAGAAAGGCCGGTTCTCGCTTGTTGATATATCACATCATTATCGTCTTCCGCTTGTAAGTGTTTTAGAGGTCTCAAAGGGTAATTGCGAAACACGGGTTTCCTTGCTAGATATGTCGTCCTTTGCTCCTAGAGCTTCGTAGTCGATTACCTACCACCATACGTATGTAAAGTGATGGTACGGCATGTGGCACATACAAAGATAGCCAAGCTAACCTAAGACACGAAGCTCTTAGCTTTGGCGTTTTCAGTTCCAAAGAGCACTTGAGCTCATCGAGGACGGTCGTCGCTTTGTCTATTGGCTTCGTCGTGTTGTTGGTCGAAGCACCTGGAAAGCCAACCTATGATATCTTTGTAATGACGAGCCTAGTGCGATCAAGAGAACCGGCGTCATCATATATACCTAGGTATATATAATTTCTTGACGTCCTTGTTGCTATTAGGTAGGTAGGTATGTATAGAGGTACCATCTAATAATAACTTCTCGTCTATTAGGAATGTAAGTACCCATACCATTTACAACCCACGAGTTCGTTTAGGTTGAAGAAAGTAGATTGTCGATTTATATTGTTGCGATCCTAATTCCTGGTGCCAATCCCGCAATCTCAATTCCACTCATGCATATGATTCCGTCGTTTGTAACCATCGCACAGAGGGTACTGTAACCATGCACGCAACGTGAGATGCGCTTTTGGTTCTGGTGCTAATATTGATACTAGTTCTGATGTTTGTTCTTGGAATCGTTCTTCTGTTCGCTTTTTGATACTTTATATACTGCTTATTATATGTTTGGTTGGTTGATTGATGTTAAATATTAGTTAGACTGTTGAAACTAGATAGGTAGGTGTAAGCATGCTCCCTCTCTTCTAACCAATCCCCCAAGAAAGATTGGAATTGTTGAAGTTTGTTTATTATTTATTGTTGCTGCATATAGGTAAATAATACTATGCATACACAGCATAAGACTTGGATAATAGCTAATAATGGTCGGACCAATGATTTGGTAAGATTGTTCATCTCCGTCACGCCTTCATGTTTTGTGCTTTGTGCTACGTGGATATTCGATCGGTCCCCCCCTCCTTCCGCCCTGTTGCGTTTGCGATCACTAACGCCTTGGCTGTTGCTCGTGGTTCTTCCCCTCCCCCCAGTGAGTTCAGTGCCTTAATTAGTACCCAATCCACCCAACCTAAATGGTGGAGGTACATCCATGGGATCAATGATGCATCTGAGAGAATTGACACAGGTACCTATCTAATACCAGCAACGTAGGGCAAACTTGCACCTATCCTTAGGTACCAAGAATCCACAAAAAAAGGAAGAGAAGAGGAAAAGAAAGGGAAAAAAAAGCAATCTTGCCCAGCACTCAGGCAGTCCTGGGCAGCTGCAGGTCACCAACTTAACACCCATGAAATACCTGAATACCTAGGTCCATGGGTCTAGTTGGTATGGCTTATCTTTTGTCCCTCCATCACTCTTTTCAGTCCATCTCACACACTTTCTCGTCCTGACTGACGTACCCGCCATCCAATCCCCAAACCTCACGACACACAATTTGATTCTATTCTATTACCATACTACTATTCTCTCCTCTTTTTTTTCTTCTTCCTCCCTCTACCTTTTCTTTCGTATCGTCAATTTAGTACGAATCAAAATAGTCCATACCGAGAGAACTCCCCTACCTGTTTACTCTCTATAAATTCCTCATTATGGAATACAGTACCTAAATCCTAACTCATTCAGCCTACTGCATCGAGTTAACAGTTAACCAACCATACTAAAAAACCTACTACAACCCACTGTATATCGCATTTGGGTACGACTACAGCCCTCGCCCATTCATCATCCTTGTCCTTCCCCATTCTCGGCCAACCTTTTTTTTTTTTTCTCTTTTGTCTCCTGGTCCAAACACTCGACTCACACAAGTCAGCCAGCACGAACTAGAGACGAGTGATTAGCCAAGCCCGCATCCTAACATTAGGTAGCGTAGTGAGCTCTTTGCTCGCTCCCCTCCTCTACTAATGCGCGTCTGACTAAGGAACTACGACGACAACAATCCTTTGGCCGGAATTGGCCATATTCGTATTTCCCCAATTTATCTCTACTCGACCGACTTCATCTATCGTCAACTTCCCCCGCTGGACCTACTTCCGCGACTTTTCTTTCCTTTTTTTTTTTTACCGCCCAAACGCCATGGATCAATGGCAGGGCTATTCCGACACCGCCGGCGGTCCTCGAAGATTCAACGGCGGTAATCAAATGACTCCAGGAAGAGAGTATGGCCAGCAAACCACTCAGGTACAGCCGCCTGTCGGATTTAAATACGATCAATACCAAGGAGCGCTGAATTCGCATGCTTCGCAACAAAGCGCGACATCCCCCATCACGACCCCGCAGCTTCGCGATGGGAACGGCGACGTTCCTATGCAAGATGTCCATGATCCATATGGAAGCATAAAGTATCCCATGCGACCACATCATCAGTCGCACCTATCTGGCGGCCGACCTGGAAACCTTCATTCGCCTTCCGAGCCCTCTTCCGCTGCCCAGCGGTATTCGCCTATGGAAGTGTTATCGCCAACCTCACCATATGCACCCAAGTCGGCAACTAATCAGGCTCAATTTGCAGCGCCCCATACCCAGCGCCAGTCGCCTACTCGAGGTGACTATCAGTCTCAGAGCTCGTATTATACCCGGCAGAATTCTCAACTTCCTCCCATCACGCCATATGCCAATTCTCAAGAGAACTACCCGTCGTCCGCCGTTTCGGCCTTGGATGGTGCCTTTGCTAATGACCCAAAATCACCGAGAAGGACGCTTCAACCTGCTCCTAGCGTGCCGTTAGAAAAACGGCCGGTGCCCCAATTTAAGAAGATTGGCGCCGTAACAGACTTGCGGCCCAAGGTTAACGCTCAGCCACCGTTTCGTCGCGCAAATCCAGAGGGCGGTTTTATAAGTGTATGATGACTTGCTTGTTATTATCAAGTATCTCTACCAGTGTACTGATTCTAATTATTTTCGCAGCCCCTCCAAGCTCTCACTGTCCACCTGCCCGCGACGTATCGCATATGCAATCCGAACTTCAAATACGAGTCTTCTCGTAATCCCCGTAGAGTGCTTACCAAGCCGAGTAAAGGAACGAAGAACGATGGATATGATAACGAGGATAGCGATTATATTCTATATGTCAATGACATTTTAGGTTCAGAGGAGGCCGGTCACAAGTTTGTTGCGCCTTTTAATACATATGCTCTTAATAGCTATGGATACTAATTAATCTTCTTCATAGGAACCGTTATCTCATATTAGACGTTCTCGGACAAGGTACCTTCGGTCAGGTCGTCAAGTGCCAGAACTTGAAGACCCAAGAGGTTGTCGCTGTTAAGGTTATCAAGAACAGAACAGCGTATTTCAACCAGAGCATGATGGAAGTTTCCGTCTTGGACTTGGTAAGGCTCGAGCTTCGTACGATCAAGCTACCTATGCCATCATGCTGACGAATATACAGTTAAATACAAAGCTCGACAAGAACGATGATCACCATCTACTCCGACTAAAGGATACATTTATCCACCGACAGCATCTTTGCTTAGTATTCGAATTACTCAGCGTGAACCTTTACGAGCTTATCAAGCAGAATCAGTTCCGAGGTCTCAGTACGACTCTCGTACGAGTATTCGCGCAACAGCTTCTCAACGGACTCGCTCTCCTGAACAAGGCGCGTCTGATACACTGCGATTTGAAACCGGAAAATATCCTCCTGAAGAACCTCGAGAGCCCGATCATCAAGATTATAGATTTTGGATCGGCGTGCGATGAACGGCAGACGGTGTACACGTACATCCAGTCCCGATTCTACCGATCACCTGAAGTATTACTAGGTCTACCGTATTCTTCGGCAATCGACATGTGGTCGCTCGGCTGTATCGTAGTCGAGCTATTTTTAGGATTGCCACTATTCCCAGGTTCGTCCGAGTACAACCAGGTCTCAAGGATTGTCGAGATGCTTGGCAACCCACCGAACTGGATGATCGAGGTCGGCAAGCAAGCCGGCGATTTCTTCGAGAAGAGGCAGGATGAATTCGGTCGAAAGACATACCATCTCAAGAGTATGGAGCAATACTCTCGAGAACGTGGAACGAAGGAACAACCTAGCAAGAAATACTTCCAAGCGAGCACCCTACCCGAGATTATCAAGTCCTACCCAATGCCGCGAAAGAACATGAAACAGAGCGAGATCGACCGAGGTAAGGATAACTTGATTTAGCAAGTAATCTCTTGTCGGCTAACTTTGCTTCTAGAAATGAACAACCGAGTTGCCTTCATCGACTTTGTCCGAGGCTTGCTAACCATCAGCCCCTTGGAGAGATGGTCACCCCAACAGGCCAAACTACACCCCTTCATCACTCAGCAGAAGTTTACCGGACCCTTCGTTCCGCCGATGAATTTGAAGTCTAGTTCTCTTAACCGCTCCCCGGCTCCTGGAACTCAGCAGCAGCAACAGGCAGCCGAGCTCAGCAAGCAAAGGGCACAACAAGCGCAGGCTCAAGCTCAAGCAGCTGTCCAAGGAGCTTACGCGATGCAGCCAGCCCAATACCAAGCAACTCCGCACGCACAGCCTTCGTTGTACGGGGGCAATGGTCTGTATACTCCTGGAGCCAGTCATGCTGGCGCCCCGCCGCCTTACTCTGCCCAACAATCCCCCTACGGCCAAATGGTTATGGGACAACCACCCGCGCAGATGCCGCCGGCCAATTATGGCGTTCCGCAGCCGAATCTATACCAACAAGCTACGGTCCGAGCAGGTCGTCAACGCGCATCAACAATGGATCAGCAACAAAGCGGTATACCAGCCGCCATCCAGCGAGTTGCTAGCCACCTCGATCCCAGCCAACCTATCAGACTACAACCTAGTCCAGCATACTATCCACCGCCTGCCGATGGCATGGGTCTCACAGACCCTGGAGCAGGTAGGGTAGCTGGTAGAAGAGATAGTAGAGCTCAAAGAGGGGGTGCCAGAGGTAACCGAGATTTCATTCGTAATCTGGAGGAGAGGACTCTCGAAGAAGGATTCATGGGAAGTGGAAACCAAAGTCCATGGGCGTGAAGAATGTTCCGTGCGATAATGTCCCACGAATCAGACGCGCATGTATCACCATATCAAGACAATTCGGTAAGAACCGAACCGTCTAGGTTCAACAAGTCCTCACTCGGTTGGTAGCCAGTTACGGTGGCCTTCGATATTGGGATACCTCTGGGATGCTTTTTTCACAGCTCTACGTTAGCCTATCCGCCCTATATTTTGGGGACCAGATAGGCATGTATGATACCCACAGAACATAGGGTGCAACTCTAGATTGCCCAAAAAGTTTTATTTTCTTCCTCTTTTTTCCCTTCACTGCTCCAAGTACCGCACAAGCGGGAATTGATTACTTCGGGGACGCACATAGCATTGGCAGGGAGCAGTTCAACGAAGCCTCTACGTTTACATAGGTTGAAGGGTAGGGTAGGCAGGACAGGGCTGGGTCGTCTACAACAGAGCATGCCCACGGTGACGATGCATGTTAGGTAGGGGATACGCTTGTCCCCTAAATTACGCGAGACGGTCTCAGGGCGCGGATGAATAGCCACCACGGAGTTCATTTGCGACGACGTTTTACGCGTACGATTCTAGGGACGATGAATGCGGACTCCCCATCTCGACTGTGTCCTAGCACTTCCCCAAAACAAGGGCGTCGTTCACAACCATCGCATCGGAGGTCACGAATAGATGACGAGCTAGGAGAGGTAAGTAGGTAGGGGGTGGAAGGAATGGAATTGCACGAGACTTTGCCTGGGGACTAAGGACGGGTTGCTAGCGGCAGCGTCGGCGGTTTTTCTGCTTTTTTTTTCTACGGAGGAGATGGTCTAGTGTACCTAGGCTTGTAAATACATGCATCGCAGACCCCGTCGTGGGAGGGGCTGTGGATGCTTGCTTCAACAGAGACACTTCTGTGTGCTTGAATGAATGTGCGCTTTGTGATTGATGGGATGTGATATGTGTGAATGCGCACTTAGGGGTGTCTGGGTGGTTAAAGGGGGGTGGGGATTGTGGGTGGAGGGTGGGTGAGTGAAGTTAAGGGGATGGGAGAGGTGAGACGGGAGATGTTTATTATGTCATACCAGTTAGACGGTGAAATGGCAGGTTCGTATACTTTCATGTCTCGTCCTATTATGTATAATCTTGGAAGTGTTCTCGTTCTTGAATATAAAGAGTGATGAGAAAAGACGAACAGAAGAATTTACCTAGGGACAGGACTTGTGACGATTTCTTTTTTTCACTTCGTCCCACGTTCAATCCTCTGGGGATCAATCACGATATTAATCTTATGTAGGTATTTCCTATAGAAAGAACCATCATCACCGAGTCCCTGGAAGAAAGGGGAGCTCTTGCCCGGCAATTAGACTACAAAGTGGGAGGAAGGGGAAGTGGAAAAGGAAGGAGAAACACTGCCGTTAAGTGGAAGCTCTAAATTTGGATCGCGAGATACAAAGAGGGTCCAGATTGATAGTTTCATAATGGCATACACATCTCACTCATCTTCACCTTCAAGCACACACACATTTCACGCAGAACAAGCCAAACCCCATCATAAAACAAAGCCAATGCACAATTCTCTACATACACAACCATCAGCTAAGCTACCTAAAGCACACATCTACATGTACATAGGCAAGCCTAGTATCTCTGACGAGGCCCCCATGCCTTCCACTGACTCCTCATCCCCATTACCACCTCCGGTCGAGGTCACCCATCGTAGTAGTAGTAGGAAAAGTCTATCTCTCTCCCCTCTTCGAGATCGACTTTCCATCTACCCACCCATCCATCCATCCGACATTCAAAAAAGCAGGTTGCCTTTCTCTCCTCTCCTCTTCTCTTCTTTTCTATTAGTACAATTGCAAGTAGGAACTTTCGTCATTATCTGTCTCTGTTTTGCATGTTGCGCGACACCTAGTACCTCAGTGTCACAACCCAATATAGATCCCCCCCCTATAACAGAGACGATTGCGGAAAAGTGGTATACCTGTGATCTGGTTTCCGACAAGGGGCAATCGCATCCATGAATCCGTCTACCACGATTGACAATGCTGGCAGATGTGATCTACCCATCCAGTCGGATTGAACGGGCAGTATCGATAATTGCGATACTGATGATAATAGTCATTATGGTAATCATAGTGGTAGTCATTCTGATAACCGTTATCATAACCATTACCATTATAATTACCATAATAATTACCATAAGAACCACTATGAGAGTCAACATAGCCATAGCCATAGCCATAGCCACTGCCGCCGCCGTAGACATTGCTGTAGCTGTCACCGTAACCAGCCAGGTAAGCCCCACCATAACCCGCACCGTAGTCATTGACGAAATCCTTGTTGCTTGGTTTTACATAATCCGTCGATTTGTCAGGTGCCCGGCGATTCTACCTACCGGTGCGGAATCCTCTGCCTCGACGACCATCATTGCCACCGGTAGCCTTGGGCACCATCTTATCACTGTAAAGACCTCCGTTTGAATACGAAGCGTCTTGGTCATCTGTATCCATAAGATCGTTAAAACCCATTCGTCCATCAACTACTACATTGCCTCCCTGTCGAGTCTCGTGGTCACGTTGATCGCGTTGGGCTCGAGGACCGGTTGGAGGTGTATGCGTAGGCGTGAAGGAGTCGCCGGGCTTCATGTACACATGCAATGTTTTTCCATCAGCCTGTTGCTTTGTTAGTTCATCGAGTATCAGAGTCTTAGGGGTGATACTAACAGTCTGGTTGTTGAACTGTTGAATGACTTGAAGCGCTCCTTCCTTGCTCTCGAACGTAATCTCAGCTATAATCAAGGGGTGAGTTTTGAGGATCCGGCAATTGCTGATCAGGCCGCCAACGGGGGTCATAACGTTCTCAATGTCGGCAGCAGTGGTTCCCGGCGCAAAGTTCTGAGCCATCACTACGAAAGGTCCCGCAGAACCTTTAATCTTCATGCCCTGTCTTGACGGGCCAGTTGGTGTTCGTTGCCAATTGATCTGTTGATCAGCTGTGGGAGAAGAGGTAGCACGCTCAAGAGCATTGCGAAGCAAAGCGGTGCGTTTAGGTGTACGACGCGGTGTTGTCTGAGTTCGAGAGATTGGTGTACCAGGTGCACGAATTCTGGACGCTAGTGAATTCGGGTCTTTCTGAACCCTGGCGCCTCTACCGCGCGCATTGTGAAGATCGTGCGTCCATTCGTTATTGACGTTGCCAGCAGGGATATGGGAGGTCAAAGACTGGCGCTGCGCAGAATGACAAGTTAGCTTTCAACATTGAACATCCATCTATAAACAACGATTTGAGTAGATTATATCATACCTTTTTGACTCCTACGCGACTTGCCAATGAACCTCCACTGGGCGCACTGGCTCGGCGACTGCTATCTCGCTTAAAGATACGTGCAGCAAGATCCTCATTGGCCTTGCGCTCACGGCCTAGTCAAAACATTAGCTTGTCATGTTTCCCATTTGTAGATGAGTTGTGATGATAGAGTAGTTTCTCTATGAAACCCAGTATGAATTCACTTACCAGCATGGATAATTTTCTCGAAATCGGTTGCGTGCTGCTTGGGAGTGCTTTGCTTAGGCGTGTTCGGCTTAGAGTTGTTTGACTTCGCCATGGTCTCTTCGTGAGGGTTCGTCGTGAGTTCTGCAACCAATAACGTGAAGGAATAATAGCAATGGAGAGAAAACTAAGGTTGCAATTTAATTGCAAATGCGACGGTATGGGTAGAGTAAGCTTTGAGGGATTAGCAGTTAAGACAGCCTAATTGATCCCGGGCGAGATATCAGACGTCTTTGAGATTGAAAGTTGAAAACCGTTAGAAAAGGGCTGAGCTTGACAACTTCAATAGATAATGGACAGCTCGAGGAGTGGAGCTAACGACGGCTGCGAAAGGATGAAAGTTGCAAGGTTTAGAAAAAAAGCGCGAACTTCAGAAAGGGTCGCGCGTCTAATCAATCAAATTATGGAACTGCACATATGTGGGACAGGTGGGGCAAACCAATCGTCTTGGCACGCACATTAGTGAAATGTACACAGGTACCTCCGAGATACATTGCCCATTCATTAAGTAAGCAGAAATATTGGAACCCGGAGCTTGGCAGGGCTTGCAGCTGGGAAAGAAACTAGCGGCAGCCACAAAAGATACGTACTCCAAGCGATTAGGGTCAACGGGTTGAGGCGCAACCCACACAAACTTTCTACATTGAAGGAAAATTGTCGGGTCTCTAATTTCGGGCGCATTTTCCAAATTCTTCAATCACCCAATTTACTCTAAACATCCATTCTCTTTCAACATCGCGAATTACGCACAATAGACCAGCACAATGGGTCGCGTGGTATGTCCATACTTCTAATATACTTCAATCAACTTATTTGGAATATCTACTAATCAATGCGAACAGATTCGTAACCAGAGAAAGGGTGACGGTGGTATCTTCAGTAAGTTTTCGCCGGCAACGCCTCTCAATCTTACAATTCGCATCGATTACAACAGTCGACTACGAGCAACTTACTTTTCCTCCCACGAACTATTTAAACTTACATTCAATTTCTTCTAGCCGCCATCACCCGTCTGCGAAAGGCTCCCGCCAAGTTCCGTTCGTTAGATTATGCTGAGCGCCATGGATACGTACGAGGTGTGATCAAGGAGATCATCCACGACCCGGGTCGTGGTGCTCCTCTCGCCCGTGTCGTCTTCCGATCTCCCTACAAGTTCAAGCAGATCACCGAAACCTTCATCGCCAATGAGGGTATGTACACCGGCCAATTCATCTACGCCGGCAAGAACGCCGCCCTCACCGTCGGCAACGTCCTCCCCCTCGCCTCGATGCCCGAAGGTACCGTCATCTCCAACGTAGAGGAGAAGGTTGGTGACCGAGGAACTCTTGGCCGAACCTCCGGCAACTACATCACAGTTGTCGGCCACAACCCCGATGAGGGCAAGACCCGTATCAAGCTACCTTCCGGTGCCAAGAAGGTTATCAGCAGCAGCTCCCGAGGAATGATCGGTATTGTTGCTGGTGGTGGCCGAACTGACAAGCCTCTCCTAAAGGCTTCGCGTGCTAAGCATAAGTTCGCCGTCAAGCGCAACAGCTGGCCCAAGACTCGTGGTGTTGCCATGAACCCCGTCGACCATCCTCACGGTGGTGTAAGTAGCATTGATCCTGACAAGATATATAAGAATAGGGAAACGCTGACATTTACTCCCAGGGTAACCATCAACATATCGGTAAAGCCTCCACAATCTCCCGATACGCAGCACAAGGTCAAAAGGCGGGTCTTATTGCGGCGAGAAGAACGGGTCTGCTACGTGGTACCCAGAAGACGAAGGAGTAAAATGGGTTATCCAGGTCATGGTTCATCAAGGCGGTTGGAGTTTTACTTGATTGCGCTTTGCATCTCTCTAGGTACTGGTGAGCTATGATAATGAGATAGGCTCAATGGTAGTACCCGGCATGAAAGCATTTATGCGTATCCTTTTGATTGACAAGCATGGATCCCGTGAAGTTGATTAAGGAGAGCTACAGTCTGATAAACCGTAGTTCTATGTCATCGGGAGGAATCCGATCGAGTTCGCCTGATACTCGGTATGTGTGTATACTACCACCTAAATAGATACATACATGTCCGAACGAAGAATAAGTGGAAATTATCCCACAGATGAATTAATTGCACTATGGTCGATTCTAGCGTAACGAGATCACCTGCGGCGAATGGAACCATACCCTATGTATGTATTTCTAGGGACATGATATCATACGATAGCTCGGCTCCGCGCTCCGGATTCTAGGGCGAACCTGTATTAAGGAAGCTTCCAGTTACACGCATAGTAACTTAAAACTGGACATCGCATCCCAACCGAGCAAGCGCTACTATCACTGCCTATTATATAAAATACCTATATGACCAAATAATTGGCAGGAATCATCGGAATTTATTTGAAGTTTCCAAATTAGATATTAATACGCCGATATGCCGTTCTCCACATCCTTACCCTCCGGGTTGATCCCTCGGACAATCTCAAAAGCGTTGCGGTCCTACTATAACCCCACCAACACCCTCTGTGGCCCCTGTAGCACCTATGCGCTCTCTTATAAAATCTCACCCCGCCAAAGTAAGGGTTCTTTTCCAACACCTACGCCGCATTTTTCCCCTCCCGCAACCGCTGTAAGACGACGACGTTTGTATTCAACCATGGCCGCCAACAAGGAATTCGCGCTCGTGTGCTTGGAGAACCCTCTTCTCGGTACGTTAGCCTAGGATTTTTCTATGAATCAAATTCAATTGAGTGAGCTTCGGCAGAGAAAAGAAGAAAATGAAAAGCCCCGCCTCAAAATGTAGAACGAGGGGCGTCTTACCCGAAGCTCCGGCAGAGAGTTCAAAAGGCTATAGACTCAAACTATAGCTTGGGTTTATAATATTTGGACTTTTCTACTATTTTTGAAATTATACAGTTGTATACATACCGAATTGCTTCTAATACACAATGGGTTCACAGATATCCAGGCTGTAGGCACTGCAGACCTTCTCAAGAAGTACAATCTCAAGGATAACGATGCGATTCTAGCGTCTCCAGAGCACATCCCGATTTACGACGATCTGCTCGAGAACTTCGACGCCAAGCTAATTGCTGGTGGCGCCGCTCAGAACACCGCCCGTGGTGCCCAATATATCCTCCCTCCTAACAGCGTCGTCTACTTCGGTGGTGTCGGCAACGACAAGTACGCTGATATCCTGCGGGATGCCGTCAAGCAGGTTGGTCTAAGAGTCGAGTACCGTGTTGATCCCAAGGAACCCACGGGAAGGTGTGGTGTGGTTATCACGGGGCACAACCGAAGCTTGTGCACCGATTTGGCTGCCGCCAACCACTACGATCTCGACCATCTTAAGAGCCCTAAGATCTGGGAACTCGTCAAGAATGCCCAGTTCTACTACATCGGTGGTTACCACTTTACTGGTATATATCCCCCCCCTCTACCCCCTTTTCTTTGACATGGCTGCTTGGGAACTTTGCTGACAAACTAACCTAGTCTGCCCACCCGCTATCCAAGCCCTAGGTGAGGAAGCCGCTGCCAACAACAAGACCTTCGTTGTCAATGTCAGCGCGCCTTTCATCGCCGAATTCTTCAAGGACCCCCTTGACGCTTCCTCCAAGTACTGGGACTACGTCATCTGCAACGAGTCCGAGGCCGCCGCCTACGCCAAGTCGCACTCGCTATCTGTCGCCGAGACCGACGTTCCCGGCATCGCTAAGGCCCTCGCCAACCTTCCTAAGGCCAACACCAAGAAGCCCAGAGTAGCTGTTATCACACAAGGCACTCTCCCCACTGTCGTTGCTGTCCAAGGCCAGGACGAGGTCAAGCAGTACCCCGTACATGCTATCGATGCCTCCAAGATCAACGACACGAATGGTGCCGGTGATGCCTTCGCTGGTGGCTTCGTGGCTGGTCTTGTCCAGGGCAAGTCCCTTGAGGAGAGCGTCGATTTGGGACAGTGGCTCGCGCGGTTGAGCATCCAGGAATTGGGACCTTCGTAAGTTCTTTCTTGCTACCATACATTCCTGGCTCTTAATAAGAATGTTACTAATGATGGACTCCTTTCCGTCAAACAGATACCCCTTCCCTAAGCAGACCTACGAGCCCACCAAATAAACTACCTGACCTTCTTCCAGAGGACAGTAAATGTTAGTCATTAAATAGGAAACATCAGCATCACACCAACAAGCTTTGACGTTACTCAACTTTACGCAAAGGTTCGGCGTTTTATAGAGATGGGATATATCATCTGGTAGGGGAGCATTTTAACATGTGTACAAAGGCGAACTGAATCAAAAAGGATAGCTTGCGTCGTCTCGTCTTCTTTGCTGGGTTTCAACAACTGGGGGGTTATTTTTATTTAACCCAGGTATATGGTGATCATATCCGCCATATATGGGGCATAGCTGTTGATAGCGAATTTCAACATGAGCATTTGCCCATATGCATACCTTTCATGGGTCTGATTAGGAATGCCTTGAAATCCGAATATATTCGTGCAGTAGGTTTGGCCAGCGCTTACAGTCCTCGATTTCCATTATGATTGTCATCTTTAGTATGTTTGTCCGAACCGCCCACAACTCTACCACAGTCGCCCTCGAGGCAACACCGTATAGCATTATTATACGCTTTTCTTGTGTGCTACCTTGAAGGAGGGACCGAATACAACTTCAGGCTCACTTCTTCCAGCAGTTACAGGAAATTTCCATCCTTCAGAACACAACATGTCAGGCAAGTACCCAAACAAAGCCAAGAATGCAGGTAGTGTTTGGAAATTTAAGCCTCTTAACAAACACAATGAAGTTTCCTTTATAGGTAGATTGAATGGAATTATGTTTGTGGTTCTACCTTCCTTAGGTAGGTACGATACCGATTTTCCTAAAGCTTCATATAAGTACCCTAAACATCCCGGCTATAACTTTTATTTAGTTGCTTTACGTGTAGTAAGAAACACATTCATCATATCGCCTTACTTATGACCAAGTACATCATAAAGAGTATTTCCTCCAAAAATTAATACACATTGAGCCAAATCTAAATCTCGAGGCTTCGTAGACGTTACTATGTTTCTCAAATACGGTAAACCAGATCCCGACAGCGAGGTTGGTGTTAAGCGCAACAGGGAGATTCTGCGTCTCCGGGGCCTCTACACCGAACAGACCGGCGACACTCTTGACGTGCTAGCAGAGGCTGTTAAGGCGATGCTGGATCACCCAGCCATCTTCCGAAACCCTCAGTTGACGTTCAAACCCTTCTACTTCTTTTTCTATGGCTCGCTTCAGCATCCGGGTGTTCTATCCGGCGTAGTGAAAAGAGAAGGGGATAAATCTGGCCGTAAGCCGGTTTTAATGCCTGGCTCTATCACGGGGTGGGAAGGCAAGTATACTTCAACTCTTCTCTCATTTTCTTCATTTCTAACTCCTTAAATGTCCCTTTGACACTGTATTTACTGACTCGAGATACTATAGTCATGATGTGGAGTATATACCCAGCTCTAGTCCCCAAAGAAGGCAATGTGGTCAAGGGAAAGTACTGGAAGTGCGAGCGTATCGAGGACGTTGGTAGTCTCTGCAACTATGAGACTAATGCGTATCGTATGGAATTCTGCGACATTGCTACCGAGGAAGGAAATGTGATCAAGGATGGGCGTATTTTCGTATCGACGATGGATAGAAGCAACCTTGATGAAGGAAGCTTCGATCTGGAGAAGTTCGTCCGGAACCGAACTTAGAATCCATTGGACCTCGTCTTTGTGTGATGAGAATGCTATGTAGTGAAGACATTGATATCTTCATGAATTCACGTTATTAGAATATTACTAGATGAGTTAGTTACATACAACCATGTAGCGATAGTAATGCTATAGAGATACTCTGAGAAAGACCTGTCATTTGTGACAAGTGTGGTGTAAGATAGATATGTGATAGAACTTGTGCCTCGACATCTATGTAGGAGTCCAATTGAAAGTACACGGTATCTTTAGTGTGAACATCGTGAAGATGATAATCTAAAATGTCTCAATTGATTCCAATTATAGAGGTGAAATGCTTATGTAAACCCCTATGCCCATTGCAACCGCCCCGGATACTAGGTATCGGGTCCGGACCCACCTATCGGAGACTGTGCAAGAAGCTTCTCGATAACGATAAACCCCGCAATTTCCAATCTCCAATGGCGGGGCAGACATCCCACCTTTACAAAACACTGAAGGCTACCTACAGCTCCTTGCATCTTCTCAACTGCTTAACCAAAGACCTATTCATTCACGATTAGGACGTTCAAGATGCCCGTCGACTATAGCAAGTGGGTAAGTAAGATCGAGCATCATCTAAAACCAATTGGAAGAAACTTCTGATGAAACTAACACATCCCAAGGATGCTCTGGAGCTTAGCGACGACTCCGACATCGAGGTTCATCCCAATGTCGATAAGCGCTCCTTCATTCGCGCGAAGCAGAACCAGATCCACCTAGAGCGACAACAACGCAAGCTTCAGATCGAGACATACAAATACGAACGTCAAATCAACGATGGCTTGATAAAAAGAATATCCGGTCTCCTGAATGCCCTCAAAGCTCACGCTGCCGAGGCTGAGACCCGAAACCCTGGTGAAGTTGCCTTCCAAGCTGTCATGGAGTCTGTGGGGAATCCACAAGATGACATGCCTCCTCCCCGACCCGAAGGCGTTCACGCTCAGGAAGAACAACCACCGTCATATACCAAGATGATGGCGACCTTGTTAGATCAGGTGAATAAAGAGTTGGATGAGAAGAAACCAGAGAACCGTTACAATGCCATGGTGGAAGAGATTGGTGTACATCTGAAGAAAGTCCAAGACTTACAGCAACAATTGTTGACCAAGTTGGCGGAACTAGAAAAGGAGGAAGGCCGCAAGATCACAAGTGAGGGCATCCATACAGGTTTCGATAGTTCTTTCGTCGCCAAGTCCACGCCGTCCACGTCCGGAGCAAAGAAGGAAGAGGTAGAGCTTCTCAACCCCAACTTTTCCTTAACCAAGCCGGACGAGTCGAAACCTTCAACCGCAGCAGACGACGACGATGATGCGGACATGGAGGCTTCACCGGATGCTCGAAAGTTCGCTAACATTAAGGCGTCCGACTACCGGGAAAGTAACTCTTTTATTGGATTACACCCGCAAATTTTGACCGAGAAGGAAACCGACGGCCTACTAGTTATGGCGTTCGACGCTCAACTCCAAGGAAAGGACGATTTCGCACGACAGTGTGTTCACCAAGCTCTACTACTACAATATTGCCGCGCTTTGGGTAAGGATGGTGTTGCGCTCTTCTTCAAGCGCATTACCACCAAAGGTCACCAGGCACAAGACGTCTTCTACAAGGACGTTCAGGATACCTACTACAGGATCAAGAACCGAGCAGCTGAGATCAATGCCCAACGAGAAACCGAAGGTGCAGCTGGCGGAGTGGAGCAGATCCAACTACATGCTGTCGAACCAGGTACCGAGATCAAGATCAAGATCCCGCCCGAGAACAGCGAGGACGCAGGTGAAAAGAGAGGCCGCGAGATCTTTAAAGGGTTTGACCCGGATATGCAAAGGGCATTGGAATTTGGAAGCTTGGATAAGGTCAACGAAGTCTTGGGTAAGATGAGTGTCGAGGACGCCGAGGAAGTAGTGGGCCTTCTAAGCGAGGTAAGACCCCCTATCAATCTATTGTTTATGACTATATTTCAAGATATACTGACAATTATATAGGCGGGTATCTTGAGTGTTGAGGAACAGATAATAGATGCTACGACGGAGGAGGGTCAGAAACATCTCAAGGCGATGGAAGAGGAGGCTGCGCTGGAGTCGTACGCGGATGATCCGGAGTAATTGTGCCAAGGTTGATCCTGGCGTCGAGGAGGCGCTTCTCTCATGACTAAGGCATAGCATAGTGTTCACTAGGGAGGTTATGTTCCGGGGGCGTTGTGGCTGATAATAGGTCCTCTAGCCGGATTACTAACTTGGTATAATAAAATGTATCTGGACAACGGTGAATCCCTCCTCTCTGTTATGTTTAATTATATGATCATGTTGTTCGGAGGGAAATGATTATTCATACCACAGATGGCTAACTTTAAACTTTTGGGAATAGGGGTTCCGGAGCTTGATCATGTAAAGCTCTGCCCCCTTGGTTTAGCGTATCACACTGTTCTCCCACACTAAATATGTTTGGTATGAGCTGAAAAAGCCAAAGGATTGACCTGGCAGGATAACATGTTCATGATTAAATTCATGATTAAATCCTGTAAGGGATGTGCTTTTAAACTATCTCTGTATCTGATATATTAGATACCACTGTGTCTTGTTCGACAATTTGTTTGGGATACAGTTGAGAACATATTGTTTCCAACAACCCCTAACTTCTGAGTTTATAGGTAGAAACTACTTAGGTTAGCCTATTGTATCGGAACTCGGAAGCGTAGGCATGAACTTGACAACCTGACAGCCCTCGCGAGTCCGGACGTTTAAACTGGAAACTGAATAGCGTCTCGACAATTCTCTTAGCGATGTATCGACTAAATAGAACGGTCGAAGATCTACGTATATATCAAGATTTCCTAGCTCCTCACAGCCTTTCACAATTTTATGCTCAAGATCTACCCCGTATACCCCGTATCCATGGAATATCCCGAAAACGCAATAGGATATAAAAATATCAACCGGATTTATCGCTCATATAGGTAGTCTTGTCCATCAGAGAGGCCGCCCATATTCTGGAAAATAAGAGATAGATTCTTAACGCCGAACAACGTGTAAAAACGTGCGATAATAACCAACAGTTTATGTACTTTGCCTTTTAGATGCGTGGCAACCCTAAGAGGCGCTGAAGGCGTTCGCTAACGCTTGCGCGGCTGATCACAGATGATTGGACCCTGAAAATCGAGGAAGGTTCTAAAATTCCAATAGAGATTTAAGTGTTAAAAATAGGACAGGGATCTACGTTATTCAAGTGGAGGGTTGGCCGGGCTAGTGCTGTGGCGTGTGCTACATAGTACAATCGTGTATGCAGGTAGCGGAGTAACACAATAATTTAATCGCATAATTGTACGAACCAGCCACAATTAAACAAGTTAACAACCTCCCCTTTTTTCTAAAGTTCCATCTTTTCTGTTTCCATTTTTATTATCAATTATTATTCGATGAACAATTTTGAAAAATGCAAATACACAATTCCGCAATGCTCGAGACCTCGCATCTTGAATCCGGATGGATTTATTGGTAACGGAAGATGTTAAAGAGTGTGTTGATCGGGTCCGCAATGCCGGGACCAAGACTAAATCCAAAACTGGTCGACTGTCACGGCGCCGCGAATTCAAGCGTCGTGGGCGGGTCTGGGTCGTTTCAAGTTGGGCAAGTCTAGCAAGCTTCAAAGAGGGTGACGACGTCTTCTCACGTCCCGTCGGGGCGCAGTCTTTCACCAACCCACCATACGCCGGGGATCACCATGCAACCCCACAAATTACATAAAATACGACGTCCAGGGGAACCACTCAAGAGCCGGCCTAGAGCCTCTTCTTATGCTTGCCGTTAAACGCTACAGGGATTCGTTCTTGATTCCCATGTCCTCTTCGTCGTATTGTGCGTTTTTGTACGATGGTTGGGGCTTTGTTAACCTCCTGGCCAACCTCGAAACATGTAGGTATTCGTACTTAATCGTACTACACCCACCATCTCCTTTTTGCTGTAGTTTTATATCTCTTATTTTCGCTTTCGTTATATTCTCATTCGTTCTATCGATAGACTGTTAGACCTGTTTTCTTCATTTCCTAGCAACAGTTAAACAGACAATATGATTCCTTCGTTATGTACATTCTTCACTACCGTTGCTGCCCTGACAGCAACGGCTCATGCTCTCCCACAACAAGGTAGTGGCTTTGGATCTTCATCCTCGACCAGTTCTTCCTTTGCTGTAGCAAGCTCTAGTTCGACAGCCTCAGCCTCGGCTTCATCTTCGACTTCGACGACGGCCTGCAATAACTCCCCTAGCCTATGCAGCCGCTCATATAGCAATGTAACTCACATGGGTGCTCACGATTCTGCGTTTCTGCGAGATGCGTCCACAAGTAACTCAGTAGCTGGAAATCAGTACTACAACGCAACCGTCGCTTTAGATGCAGGGATCCGGTTACTCCAGGCCCAAGTCCACGACAAGAGCGGTGTTATCCAACTATGTCACACATCCTGCAACCTGCTCGATGCCGGTACGCTCCAGAGCTGGTTAACATCCATCAAATCCTGGATGGACTCCAACCCGAACGAGGTAGTAACACTGCTTCTCGTCAACTCCGACAGCAAGACCGCAGACCAATTCGGAACTGTCTTCAGCGCCTCGGGCATTAGCACATACGGGTACGAACACTCAGGTAGCACGTGGCCAACGCTACAAGAGATGATCACCTCAAACAAGCGACTTGTGACTTTCATCGCCTCGATCACGACCAGCACGACATACCCGTACCTGCTGTCGGAATTCGACCACATCTTCGAGACAGCGTATGACGTGACGTCCCTCTCGGGCTTCAACTGCACGCTCGACCGGCCATCGACGCAGAGCTCCGCCAGCGCCGCCATAACCGCCGGCATGATGCCGCTGATGAACCACTTCGCGTACCAGCTCCTCGCGGCATCCATCGAGATCCCAGACGTCGACTCCATCGCCACAACCAACAGCCCGTCTACCTCCACGACCGGCAACCTCGGCCTCCACGCGCAGAACTGCAACAGCGAGTGGACCAAAGCCCCCACTTTCGTCCTTGTCGACTTCTTCAACGAGGGCCCTGCTATCACCACCGCTGATAATCTGAATGGTATCTCGGCCGTCGGTCGCTCGACTAAGGCTATGACTTCGACGACTGTGACTACGGCTGCGGCGGGTAGGACCGGCGGGCTGGGGATGGGTGCTGGGGCGCTGGTTGCTTTTTTGGTCGCTACGCTGGTCCTTGTTTAGGGGCGAGGTGGTGATATATACATTACCTGCACATCACGTATTCCAACATACTTCGACATATTTCGAACATATACAAGAGAAGAAGGAGAAAAAAAGGGGCGGTTGCGGGTTTTCTTTGTCTGGGTCGGGCTGGTTGGCATTGCATAGCGATGGCGTTTTATTTTTTTTTATTACTTTTTATCACTAAAACGGATGCACAGTTTAGCGTGCCGTTTATCTAGAAAGGTCGGTATCTAAGAGTAGGTACCTACATAGAGAATGCAAGATCGGCCTGCGTATATAGCTAGGCGTGGGCTGGAAATCCTGAAAAGAAGGATGGAATGGGTGGATGGATACCTAGTACCGGGGTTAGAGTGCGGATTCCGGCTTGAGGGCTGGGGATTGGGACTTACTCGGATAGAGGCTAGATGCTGATATATATACCCTACATAGGTGGGCGAGGTATATATCATTTGTAGATAGATACAATTGAAATGGCCCGTAAAGGGGTCTTCAAGGCATTCCTTATCTCCGGATTGCTTCGGATTTGTGTGATTGAAAGTCGTAAAATCCTTCGTTGGGTTAGAAGGTGATCCTGACAATGATCTAAGCATTTCGCAACGTAACAACCCTCACAGTTTTGTAAACAAGATAAAATCGCAAGGCTGATGTAGCAGAGGCATTCATTATATGATGGGTATCTCAACTGCGAAATAACGACACTCCACTCCTATGGATCCGAACCCGAGCAACTATTGCACTTCATGCCTTCCAGCCCGATTATCGTGATGGTACATTGAAAACCCCATGGTGACCCAGGGTTAAGGCTGCGATTCTGTCTCTTTGATCTGATGAGACTTAGATCTGACCGTGTACTAATGACTCCTGAATTGAAGTATCGTCCACGCCTGCCGATCTGTGCGATGTACTTCCTGCAATTCGATCGGGATTGCGTGCTTACTCCACAGTAATCACCTCCGGGGCCGCCTCACTACCCTCCATCACTATATCCCCCTCAGCCCCATCACCATTGACACCATTCGTTTCAATAGGGGCGCCGTACAAGAACTCCTCGAGGGCTTTATACGCCTCCTCCACCTCCCCATTCGTGATAACGGCATCGCAGAAGCCTTCAGATTTCACCTGCTCCAGGTCTTCCTGTGCGGCTTTCAGCTCCGTTTGTATATCTTCCTCTGTAAGATCTTCCGTCTTTCTGAGTCGGGCTTCGAGTTCTTCGATGCTTGGGGGTGCGATGAAGATGATCCGTGCATCGTAGCTGTTATCTTTGATCGTTTCGGTAGCCTGGGAGAGAAAGTTAGTAAGCTATTTCTAGATTAGGGGGTGTGTTAGGTAGGTATAATTAGACTTACGCCACGATTAAGCTGGATCACGGGAATCTTCCCAGATTTTTGTATAGCCTCGACCACCGTTAGGTTCGTCCCGTAGCCGATACCGGTTTGGTCCGTGAACTCAAGGAAATACTGGCCGCTCAATATGGTGTAGAACGCTTCGGAATCGACGAAGTAGTAATCCTGGCCCTCGACCTCTCCTTCCTTCGGACTTCGCGTGGTGTGTTTGATGACTTTCCCAAATACACTCTCGTGCTTCTCTAAGAGCATGGAGACTAGTGTCGATTTGCCAACTTTGTTTGGACCTGTTATGATGATCGGTCGTCTGTCTTCAGGAAAGTGACCGTTCGCCTGTGCCCCCTCAACTTCATCTGTAGCCTTCGGCTGCTCTTGGAAAATGACGTCGATTTTTTGCCAATCGTCAATCTTGTCGAAGACGGCAAGTTTCGATCTTCGGGCGATTCTGAGGGCTCTCCACGTCTTACTGGCTTTGGCTTCGAGGATCTCAGATCTTTCCTTGTCGTTCTTTGCAAAATCGAGATCGAGATCGTCTCCAGCAATCTTGTCTTTGAACTCGCTCAGGTCTGGAAGCTTCCATCTCTCCGGATCCTTTAACTTCTCCATCCCTTTTTCATCCTCCTCTTCCTTCAAGAACTCTAATGACAGCGAACCCATGGGCACAGCTCGCAATCTTTTGTTTGTCGCCATACGTCTAGCGCTGGCTTTTGCCTCGACGAAGTCGTTAGGAGAAACTGGATCTCTCTTGATTGGTGGACAAGCCTCAACCTTCCAACGCACCCAACCCTTATCTCTCGAGATGACGCTTTCAAGGACGCGGAAGAAGAAAAACCCATCATTCTCGGCCTGGATGTAATTTTGGATTCGGATCTTCATTTGCGTTGCCCAGTTCATCTAGGCGTGGTCAGTGATGCTACGGCAAAAGTGTTCTTATTATAACTTACATCGTCGGTACCCAGCGTTTGGTCACCGTATACCACGGATCTGTTCTGGGTCTTGATATTGGCTAGCTTCGTCCTGGCTCGGGGAGTAAGCGACAGGAGGAAGTCTAGTATGATAAAAGCTTGGATGAGAATGTGACGTCTGAAGTATAGGTCGCTTATCTAAAAAGGATGGTTAGATATGACTAGGATGCTGGTGGAAAGCTGGGAGCATACCTCTAGTTCAAAGAGCTCTCTACTTGTAAGGTATTTTGGGTTGTTGGTGCTGCTGCGAAGATCATCATCCCCATCCGATTGCTTTCTTTTCTGAGGTATCAACTTGTTGTCGTCGGAGCCTTTCGTGCTCCTCTGGAGCTTCTCAACTGTCTCGAATGCAGACATAGTTGCTTCTAATCCAGCCTTGAACTTGCCCAACTCTATCGAATCGAATAATGCCGTAGGTTGGCTGAAGTATTGCTGAAGTGACCAGAAAACGGGATAAAGCGCATCTGTATCGAGAGGCTTCTCGGCTGCTGGCTTGTTTTTGGAATCGAACGAAACAGCTTTGGTTGTAGACTTGTTTTCCCCCTTCCCATCCTTAACGGAATCGGATTCTGTATCTATAACCATACCATCTGCCTGATCGATTGACTGGGTAGGTATGTCTTCAAATGTGGTGACATTCTCAACGTGGTATTCACCGCGCAGGTTGACCGAGCTCCTATCTCCCAGAGGGAAGCACTGGAACATGAAGATAAAAACCCGACCACAGAAAGCTGTATCCTCAGCGCGAGACAGGCGACGTAGAAGATCATTGCAGAATCGTAGGATGACCAGCTTCTTCGCAATAAGGTTGTGTATTATTATTTGCTCTCGTCGTGATTCGAGGTAATCGAAGATCTGGCGACATTTTTCTGTCGTCTGGCTGTCGAGAAGTTCTTCCACGAGCCAGAAAAGGAGGGCAGGGTCACATTGATCGTTATCGGACAAGACCGACAAGAAGTCGAAGAGGTTCCAGACTTGGACGAACTCGGGTGAATCGATTGAAGTTCCAGCCTAGGAGGTCAGCTATTAATTGCTAGAAGGATCGGGATTTCACAACTAACAACTAAGCTGCTAAACGTATTTCGTGTAGCTATTTCTATTGCGGCATTCTGGCGAGCCTTCTCCTTCTCCTTCTCCGATGGGAATATGGCGGGAACTTGTGCAAGTTGGCTGACAAAATCAACTTGTGTCAGAGGAGGCTCGATTGATCTGCTCGTTTTAATAGATTGCGCATGGCTTAGGGTATCCTTCAGCAGCGCTGCGAAGGCGTCTACCTGGGGAACTTCGAAATCCGGATTCTTTGCAGAAGGCATGGCGAATATTAACGAGGATAATTCTTGAAGATTCCTCTGTAATTATCGATCGCGGTCTGAAGCAGGCGGATTGATTAGATAATAAATGAGTGACTGAAGAAATTTTGATTGTTCATGCCCAAGAGATGACCATTCTCAAAGGTGTGTTTTGGATTAGCTATTCTTTATTGTGGCAATACAAAGAATAGCAGTTGAGCTCAAGTGCATTGAAGATTAAAGAGGAACATTTAGAAGGCTGAGCTTCAATGAGAAGCAATGACCTCTAAGCAACGGGAAGCCCAAGTTTTGCCGTGATTCACCGCTAATCTTTTGTGGAGAATGCAGGGATTAAGTTTACCTTGCATGCATGCAAGAACAGACAGGGGGCTAACCTGATTGAATAAAAAAAAATAAAGTTGGGTTGGACGAAAGATACGTACCAATTACATATCGAATCAACAACACCAACGCGACAAGGCTGAGGATTTCGGAAAGCCTTTGCGCCACAGCGTGGAACCCACCATTCCTTCAATCAAGCTATTTACAACTATATACGACGTCTATCTAAAAAGTGCTTCATGATTGCACCGAAAAAGCTCATAAGCTAGGCATAATACTGCTCGGCACCTCGCCAAGTTACCTAGGTAATCTATGAGCTATGCCGACCGCAAAGAGACTTAAGAAAAGTGACGCAAAGTCCAAGTCACGCGATGCGGAACCACGACCGACAATTGCCGATCTGGAAGGCGAGAGCGAGTTTGCCCAGCTTGCGAGACAACATTGGCTGAAACCCACCAAGCGAACCACGAGGGTTAAGGTCAAGAACGATGTATTGAAGCGCGACATCTGGGATGTCCTCGAAAAGAATGGCTTCCCCTACAAGTCATTACTTGTTCTTGAGGGACTGCAGACACTTGAGAGTTATCTATGGCCTGGGTATTCCGAAGACTCGTCCAATTTCCACGTGCTCTTGATAGCTCTTATCACCAACGTCAAGGCAAGAGAAAAGCTTGAGACATGGAGTATATTCGAAGACCGACCTGCCGAGTTCGAGAGCTTCTTCACTCGCGTTCTTTCTATGTGTCTCGACCACACACTATCCATGGCTGTACGGACGAACCTTCTATGTTTTATTATTTATGCTTTCCAGAGCTTGGATTGGTCGAGCGTACGTAACAAGTGCGCTTCGTTAGTTTCCATCGGTATCTGGCATAACCTCACCGAGTCGAAACGTGAAAGCAGACTAGCACAAAACCCATCGCCCAAAAAGGCCTGGAGGGCGGCAGGCAAGAGATATGACTCGGCAGATGATTCGACCAAAGCTCGATTAAGGTTCGAGAGAGCCTGGCTTTACACTATGACCTTAGACTTTCTCAAGTTACTCTATAGTGAGAAGAGGAAGGAAGAGCATGTGCTTTACTGCGAACGGTTTGTGGAGTTCATCTCCGACTTGCTGAGCCAAAGCCCGACGAGGCGATACACGAATACCTTATTCCAGGATCTACACATCTTGCCTGCTCTACGACTCTCCCCGATGTTTAATGATGAAGACAATGGTTTACTTCGCGATCAATACGCTATACTAAGCCACTACTTCTATTTTACCATCGATGACTACACGGGAGTCCAACACAGTCGTACGGAAGCGTATGATTTACATTGTGCCGAGCTCGCAAAACTCCAACGCGTAGCTTTACGCCACTTCAAAGATAAGCTGACAGTGTTGGCTTTATCCAATTATGGGTCTATAGGTAAAAGAGACGAGCTCGAGAATCTCTTAGAAGCTCTAACAGACGAGGAGGTCAAGAGGCTTGCGACTTTGCTTGAGTTCAGGACAGAATATCCAGACTCGGTTGGTGTTCTCATCGATCGACCATTTTTAACCGAGGTTCTTTTGGCAACCTACGAGAAGCGCAAAACGTTCCAAGACGTTGTCCGAGATACAAGCATTCTTCCGACTGAGGCCAGTCTTTTCGATCAAGGCCTACTAAGGACAGATAATTACGATGGGTCAACGCCCCTTGCTCTTCCTAAGTTGAAACTCCAACATCTGTCGGTTGGAGACTTCCTTTGGAGAGCTCTCGTTCTTTACCGATGCGAGTCTTTTTATGGTATCAGAAAAGATATCAGTGATGCGCTGAGACGACTAAGGCCGGAATCAAAACGTCCGGGGGACACAACGTTTGCCGGCTTTTCAAGAATGGCGCTACCGATATCTCGTCCGTCCATATTAGAAGTTGTGCCTGCTCTTGTTGGTGATGATAAGCCGTCTGCAGTAAATGCTGAGGTTTCGCTCGACGTGCGTCGACTTACCGATAATATTCGTAGAGAATGGGATTCTTTGCGTCCAGACGATGTCGTGTTTCTTGTTGCAGTGGATGCTTCCCTTTCGAAAAGTATCTCGAACGGGGGCGCCAACACCATTTCTGAGGCGGAAAAGCTCGGACTAATTTCCGTGAGGAGCGCAGAGATTTCCCAGATCGTGGATGATAAAGGAAAATCTATCAGAGACCCTACTGCTTACTTCGGCGGCCAGAACCGATCTCCGACAAGAAAAGTACAGCTCAAATTGGACCCGAAGACTTACAAGGAGGATATGGACCGAGTTTCGAACGGCAAGCCAGACGTATATGAGCGGATTAATCTAATTGTTCGGCGAAGTGGTAGAGAGAACAACTTCAAGCCGGTTCTAGAGTCTATTCGTAGCCTATGTCTTTCCGAAGTTCCCCTCGCGTCATGGCTATATGAGACCTTTCTCGGCTACGGTGACCCTGCCGGCGCCACGTATAAACACCTGGCAAACCGGATCGCAAAGCTCGATTTCAGGGACACTTTCTTGGATTGGCAGCATCTCGTTACAGGTCTACCTGATAAGACTATTGAGCCAGGAGACGATGTGACCGAGAGCTTTGGTCCTCCCTACATGCTAGAGTCGGTGGATAGACCACCAGAACAGAAAACAGCCAAGCCTTCCAAAAAGCGAAGAAGAGATGCAGAACCCTCGTTGATTGCCGAAGTCGAGACATATAAGGCTTCGACATACAAGCCACCTAACACTGGACCATATCCCGTTGATGCCCCGAAATTAAACAGCGTTCGTTTCACACCTGCTCAAATCGATGCTATAATATCAGGAACCCAACCTGGGCTTACTGTTATTGTTGGCCCACCTGGTACTGGTAAGACGGATGTTGCGACTCAAATCATCAACAATATCTATCACAACTTCCCCGAACAGCGCACATTACTTATTGCCCACTCCAACCAGGCCTTGAACCAGCTCTTTGCGAAAATTGTCGCCCTGGACATTGACGAACGACATCTTCTCCGTCTCGGCCATGGCGAGGAAGATCTCGACACTGATGGTAGTTTCAGTAAACATGGGCGAGTTGAGTCTTTCTTTGAGATCAGAGATCGCTATCTAAAAGAAGTCAACCGCTTAGCGACCAGCATGGGCGCTCCCGGTGCTCACGGGAACTCTGCTGAGACGGCAGGATATTTCAATTCTGTCTACATTCAACCAGCCTGGGCCAAGTTCCAAGAGGTAGCAAGAGTAGACGACTCTTCGCCCGCCCTCATCATTGAAGCTTTCCCATTCCACAACTATTTCTCTGATGCTCCCCAGCCCCTGTTCCCCCCAGAGGGCGACCGAGAAGCTGTCATTGATATAGCAAATGGCTGCTATCATCACGTATCGAAAATCTTCTCTGAGCTAGAAGATGTCCTGCCATTCGAAATCCTACGAAGAGACCGAGATAAAGCCAATTACCTTCTAATTAACGAAGCACGGATCATCGCCATGACGGCAACACATGCTGCAATGCATCGTACTGAGATTGCTTCCCTCGGCTTCCATTACGACAACGTTGTTATGGAAGAGGCGGCCCAGATTACCGAGGTTGAGAGCTTCATTCCTTTAGCTATGCAAAAACCAGAGGGTGGACAGATGGCGCTTCAAAGAGTTGTTCTTTGCGGCGATCATTACCAGAATTCACCTGTTATCCAGAGCCTTGCTTTTAGACACTATGCCAACCTCGAGCAATCGCTTTTCTTCCGATTCATCCGCTTACGAGTACCAGTCATCACACTCGACCAGCAAGGCCGTGCCCGTCCATCTATCGCCGCATTATACCAGTGGAGATATCCTAACCTTGGTAACCTCCCTCATGTCGAGAGCATGAAAGAATTCCAGACTGCCAACGCTGGGTTCAAGTATGATTACCAGTTCATCAATGTTCCTGATTATAAGGGCCGCGGAGAAGTGGAACCGACGCCACATTTCATCCAGAACCTAGGTGAGGCGGAATATGCCGTTGCCATATACCAGTATATGAGACTTTTAGGGTATCCTGCGTCAAAGATCAGCATTCTTGCTACCTATGCTGGCCAGCGAGCACTTATAAAAGATGTGCTCGGCCACCGATGTGCGAAGAACGCCATATTCGGTTTGCCTAAGATAGTGACCACTGTCGATAAATATCAAGGTGAACAAAATGATTGTGAGTAGTACCTATTTCGCCATTTGGTGATAATCAAATTCTAACTCTAGATAGATATCATTCTCTCGCTCACGCGCACATCGCGGGTCGGTTATCTCCGAGACATTCGACGTTTGACAGTGGCACTTTCTCGTGCCCGGCTTGGCTTGTACATCCTTGGGCGAAGAGAAGTATTCGAGGCGTGCTACGAGCTGCGCCCCGCTTTCGAGCTCTTACTTAAACGACCAGACAAACTTACTCTAGCAACCGGTGAGATGTGGCCCTCAGAGCGCATCCAAGGAGAGGAAGACGGAACCGCCGTACCCGGTGAAGCAACGATGGAAGGCGTTGAGCATCTAGGCCAATTCGTCTATGAAATGACGTCTACTAAAATTAAACAAATGCACGCGGAGCGCGGTTTGTCGGTAGCAGCAGGGTCCATCGAGCAGGAGTTGAAGCCCGTCGCGGAAGACGACGGAGTTGGCTACGTTGAGGCTAGCGATGAGGAAGGGGAGGATGATGTGGTGGTGCCCAGTGACGGGATCGAACCTGCGGAGACATAGCTGTGTAGCAACCTCGGAGGGATGACGACTCAATTGTAGGGCATTATGACACTGGTGAATTTGTTTATGAATGGGTAGTGTATGCTATTGATGACATTGACATGGAGCATGAGGAATTAGGTCCCCCGTACATTGATTCGGAGGATTCGCAAAAAAGTTACATTCACAACGTACATATGGGCAAAAGCGAATTCAAGTAACACGGGTATTGTTGCTTCTTTTGACGATTACACACGAATATGCATTTCTTAATATCCGTACAATGATATTGAAATGGATACGGTAGGGGTTTTGAGGCTATCACTCAGCTCTTCGTATTTCGTTTGAGAGTATTAATTATTATCCCGTAAGCATTCGCTAGGTACCTAGGTACAATATGTACCTATCGTACCTAAATTGAACGGGCACCAAATATTCAAATTGTACCTAGACACCTCCACTGCTGAGATATCGTACCAATGATGGTAGGCGAAGGTTAGCCCTGTGCCGCTTGGCCGGTTAGGGCTGCAAACGGGGTCTCGCCGTGGCTCTGGTCCCGCCAATCTCACTGGGGTAGATCCTAAGCACCGGCAACCGTTGGGCTTCGTTTTTTAGCAAGACATTTTAAGACTAGCCACACCCGGTATCGTGTAACTGGGCGTATTAATAGGTCTTATGACGATGTTCCTCTTCTCCAAATCCAGTACATGTAGAGAAATAAGAACAGAACACTATAATTTACATACATGTATGTATGCACTATGTATGTAGGTCTGTATAGACGTACATGGCCGGCTCCGGTCGATGTCTAATCGAATTCTAGAATGATTCTAGCTTGTTACGCACACTTGTCGGAGTCGCTATCGACAGTTCATAGTCACGCCATGCGCCTTTCTATTTCCATCTCTATAGACTTCCATGCATACATCCCGCCCGTTCGTTCGCTCCCGAAAAGACCGAATCAACAGGCCAAGCCTATGTCGAATCTGCGTCATCGAAGTGGAATTTCGCTATGAGTCAAACTTCATCGTTGTGTGTAGTTGCGCATCTGACATGTCCATGTCTGGATCCTTGTCCACGCATACATGGTGCATACTGCGTTACATACATTGGATGTAATGTTATCCAACAGCATCGTGAGACGGATAGTTCGTGGGCAAAGAGGCAAATAGGGAAAAGGGGCGAAGAGTTGGGTTGTGCTTAGGTATTGTTTAACATTCGAATCTTTGAGCAAAGAAGAAGAAGAGAGTTTTGCCACCACTACAACTTTTTTTAAGCTAATCCCACGTTTTGAGTTAAACATATGTCGGATAACTATGCTTAACTCAAAACTAAATCGCCTATTACTACGTGCATATCTTTTTAGAGGCCTTTATTGAATCTGAGGGAATTAATCCGTTTACCCGAAATCTACCTAGTTGAAATGGATAACTGCGTGTACTTACTTACTTTAGCATTGACCCGAGATGAGGGAAACCACGGAGTGCAGAGGACGCGACAACGGGCGGAATGTGCGACTAGACTAGATGAGACTTGTGTCTTGAAGAAGTGACGTTGGCTCTTGTACAGGCTCTAGGGCTTCCATTTGGAGATATCGCCCTAATTGGACCCTTCCTTGTTCTGATTTGCGTGTATTATCGATAGCATGTGATATTAGTGCCGCATTTAAGTCCATCTACATAGAATAATTTATACCTAGTACACAGAATACCTGCCTGAAATGGGGTTATCGCAATGATAGTGAACATGTGGAATACTTGTGGCATTAAGTGTGTTATTTTTTGCAATAATATAATTATACTTCTCGGCTTGCCAGTTGTGGAAAAGTTACGTGCCCTTTCAGGCTCGGCCAAGTTCAAAATTTTTAGATACGATGAATCCTATTGTTCCGTACTGCAACGGGCGCAGAGCACAAGGATCACTAGCGTATCATCAGATGAATGCGGGAATCAAAGTCGGGCTATAACGGGAGTTTTGGGAAGGCATTGTAGGCAGCAAAGTTAGATTTAGCAACAATGATCGACTGATAGTTAGACGTGTTACTTTTATGAAAGAAGTTTATAATAATATGCATCATTTTATGAAATAGCAAAGGTGTATTCGTAAACAACATATAAAACCACCAGAGTTTAGAGGTTAACAGCCGGTGCAATGTGTGGGAGTGGGCGAGAACGAAGATATGGGACAGGCAATATATTGCTATTTGTTAGTGAAAATCGACGGAGCTAGGAGTTACTGTTGCATGGTGCTTTGGATCCATTATTCATAGCCACATACACCCAAGGAGTGAGATATGGTCTTATGAATTACCGTATCATATTATGTTAGAATTATCTAGGCAATTATTATTCTCAGAAATTACGAAAAGATAAAAGTCTCGGGAGTTTCGTATGCCAAGTATCCAAGAAGATAGACAAACAGAAGGCCATGTAAATCGACTTCACCAACACTTCCCAAACACTTAGGTCTTGTTCGGATTTAGGAGACAAGGTAATACTTTACAAGCGACAATCTAGAACGCGGGGAGGTTTACTAACCACTTAGGTAAAGACGTCAAGGGCTTTCCACGGATTGGTGTGGGAGCGAGGAGGGCAAGATGCCCACATTCTTAATGTCCCCATATGCTTTTGGTGACGGAATCAATCGGCCACAAACAAGAGAAATTTTATTAATCTCTGTGCTGCCAGATATCGATGTACCTAGAACGGAAACGAAACCAGGAAATATCATAGAACAACGACATAATCATTTTAAGGCGGCAGGCGCAAATAAGGTATGGTTTTGGAAACTAACACATCCATATATATAGGTATTTAACAATGAGTTGTCGCGACGACGATAATGTTTAATTCCAAGGGCCCCTAAGGAGTAATAGATAAAATATCAGTTCATAAATTTAATGTTGGAACTTTGATGTTCACAACGGAGACGAGATAGGCTGATAGGTAGGTACATGTACCTACTTCAGTACAACCTTTCAGATGTGGAAATGGCGTTTTGCTGAGTTTACACACATTAAAAGGAAAGATCCACGGGGAGCAGTTAAAAAAAGGAAGACCCACTTGCGTAAGGCCATCTAGAAGAGTGAGTCGAGGGGAAGGAAGTACCAAGACAATGTGTTTTATATGCAGCGGTACATGCTTGGACCCAGACGATTTTTAAAAAGTGGAACAGCCTCACCAGGATATGTACTTCCCTAGCAGTTCCGTCAACCAATCTACAGGGGTTAGTGGATGTCAATTGTACCCGTCAGCTAGCACGGTAGGTACCTAGTTAATAATTATTAGTGAAGTCAGTGCGTGCGATTGTGGTCCAAGTGGTGTGAGAACGAGAGAGGGCAGCACCCAGTCGCAAACCCAAGCAAGCCATTATTTTCCCTTTCCCAAAAAAAATTTCCCATCTAAATTTTTCTCCCTCTTGCACCACCTTTTTGATCCAAGATCAACAACGACAACCTAGGAAGAATCCCCTTCTGACGGTTGTGTTTCTTTTTCCCTCTCCTTGACGCTTCTATCGAGGACGGATATTCCTTTTTGTATTTCTCTGCATTTCGGTACAGGGAACACATATCTCCACTCAATTAATACCTCTCTCCGCGACGAGATAAAATTGATAGGAGTATCTGCGCGCGCCTGTGCTGCAAAGAACTTCGTCGTCAGGTTTAATCTCCCTTTCCTGCGCAACTTCCCTCGTCATCAGTAATCCTTAGGTACACTACACCAGGATTTTCGACATTCTTCGTTTATTTGCGACGACGCTCTTTTTTTTATTCACCATCTTTCTACCGACCGATACCCTGTTTTCGCCCTTACCTTTTTTTATTGCTTTCACGAATAGGTCCAAGCTTCGTCATTGACGCTTGTCATTTCTGTTCTTGTTAGTCGGAAAAAAAGGTGACGACTGGACACGACTTAATTTAATTGACGAATATTCATCTCGTTAAAACCGAGATCGTCATTCACTTCTAGAAATCGATCGCAGTCTAAATCTCGGATTTGATATTCGATTAACCCCGACCGTCTGCTTTGCGATTGTATCTCTTTCTTTCTGACATCTTGGTGCGAAAGAAAGACCTCCAATTTACGACGCAGACTTCAAGAAAAGAAGAACAACTCAGTCCCGAAACACACACGTCTCCGGCTCTTGTAGCTTCAATAGATTGTCACTTATGACTTCACCTCAATCTATTAACCCGGCGTCGAACAGCAACACGGCCGCCTCGGCACCGTCTTACGCTTCTGCTGCCGGTGCAAAGACGTCGACGCCTGTGGTTGCCACTGGCTCGAATCCTCCCATTGTCGCTCCCGGTTCCTCAGCATCTGCACCGCGCCATGCTAAATCGTCTTCGATCTCGCCTATGAACGGCCGACCCAACATTATGCCCGCTATTCCTAACGTTCCTCCTGTAGCACACGGCACATTGAATGCGAACGGACTGGCCGACCACAGCCGAAAGAGTTCGGTTACTATGAGCGCGAACGGACCTAACAGTTATTCGACTAACGGCGGTACCGCAGGAGGCAAAGCTAGTATCCAATTTGGATATCAGTCGCCGGCTGTATCTACTAGTGATCCTAAGTTGGGATCTGCTCCCATTCCTATACCCGACAGCAACCCACGTGTTACCTCTCCTCAGAATTCCCCGTCTCCTATTCCGCAGCCTTCTGCTAGCGGTGGACGACCCCCTTCTGGAACTGCCCAGCAGGGTATGACCTTTGGCAGTTTTGGTGGTGAGAGCGATGTAAGTACTAGAATCGGTGATTGTTGTATTGACGGTGACCACAGGAAAACCACTAACTGATTGTATAGCGTCCTCACACACGAACGACATCTATGTCGCAAGACCCTAGCTCTTTGGCTTCCCAGCATTCACCTCACATGAGACGCGGTTCGAACGTCAGCGACATGAGTAACCAAGGTCCACCCCACATGGGGCGAGGCAACTTCCAGTCCGCTGGTCGTGGCCGAGGATTTTCGAACAACACGTACAATCAACCGATGGGATACCCCCCTAACCACTACAACAGAGCTCCCCAGAACCCGGGACGAGGCGGTATGCCTCCCGCGTTTGGAAATCCACGCCAGCAGCAGTATGGCACCCCCCCGCCTCACAACAGGAGTCCTGCACTTCCACCAGCGATGCCGCATCCTCCCAACATGCCCCCTACTGGCATGCCTCAATTCTACTATCCACCCCCGCCCATGGGGCCCCAACAGGTACCTCAAGTAAAACACCCTTCTCCCTTATTATCCCTTAACAATGACCGGTCGTACCTCAAAGTTGGCAAGAGAAAGGGAAACCGGCGTGAGTCTGAGAAATTCTCGAATCAGCACCGGCGAACGGACTCTTTCAGCAATGAGCAGCAAGACTTCAGTCACAAAAATAGACGCTATAGTAAGCGTCCAGATCAGAGATTTGTTATGGATGGTTCACGACGTCGTGGTCAGGCCCAGTTCGATAGAATGGAATCGTCACGCGTTACGGACAATCCAACGATTACTCTGCAGCAGCAGCATTTTCCTATTGTCACTTCGTTTTCACCGAGCTCTACTGGACGCATAGATCTGTCGCCAGAGAGCGGCAACTTTGACCGATTGCTAACCACAAGTCAGCAGGGATACTATCCTCAACAGTTTGACCCTAACATGCGGCCTGCCATGCATGTACCTGGATATCCAGTATACCCAATTATGAACCAGGGTCAATCACCTGTACCAGCGTATCAACAGCCCTATACAGCAGGTCCCTACAACCCCCCCGGAGGACAACCTATGTCTCGTAACTCTTCCCAGGTATCCACCGAACATCGACCCGCATCAAGCACCGGCCAAACCCAGGCGCCAGCTGTTGCCCAAGGCACCCCACAGCCCCAGCCTGCACAGATCAAGCCTGCAGTCGTGGCATCTCCTCAATTTAACCGTCCACCTAAAAAGAATATGGCCATAAAAATCAAGAACGCAATGGGTGAGACTGTTGATGTTAGTAGCCTTAAAGTACCAGCCTCGCCCGCGCCAAGTAACCAACAATCTAAAACACCACCCGTTATTGCCTCTACACCTACACCGCCTCCAAAAGCAACCACACCAAAACTTGCCACGCCTGCACAACATTCACGCGCCGATAGCGTGAGCAACTCTAAGACTGCTGAAGAAGTGAGGAACGAATTTAAGGAGAAGATGAAGCAAGCGGCTAGTGCAGATAAAGCAAAGGAGGAAGAACTCGCCAAGGCGGCTGCCGCCGAGAAGGCTAAAGAAGAGGAGCGATTGAAGGCCGAACAAAAGGCCCAGGAAGAGGCTAAGGCCGCGGAAGAAGCGAAGGCACGTCAAGAAACCGAGGAGAAAGAGAAGGCTGAACGCGAAGCGGCGAAGGCAGCCCCGAAGGAAGAAGAGAAGAAGGAAGAACCTTCTAAAGCTACAGACGAACCTGACGAGGAGGAACTTGAGCGAATCATCCGTGAGATGGAGGAGGAAGACGCGAGACGTGAGAAGGAGGAAGAAGAGCGCCGCGTTAAGTACGAGGCTGAAAAGGCCGCCAAGAAGAAGGCTGAAGAGGCGACTCGATTGGCGAGTGCTGCTGATAACGACCGCAAACTCCGCGAAGCCGAGGCAGAGATGGAACGACTTGAGGACGAAAAAGAGCGCAAACGTGCTGAAGGTTCTAAGGCGCCAACAGTCCAAGAGCTCATTAAGCAATCAACCGGCAAGTCAACAGACAAGACCGACGCTCCCTCAGCAAGCGAAACCACTTCGAAATTGGCCAATTTGTCTCTCACCGACAAACCCTCTTCTAGCGCAAGTGGCAAACCTACCCAAGGTGGACGTGGCCCCAAGCCGGCTGCTCTCAACCTCGCACCTCTCAACACTAAGTCTGTTGAGCCTCCTCAACCCAGTGCCGCTTTACAGTCCTTGAAGACGGCGAGACTTCTGGGTTCTAGTTCTATTAAGGCAGATCTGTACCCTCCAGGAATTCAGTCACCAAACCCGGCGTTGAATGCGGCGGTCGCGAGAAAAGGCACTTCATTCAAGTACGACTCTGCCTTCTTGCTCCAATTCCAGAAAGTATTCACGGAACAGCCGTCTCTTGATTTCCATCAGCAGGTCAAGACTCTCATCGGTGATGGCGAGAGTGGTCGATCTGCCTCCGCTCGAACTCCTGCCGGCCTTTCTGGCCGACAGAACTCTAGACCAGGTGCCCCTGGCATAGCCGGATTTGGAAGCTTCGCCGCTCCCATTGGCCGAACATTACCGCCCGGAACTACGTCTGCCCAACGATTTGAGATGAGCAGCGATAGTAAGGGACGAACTCCTATTAACCCGATGGCCAGCTTTGGCCGACCAGGAGGTGTATTCCCTGGTGGTAGCCAAATGGCCCGAACTCCGTCTAGCTCCAACATGAGCATGCCGCATTCCCCACGACAAGGAAGCCGCCGGAACGCGAGCAAGCAGAATACCTTTAATGCTAAGCATGAAGCTCAGGCCGCGAAGACCATGCCACTTACGCAGGGTATGAAGATCGAGGCCCTTAACGTTTCATCGACGGGTTGGAAGCCTAGCAGCGTTGGCAAGGCCGCCGCAAGTAATGCACCCACCCCATCCGCCCTACTTGATCCATCCATGGTTCAGCGTAAGGTGAAGGCCGCTTTGAACAAGATGGCTCCCGAGAAATTCGACAGGATTTCGGACCAGATCCTCCAAATCGCTGCACAGTCCAAGGACGAGACTGACGGTAGAACTCTTCGCCAAGTCATCCAGCTTACTTTCGAGAAGGCCACCGATGAGGCTCATTGGGCGTCTATGTACGCCAAATTTTGTAAGAGAATGCTGGAGATGATGAGCTCTGAGATTCGGGACGAGAACATAAAGGACAAGAATGGCCAGGTCGTTAGCGGTGGTGCATTATTCCGAAAGTACCTGCTTAACCGATGCCAAGAAGAGTTCGAACGTGGCTGGAAGATGGCCCTCCCAGACGCACCGGAAGGGGAGGAAGCCAAGACTCAGGAAGCTGTTATGCTCTCCGAGGAATACTATGCCGCTGCTGCCGCCAAACGTCGTGGGCTCGGATTGGTTCAATTCATCGGTGAACTGTACAAGCTTGGTATGCTCACTGAGCGTATTATGCACGAATGTGTTAGAAAGTTGGTGGACTACCAAGGTGTTCCCGACGAGGCCGAGATCGAGTCTCTCTCTAAGCTGCTTCGAACTATCGGAGGTAACTTGGATAGCACCGAGAAGGGCCGGACCATGATGGACGTCTACTTCGTTAGAATCCAGGGCATGGTCGATCTACCTGACCTCCCTAGCCGTCTGAAGTTCATGCTTATGGACATTGTGGACCTGAGAAGAGCCAACTGGATTTCCAAGGAAACCAACAAGGGCCCTAAGACGCTCGAAGAAGTTCGTGCCGAAGCTGAAGCTGCTGCAGCTCAGAAGGCTGCTGAGGCCGCACGTACCAATCAGAGAGGTGGTCCTGGCCGTCCACAGATCGGCCGTGGCGACGCTAGGAACTTTTCTGGCTATGCCCAGCAAGCCCAGAACCAAGTCGGCATGGACGACCTGCGTCGTTTGAAGGGCGGTGCTAACCGTACTTCGAGCTCGAACGTCACATTGGGACCTATGTCGATGCTCAATTCTCGAAGCAATAGCGGCCGACGCCTGGGCCCTGGTGGCTCTCTGAGCAGAGGAGCCGAAGACTCTGGAGCCTCCTCCAGAACCGGTACTCCTCCCGTAAGAGAAACGCAAAGCAGTATCAACTCCTTTAGGTAAATATTCCACTCCTTATACCCTTTTTATTTAGCAAATACTAACTTGACCAGCCTACTTGCGAACATGGATTCCGAGAATCCGGCGTCTCCGCCATCCACCGCGGCGTCTCCTGCTCTTGCCAAAGTTGCCCCAGATACTACAGCTGCGGCTGAGAAGGGTGGCAACTAAACACCGTTTTCAATGATAATAGGAACGTCTTGCATTTGCGGTTGCATTGTCGCGCATAGACTAGGACACAGGACTACTGCGTTGCATTTACGGGGGGTTTATAAAATGTGTCTCAAAAGTTTCAGGTTTCCTTTCTCATTCTTATGATACCTCGCCCAATAGACCTACCCTCCCACGACCTGTCACCATAAAACGAACATTTCCCCCGGAATTTTCTCTTCCCAAAATTGTGTTTCATTACGTTTTCTCTTGCCCACCACAGCATGAGACAGTCATAGGGGGGTGTTTGACAGGATTCTCATTCATAATTTGCGCCACGTTCTAGCAACATGGCACCGATCGCAATCTGGTCAGGGGTGGCGGACCAAGGTGACGGGATCGATACGAACATGGAAGCAGGGTGGAAAATGGAGTAGGGTTTCAAGGACGTGGTCATTGCAGGCTTTGGGCTGCGCGCGCGCGCGTGGATCCAGGCATCGGAACCTGACAACGACCGCGGAAACCAACGGACTCTGGTTGCGTGTTGATCGCATTTGGATTTTGGTCATGACTGGCCACTGGTTGTCCTCGTTGCTATTGCTTCCGTATGTAGAACGGCCGAAGGAGAACAGGACCGTGGTGGAAGTTGGTCATCGGTCATTATTGATTGGTGTCCAACAGTAGGCGACGACGACACATACTTAGAGGACTACTTGATAGAGGTGAAAGTACGCATAATGGGGTTGGATTGGCATCGTCCTCTCCCTTGCAGATCCCTCTTGATCCTTACCTAAGTGAACGGTAACCAGTGGCAGTAAGAAAAATTGATTTATTGAACAAACGTCTTGACTATTTGCATGTGCTCGTAAATAACTTAGGCTGTGTTAATGTGTAGATGGCTTTAGCTATAAAAATACCTTCGGGGAGATGTAGGCCTTTCGCTCTCTATTATTCCATCTAAGTAGATGACAGCCAATCTTTAAATGATATATTGGGTTACCACTCGCCCCCAAATCAACCCCATCCGCGTAATAAAGCACTCTGAGTACAAAGTACTCATTCGTGTCATCTTCATATCCGCTTCTACGTAAGACACCCAGCGCCCGTACGTGTCAATATGATATATACTGCATCCCCTTTATGCTTTGTGACTTGTACATGAGATTAATATAACCATTGCCACATTTATCAAGACATTATTTTTTTTCTGGAACCGAAATATAGATGATACGTCTAACAAAGAAACCAATTTCTATCGTAGTGACATGTCGTTTTGAGTATAGAATGTTTGGGATGAAAAGTAGAGAATGGATTTTGGCTTCTCGGGTTGATTGATTGATTGAGGGACGGCCGTCTCTCGCCTCTTGCCTATACGATATGGGATAGAAACTCGCGGGAATGGCTAGTCGTCTATCCTTTTCTTTTTCCATGTTGTCACTACATACTTACTTCCTGCTATATCACCAACAGTTATTCATACGAAGGCTCTGTTCAAAAATTCGAAACGTCGGCTACGTCCCGCGCCCAGTGCGTGATGAGGTGAGCAATTACTGTATTTTATACTGCAGTGTGAAACCTGATAGCGATCTATCCGCCATCATTCAAGCCCCCCTCGGGATCTTAGCCACTGATGAAACATGGATGGCACACGGTAAGAGAAGGTTCCAATTTACACGGCTTCGTGCCATCACCCGCAACGCCTAGCTCAAATTTTCGACCCAGACCTTCATAACATCTACACCAACGTCAAGTATTCCATCTATAGGTACTAATAGATTACAACTCACAACCACGAATAAAGAGATTTAAATAACCGTAAAAAAGTTCATTAGACGAAAGCACGAAACCCGTGCCTTGCTCTACTCGACGATGTATGTATGTAGACTACCTACTCAACAACCACAACCACTACCTATATACTTGTGTAACTCTCCCGCATCCGCACCCTCATCCGAAACGCCCATCGCCATGATAGATAAAAATCCCGCAACTGAAATACCCACTCAACCCATCCCGCTTCCAACCCCTCATTACCAGGCACATACATACCCACTCTAGCTCATCCACCCATCACGCAGCAGAAGCCGGAGCCACGAACCCCAACTTCCCAAACAGCGTATCCATCGCAACCCACTGGCGGCCGCACTTATCGAGGTACTTATCCACCACGCCCTTAACCGTCGTAAACCTAATCCGGTTATGTTCCGCCAGCGCATTAACCCTCGCCTTCTCCTCCGCGTCTAGACTTCCTCCGTTCCCTTTCCCGCCGAGACCGGTGGTTCCGGAGGCGGCTTTGGCGCGGGCCTTGTCGACGTCGAAGAGGGAGGCGAAGTAGACGAGTTGGTTGTACATGTCGCGCTCGCCGTACTCGTAGCGCATGTGCCCGAGGCAGCCTGATGCGAGGCCGTTCGGCCCGAGACACCGTGTGCCGTACACGGACATCTGCCGCGTGCGGTTGCCGCAGGATGAGTCGTCGCAGACGAGCCAGCCTTCGTAGTACCTTGCCGTTGATGTACGGATTGCGTGCTCTACTTGTGCTACGATGCTGAGGTTGGGGATTGGTGCTGAGCATGAAGGGCATGTTATCCCTTGGGGCGTGATGCGGGTTTCTAGTTGTTCCAGGGATAGGAGACCTTCGAAGGGGGCTGAGGCTTTGCATTTGCGGCAGCGCAGTGACAGGCGCGCGCAGTCGCGGAAGCGGATCTCGTCGGGGATTTGTGATTCTAGAGGGTGGATCTCGAGATCGGTGGAACTCGACTGGTTGAAAGATGAATTGTTCGCATAGCGGCGCACGTCGAGGCCGAGTTGTTCAGCGAGCTGTGTGGTAGATGTTCCGGTGATGTTGGCGCATAGACGCTCGACAGGCGGGAAAATCTGCTTGCCGATATACCACTCGATATCTGCCTTAAGGCCGGAGTCGGTCTTCATCACATCTTGTGGTGTGTATGACCGCTTGGCGACGGGTTCTGATGTTGTACTACTATCTCCGGTGACGATGTACGATATGACGTCGCCGCGACGGACATTCTTGCCTCGTGCAATTTCTCGAAGAGCGACCTGGACTTGGGGCATAGAATCTGCGTTTGGATATTCCTTCGGTGCCTTGCCTAGTTGTGTATATATGATGTATTTTTGGACGGGGATTGTGTGTTCTCGCATCTTGCCTGATATCTCGCGCAAATACTCATGTATGCGCTGGACGGAGACCTCGGTCTCATCACCAGATAGGATCTCATTAAGGATGCGAGACGAGATCTCTTTTGATAGGGCACAGTATTCCCTGCGCTTCATATCAAGACCTTTGACCTCCATCTTCTCAACGAACTTGCCACCAGGTACTTCCACAAGGTTGATGGCAGCATACTTCTTCTTGGCTTGTAGCAAGATACGTCGGAAGACGTTATCAATATCGATCTCCAATAGGCGATATCGCTCATTGACGGCCTTTTTGAAATCCTGTCCGACTTTGAGTGCGTCCGCAACCGAGTCTACGTTGGCGTTGATCATGACGGAATCAGTATCACCGTAAATAACTTGGAGAGCTTTCGACTCTGCCAGTTCTTTGGTACTGCGGAGAATCTCACGACCTTTGTAGGTTGTGAGAACGGCAAGGGGTCTGGCGTAGAAACGAGATCTGTCGTATCCCAAGCATCCGTACATAGAATTGGCTGTTAGTTTCAAAGCAAGCTGTTTGATATCCCATGTAGCGAGCTGTTCCGGTGTAGCACTCTTGTCCTTCATGAGCGACTTGACTGCTCGTCGTCGGCTAACGAGGGTGGCGATAAGTCTTGGCAATATGCCTTGGTCTTGCTGCGTCGGAACCTCTGGTACTGAGTCTTCATCATTAGACTGTTTCATGCGTTAGTACAAATATTTCATCAAAAAGTTTCAACTCAACTTACTAATGAGCTGCGCTCAACTGTGGTGAAGCAGATGTTGAACTCCTGAATAATAGAAGGATATAGAGAGTTGAAGTCCATGACAAGCACAAACTTATCATATAGACCCCTTTCCGGCTCAAAGACTAGACCACCTTTATATTTATCCTTCTTTTTGCTTTCCGCAGTATCCTCGTTATTGTCCTCCTCAACCTTGGATCGGCCTTTGAAAAATTGCTTGTCGGGGCAGATATACTTGTTGCGATGGAACTCGTGAAGTAAAATGTACTCGTTTCGTTCAGCTCGAGTGCCGGTCAGCGTTCGAGCCCAAGAGTTTCCTGCCAAGTTTGTCAGGACTTTCGTTAAAGGTAGCATCTGGGTACCCAAGGCCAACGCAGCCACGAAATATGTGTCCGCTTCCATATGTGTTACGTAGTCCATTAGACCCTTCTTTTCTGTCGCCCATGTCTTTAGTGCAACATCATTATCAAAATCTCGTCGGCGAGTATCTCCGCCGAGGTAGATGTTGCACATTTCTGTCAAGCTCCAAGACTGGCACTTGTACATAACAGACTTTCCAGCGTCATTGGCAAGGTCACATAAGAGACGGCCAGCCATGAGCTGACGTTCTGCAAATACATTGCCGCCTGTCTTCCCTATCGAGGTTGGCCATTGGGCTCTGCGTAATCGCCCAAGTCGCGACCATTGAGGGGTCTTTCTCTCGTGTAGTCGATTCACCAGGACGCTGTAATCAACACCTTCGAGTTGATGTCCAAGAATTACATCGGGGTCAGCAAGGTCAACTTGAGCTAAAAAGAAGGACAAGATATCTCCCTCTTGTTTAAATAATTTGGTAAATGCTTTCTTTCGTTCTGAAGCCAGCTTCTCGAAGCCTATCGGGAACGCAGGTCCATTCGGTCTCATTATCGTGAACGTCCTTGAAGAAAGCTTCTCTGCAGGTGTAGTGTCGCTGAGTAAAACATTGTCATAAATACGGGCGCTTATCGCAAGAATCTCTTGTTTGTTGTCTTTTGCGTTGAACGTGGTTCGCAAAGCTAGACTCATGAGCGTGAGAGGGGGTGCGTCCAAGTTATCAGTGTCGCTCATGGAAGATATAGTGTCGGGGTCATGGATGAGGACATCGAGTTTAGCATAAGAAGCATTCTTCAAAGTACTGAAGTCGGCATTTCTTATCTTGAGCCAGCAAGGGCCCATAATGTTCTTCCACAACACAAACTGTTCGAATAATGCAGTGTTGGAACCGAACACGTGAGAAAAGGTCTCTCCTTTGCTCTCTGAGGGGATTTGAGGCTCTAGTCTAAATTAGTATTGAGTGTCAAAATAAGAGAAGAGGGATAACTCACTCGTATAGGGGTATAGAAGCTTTAGATACTGCCCTTCCTTTGGAATGTCAGGGAGCTCGAAAGCATATTTCCTAGTACAAGGCTTTATTTTGTGCATGTCGACTTTCATTTTCGTCATAAACTCATCAACTTCTGCATATACGTCCATCATTTCTACTTCCTCATTCGTATCTTGTCCGCCTTTTTGGCGATACTTGCGAGGCAGAAAGTATAGCTTCCTCAAGATGTTGTCAACTTTGACGAAGCAACTTGCGTAGGAGTTCGTTTTCTTGTTTAGCACCTTACCAAACAAACAAAGCGAGCCATTGACCTCCACGTAGTCTATCCAGAACATGTTGAGACTGCCGTCTTCCTCAATGGCATCCTTGTAGTCCACCTTGCCAACAACTCTGCTGTTGGTAACCGGACTGCTCACAACATTCAGTTTACTTGTGAGATCATTCCATGACGACGAATCAACAGCAGCCTCGTTGGCTTTGACTGGAGACGAGCTGGCGGGAGAAGGGTACGGATCAGGTTTGACTAGCTTCTTGATAGGCCGAGAGGCAGACAAGTTTACACTGCCAGCGTTGACTGCTCCAGCATGAGAAACTTCCATCATCTCTTCATCCTCATCCACAGGCTCGATCTTAACTTGAGCCTTGCGTGCTACGGCTGCCGCCGTGGGAGATGAGGGGGCCGGACCACTTTCGCTCATAAGTATATCAGGAACCGGCAGCGAAAGATCGTCGTCGTCCATGGGCGGGAGGAAGTCATCATCGTCGATAGGAGCAGCTTCTGCTTGCGGTGTCGGTAATACTCGTTCCTCACTAAGCCTTGCTTTCTTGGTGGCTGGTTGGCGACTCTCTCGGACAGGCGACAGAACACGGGCTCTACGTCGTTCAGGAGATCTGTGTCGCTTCGGGGCTCGCGGGATAGGGGTAGGTATGTTTGAATCGATGTCACCAAGTAGATTCGACAGGAATCTTTCATCGTCTTCGGTTTTCACGACCTAACAGTAGAATTAGCCTTGTGAGAATGTGATAGCTTAATAATATGACCATGTATATATACCTTTGGCTTCGGTTGAGCAGCACCTTGGCCTTTCCTAAAGAACTCGCTTATGTCACGATCGTTCGCGTCTCGCTTTGCCTTTTCTTCGTCACGTTTCTTCTTGTCTAGAATATTATAAGTGGGTGTCCCAAGAAGAGAAATTGGGTGGGCTATATATAATACCTGACTTGCGAGGCTTTCCTCCAAGTAACACTTCGTCCTCGCTCTCGGATTCATAAGTATGTACTCGGTCCCAATCTTCTCGACCATCGTCGGCATAACCTTCCCCATTGTCGTCGACGACGAAGTCATCTTGGTTTAGACGATCACGGACAATTTTTTTATATTGGTTTTCGTCAACTTCCTCGTATAGATCTCCTTCGTCTTGGAGCTCATAAGTGTCGTAGGCCTTTTTGCCAGCAGCCCGCAGAGCTTTCAGCTCAGCGAGTTTATTCCGTCTGCTAGCTGCCTTAGACATCTTGATTGGAGAAGATTAAACAACGTTCTGAGTATGGATTACGAAGAATAATTCATATTCAAATTGTTCAAATTGAAAATGAGGGGGGTTGTTTGTGTAGATGTAATTTGTAAGTCAATTGGATTGGTGTCAATTAAACTGGGATCTACTTTTTAGGGGATCTTTCCACTTTAGTGACGCGACGCGCGAGCCATCACTACAAACCCGTGTTTCGCGAATCCCTGTCAGAGTGATATGTACCTAGGTACTTAGTTGTCACGCTAACAAAAGTGGCTGCATTGGATTTGCCATTTTCTCATTGGATGATCTCTTTGAGTGGGTGGATGCTAGAAGGTACGTACCTAACCTAAAAAGACTCAACTTGCGTCACAACTTCAAAAGCAAATCCATTTATCGATAAGGATAGTAGCGCATCTAATTGGTTCTTAGGTTTGCGCATGCGACAGCTTAGAATTAATACTGATGGAAAATTTCCTGCGAATATAGAACATTGAATGCAAACAACACAAACCCTCTTTACATAATTCTCTCAGTTCTCTTATGAACTTGTGAGGCAAGTAAATATGTTTACTTGCAGATCATGTATGAGGAAATCTTTTACTACTCTCATAAATCATACTCTTCGTCTGGAAAACACATTTGCAACTTCGCGCCCACGACCCTACTCGTTTGGGAAACATGCGTCATCCCGTCGGTCCGCAGGGATCGAAAGATTCGATACAGCCTGGGATGAAAAATCAAACACCGAAACAATAACCCTAGATGATCTAGCAGAAGAAGATTCGGAATATACAGAAGACACAGAAAATACACAAAGACCTAGAAGGTTAACACCAGCAGAATGGGCTGCCCGGAAACACTTACAATACTTAAAAGATCCGCTAGATATCGCCAATCAAGTCAGAAAGTCATTGGGCAAGGATAACTTCGAAGAGGCTGTTATAATGACGAGAAAATCTAGTAGAGATACGAAAGTGACTGTCAGTTGGAATCACTTGATCGATTATGAGCTCAAAAGGGATAGAATCCATGCAGCTCTCAAGCTATATAATGAGATGAAAAAACGCGCCCAACTACCGAACGCTCAGACTTATACAATCATCTTCAGAGGCTGCGCTATGTCATCTCATCCAAAGCTAGCCGTCTCAGAGGCACTCAGAATCTACAATATTATGTTAAAAAGTGAGCGCATAAAACCGAACACTATCCATATGAACGCTGTTCTCCAGGTCTGTGCCAGGTCTGAAGATATGGAGGCGATGTTTAGCATTGTGCAGACAGCCAACGAAGGCATCAGGGCGCCCAACAGCCTGACTTACACAACAATTATCAATGCGTTACGACTATCGGTCAGTAAGCCTCTACCTAGGACCAGCATTGTTAGCCAACGACAAGCCGATGAGAGCGAGAAGGAAAAACGGCAAGCGATTCAGCGAGCCAGGGCTGTATGGGAAGAAGTTATATCGAAATGGAGAGCCGGGACCATGGTTATCGATGAAGAATTGGTTTGTGCGATGGGAAGGATCCTGTTGATAGGTACCTATCACGACACCAACTCTATAGGGGCATTGCTGGAGCAAACAATGTTGATCCCACAAGAAGATGGGGTTCCAATTTCTGGGCCGCCCAAAGAGGAAGACAACCCCAACGGTACCGATACCGATTTAAAACGACCTGCCATGATCAGTGGTCGTAGGACTAGGGCTCCCGGAGCTCCTACAACGAGCCATGCGCTCCCGGGAAACAACTCCCTTGCTTTGATTCTTTCCGCTCTCGAGAAAACCGGGTCAACAAGCAAGTCGCACCGTTACTGGGAAATATTCACTAAGAAGCATCATGTCGTTCCTGATCCTAATAACTGGCATTTACTATTCGTAGCTTTGAGACGCGGGAAGAATAGCGGCAAGACAGTTTCGTATTTGCGAGAGATGCCGCCTAGGATGACAGTCCCGAAAACTTTCCGGACGGCTATGAGCACTTGTCTGCGAGACAATCTAAACCGCAACTCTTTCCGCAATGCTACCGATGTGCTAGAGATCATGCAAGAAAAAACGGCAATTCCTGACATGCAGACTATGCGCATATACCTACGGGTGGCTTACGCCAACAAGCGGTACCACTTAGATCAGTCAAAGGGTGACCCGAAGGCCGGTATGATTGCATGGGGCCAACAGATTGCTGAGGCTTTGGAAAATCTTTGGAGACCATATATAGCAGTTTCGAGGGAGTTTGCAAACAACGGACCGGAGGCGAATGTGAAACGAGAGCTTGTTGCACTTTCGCGGAAGATGATTGCTGCCGCCGACAGGATAATATCTACCGAGATAGTAACTTCGGAAACCGCGGAACAGCTGAAATCGAAGCGAAATAACCTCAACAGGATCGTTGTCCACCATTTCGAACAAATGGCTGAAATCGACCCCAACTTCAAAAAGGAAGACATCGACAATGAAGAGGATGAAGCAGATGACGAAGAGGACTTCAACTATTATTCACCCGAATTTCGAGAGAAACGAGATGTAAAGAGACGTGGACTAGATGGACGAAAACAACTCCGAGTTCGTGGCTGATTGAATGCTCTGTACAATATCAATATAAGTGATACATAAGGCTTGAAATACCCATCAAATCAATATATCAAGAACATATATAATTCTTCTCAATTGACCTCTGAATATAGCGACAGAAGAGTGATTGATTCACGTTGTGATTTCTTATAAAAACGTGTACACTTTATATTTAGAAGCTGTCTACTTATACTAGGTATATATATGTACTAGAGGTTGGCACCTACCTAGTCAAACAAGAATCATGGCAGGAAAGGCCCAGTCGATAGATGTGCACAGCTGTCACTGCCATCTAAAAATATCTAGTAGAATACATCCTATAAGAGGAAACCACTCCTAAAAGCTAAAAAGAGCAGAGGGTAGTTACAAGGTCATTAACAACGTGGAACTTACAGTGTGTGTTTTTCTCGCTATCCAACTTGTGAATCATCTTCCTTCGATTTATCTTCGTCTCACTTGTTGATATTCATTCTGGAAGCCATTGGTATGTCGCTATACATTCTTGGACACCCAGAAACTACCAACTCATGCTTGGAAGCTTAGTTTCTATTATTACTTGCTTTCCCAGTTGCTATTTACATATAGTCTCGTTCTTTCTTGGTATCCAATATTCCTAATTACCAGCTGTAACTCATCTTATGGCTGGTCTTCGAGAAAGAATGGGAAATCATGCTACTCCTTCTCCTGGGGCAAATGGTTTAGGTATGGGGTTGTTCGCGGACCCGACGAGTTCGATGTCGATGAGTGATCGCCACGGATTAATGGAAGAAATGAGAAACAGTCGGAACTCCCTACGACAACGCTTTGTGCAGAGTCTCAACCGTAAACGATCGTTTCCAACATGGCAGTCACCGCAGCCACTGAAATGTAGCACGATCATCGACAATGATCATGAGCAACGGCCTTCCTTGATCCGAAAGAGCATCAGCTCTCTCTCATCGTCTCTAAGAGACCGCTTCTCTCTAGATTCTTCCATCGAAGATGAGAACCGACCTTCTGTCGTACGGAAGAGTTTCGGCTCCATGTCGTCTTCACTCAGGGGCCTCCGTACTTCTTTGGGCTCCCGGCCATCCCAAGACGAAGAACATGACGCGGAAAGACTTCCATATTGCGATTTCTCGAGAAGCGTTGGAAGGTATGCAGGCGGTAAATCAAATCGTTCAAATTTCCGTGGCCTTGGACAATTGTCTGACGCATCATCTGGTGGTAACTCCATCCCTCGTCTTCCCCGTCTTGACGAGATGATCTCAAAGGCAAGAGCTGGGAGGGTCTCCTCCGACATCCAATCTCCAAACTCACTGTTTAGTATGAGTATATTCGATGCTCTTGACCGCCCAATTGCCACAGACTATCCAGGTCAGTGAGCCTTTCATTCATCCCGTTATTTGGTTAATCAGGCGTTTCATTTTGCCTCGAACTAGATATATACACCTCTTTTTTATTCATATAAAATCCCGCAGCTGTCATCATGCTAATTATAGGAGAAGATAATATTATGACGGAGCATACCGAGCCGATAAGTGAACAATTATCTCCCATTATAGGGCGATTTCCGATCCGGCTCAAGTGTCCCAATCCAACATTATCCAAAAGAATAGCTAGATCAAAGGCCGAACAACGTATTCAACCAAAAGCTTCAAGTGATGACTCGGGTTATTCAAGTGGCTCCGACAAAAGCAAAGACAATACAAGCAACAAGCCTGGGGCATCAAAGGTTCCCGTAGCCTGGCTTGATTATATTTTAGAGATGACGGTTGATACACGAGAGGGTGTTAGACAGGTTCCTATACCAACCGAAACGGAAGAAGAAAGGTACCAGCGTCTAAGCAAGAAGGTATATGTCTTTGTCCCTGATGAGACCGACCACGCCAAACCATGGCCGAAGAAAACTTACCCCGATCTAAAATCGGCTCTTGTGGCTATCTGTACCCGCTACAAGCCATTTTACGCCCCATTCGCTGCGTACACGAACCTGACCCGTACCATTCAGCTCTTCCCGGCGGATTTTAGACTACCGAGAAATACCGCTCTCATTCCGGGCAGCATCATGTTCACCATGCAGGAGGCGTTAGATAACTGGGAGTCTACGCTGTTTTGTCGTAGCTTATCTGTCGTGGAGGAAGAAACAGAGGACCAGGGGACATTGGAACTCACTTTTGACACGGTGGCGGACTCCGGATCCGAGGAAACTATTGAAATTTCCCCGTCCCTCTCATGCAACTTTAGCACCGAGGACTCAGACGACATGATCGATTGCAGTATACTAGAGCCGGACTCGGATTCGCCCATTATTGTCGAGGCCAACCCGTTGAAGTATCCAGACCCGGAAATGGACGACTCGCAGATGTCATGGACGGACCAGTCGATGTCGACGGAGGATTACGATATGACCATGGCCTCGCGGATGGGGCTCATTGGCTAAGTGGCGAGAAAGAGGCTGGCTGCTTTCACGGGTTGGTACATTAGTGTGTCTCAGAGGTGCTGTTTCTATTGGTGGGCGACTTGTTGGAATTAGTTGACTTTCGTTTAATATTGGCGGTGGGCTGAGTCAAGATGCCGTGTATAGGAAGGTTAGGTAGAGAATAGAAAGCATCATTGAAATATGCCAGGCTAAGTGAAATATTGCTAAACTAAAACATTATAACTTCGGATTTTTTTAAAAAAAATTTCTTGAAAAAACACTATGGGATATTGAAAGGGGACAATTCCAGAAGTTTAAAGGGGGGGCACTGTTCAGTACAATACAGCTATGTGCCCCCACATCCCGGATAAGCGATTACCACAACCCGGACCGGGATAGCTTATCAGTTGCCCGCCACCTGCACGGAAACGTCATTTCTCAACCTACCACAGCTCAGACACAGCACACAGACCCAAATCCGATATCTGCCACCACCACCAACCTTGGCCATGGCGGACAGCATCCCAACCCAGATCGCAGAAACAATCCAAACAGCGCACATCCAACGCGCACCCTCCCCGCGCCACGACCTCAACCCCTCGTCCTCGATGTCGGAACGGACGCCTGTGCGCTTGGCCCGACAGACGCACGCTCACTCGCACTCGCGCTCGCATAGACGGAGGTATGGGTCGATTGATGGGTTGGACGATGATATAGATTACGGCGACGAGGAGGAGGAAGAGGAGGATGATGAGGATATCCCGATTAGTGTCCTGAGGCCCCGGCCGAGAACGCGCAGTTTTCCCCCGATGCCGGATTTGAGGTTCGAGCAGAGCTATTTGCATAGTATTTCGAAGGCGGAGAGTTGGTGGCGGGTTGGCTGGATTACGGTGCGGGATCAGGTTTGTTGTTCTCCCTTCTCTCTCATTCTATATATGTTGGTTCGGGGACTAATAAACGAGGAATTTGATTCAGATGATGATGCCGTTCGCGCAAGGCGTCCTGTATAACCTCGCGATCTGCGGCTGGCACCACTGGAACAAGAACGCGCGCATCAGCGGGAACTCGACCGGTGCGCGCTTGCGCCGCTGGTGGTACGGCGTTAATAAGTGGCCTTTACCCCCCGCGGCGGGGAAATCGTCACAGCGGCTGGGGCAGAGGCAGTTGACGCAGTTTCAGACTATACAGGAGAAGGTGAGGTGGTGAACCCCTTTTCCACAACACAAATGAAGAAAGAAAGAAAGAAAAATGAATATATACCCCCCGTTCTGTTGTTTCGTTTGGGAAGAGAGAGAACGTGTGTTTATATGAATGTGTGTGTTTTCTTCCAGCCCTGCTCGTTTTCGTTCGATGCCGTCGTCCGGTTCCTCGAGAGGTATGAGAGGGAGGCGGCGAGGATATGTCGGGGGTGGGCGAGTGGGTGGAAGGGTATTGGCACTGGGACTAGTTACCTAAGAGATTAAGGGGGGAGAGCACGCATACACAGGCATACACCACGTTACAGTTACCGTCTTGAAAACTCGGGGAATGGGGAATGGTAGAGGGGGGCAATACGGGTTGAAATTGGACTTTGAAAAGGCTACGTGCCCTATTTGGTTCTATCTGTACTATTATAGCAGCACAACCCAAGTCCATCCATCTGTTTAGATCGTTGCAGCAGCAGCACGTTGCCATGCGAAGGTGACTGACTGGCTAGTAAGTGTATACGTAGGATATGTACATGGATCCATTCCTCACCCGTCCATCCATCCATCCATCCATCCATTTATCTAGCTAGGTGATCACATGTTTCCTCACACAACCACCAACTACTCCTACTACCTACTACCAGCCCTCCCTAGAATCCGAGACACCCGCGTCCTTCGTCCGTTCCGCACCAAAAGCTAAGAACAACGCGATCCTTCTCGCAACCGTAGGTATCGATTTCCACCCCCTCACATGCTAGGCTGTGGGATTAGGACTCCCCCTCTCACAGGCAAGGAAAATCATGGGTGTCCTGCGTCTCTGTCTCGAGACTTTGTATAGGTGTATGTTATTAAGAACCCCGTTCACTCTCCCGCCCCGACATCGACGTGCTTCGGCAGCGTCTGCTGGACCTTATCCGGGCTTTCCCTAAAAGCCAAGGACGTCGACTGCAGAGCGTTCAGCGCGGGCGTCGTGGGGCGGTGGCTGGGGCGGTCGTTGGTCGCGGCGGTAGAGGACGGTTTCTCCTGCTTTCGAGTCGTGGCGACTGAGATGACTTCCTCGCTCTTCTCTTCGGGGGTGGGTTCTTTTTTGGCGGTACTGCTCTCCGCCGCTGAAGATGACTTGCTCTTAGAATCGTCTTTCTTGTTGCTGTAACGGTAGTCGTCGAGGTTGAACGCGGATCCGTTGGCGTCGCCCGAATTGCGCTTTTTCTGCGGCAGCTTGAGTTTGACCATCATGCTGCTCTTGCTATTCGCGTCGTCTAGGTCGTCGTCGACCATCTCCTCGTCTTCATCGTAGTCATCCTCTTCTTCTTCCTCTTCGTCATCATCTGGCTGATGAGCGTCCTCTTCGTCGTCGCCGAGCTCGGGTTCGCTATCATCGTCTTCTTCTTGGGAATCATAGTCCTCCATATCGTCGTCCATCGATTTGTATCCCTGGCCCTTCTTCGATGAGGGCGCCCAACCGTTCGTACCGTGGTTCACGGCCGCCGATCGTCGGGGTCGGCCGGAGGGTCCGACGGATGATTCCTTGGACTCGGTCGTTCCGTTCGCGCCGTGGCTCGTCGTCGGGCTGACGGTGACGATGTTGCTAGATGCGTCTACCGTCATGCGCGACGGAGCTTTGATCTGTCGTCCGCTCGCGGTGACCACAGGTCCAGCTGGCTCGGCGGGTGTGGGATTGCGCGTGTTACGGCTCGATCGACGAAACCCGGTGGAATCGGAGAGGAAGTCCTCGTCGTCCGAGTACGTGTACTTCATCCTCTTGCCTCGCGTCCGTCCCTCGTACATGCTGAAGCCGGGCTCGGGGCGCTTGAACTGCTCCTTGCGCATGAGGCGGTACTCGCGACGCTTGCGCTTCTCCTCGGTGGCCTCGAAGCGCGGGACGGCTGCTAGCATCTTATGCGCGAGCTTCTTTGCCTTAGGGCCACCGTCGGAGTTCTGCAGCTTGTCGGCTAGGACCTTGAGCTCGTCGATATCGCCTGCTACGCTCCACCATGTTCGGTTGAACCCCTGAGGGTTGCTCTCGCGGTATACTCGAAAATGGGTATCGTCTAGACCCTCGATTAGGTAGTAACGGCGTTTATCGCTGTCAGAACCCCATGGTTGTACGGAGAGGGGCTGGTTGAGGTCGTCTTCGTGGCGGCCGGCTTTGTAGGATTTGTTGATTATGCCCTTGATTACTTCGGAGGAGGATAGGGTCCACACGATGAGTGTTCGTAGTAATTTAAGCTATAATAGGAATTGAATTAGCATTAATTACTTCTTTTCTAAGTTTTTGTATATATAGATTTAATTGGGGAGGTGTTGTTAGACGTACGCGTTCGGTGGGATCCATGGTGGTGAAGCTCTTGCCACCCGACAGAGGACTCTGATCCTCCCAATCTCGCGCCCATTGGTTTTTATGCGTATGAATGGCATCTTCTAGCGCTCGATTATAGTGACCGGGTCTGTAAAAAGCAATTGTTAATTTTTTAGGACTTGTAAAAATAGTGTAGGATCGGGGTATTGCGTCATACTTGACATCTTGCTTGCGGTTCAACAACAAGCCCAACACAGCACACAAAAAGTGTTCCATACGCTCGCCGGGAATAGCTTCGGTTACGTCTCGTTCGACTTCTTGGGGGCCAAAGTTGGCAAGGGACTTCGGTAGGGCATCGTTAAATCGTGCACGGAACATTACAATGAACTAGATGCGAATTAGCTGATGGGAAAATGGGAAAACGACGCGACATTTCGCGTTTTTAGGCGCGGATGGGAGGTTATCACGTACCGCCACGTCTGTATTATCGGCTAAGACATATTCGTGTGCTGGAGAAGGGGATCGCTTGCGCGGTGGAGGTGATACCTCCTTCTTAGGTTCGGCGGGCTTAGCACCAGCTGGAAGCTTGTGAAAGAACTTGAGGATTCCCTTTTCGCGCTTAACTTCAATCTCCTCATCAGATTCAGAAGGAGCAGATGATAGCTCGGATATAGACGAGAGTTCGCTAGAATCGTCGTCGGCCATGTTGGTGCTGGTGATATTGGTCGATCTGAAAGTGAAGTTGTTGATGGGGAATTAAATTTAAAAAAGGAAAGGTGGGATGTGGGAAGTTGAGAGTTGTGGAGGTTTGGGAAGAAAGTGAAGGTCCTAAGGTCCAAAGGTCCAATGTTCAGCAGGAAATTCGGGACAACGCTAAAATTCCACTCATATTAGGCTTGAGCCGCACATCAACCAGGGGAGGGAAGGATAAGATTTGATAGGTTCAGGGTTAGTCACTCCTAAGTATGGATGTACTTGTATTGTAAGGAGGAAGCTCGGTCACTGTGGTCACTGGATACTAGGTAGCTTGGTAGGTATCGAGGTAGTAAGTAGTAAGGTAGCTAGCCCTATCCAACCTCCCTTTACATCCCCTTTACATCCCAATGGATACATCCCATTCTCATTCCCGTGGTCCTTACGACCTAGAACTTACCTACATCATCCATCTCCGAAATCGTCATGGCCAAGACCCAACCCTTTGTCACCGTCACCAACGTCACCAATGTCACTTGTCCTAACCTCACCTTCTCATATGTCCATGTCATAATATCATAATACCATAATGCCATATACCATACCATATACCGTATACCATAATCCTTCACCTAGTACCTAACACAACACATCAATCGCTTAGAAGACGAGACCATCACCCCCAGCCTTATCGTCAACGACCCCTTGCATTACCTAACTATCAGTGCCATAACATAACCCCAATGTACCCCAACGACCACCTACATATGGATATGACCTAGTATATGTAGGCAATGTTTGGAGATTGAGGCAGCATCATGACCGGAGTATGGCTGGTGTTGCTGATCCGTTGACAATTGTCCGCCTAGCCCTATCATGTGCTGTCCCGTTTGTCGGTCGGCATACAAATCTGCTTTATCCCCAACAAGAAATGCCCAATTGAGTCGGGAAAGGCCTAATACAACATGCTCCGAAATCATAAACACGACGATCACCACCGTACTATACTATAGGTATAGTAAAAATGATGACCGGGTAATAAGTTGAACGTCACCGAAGTCTGTGCCTTGACTTGTCTCGATTCAATTGTGCATCGTCTTCTGATATTCCGGGTGTACGTATTCGTGACCCCGTGTACCGTGTATTGCCGTTGCATTGCGGTGAGTTGGGTCCAGCCGCTTAGCTCCACCTCGGTTTGGGGCAACTTGGGGCAACGGACACCGTAACCGGCAGAATTTCCAACCCAGTCCCTCCCCGGTCCTGAGGCTATCGTGAGCAACCAAAACCCGTAAAAATTGCTCATTGGCCATGGTGAGCCAATTTTTGGCCGCACAGCTGGGTATTGGTAGAATAGCCGCACTTCCCAAATTGGAACACAACGCTCTTCGAAACAGCCATCTTGGCATATTACCCAGAAGTAATTCAATGCAGATGACTGTTTTCTAAAGGAATATCTTGTTTCTTCGCTGTTGATTTAGCTCATCTTCGTGGTAGTAGTCGTACGGGGAGCCCTAAGCCCGCAGATCCCATGTGATAAAATTACCACCCTGGGGTTTTCTTTTAATCATGACTTCCAAAATTTCCTTTCACACCTGCATTGTTAGTGAGTGGCATATTAAATAACGCATTGGTGGTATTAAAAAATCATCTAGGCAGTTAAGTTGATAACAAAAAACCCTTAGGGCAAATTGTCATAGTTGCATTAGATACTTGCCATACTTTGAGACCATGACTCAGATTCATAGTTGCACAGAAAATCTGTGCCATTCATCTGCTTGTGGAAGAATTATAGAAGATGCAGATTCCTACGTGAGGCGATAGTGGAAAGTTCGTGTAGTAGCCAGGAGCGGTCGCTCAACTGTGTCTCGCTACGATCCCATCGCATCCCCTCGCTCATTCCCACTGGCGATCACATCCACGTCCCAACACGACAACTTTCAGTGCGTCGGAACGCAGCAAACCCAAATAAAACGCTTGATAGGTTGGTCCCCCAATCATTCTGTTAAAGGTTGTAACCATGAGGCTATACCGTACTGTGTCTGACTGGGTAAAGGTAGACACAACATTTTCTTTATCGACACAGAGTGCGTAATCTGGTGTGTATATGGGATTGTTCGTGTTCCATGATGGATGGAGGGGTGTCGTTGACGACCATCCTTGGAAACTGCCGAATAAATTCGATTGACGTGTTGTTTTCAAAAACGAGTGAGCAAGGTTGTGACTCGCTTGGATAGGGAAAGGTCAGTGCGGGCGGAGGAGTCACGGGAAGACGGACAAAAAGGTCAGCCTAGCCGTCCAAAGGCGGTCAAAATTCAATTCGATTAGCGTCTTAACTAAGCCAAGATTCGTAGATGCCTAAGGCAGCTACTAACATGTGTTAGCGTCAACGGTCAGATTAGGTTCTGTTAGGGTGTGGCGTGCCCATGTAGCTGTGGCTTTAATATGGAGAGAAGGTGAAAATGGAGATGTGGTGGCAGGGTGGATGAAGAAGCTAAAAATAGTGGAGTGTAAAACCCTCATTTTCCGCATTCTATGCTTATTTACCTAATGCATTTTTGACGTACTGCGTACAGTACCTCGAAACAAATCCGAGGGCCCGCCCTGGCGTCCGTCTGCGCTTCCTTGTTTCCTTTTCAACCACAAAATTTATCCCCAACTTTTTCTCCTTACTCCATACGATCTTTCCACCGACCTAAGAATTACACCACAAAGGAAAAGACCGTATTTTAGCTCGCTCATTATCCTCAAGCCAAAATGAGTGACGCTCAGGCGACCGAGGCTGAGAAGAACGTAAGTCCAAAATCGTCATAGGCCACTCTACCACGTCGCAATTGCTCCAACGACTTCCCCGCTGCTAGGTGGCCTCTTCACAACGAATATTGTCAAATGTCTAACAATTTTCGCGCTTGCAGATCGAGATATGGAAGGTGAAAAAGCTCATCAAGCGCCTCGAGGCTGCTAGAGGAAATGGCACATCCATGATTTCCTTGATCATCCGTATGCAATTTACCCCTCCCCCGCTTTAAATTCTATATAATAAAAAATGCCAAATTGTTAAATTGTTAAATACTAAAACTTGAAAATAGCTCCTAAAGATCAAATTTCGCGCGCAGCGAAGATGTTGGCTGAAGAATACGTATGTGGCGTCATTTACCCGCTACTTCCAGATTTTCACAAGTAAGCTGACCGTCGATATTAGGGTACTGCTTCGAACATCAAATCTCGAGTCAACCGACAGTCCGTGCTCTCGGCCATCACATCCACCCAACAGCGACTTAAGCTATACAACAAAGTTCCCCCCAATGGCCTTGTCGTGTACTGTGGTGAAATCTTGACCTCGGAAGGAAAAGAGCGAAAGGTCAATATCGACTTCGAGCCCTTTAAGCCCATCAACACCTCTCTGTACCTTTGCGACAACAAATTCCATACCGAAGCCCTAGCCGAACTGCTGGAGTCAGATCAGAAGTTTGGCTTCATTGTCATGGACGGAAACGGTGCCCTTTTCGGTACACTCAGCGGAAACACCCGTGATGTCGTTCACAAGTTCTCTGTCGACTTACCCAAGAAGCATGGTCGTGGTGGTCAGTCTGCTCTTCGTTTTGCCCGTTTACGTGAGGAGAAACGTCACAACTACGTCCGTAAGGTCGCCGAATTGGCCGTTCAGAACTTCATCACCAACGACAAGGTCAACGTTGCTGGTATCATCCTTGCTGGTTCTGCCGATTTCAAGAACGACCTTAACGCCTCTGACATGTTTGACAACCGACTGCAGACCAAGGTCATCAAGGTCGTCGATGTTTCCTATGGTGGTGAGAACGGTTTCAACCAGGCCATCGAGTTATCTTCCGAGACTCTAGGAAATGTCAAGTTCATCCAGGAGAAGAAGCTCATTGGCAAGTACTTTGAAGAGATCAGCCAGGATACCGGCAAGGTCTGCTACGGTATCGAGGATACCCTCAAGGCCCTGGAGCTTGGCGCGGTAGAGACCTTGATCGTCTTCGAGAATCTCGAGATTACTCGATGGGTCCTCAAGGACAGCAATAGCTCTGAGATCATTCTTCATACTACCAAGCAAGATGAGACCGGTGATCGTGCTAAGTTCATGGACAAGGAAACCGGACAAGAGATGGAGGCAGTCTCTCAGGACTCTTTCCTCGAGTGGATTGCGGAGCACTACAAAGATTTCGGAACGAATCTAGAATTCGTATCGGATAGATCGACTGAAGGCAACCAATTCGTGAAGGGATTTGGTGGAGTTGGCGGCATTCTCCGCTACAAGGTGAACTTCGAGCAGCTAGCCGAAGTGGATGACGACGACGACTACTATGACGATTGACAGGTATGAACTCAAAGTTCCCTAGCATAATCTTCAAGTTTCTGTTGGGTAGTCCCTTGGGCGTATCCCAAAAGATGTATGAAAGAGAAAAAAAAATCATATTCCAGTAACATTTCTCTACGCTGTAAAATAGTTGCTGACATCGATGTGTGTATAGTTTGAGGAGTCCCTCGTTAACGACGAGGGGAATGCTCAAGCAGTATCGTCTAAGCAGGAATTTGTCGTGAAAGAATCGGAGCGTCCGCTGCCGCAGCCTCCCGCGCCCACGCCGGCGTCGGTCTCCAGACCTGCGCGAAAACCGACGGCGGCTTCGTTCGCACAGAGGCGTCTGATGAAGTCTGGCCCGGCGAATTCCGAGCACACGGCTGGACAGGTCGCGACACCTAGCCCGCTTCGCTCTATGATGACGGCTTGAGTTGACTTATGGCATGGAAAGGAGGTATGATATCACCAACCGTTATATGCAATCGGGAGAGACTAACGCGAAGGTATACAGATGCTATACCCGGGGGTCTACCAAAAGTCCGGAAGCGTTGGACCTGCCTACATCATAGAGCTTCGTCCTTTGAAGTTGTCAGGGTGATTGATGAAATTTGTCCCGTTCACAAATCCCTTGACACACCAATTTTACTCTGCTTCTTGTGGCTCTGGACAACTATCAACCGGATTTGCGGTGCGTTCGGGAATCAGAGCATTTGAGACACGTATGATTTCGTAGTGGTTCGCCACTCATTACACTCGTTCATGGTTCCTCAGGAACACCTTAGATAGCAATAAAAACACCAGTCGCTCTTTAATGATTTTGGGGTGTTTATAATTGTACATGTGGCCATTCTGTCAGCTTCGTCGAGATACCATCGTGCATCATGTATAGGTGACACTCTTGCCTCACTAACAGTACTTACTACCCAGTAAAGAGGGGGTGATCTTCCTCTAGTGCTTCAGTGGCATCCACCCGCCTATTTTCAAAGTTGGCCAATCACGGCGAGCCGTACCTTAATAGCGTAGGTCCAGTAGCGTCCGTCTTCGGGTCGGCCCCCGGGAAATGCAACGAAAAATCTGAATCGGAGAATTGTAGTTCGTCGGCACGCCCTTTTGCCTTTTTCTCCCCCACCCCCCCTTTTTTCTTTTATCTTTTTTCTCTTTTCTGAAGATGACGAAGGTGTAGGGTTCGGCGTTATTAGCTGGGTTATAAAGTATACTAGCAGACTAGGTACCGTGGACCTACCTGGTAGGTGAGCTAAGGTGAGACAAAGAGAGACTCGGGCTTATATAAACCTTCCGGTTTTTTGTTAATTAGGAGGTTTATGAAGCTTCTTTTATATTTATTATATTCGAATTGCCTTTACTTGGAGTAAAGGGAAGGATAGTGGGAATTATAGGACCCCGGACTTCGGACTTCGGAATGGGGTCACAGCTGCAACCGCAAAATGGCTTAGGCGCTGCGGCGCCGGAAGCAAAGACGAAGCCATCCGTTTGCTTCCTCGGCCCCGTCTCTTCTTATACACACCAGGTACGGCTTGATTCCGGGTCATTGACAGCAAACATATGCATGTTTATACAGCTCTTAAGTGTTATTTAAAGCTAATGGTTGTATATTATTGGGGAGTATAGGCGGCGTTAAACACGTTTCCTGAGGATAAATTCGACTTGATACCCGTTGAGACTATCAAAGGTACTTCATCCTTTTTCTTATGTTTTTATGCTTCTATAAAGGAAGCGAGAATAAATGGTTATATAATGCACCTATAATGTAATCAAACACGATATTTGGGACTTGGGATTATAAGTATATCACTAAACTCTCAAAGACATCTTCGAAACAACCCAATCCGGCCGGACAACCTACGGCGTCGCGCCGTACGAGAACTCGTCCAACGGCTCCGTGGTCTTCACCCTGGACCTCTTCGCCGACCGCGCCGGCGAGTACCCGGACCTATCCGCGTGCGCGGAGATCTACCTCGACGTGCACCATTGTCTGCTCGGACACCCCCCTCCTCCCCCACCCCATTCCCATTCCCATTCCCAGGATGGTGATGATGATGAAGGCAAGGTAGACGAAAAGCATGAGGAGAAGGGGTTCGATTTCTCACACATCAAACGCATATACAGCCACCCGCAGGCCTTCGGCCAATGCACCAAGTTCCTACGCCAGCACCTCCGGGGCATCGAGACCGTAGACGTGAGTTCCACGAGCCGCGCCGCGGAACTCGCGCTCGCGGATGAGAGCGGGGGGAGTGCTGCTGTGTCTAGCGCCGCAGCGGCGAAGGTACTGGGGTTAGGCGTTTTGGCAAGGGATATTGAGGACCGGAAGGATAACACGACGCGGTTTTTTGTGCTGAGACGGGGGGTGGGTGGGGTGGGGGAAGGGGGAGAAGGGTGGGAGGAGAAGGCTTTGGAGAGTGTGTTGAGGAAGAGGAGGAGGGGGGTGGGCAAGAGGAAGAGAGGGGATGGAGAAGATGAAACTGAAGCTAATGCTGAGAGCGAGGGGAAGGTAGATGTGGACGTCTACTCGCAAACTAAATCCCTCGCCTCCTTCACGGTCCCACACAGATCGCCTGGCGCCCTCGCTGACGTGCTCGAGTGCTTCCGGCGCGCGCGCCTTAACCTCACGAGTATCCAGAGTAGACCCAGTCTGGCTGAGCCCTTCCAGTATATTATCTTTGTCGAGTTTGAGGGACACCGGTATCGTGACCCTGAAGGCCGTGTTAGCGACGCGCTGGCCAGTGTCGCTGAGGTTGCGAGGAGCTCGCGGTGGTTGGGGAGTTGGGATAGCATGCGGTAAGGTGATCTGGGGTTGAGTGGAAAGGGGCGTATAGTGGAAGAAAAAAGGTCTTTACACTCAAGCTCTATTTATGGGTTCAGGGGCATTTGGGGTTTCGTAAAATATATGGTACCTTGGCGTAAAAAACGGCTATATTCCATGTTAGTATGGAACGAAGCATTATGAATATAGCATCTATATAAGCATAGCAAATCAAGATTTCAAGTTCCAAAAGTTATCCATCTATGGATGTGGTAATTACGTGACTTACTATTTCGTTCATATACCCATTGATACAAGTAAAACAATATCCACCTACCCACAGCACGCAACCAACTAACACAAACCCACCTAGCCGCACAAAACAACCCAAATTCACCAAATCACCAAATCAAGCACACATCAACTCAAACCAGCATGGTATCATCGCTTTCTATTCCCCTCAAAGCCATCAAGCCAGACCAGACCAGACTAGACTAGTTACACAAATACACAGGGCAAAAAAGGGGGTTGGTTGGTTGGTTTACTATGCGTTGACGATCGGACGTAATCGAAACAAAGTGACGATAAGTAGGCACCTACATATGCAAGTAGTAGTAGTAGTAAGTAACATGTAAATTACTCCGACCCTTCCCTTCCCTCCCCAACCCAGCCTGCCCCATCTATTTTTAATTCTACAGGGTTTTTTGTTTCTCGTCGTCAGATCAGATCAGAGACATTAAACGTTCGTTTCGTTGCTACCTAGCCTTACTTAGGAAGGTACCTAGGTAGGTAGATAGGTAGACAGATCTCTAAGCGTTGAAGTAGAAGTTCTCGTCCGGCGTGCGGCCGCGCATGAACTGCGGCTCCGTGCCCTTGACGTAGATATCCTCGTACAGGATCTTGGGTGTGTTCTCCGGGACGGCCATGGCCTCGGCGATGGCGACCTCGTCGTTGACGTGTTTGCGGGCCTCCTTGTCGATCGACTTCAGCTCGTCCTCGGTGCACACCTCCCAGTCGAGGATCTTCTGCTTGAGGCCGGCGATCGGGTCGTTGGTCGAACGCATGCGCTGGATCTCCTCTCGGGTTCGGTACGTGGTACCTGGGTCGGACATGGAGTGACCGCCGTATCTGTAGGTGACGTATTCGAGGACGAGAGGTCCGTTACCGGCGACGGTCCACTCCTTACCGTACTGAACGGCGGCCTTGACCGCGAGCACGTCCATTCCGTTTACCTTGAGACCGGGGATGTACTGACCACGCTTGTAGTAGTCGGTGAGAGCAGACGATCGAGCAGCAGCCGTACCCATACCATACTTGTTGTCTAGATTAAACGTGTTAGCTGCAACAGCTACAAACGAGCAATATTCAAACCGAATACATACTTTCACAGCCGAATAGAGCAGGTAGGTTCCAGAGCTTAGCCATGTTGAAAGCCTCGAAGACCTGACCCTGGTTGCTGGCGCCATCACCGTACAGGATGACAGTAGCTCTCGGCTTGTTGGTGTACTTGTGAGCGAAAGCCAAACCGGCACCGACGGGGACCTGAGCACCGACGATACCGTTACCGCCGTAGAAGCCCTTGGTGAACATGTGCATGGAACCGCCCTTGCCGTAAGCGATACCCTCACGTCGGCCTAGGAGCTCGCCTATGATAGATCGGACGGTACCTCCGCGCATCAGGGCGAAACCGTGGCATCGGTAGGCGGTGATAATGTCATCCTCCTTGGTCAATGCGTGCTCGATACCGATAGCGACGGCCTCTTGACCGGTGGACAAGTGGCAGAAACCCCGGATCTTCTTCTCCTTGTACAATCTATCGGCGGCCATTTCCATCTGTCTGTTATATTCATGCAAGGCTCTGGTTAGCAAACGCGACTCGGCCGAGAAGGCGAGGGGCGGGTATGGACGGGATCGGGCTCGGGCGTGTCTGCCAATCGCAGTGCTTACCGGACAAGAACCATGTCGTAGTACATCTGTCGGAGCTCCTTCTTGGTAACGTCGAGGGTGTACGGGGGCGGGTCGAGCTCGTAGGTCTCGAAGCTCTCGTCACTCAGGGTGACCTGGAAGTGCTTGTCGTCGGCATCGGGAACGGCGTTCTTATCAGCATGCGAGGTAGCAGCGTTTGTGGTAACGGAACGAAAAGGTGCGACGACGACAGGTCTGGCAGCTCTGGCTCGCGCCAAAGGAGCCGCTGCTCTGGGAACTCGCAGAGCACGCGAGAACATGGTGATCCGATGCCGTTGATAGAGGAGGATCCTAGTTAGGGAAGTGAGGGAGAGAGAGAAGATAATAGAGCGAGATATTATGGTTGAAGCTTCAACTCTCTCAGCTGCTGTTTGAATTTAGGAATTGGAAATTGGGAAATTGTTTGAAATGGAGAGCTCCGGAACGGAAAGTCAAAAGTCACTCAAAAATTCAACGTTGGGATTTTCCGCCCGACTTTTTCCTTGGGGCAGCTCCGGCCCGCGCTGTGTGCTTGTAACTTACGCTGTAGCTGACTTAGACTACTGGACCCTAAAGCGGGACTAGTCCATAATTAGTACTAATTACTCCGTAGTGGATCCTAAGATAAGCTTGTTGAGAGCTAACCTAAGCTAAAAAGGTAAAAAATACTTAGTCATCTTGGCGTTTGCTATCAAAAACATCCATAGATCAATTCAATTGACTTTCTATAGCAATTAATTATATACAAAATATTCTACTTATTGTAAGTTGTCTATATATCATAGTGGCAGGCAAGGAACTATATAGAAGAATCAATTGTTTGTTGTGTTCTCCGGACGGTAATCACCAGTAAGGGACATTAAATCCTACCCCCTTTTTATGTCACAATCGCTTAAAAAAACACGAAAACGCCGGCTTATCCAATCACATGGTGCCTCTATATTGAATATTGAATATCGAAAATCCCTATTCTCAATACATACTTTCATAATAGTTCTGCTTTTAGACAACAAATAGTGACAGAGGATACAATAATTCTGTAATACATCCTGAATACATCCATTCGATCAACAGGACTGAACGGGGAATCATTCCGACCAAATGCCTCCGCATTCCCCCTCCAACCAATCCATAGATCCAGTCGTAAATTCCACAAGGTCCGTATTCGTCCATAGCAAGCCCCAATGCCCGTACGGGGTATTCCATAAGCAGTTCTAGGACCTCGTCCAAGTCATCCGAAGTCGATAATAATTTCCACAACCCATCGTTCCCTCTACCCATTCCTATTCCCATACCAACACCGGTGTTGCTTCGCCTGAAGAAAGTGAATGCCATATCTATGCGTGTATCTCTTTCGTCCGTCTCTATATGAAATGCTGTATATTCCCTTTCGCGATTTTCCGTGAAGCCGATATGTCCAAGCCTTCAGGTAGTATTACGCCGTTAAGGAACTACCTCGTCACTCCATCTTTCGTAAGCCGTAGGACGTCGTCATAATGTAGGGTCATCGTGCTATCTGAGTTTGCGATAAAAAACGGGGATTGGATAGAAAATGTCATGTTTTCCTAGATCGTTTCGCTCGTCGTGGTACTGAACTACTACCCTCGTCTTCGTCTTCGTCGTCGTCCTCGCTGTCTTCGCGCGCATGATTTCTCTCGTTTCCTTTCTTGATAGAAATAAGACATCCTTGCTCTTTAAGCCTCTTAGTCAGTGCCGTGCTCGCTCGCATTCCCGGGAAATCCTTGGCGTTATAGACCGTAAATACCTCGCTCATAGCGATAGCGCATACTGGAGTTTTCGATCCGGGAACCGAGTTTGGGTCCAAAACCACCAGACTAAACCTCAATCGAAAAGTGCCGGGCGTTCGGCAGGATAAATCAGGAAAACAGAAAAAGCACCCTTCCTCGTTCTTTTCGTCGATCCCTACGAAGGGTGACGATACTATCGTTCCCATCAATCTTCGCTGCTGGCGAAAATCATCTGGCATCCCCGAACAATCCTGATCGCCCGTCTCGTTCCAGATCGTGCAATGCATGACTGAAAATCGGAATTTTAGCTGAGTACGAATCTCATCTTGCGAGGCCTTCGGGTCTTCGATAAAAACTTGAACTATCGGTGGAGGGTCAATAACCCTACGATCCCTTTCACCAAACCCACACGATCTCGCGGCAACTGGCTGTTGGCGAACTTTTAGCTTATACGTCGAGGAAGCTGCAGCAGGAACTCTTCTGCGTTCTGGCGCCTTCGAGGAGCCCGACTCTCCGGTCTTTGGGGCATGAATTAAGTCCGATATCTTCACCCGCTCTGGAGCACGGATTTCAGGCTGGGGTTGCCATGCTGGTCGAGGGGGAGCTATTGCTTGCGGCGAAGGTTGAGGGCGGGTCTCTTGATACCTGTACTCTGTCGTTGGTCGAACAGGTTGAATATCCGCATAATGGTGCTGCTGGTGCTGCTGCTGAGGAGAGCCTCCAATTTGCCTTGGTTGTTGCTGTAAAGGTAGTCTAGGGGCCGGCATGGAGTTTGCTTCGCCTCCCAGTTGACGAAATCGGTTATATTCCGGCGGCTCTCCGGCTCGTTCACTTACACTCGGCGGTCGTGCAGGAAGACGACTGCCCGCATCTATCGACTGTCTTGCGTAAGGACTAGACACCGCAGCGTGCGATTCAGGGCCTGGGATTGAGTGCTGCGGGTTTGGGTAGACAGGCGATGATGATGATGCATAAGAGCCCTCATAGGAATTATGACTGTAAGTCGGCGGATGCTGTCTGGCGGGTGGCCCTTGGGTCGTGCGTGGTCCGGTCACTAAGTTAGGAAGCGGAGGTAGACGCACTTCTTGGGATTGTTCCTGTGCATAGTAAGATGCGTGTCGCGGAGCATAAGGGTCCTGGGCCCACGATTCGGGTGGCCTGGCCATCGTGTCCACCATGGTATTACAACAGAAGCCGCCGTGCGATGAAACCTCGACGGCATCAAACGAAATAGAACGGGCACTGGTGTACGTAGTCGACGGCTAGAGGTCGTAGTGGAACTATATATAAAATAATTGGGAAATGGTTGAACCACACGAGAGTGCAAATTGACACCTGGTCGTACTGTGTCAGTGATACCAACCGCGCGGAAGCTTGTCCAAAAAGCTTCAAGTGATAGATGGTGCGCAACGACAAACGCAAAGGGCGGCTAAGACAACAATTGTCGAGATGTAATAGCAAATGAAGCGGCAGAGCTTAGACGTGGTGCACCCCGAATCCACCCGGTAAGAGGCTAGTAGTAAAGTAGTGAAGTAGATCCGCTAAGGAATTCTGGTAGAAAGCGGATATTTACATATCTGTGGTCGTCGACGAGCGCGTTGAGAGGTCGAGATGGGAGAGTGGGTTAGGAATATCCTTGCAGTGAGCAGACTGCTAGAGACGCCGTGCGACTATAACATTATACTATTTCGACTTGATGATGGTGGGTGATTGTCAGCGTTGATGGAGTAAGGAAGGTGAAAAAAAAACGTGTCTGACGTGCAGATTGTAGGGCCACAGACGTAAGCGAGGATTTCTTTATGAGCTATTCCGTGCAGTAAACATGATGCTAGGGTAGAACCCCGGACGGGAAGAGAGAGGGAAGGATTGATATCCGGATGGGATTCCTGCTCGCTGATTGTGGCGGGACCTAACTTCGAGAACCGTCGATTATATTAGGCCCAACGGATATGTGCCCTCCCAAGTCGACCCCTTACGAGAAGGAAATGGCGGCAGTAAAGAAGAGAATAGATAATAAAGTCCCTTTTTTTCTCACAAGTGTTCTCTATTTCAAAGCTCGGCACACACAAACATACGCACACGAGTAACCGGACTCAGATGTGAGCCAGTTGGCACGTCAGTTTGTGACAGTTCGGGATGTACCTAACGAGACCCGGCTTGGAGAGATGATAAATGAGAGAATGGGTCGGCATACGGTAGATACAAGACAGCGCAGAGAGGGACGTCGCACACAAACAAGGGACATGAGAAGGCTAGGCCTAAACAGTAAGCTGGCAGCGGCAGAGTTGCAGGAGTGGAACTGGAAGCGAGTTCCGGCTGAGGCGTGAAAACCGAGTATTTGGGCCCTCTGGTCCCCTCCTCTCAGCCCGCTGTCCTGGCCCCTGGGGCGTGGGAGAGCAGGGAAAGACATACGCAGCAGATATTGCTGGTGTCGCTGCGATCTAGCGAACTGGGGGCAATCTGATCCTTGCCCACCCTTACCACCTTTTCCCATCTTCCCTGTCCGTCTCTCTCGAGGCATCCTAGTCGGTTCGGGGGGCAAAAGCGGGACGAACCAACTCCAAGCACTCCCGATTCAGCCACGGCATCTCCCACATTGTTCCCCCATTATTTTCACTAACGTTAATAATATCCGTGCCGTCTCTACTCCACCGAAAACGGGCTTTTCGTGATAGCATGGGTCCTACCACCCGTGCTCTCTCTGATAGCCCTGAATAGCCCTGACAGCCCTGGAAATCCACGCGCGACATTAATTACTCCTCTCCTTCCGCCATTCGCTTTATCAAGGGGCCGCTGGGCACCAGTATAATTAATGCAACTAGCATGGCACATTATCTGCCGGTCATGAACAACCTACGAGATTCTACCACGAAGGATAGGTAGTAAATAAACAATGGAAAGAGGGGGAATGCAGAAATGAGAAAAGATAGGCTGGACGGCTTTTTTGGGCTTTTTTTTTCTTTCTCTTTTGCTTTTTGTTGCTTGTCAGCCAGTTTCTTCCGCATCTGCAAAAAAAACTCAACAACGGCCCATTCCGCGCTTTTTTCCATTGGGCTGCCCAGCGCTATCGAGCCAAATTCTGTATGGCGTCGGATCCCAGCTTATAGGCATCGAATTACACGACGTTATTAGACTCTAGAAGAGTTGCGAGTAGTCGAAGACCGCGGAAACACTGTTTGTCGAACGCCTAGATCTGCACGTTGCTGTTTACCGCGCCTAGCTGAAAGTTCTTGTCACCGATTGCCTAGAATCAGAGACCGAGACAAATCCACCTCCATTCGAAACAGCTGTTTTTCTTTCCATGATAGTTTGACAATGTCGTGACATTTTCCGCCGACAGATATTTTGACGGAGCATGGGTTAATTTTTTTGTTTTGTTTTTCTGGTTTTCATGGGACGCAATGCAATCGTTTATCCAGGGGAATAGACGAACCACAAGTGTGGACACAGACGCACCCCGTGGGACTTATTCGGGCCAATTCGCCATTCAAGCAAGTGTGAGCCCGGAACTCGACATTGCACTCGCACAAAATTTGCTGATGTTCCATTCGCAGGCACTCTTTGGAACAGAGGGCGTCAGCGGTTGCATCACCAACCGCCGTAGCATTTTGGTGGAGTCGAGGCTTTTTTTTTTTTCTTTTAATTTTTTTCCACTAACCACCATATTGGGCAAGCATGGAAATGTTTAATAAGCAAGACAGGGCAACCGGGCAAAGCGCATTGCGGGCCGCCCGTCCTCATGCTGATGAAGGAAAGTAGGCGATCCAACCGAATCGTGTGTTATATCAAACCGGCCTGGGGAGGATCGTGGGTTGCGTGGGCACTGTGACACCGTAAGCACGACACAATTCCCAGATTTTGGAATACCTACAAGACGGATGAGCGCATGCTGCAGCTGCCGCCCTGTCTCGTTTACATGCACCACCACCGTCAATGAGAATTAATTGTCCTGTCGGTCACCTATTAATATAAGCGCCAGGCATTTTTACATTGATCCGACCAGAGTATGGTAGAGCTAGGGGTTTACCTAGCCTGCTAGCACATATCGTATCGTGCCGTACCGCACTGCACCGTACCTATGCATATTATAGGTACAGGTATACAGGTACTAGGCTGCTAGGTACGTATAGAAGAAACACAGACAGATGGTTCTATTCCAGTTCGAGGCTCCAATTTGAGGCGATCATGGGTCGGGTCGTCGGAGAATAAATCCCATCCAAGCACTAAATCGATTCAGTAATTATGAACGATTCCTGGCTCGTTTCCGTTTCTTCTCAGGAACGTCAGAACCAATTCTCGACAACCCTTAGCATTACAGGGGTATCTTTCGCCCTGATTCTACATAGTACGGGATATGCCAAGCATGTAAGATGGCAAGATGGGTGGATGGTTGATGGGACGGTTGGTGAATGAAAGGGCCTTCTGCTTTAAAAAAAAAAAAAAAAAAAAGATGCAGCCCGGTGAATAACCATGTTACCATAAAATCCGGGTTTTCCTCTCATTAGTCTGTCCGGCACCCCAGACAGTGCAATTACAGGGGTCCATCAAGAACTAGCAAGAACTCTAGCATTATGTATGTATGTACAGCGTACCTCCAGCTACCATTCCCACCATTCCTACCTCTCCTAGGTCTGTAAAAGGGAAGTTACATCTGGAGCTTCTAGGCATTCTACAATGCGTAAGCTGTATGCGGTGGAGTTCACCATGGATCCTTCCCCGGTCGAAGAAAACAAGGTTCAATATTCCGTACTTGTCTGCTTACATACATACATGCATATCCTTAGATTTGTACACTGGCAGACTGGATAATACCTGCCTAGGTACACGTGGATATTCAAGGTTCTCACCAACATCGACTTTGCCGCTTTTCTTCATCACATTATTCGGTATAGATACCTACTATTGATGTCGATAACATACGAAACTACAACATTTCCTACGATACTCTACATGACACTACGGAGTCAATAAGAAATAGGTACAATGTAACATTGATCGGGATTTTACCTAACCAAGATTCATCTTTACCACTTTAGAAGTATACAAGCGAGACGAAGTTACGAACAATACGACGAGAATTCAAGACACCATTATTCTATGCCTTACTTCGTATACGGTATACCTACCTACATAACATCATCATGTACATTTCAAACGTCGAGCGAAAAAGACTCGGAGCTACATCATATATATCTTTACATCCATGGATCAAGCATTCCTAATACTGACGACGACGGCTTCCATATACCTATCATTATCAAGACAATTTGAGCCTCCCTACCAGTACCAACCATGATCAGTAGATAAAGGCCTAAACTAACCGAGCTTGCACATTTCATCCGCTTCGCCCGTAGTCGAACCCGATCCAATCAGGCGTCCCCGAACACTTGGACCGGTCCGAGTGCTCTAGTCTTCTTCTGAGTTACGCTCACTCTTTTCATAAACCTATCTAAGGCTTATTTATCTACGCTCCCCAATGATAACTTCGAATAATAAACCGGCACTTCTCCTAGTGGATGATACTATATGAGGATGACAATTATTGGCAAACGGGAACTTCTGGAATGATCACGGCCAAACCCGTGTTTGTAAATGAGGCTGTTTCTTGCTTGGGTACCCGGTTTACCACAACCACATGACGATATTGACAGCGTAACGTGCGAGAAGCTATCTTTTATGCGGTTCCTCATCCTTCAAATAACACCAGGAATAATACTGTCAACCATCTAGCCAATATATTCCGATATCAGCCGCCGTCGAGTACCCATATCCGGCCGATTGCAGTGGTGTCAGGTTCGCCAAGGCACGGCACGGCGCTATAGCCGCGGTGGTTACGCATAAGACGTCTAACATGCTTAAGGGTGGAATCATCCCGCAAGCCGCCGACCCACTACATTACCTTTAGTATAAAAGTGCTTGACCGATCCGTTAAGCTACAGCTGATTCTCCAAGTTCTGGCCCGAACAACAATAAGATTCGGTTCATGCCGTCGTAAAGCAAAATCCAAGTTCCCGGAGTCCAATTCTATTATGCTTTTGGTCCTTTGTGCAGATGCTAATCTTACTCTCCCCTGTGTCACAATATTCTCACTCTTTCGCCGTCTTACTTTCCTACCTATTTTCGACTTATTCCTCTCTGCCGACACACCAAGTCAGTGCAAGTTTATGCGGTCACATCCCACCACCTTGTTCGGGAAAGGGATCCCCCATATCAAGGATTTTATCCTACAAAAGAAAAAAATACCTGCAAGGTTGTCGATGGCTCTATTAATTAAGTCTTCAAAAGTTGATTGGGGACACCAGTACTTACCTAAGTAATCTTTAACTCAAGATGGCTATACTCCTTTAGTGATTATAAGCTTCATCCATTTAAAAGCACGAATATGAGCCCACCGGTCCCTAATTTTCAATATCCCAGGTTAGTATTGGTAAGGACGGCAACCGTTTAAATAGCTGATTGGTCGTTATCCGTATCTGACGACTAAATCCATCTTCCCTAACATCTTCGACCCACAGAGCCAAAGACAGTTCGCGGCCAAGGCGCCCAAGTACCTGGACGACATATTAAGCGAATAAAGCCAACCAACTCCGGCTAAAACGTCTCTGAAATCCCTGCCGCAGATCTGACAAGTTAATTACGATAGAGTTTAGGATTAACAAAGTGCCCCCCGCAGCATTCCTTCGTGTCCCTTCACTGTTCAGTGAGCCAAATCCAAGGGGCAAGGGGACTTGGAGCTAACACCCACTCAGAGATTTTCTGCCTTGATGGGAAGCCTTGAATACTACCCTCACAGCAGGTTTGAGGTTCGTTCCAATATTTTGAAAGTCTGGGTCCAATAAGATTTTTCCCTATCTTCAAACACTCGCCCTTCTTGAGTCTCATTTGCCGCAAACGGACAATACGCTCGCCTCCTTCTGCAACTTTTAGGGATGACTCTCTTGGAGGGAGAATGTTAATGTGTCATATCATTCTACCTCGGGAAAACATATGATTCGACATCTAGAGTCACCTCAGCCCTTGAGTTTGAGTAACCACAACTACGAACTAAGGCTGCTAATAAGGATTAATTCTTCCACTACATACTATGTGCGTAGTAGTACTAGGTACAGAGCAACATTGAAGTCTCCGGAAACTCAGGGTCGAAATGACGAGTCACCTTTTCAGCCGCTATCATACGATGCGGCACTAGAGCACCAGGGCACCAGAGCGCCGGCTTACCTGCCGCTTAGTAGTTGAACTCCTATGGCGATCACAAGGGTATGGATGTGATCCCCACGCTTTGACTTGCAGCTATGCAAGCCACGGTACCGCTGTCTTGTTAACAGCCCCCTAAGCCTCTTCTCGTGAGAGTCGTGCGAGAGAGGTTACGAATAAATTCATGAATCATGCTGATTTTTTGTGAAATCGAGATCCTAAATCTCAGAAGTAAAGTCCGTATTCAGCTGTCTTCGTACTTGGCTCCAACCCGGTAAATCAGCTACTGTGCTTAACCTTTTCAATGTCGAAAGCCCATCGGGGAGGGGTGAATTTCCGGCTGGCACATCAGCTAATTTGTTCCATCCCAATACGAAATCTCGGATCAGCCAGATACCTGGTCTTGGTAGGTGTGCCTTCATCCTATTGTTCCGGGGAAGCATAACTGAAATTTAATAACTACCCAATTTACGAGACAATAATTTTATTCCTGAGTGGTTCGAATGATGGTGTGCAAGGCGCCATTCCTTGGACTGGGTACCTTGGATATCTCCTTGAACAGCCTCCTGTATTAACTGGCAAGCGAAAGAGAAAAAAAGAATCACACACACAGCGGCAGGTCAATGTCCAATCGGTCGTCAGATTTTTCAATTGCTGTTCTCGACCTTCTCAAATCTATGGAGCGGAAAGAACCGCATCGATTCAAATTCTGACCCTGAGAAAGAAGCCGGTGTGCAGGTTTCCTTGGCTCTATCGACACCCTTACATCCCTACTACAACGGACTACGACAATGGAACATTGAAGCTTCCACTCCTCGTGGCATCCTACGTAACAAACGTTATCTGGTCTTACCACCTCTTGGTCAGGTCATGCTCTCTCTCTCTCTCTGATTAGTCTTATGAACGAATCCGGGTAAAGTCTACGTAGACACCCAGAGCTCCGTCTTCGCAATCGCGAGGAATCAGCTTCTAAGGCCGGCCTGCTGATACATAGCCCAATATTGATATTACATGGTCGACACCGCTTCTAATTAGGACTAGGTGGAATGTCGCCTCGGCGCCATATCGGGATTTTCCTGCCAGCAAGCAGACGTATCTAGTCATGTGCGATCCGCTTCCAACATTAGACGAATGAGCGAACCCCAAGACCGGGGATTGCTCATAGGTTATTTACCTTCTAAGACCTCTCTCATGTAGTGTATATTTCCGGTTGTCCCCCAGCCACTCCGCAAAATCCACGTTGATGGGTTTGTTCTTGCATGATGGGGTATATTACCGGGCTAAAACGCATCGCGAGAGGGAGGGGGGGGTGACCAGTTGACTCAGTTCGCGGACGCGGTTGATAGATCATCTCTCGGGTGCATGGTGCGGTGGCATTTTGCAATCCTCGCTAAGATCATGTAACGACCGGTTCATGTACCGGCAGCTACTACCTATAGCCGCTGGGCCAAGTATACTCATCGACTGGCCTCGAAGAGTCTAGCAAGCGACGTTACCCCTGTCTAATTAACCGACTGCAAAGACAAGTCATGCAGCGAGTTATTACATAGATATTGATGAGCTGCCAGGTAAACAACCTTTGAAAGCTTGCAGGGTTTGAGCGATATTCGAAGAGCCTGCAGCAGAAAAGAAAAAAGTCTTCGCTACAGGTATTAATACGGTGGGAACTGTTATGCAGATATCTAACAGACCAGACGACACCCAGTCATATATTCAATATAACTCACTACAACATGGCTCGAAGAATGCCCATTCTTGGAACTATATCGTAGTTGGCTACTCTAAAAAATTGTTACCGTACCCTTTAACGACGGCACGGAATCCTCCCAAGGGACGCAACGCCAACCTCCAGAGTATACATAGCTACTGTTCGACATGGCATTTCCCACTCGGCACTAACATCGAATCTACGATGCGTTGCGGGCCAGTGACTATATCCGGACACGGACACCCGGAAGCGACCCGGCGGCGCAGATCGGTGCTGTGCCGCCGGCTTAGCGCAGCGCGGCCCGCGAGGTTTTCTTATAGGGCGCGCTCGATCCTGATCTAAGGGAAATCGGGGCCAACCTACCTAACCCTGGAAAATAGTCTCGAAACTTCGAAGAGCCGCTGATTCGACGAGGCGGCTCGCAACGACCCACTAGTTATTCGTTTCTCGATAGGTGTGTTTGTTTGTCTGTCTGCCTAGAGGTAGACGTAGGTACCTAGGTTGGTTTAGGTACCTGAGGAAACGGGAAGTTCGACCGGAGCCCAGACGCGCGTCAATCTATTTTCGGGGGGTATTTGTATCGCCTGGCTCGACGGTGACTGGTGAGTCTGGGTAAACATACGGACGTATTTCTATGCCATATCGTCGAGTCGTGGTTGGCGCGGGTGACTTTTTAGCCCCGTCTTTAAGTATGTAGGTTGGTATGATTCAGGGACTTGAGGTTTCGTGGGCTTCTGCAGTGATGATAGGCCTTTCTCTCTAGTTACTGGGTAGATGTCGAATTAGATATGAAGATATAGTGGTAGATGGATATGTGGTGGTGTTGTCACTGGTCGTAGACGAACCTTCTCCTGAAAGGGGTGTTTCATATCGTAAGAGAGGTAGGTCGGTATCGAGTTTGGATTGGTTCACTGGCCGATGAATATGTCAATGCCTCTGGGGGGCCTTGATCGGGAAAACACGAGGTAATCCACACAATGTCTTCTCATACATACATAGGTAGGCAGGCATTTCAGGGTATATGTCCTGATACCAGCCCTGGAGTGGAAATACCCTTGAGCGTTCATCCATAAATGTCGCATACAGTGGGTTTTAACGATGCCTAAGTCGGCATTCGACCAATCTGATGATCATGTTTGAGACCAGACTTAAGCATACTAAAGTAGGTAGGTATATACCTGGCAGCCTGGATGCTTTACGCTTGAGTGTTTATGGTATATTCAGCACATAGTAACTTCTGGAAACCACCATTGATGCAGGTATGGTCGCACATGTTGGGGTTGGAGTATTGGTAGATCATCACCAATAATGGCACCTCACGTACAAGTTGGGAAAGGGGGTCGGCAGAGCCGCCGGAGGAAATGAAGTAAGATGATATCACTCGAAATTACCTAGATATTCTGTCATTTTAGAAGGAGATTCAATACGTAGCTCCCAAACTCAGAATTGCCAGAACCGCCAGTCTGGTCGAACTATGGGGTACACAGGTCCCTGAAAAATTGGGCCCTGTGATTTCATGATGAGTTCAAGATCTCAATTGCCCCTTGACGTCAGTGACGTCAGATATATGTTCGAATTGAATGATATATACTTGCGTATAATATCTAGTAGACTTATAAATCTCAACTGAACATCTTCTAGTGAAACTTGCATTAGAACCAATACAGCCACCTCAACAGAAATAGACAAAATGGCATCATCATCCGAGACTCTGCGTAAGATCGCCGACCAGGCGGAGCGAGATTTGAACACCTACGGCGCTAAGACCGGCACTCAAAAGAGCTCTTCATACGATAACGCCGGGGTTGATACGAGAGCTGAGAAGAAGTTTCCTGGTGCCGAAGTGCGGTACGGCACGGACGTATCCACTAACGCCGGCTACAACAGACGAATCCCGCCCGAGGAGGGCGGTGACGTAGATGCCCGCGGACGGTAAGTCTTACCAACCTATCTACCTATTTACTTATTTCATCTTCTTCTACGTCACCTCCACATAGATATCTTACCCATGTACCTATCCAAAGACCAACGACTAACAACTCCCAGACAAACCCGCGGAGAGCACTTCGAAGGCATAGGAGGTCCACAAGAGAAAGTAGCCAGACAAGCCCGAGACTTCGGCGGCAACAACGAATTCGACCCGGCCGGAAGCAACCGGCGCGAAGTCGGGTCCAGCGTCTCGGACCCGACGGTGGGGTATAACCGGAGCGAGGCGATGAACCAGGGCAAGGAGGCTGCGCGAGCTAACGTCGAGGGCGCGAAGGGTAAGCCGCGCAAGCAGTTCAAGGGGTCGAATTACTTTACTCCGGAGAGTGTGCCCGGCAGCATTTCCGCGGAGGGATACGAACCCCCTGAGAGTATTACGCATGGCTCGAGGGAGGCGGAGGGGTATGAGGGTAGGTAAAGATGCGATTGGTTTTAAAAGGGCGGGGATGGTTCGGAGATGGATTGGTATATGCTCGAATTATGTAGCTCTATCTGAATGAACCGTCTCGTCACGAAGATTTTTTTGTCTAAGCTGTTACGGGATGTTGTAGCAGCTTGTCATGCAGCCGCTGCCTGTTATAGAAGTTGGGTCTCCGTGGCTGCCGTAGTGGCGGGATCTGCATAAGTTATAGGCATCTTCTGCATGATCATTTTGATGTGTCATCGTGGCTTGCTTCTGTTTCACCGACGGCCTGCCGTGTTTACCTACCTAGCGCCTAGGTATTTATCTTCAACGTTTGGCCTGACCTTGGATCGGAAATGCCCGCCCGCCCGAAGCCTGCTAGCACTAGTCTGCCGTGTCTTAGAATCCAAACCCCTTTAGTCGGCCTGGCGTCGTTAGTCCGGCTGAAGACTTGTCATTTGCGTATCTAGTGATAACAAACGGCATGTCTGCAGAAAATAGGGGGATTAGTTCTGCTGGTAGAATCGTCATAGACCTGTCACCATGGGCCAGGTGACTCTATTTGGCTTCAATAACTGTCTGTTTCGACACCCAGGTCTATGTCTTTGGGCTTGCTCCAGCTCAGCTCATTGGTTGAGTCACCTACCATATCTGCTTTACCGATGGCGTCAAAGCCGCCACTATCGAAGTAATAGTTGCGATACGTGGGGGTGGCGCCTGCCGACGCTTATTGTGTTCAGTTTCAGGGCCCGGGCCGTTGCTCAACCTAGTCGTGCGCCATTATTGTGAAAGCCGTTGGCTTAGGAATCAGAGGGAAAACTGGATCAACCCCCAGAAAGTGCACATCGCCATCACGCTCTACCGATTATCCTGATAACCTTCCGCCCCAAACTCGAATGTTCCAGGCCCAGGAGGCAATGTCATCCTCGGTGCTCTTAAGGATGATACCTCTTTTCCATCTCCTATACCGAGCTAGCCTCGGCACTAGTTACCAACTTCCTCCTCTCAGAGAGTGCTATCCTAGCTACGACATTGGGATCCGTTGTCTGGCCCCTCGCCCTTTGAAAAACTCTTTCAGCTGCTTGATAAAGCCTAAGGAGAAAACATGCGTTAGCCCCATTCTTTCCTGTATCTAAACTCACTGTGGAGTCTTTCGCGTTCGGGAGTGGGACTTTACCCCTGACTTCAGCTCTAGCTTAGGCAGCTAATGGAGCCCTAGGTCGCCACCATTGATAAATTTAAATGACCAAATAGCTGTCACATTCTATAGTATTACGATGCACTTTCACCAGTTATCCCCAAATGTAAAAACACTGCCAAAGTGAGATCCACCCACAGCTATTATCTCCTTGAGGACCTTGATAGAAGTAAATGTGGCTGAAGAGAGAAGCATTGCGGAGTACAATCATGAAGTTACTCGCTGTCTTACCAATTGCGGGAATAATGCCTGATGCTGTTGAGCCGGGTGATGAAGCTACCATGCTATGAGTATAAGGCGCTTAGTAGGTAAGTAATTGGTGAAATTGGAAGCACTCAATAAAATTCTTGTCTTTCAGCTTAGATACTAGGTACCTAGTAAGTTATTTCAGTAGGTATTTACCCCTATTGTTACTTGGTGTAGTTACAGGTACTTAGTAAGGCTTGGGTTTGTGTTGGTAGGTTGATACCTAGCAAATGAGCTATGTTTAGGCTGAAGTTGCTTGTTGATAATATGTATATGGTAGGAAGCGGCGCGGCTTTAGCTGAGCCACCATACTACTGATGTTGTTGGTCGTTAGTATATGTGAAGTAATCCTCAAACTTGAACTATCGTAAGCAATGCCAAGATAGATCTATGTTAAAACATGTCACTTGTCCTCTCGGCCTAACTTTCGGTTTCTGTAGGTTCTTCAAGACTACAGTCACGATAATAGCCAATCCCAACTTGCTATTCTTTCAATAGCTTCAACTAAGAGCATATAACCCCCATCTCACATTTAATCAAGGCAGGGGCTATGGATAACAACTCGAGATCTTACGATAAGGAGGAAACTAAAAGTGTGGCAGACGAACCGAGTGAGATATCCATAAACGCTTGGGTTTACCAGCTGCTAGGGTATGAATACTGATAGCCTTGCAGTAATGCCTATCGTAGAAGATCCGCCACACACTATATATAACGAAGAACGACTTCTCATGGAGATCAAGGGCACCGATGCGATAAGAGGTATAATGTTAGTGCCGATCTCCATTGCGATTTGGGATATTTTTATGGATGGAATCTTGCCACAAGACCTATCTACGAAAGATAGCCTTAAGAGAATCATCGGGCTCCTGGCGTTGATCTATGCCATATACCTCCACTTCGAAGCTCGTCGTCTTCGTAGGTGCTTACGACAATAATGCGATGGTCTGTGACTTGTTAGATATCTTGTCACGAGGAGGAATTAAAGGGTAAAGAAACAACGACGTTATTGTGCGAGGATCTCTTTCGGCTCTCTTTTTGTTAACCTGCCTAGCAGGTAATATAGTGAGAATATACTAGGAATACCCACGGGATGATATCCTGCAAAAATTTGCTAGAAGCAGAACTTGTCTGTTAGCAATGGCTCTAGAATTAGGGCAATATTTCTTTGTTTAGGTTGAGTCATAGCTACTGTCAACCGGAGATGCCATTAGGCTATCTTTTTCCTGGAAGCTTTATTATCATGAGACGAATAACGAAGACGTAACAATGATTAATACTTCAAACACTTATATCGGACGGTGTATATGACGATTCCGCAGTGGTTACCATGATGGCCTCTTTCATCCGATTCACTCGCTAGGTATACTCCTTATTCCATCATCAACAACACTCGTTATAGTAATTTCCTCAATATCCCCCTTAGTTACCAAAAACGTTCTTATGTGTCGACGACTTCTATCAGCTGTAGGATGAGTGTCGTATCATTGTTCAAATACTTCTCTTTAGATGATACTCACAAATATCTTTTTTAATAAATTTAGTGTTTATATTCTATCTTACCCAGTTACCCCAGCAACGACAATGAGGGGTGGATTATATAATTAAGGAAAGAGGGGTTATCTAAAGGTATCGTCTACTATGAAGATTTCCAACACCTTTATGTCATTTTCCTCGATACACCCTAAAAATGCATCATCTCTCTTAGTATATTAAGCCTAGGGGATCTATAAACTCGCTATCCAAGCTTCCAAGTAAGTTCCTAAAAAGGAACCATCCGTACTAAGCGTAAGGTAACGCTTTCCCACCCCTGCTAGCCCTTTCTCTACTCCACCGAAGACCCATTCACGAACCTTATTTAAACCTCGCATTGGTAGAGCCGTTGATTTAGTGCTTAAAAGGGGTTAAGGGGCTTCGCCGAGCCCTTCTTTATTATCTCTAAACCTCCTCCTCGTCGTCCCTTAAGACCACTACGACGAATACGCAAAACACTTCATAGAGCCCCAACCGCCTAGATCCACAAACGCGTCCTTGACGCTTGTACAGCCCGTGTAATCGCGAGAATCGATCCCGTTCCAGACTCCTGTGCAATCGGTCCCCTTGTATATCGTGCAGAAACCCTGGCGGATGAAGAAAGAGGTCGGTTGGCTGAACTTCCCGTTAGAGCAGGAAGATGGGCCGACGGACCCGGCTTCCTCGAACCATCCGCACGAGTTCGTCGTGTCGGAGCTTATGGGTAGGGAGCTCTGGATCTTGATACAGGTTTCGCTTGGGCTTTGCGAGTCGTAGCCTTCTAGCGTGTACTAGGTGCGGGAATAGTGTTAGCAAGGTGGTGGGAATCGGAGGTAGGATATTCGGACTTACGTAAGAAAAGTCGTTCGACTTTTTCTGTGCGGCGCAGTCTACGTTGTACTGTGGGGGTTGTTAGATCACTGATAGCTGGGTGCTCTGGTGAGCTTAGTGTATTCGACTTACGGCAGCGAGAGACCACGTTGCGGTCGGGGTTGGCGCTGGTTTTGTTGAAGTCGTAGGAACGGGCTTGGTGGAGGTGGCTGAGGTTTGGGACGTTTCTTGGGACGACGTCACTTTGGATGTGAGCTTAGTGCTCGAACGATTTGGAGTCGATGAGGACGGACTAAGTACCGTCACTGGCCGTGTTACGGAGGAGGAAGTAGAACCGCTAGATTTCAAGGTTGAGAATGTAGATGGAACGGTCGATTTACTCTGGGTTACACTCGAGACACTGGAAGGAATACTCGAGCTACTGGAATGCGAACCCGAAGTACTAGTCGGAGCACTGGTGTTACTAGGGGCTGCGCTCGACGTGCTGGAGACCGAACTTTCGAATATACTCCCGAATTGCGAAATGGTGAAGCCACTCGGGACAAGGGAATCCGTTGGCCAGAAAGCAAGAGGGTATGTTGTCCCACTAACAACTGTGCCGGCAGCTGCACGCGCACTTTCGTCCGCAGAACTGATGCTTGCCGATGCGCTCAAAGGACAAGCAGCTATGGTTGTCGTCGAAGCCGTTGTCGTTATTTCACATCCCGTTGTTGTCCGCGTGGACGTCTTGCAGCCTACAGAAGTGCTCAACAACGCTGAGCCCGTGAGTGAGGTACATGTGACGTATAAATCATATCCGGTGGCGGTACGGGTGCAGGAGCTCGTAGAAGAGCTAGGTGAGTTGGATGAGGCCGAAGAGCCGTGGCTGGTAGGTGAACTAGTGAGTTCTTCTGTCGGATAAGTAGGATCTCCTTCCGGGTCCAGCGTAATGGTTGGCATATTCGCCGAGAATCCTAGGGATGAAATAATATTGGCCGGGGGAGGAGGTAGGATGCCGGGACCCTTAACGCCGGGGATCACGATGCCGAAATTTCCACCGCCGCCCCCGATTGGAGGACAGAACCAGCAGTGAAGAATGGGAATGATAGGCCAGCCATGTGAGTCGTGAGTTGCTGTGGAGACTCCAGACGTAGTGGAAGTTGTCACCGTACTCCAGTTTATGGTAATGGTTGGGGGTGGTGTGATGCTGGAGGGTGGGAGAGTTGACGTCTTGGTAATTCCACCTGTCGTCACAATCGTTACGACTGGTTTCGTCGAAGAAATGGAACTCGAGCTGTTGGGCGTGCTCTTTGATTGGGTTGTTTCTGATGACGTAGTTCTTGGGGATGTTGTTCCGGAGGTACTTCCAGTCAGAGAACTTCTAGAGAAAGAACCGCTAGATGTGTTTCCAGATGAGGAACTTGTAGAGCTGGTGAAATTACTGGGAGATGTGGTTTGGGATTTGGAATTGGTTGATGCAGAGGCAGAAATTCGGGACGATAAGCTTTCGGAGGTACTCGTGGAGGTACTTATGATGATAGATGAACTTTGACTTGAGAAGTTTCCGCTGGGGGAAGAGAGGCTACTAGTGGATACGCTTCTCGATGAACTTAGACTGCGAGAGATTGAAACTGTACCCGATATAGGGATGCTGAAATTGGCGAAACGTGGGTAGAAGCCCTGGGATGCAGTTACCGCTCCGATAGAGCAAAGAAGCACCAAGGCCCTCAAAGAGGGCGTACTGTTAGGCATGACGAGTGATGTTTGGTTGGAAGAAGTAGAAGTATAGTTGAACCCTGATTATAAGAGACTATGTGATGTCCCCGGTGCGACTTACCGATCGCACGGCTATATATTGCAAGTTCAAGAAGAGAATTGCTCACAGGATATGACAACTGTGGCGTTCATGGTATAAAGAAACGACTGGCGAAGTGGCCTCTATTATTATCTGGGAAACTACACATCATCAGATGCTTCTTGGATCCTTAAGTACAAGTGTTAGCTGCTTCTATGAATATAAATATCTTGCTACTTCTTATGCAAAGCGACACAATTGAAGATTTTTTACGAACTCAAGCTGACAACCAGCTTGGCGTGATGTAAAGGGGTAAGCTCAAGACTTGCCCTTAAAATAGAAATATCAAATGAATATCTTGAAATTGAGGAGATTATGGGATTTTATTGCCGCTCGCCAAAGCATTTGAAACTCACAATTTCAGCCGCATGACGTTGTTGTAGCCTTATTATCTTGTTAGCTAGACGCTCAGCTCAGCTGTAAGGTTGCATAGCTGAGTTGCACCTATCAACCGAGATGCAGGGGTAACGGATTGATGGGATCGCAGTCTTACGTTTACAGCCAATTCCGCGGATCTATGTTTAGGAGATATAGTTTATAATTCCATGGCCTGGTCAGTCCGTTCACATTTTATAAACTGCGTAGAGACGATGTGCGAAGAGAAACAAAGTCCATGTTGAAGCTTTAAAGATATCTTGGTATCCGAACCACTCTTTTCAGTAGCTACCTAGGTATGCTTCTTTCAGTACATAACGATGGTATCGTATACGAAACTCTTGACGGCTTTAACGCTTGCTGTTTCGATCGCAGCTTCTGTCTTGGATAAGCGCGGATCGAGCATCATTGTCGGTTATAGAACTGTTTCCCCAGTGAGTGCCATTTCTGTTTGCCGAACATGAACCCATTTATATGATGTTGAAATAGATGCAGGTTATGAGTATCATATGTGTTAATTAGTTGGTTGAGTTGCTAGTTCTAGGTAGTGGTTCGTAGATAGTACATATATACCCCTTGAGTACAGGGCGTAGACTTCCAGCCACCTAATATTCCAGCATATGAAGTCTCTTACTGATGTTATTCTCACAGAAACAAGCTCAGAAATATCACGATGCTGGGAATACTCTCACTTACAACCCCGAACTAGGTGTCAGCTCCGAACAACTAGGACCTGGTGCTTATATAAGTCCCATCCGTGCAGATTGGCCTATGTCGGATTCCAACTGGGACTGCGCTATTCTCGCCGACTCCACTGCCTGGAATCTAGTCAACAAGGCATGGGTACCCGAGACTGCGGATGATGGCTGTACACCGCTATGGTATAATAAAGGAAGTAAGTTTCGATCTCTATCGAAGTCATCCCCTTTATCGGCTAGTCCTGTATTGACAAGTTATGTGAAGAGCCGAACAGGGACGCATACCTGAGCGGGATAGGCGGGCCGGGATTTACGACGTCGAATACGGTACTGTTAAGCCAGATCCATCAATTCGAAAAGCTGCAGATATTGATTCCATCATCGTTGATGGGAAAAAGTGGTGGCTTGAACTTAAATGTCCAATGCGCCGCGAAGACGAACCAACAAGGAATCGGCGAGATTAGCGTATATGGCGATGTCGATTGGTATAGCTGGACCAACGTAAAAGGCACCCCACAGTATGTCAACCCTTCATAGTGGGATGATAAGATCGAAGGCAGAGGACGACGGGATTATTCAATTTCAAGATAATACTCTATAATAGATGTAAGAATTATGGAAACTGAAAGTTGTTGTAGTCGTATACTGCCGTCTCTGTGTGATATAGTTTGCCCCCATAAGATCCTATGGCCCTAGTTACCAACCGCATCGTGACCTTGTGTTTGTCGTCTTACTGTAACTTAACAGTGCCGCAGGCAATCTATGCCAAATCGAGCTGTCCCTGAAATGTGAAAAAGATATCACCTACCTAATAAGCAATCAAGGAGGGAGTTCGTCATCTCATTAAAAGCTCAAAAAGATGGCTCGATGCAACAGTAGGAAGATGATTCTAACATTAGAATGTAAAAATTGTGCTTGCCGATAGGTATGTATACCTGAGACAGTGTGGCTTGCTAATGATGTCACGTCACCGAGCTTTTGAAGGAATCCGCACTGGCAATCTGAGGAGCTGAGCCGGTGAGGTGAGGTGGTCAGATAGAGCACGGGCCACCAACAAACAAGCAGCAGGTATGTGTCATCTAAGCTGCTGCTGAGCCGTCCAGGCAGCTCTTTATTTCATTCTTCTTTAATACCTTCATCCGTCACTTGAAGATGATTTTCTATTTTCTGTTTTCTATTTCATCGTCAGTATGAACGAAGCACTTCGCTCCATCCTTTCCGGGGGGGATGAATGGTACCATAATTCAGATGGTAGGCATATTAAATTCAACAAGGACGGTACTGGCGAGGTATGTTGATCCCTGTGCTTACCGCATGTCTCTACCCGTCTCTATCCGTCGCTAACAGCCGAAAGCTATGGTGCCGCTCCAACTTCAACTATTGGATCCTAGCAGTTATCGAGTGGAAGGCCATCAAGCCACCGCATGGTCCAAGCCAAATTGTTGAGTTTCCAAATCAAGTTCCGAACACCGTCTGGAATAAAGCCCCTCAACTTCTCGGTCATCTTGATATTGAGATAACCCTCACCAAGCGACTACCAAAGGTAGCAGAAACATCTGTCTTGGCACAAGGCAATGGTATCAATGAGAGGAATCTTACAGATGACGCCTTTCAAACCAGGTTGTTTACCGTCAGAATTGAGAAAGGCAACTTCGTTGAACCTGCTTGCATTGGCCATTCTAACTGGAGATACGAGCTTCGCCTGACCTTCGACAAATCGCCGTATCCCCCGCGAGAGCAATGGAAGGATACCGAGTACGGCCCTGATCAGGGTCAGTATTGGAACATCGTAGAGTTTGTCAGCCGACATGTGCCGGGCCTGGAAAAGCAAGGAAAACCTATGAACGTAGCACCTACAGGATTGAGCGCATGTGCTGTTTCTTAACTACCTGGGCTTGCCCTACGAGAATATCGCGCAGTATTTCCAGACCAAGCCATTGCAATGTTGGGGAAAGGCGGACACTTGGAACCGACACGCCAATCCCGGACAATATCTTCCATCATCTTGATCATAGCCGTCTTTAATACTGGTTTGTGGAGTAGTGGGGGTAGAAGTCCACATATGAGACACCGAAATTCGAGCTCCGTCGACCCGCGAGAGACTTTGAGGACCGATCGGATGGTTGAGTCCCCTTTTTAAGCGAGCTTTCTAGACGCTAGACGCCGCCCTCCACTAACACCCGGGATCGATATCCCGTGTGAACGGCCTAAAGACAGGGGCTTATTTTGTCGGCCGAAAGACGACCCACTTATTCCGAGTTATCCTTTGAACATCGGAAGTTCTCACAACTAGGGAGCCAAGAAGTATATCCGGAATTCCGAATACGAATTGATGAATGGGTCTCTATAGCAGCGATATTGGTATGGGAGAAGCCTATTTGTTAGGTGGTCACTGGCCAGTACGACGCTGGCGATATCGTAGCCTCCCCCGGAGATTTTCATCGGTACCACGACGTCAGTCACGAGGGGCTTCCGCAAGCCGATTTCAAGACAATTCTAAATCACCAACTTGATGTCCAACCTATGCCTAAGAATAGACTTCATGATGGCCGAAAGTTTTCTTAGATATCCCAGATTGTGACCAGGTATAGGATAACATGAGTAATAAACATCACACAAGCAAGATTTGAGTCAATAGACCGCATAGGTGACGCTATGATCAGTGTAACAAACCATTGTGATGGGTATAGACTATGCGGGATTCAGGGTTCTAATACGTACGTACCTGGGTAGGCAATCAGCTTGATGCCATTTCTTACCACCGTGTTTCCTAACGCTACAAGCCTAAGTCTCCTAGTATGCTCCACACTCCGCGGCTGGCTGTAACGACTAGATAGACGAGTAATCGCTAACGTGATGATATGAATGGGGTCTTCCCTAGTTTCGTAGAAACACCAATGGTCCATATATCCACTGCTTAATTTTATGATCCCTTCTTGAGTCGTTAATGATAATTGCCTACGCAGGTTTCTTTGATAAGTGAGGGGTGAAAGAACATTAAAACATCTATTCGTATTGCTGACGATATGGCCATCTGATGTGATGATAGACTGTTGCGGACACCCATCATGATCGCTGGAATAGGTATGCAAGGACGCGGTATTTCTTCCACTACTGCGACGTTACGGCGGGCTCTTCGTTAGGTAAATACTCTTGCTAGGTACCTCCAGGTCATCACTTTAAATGGCCAGTCTGGGCTCTAGGAGCGCCGTTCCCGTCTTAGCCTCGATCTATCTTCAGCGACAATGACGTTATTCGTCGCATTCTCTAATAAATCCCCGAGTTGTCATAGGTTGAGCTAGAGTCAGCTCACCAGATTGTCTAGCGAGACCATAAGTTAGCCTCAATCAACGCCGCCACACTTACCCTTTCCTTTCGAAATACATCGCCAATTACCCCATTGTTACCTAGTGCTTACCACGGCCAACGCCGAATCGGTAAAAGGCGCCTAATATGAAGCTCCTAATGGGATATCGCGATAAGGGGAAAAAAGAAAAACCCCAACCCAAATAATGTATTAGGTAGCTCTCTTACATGGATTCTAGATTTCTACTTAACAACTGATATCGCTTAGCGTGTATCGAAGCTAATCTTACAGTTAGCGATGGGTCGGTATGTGGCCGATGTGATTAGGATAGAAACTTATAGGGCCGGGCCGAGGGCATACGATGTCGCACCGCATATACGAGAATTTACTGACCCAATTCTCACTAAACAGCCTACCTACCCGAGTAACAGTCGAAGTGCTTCGCGGTTCTGAGAAACGTTCACCTTAGGTCTTTAACGTCCACGTGAAGAGCGGCTGATACGACCAGGCCAATCATATTGAGGCGCCCTTTAATCGCCGCCTCAAGACGGAGTTATTCCACCGCTTCGATCTCAGTTCTCCATCGTCACGGTTACCTCGTGATTATCACCATCCCTCGTTTGATATATCAAACAGTTGTCGGGAATCGGGATATAAAATGGAGGTCTTGCCTTCGCGTTTAACACGAAGATAGCCATTGTCGGCAGGAAATAAAACAACTAGATCTCTAGCATATCAATACCATCATGAAGTTTCAACTTTCCTCTTTGCTTTTCGGCCTTGCTGCCTCGATAGTGTCCGCACAAGACACAAACCAGACTGGGCCATTCTATCTCCAGATCGTTGGTCAACAGAACAGCTCTATCGTTGGTTAGTATTGCAATAAATTGCATCAATACTATAAACTTACATAATCTAGGTTATGCCTTATCGTGCCACACTGGGGCTGCCCTTGAGGGGCTTTGTTACCGCGCGGGACAAGTTCCCGACACCAACGCGCAATCATATCAGTATTGGTTCAACTATACCGGATACACCACGGTGGACGATGCCCAGGTCGGCCAGCTCATATGGAAATTGCCCTACACGGGTGGAAATGGCGGCTCGGGATTGCTTCCGCAGGTGCTCAGCCTGGAGAACTCCGTAAACAGCAATGTCGCGTCGACAAATTTCGGTTTTAGCGGCTCCTGCTCGCAGGGCTTGAGCGTTGGTTTCGATGCGGATGGCAAGCTATTCAGCTGGGCCTATATCGATGACTCGACGTTTACCCCGGGCACGAACCCCTTCCCCAGCGGCGTCGGCAAGGCGTACTACCAGTGGTATGTGTGCTGGATCTACTACTCCAGCTACTATTACCAGGCGGTCGCATGGGCGTCGAGCACACCACCCCACAACCCGACTTGCCAGCCCGTCGAAATCAGACAAGTCTTTCCGTCTTAAAGAGGGACATGGTGTCATTGTCCATTTCGCTCTTAACCCTCGTTCTTGGCATAGCGATGATACAATATTATATATGAAATGGCTCTTGCGAGAAGGATGATAATTTTGAAAGTACACTCATCAATTAATAAAGACTTACGCCTTTCGGATTAAAACTTTGCTTATTTCTATGGTTTTTTTAATTGATAAGGTTTAGAGATTAACCGGATTGGGAACTGCACCGAACTCCGTAGCTCAACAAATGTTGATTTTGCTCGGGTCCGAGCAGAATCGGAAGGAGTAACTTAAGTAAATTTCTAGAGACTTCTATGTAAATATTAGGAAAAACTCAAGGAGATAATAACCTACTGGTTAACAACATGAAACTACCCGTGAACGTCTATCATATAGTCCACCCTGCACGCTTCTCTACAGAGATCCCATCTATATTTCCGATTCAATAGGTACCTAGGTGCCTTATGCCATTTTCCTTCGAAAATCTATGCACTGTCTCAGGAAGACCTGAATTCGTCATCCTGCATCCACCAACACAAGTCGTCCTCAACTAACTCCGCCTTTCTGACTGGACCGCTGTGCCATGGCCCGAACGCCTGTTTGGCGTTCCAAATGTCAGGCAGTTCCCAGGTTTTGCACAGAAGCTTCCCGTGACGGGTTACGACCGTACGAATAATATCACGGTGACCTGTTCCATCCCGTTCAAGCTCGTCTGGTACAGACAAACAGAAGGAGAACCAATCTGTCTCGCCTTTAGGTATGGTTTTTGGGTGGTCGTCTGCAGGATACAACTGCCCGATATGAAACCCAGGACCTAAGTTTATGACAGTGAAGTGCAGGTCGTCTTTATCTTGGTTCTCAAATCTGAACTTTTTCTTCTCACCCAACGTTTCGATGGTAACCTTGAATGGTGGTTTCTCTGAGGACTTATAATCCCGAAGCTTGAGAATCTGCTCGAAGCGAACCAAATGCGATAACGCGATCGCTGACTCTTGCGCTTGCGCGTCATCACTTTCGCCTTTGATCTCCAACCCACGAACTGGTCCTTCATAACCCATCAGTGGCGACGGCCCAGAAATGTCGATTCCACCATTGGCTGTCTTCGCCAGCCTAAATATGGATACACTAGGGTCATGTTCTTGCTCGAAGTTGGCAACTTCACCTACTTCGACACCGCTTGCGATCTTGTTCACTAGGCCTTCGTACAGCGTTTTCTGGAATTGGGGAATCGCCTGGACCGAGACTTTTGAGATCTTCCCCGAACTCCATCGGTGTGGGAACAGCTTGACTAAATTGGTCGCAGATGCTGACGATAATTTCGCCTTGCTCTCTACGTCGCCAACTTCAAATATTGAGAGAACACCCGCAGTCGTAGGTGGGAAAGCCCTGAATTCTGCTCCCTTCTCGACCCCATGAAGCTTTCCAACTGGAAGTGTAGCTATATTTCGATCCACTGTAGCTACAACAGGTGCCACCGAGAATGGTTCCTGTTGTCCCAAAAACGCCAGCCTGACTCTTCCGTAAAACTGAGGGGTCTGTGGTGACATAAGTCTCTCTATGCTATCGTGAACAGTGCGGTATGTGGGATATGTCGTGATTGCTTGATTTTCCTCGAAGAAAGTGCATAGGGCGTGGGTAAATACACCATATGTTCTACCGCCAATGGCCTTCTCTGCCGCGGCTTGCTGACTCCCGCAGGCCGCCATCATCGTAAACATTTCTGGGTTGATATCCCAAGATATGTCGAGCTGCCCATGGCGGTTGTTTGGCTCACTCAGTGGCCCTCTGGTTGCGGCTTCGCCGATAGAGAGGCTGGGAGGGGGTATCCAGTCTGTCGGACTTCGAAGGGAACCTTCATTTCTCCAAGCACCGGCCGAATAGCAGCTGTCTAGACTGACAACGACCTGAACTCCTTTTCGATTCAGTGTCTGTAGCCAATCGTTCAATTCCCACCCGCGTACCGCTGGTTTGCCACAACAGACGTCCATCGGTAGTAAAGATGGATCATCCGTACGTCCACCGGACGACCCATATGCCGTTTTCAATCGTGCGCCATGACCCGAGAAATGGAAAAAGAAGAGGTCACCGGCGTTGGCCTCCTCAGTTACCTTGAGGAACTCATTCTTGATGTTCTCGTATGTGGGCCAGCATTCCCTTGGCTCACAGGGAGCAGTGCGACTTTCTGAAGACAGGGAGGAGGTAAGAGTTCGTAATTTGTGAAATTCAAATTTATTAAGAAGTTCTTTGATTATTTGAACGTCGTTGATGCACCCCTCTAGGTTATTTATCCTAGAAGTTCCTGACTTATCATCAAGATATAGATCCACCCCGACGAGTAGGGCAAATCGCTTCTGGGAAGATTGAGTTGACATAGTGAATAGGATAAATGTTACAATATTTCTGGAGTTTCGTCTTAGGTAGTTCGTCCATATTCGTATAAGAATTGAGACAGATTATATACTCAGTTACAGCTATGCCAGGCTGCCTATCTGATTCATAGTTACCATTACCTTCCGATCGCGATTATGATGCTTACCTACACCTATTCATCTCTATATGCCTAGTTTTTCCCGTTGTCTATACCCCGAAGCCTGCCTAGAAGTGCACAAAGTAGTCAGCTGAAGAACAGGGTATGGAATAAGACTCAACTGAACCTCAGCCACTACTCAAATACTTGAGTGATGTAAGAGGCTAGACAGATAGAGTATCATTTACATCTTCTTATCTGCAGGCTACCTATCGTTCACGCCAATCATACGTAGTACACGCATGCATCTGAACTCTACATCGCCGAGTCTTCGATCGCCGACCGAGTCCGATATATTCCTAGAGGGGTATATGACGCGCAGGTATGCACGTAATACATGAGTATGAGCCTCAGACTTTGGGCGACTAAGGCATAATTACCAAACCCCAGCAGGTTTTACACACTCCGAATGACGCCATGAATAGGCTATCGCTATAGAGTAGTGGTAGTTGTTGGCCTCCCGTCGCCGATGACTACCTTATAGGTATTTGAAAGGCAGAATTCCCGTCCAGAAATGCGGTGACGAAAGTTAGGCGCACCAAATGACCTTGACTCTTGACTAGCTGTATAATGCGAGGCATTCTATGAGGCAAACCTGCGAACATATCTATAGAATAGATAGTAATTAGTACCTACCTCCTACCTAGTAAGTAAGGACGAAGGTTAATAGCAACTCCCTAAGTATAAAAGTAGAATCCCCCTCAGGTCTCACACATATTCTCACCTCATCTTTAACACCTCAACACCTTTCATACCCTAAACCAAGGAAACTCATACTCCTATATACAATTCTTACCCCTCTCTTCAATACAAAGTTATGGCTCCAACACCAGAGGAAGAGGCCGTACGTTCTACCAATGAATCCAATGACAGAAGGGTGGAAATCGAAGCTCCAAGGTAATATCCTCCCCAATTAGGTACCTAGCAGGTAATCATCCCCCAAGTAGCAATACTGACTCTTCAATTGATGTTAGGCCGAGCCAGCCTCAGACGCCCGTAGATGAGTTGGGCATGGCTGGCAAAGATGGTTGGATGGGGCTATTTGATATCGACGAGGAGATAGCCTCTAGCCTTCGTGGCATGAGTGATGAAGAGCTCCGTTCTTTCTCACTGACATACGAGGATTCAGCATGCGACAAACACATTGAATTGCAAATCTACACTTGTTTTCTTGTCTTCTTAAGGACGGGGTCACCGGAACACTTTCAACAAGCCATTCAGCTAACGCGCAAATGGAATGAAACTCTAACGATTGATCATTCTGATCGCACTCGACGGCACCAAATCGGCGACATGATGGTGGCCTGGGAGCTCCAGCTCAACCTCTTCCTAGAAGATAAATTATCTTCACGAGAAGAAAATGGGTATGCCCGAGTTTCGTTTGATCTCCCGATTAGGAGAGCCTTGTTATAGTCTTGATACATCTCTCTGTGCAAGAGGATATGGATGGATGCTTTCATTTGGAAATATCGATACTAACATGTTAAATTAAATAAACAGTCGCGTATCTACATCCGACGAAAGCGACGAACCATTTTATCGAGCGGTAATACTCCGCCATGCCTACAAGCAGACTGGGAACGTTGATGACCTGAGGGAAGCGATTCGGATAACAGAGGAGATCGTAAATAAATCCCCCATGTCCACAGCACTCGGGAATTTAGCGGCTCTACTAGTAGAGCTGTACCAGCGGACAGGTTTGGGGGATGACTTAAATCGGGCTTTCGAGGTGGCAAATACGGCAGTGGATCTCGTACCTGAAGGCCATCCTGATCAAAACTCGTGCTTAGGTAACCTCGCAGCTCTACTTCCCATCCGATTTAAGCAGCTAGGTTCGGTGGACGATTTGAACCGTGCTATCGAAATAACAGAGACGTTGGTAAAAACCGTACATCAGAATCATCCTTCGCGATCTATATACTTAACCAACCTTGGAAGTTGCCTCGGCTGGCGGTATGAACTGGAGAATTCCTTGAACGACCTAAACCGTGCCATCGAAGTGGCGATAATGGCAGTCAACGCAATGCCCCGAGACTATTCTGATCAAGCCGTTGGGTTGAATACTCTCGGAGAGTTAATTGGCCAACGATTTTTGAGAACGGGCTCGGTTGATGACTTGAACAATGCCATCGACAAATTCAGTAAAGCAGTGGACACTACACCTGAGGGCAATCCTTTTCGAGTTGGTTACATGCGTAACCTTGGACTCTGGATCGGCAGACGATTTAGGCGAGAACATTCGTTGGACGACTTGAACCGTGCTATCGATTTGGTAAATATGGCGGAAAATGCCATACCCCGAGAGCACCCTGATCGACCCAATATCCTAATCACCCTTGGCGCATTTCTCGGTTGGCGGTGTCTCCGAACAGGTTCTACAGATGACTTGACCCGCGCAATTGACGCGGCGGGCAAGGCTGTAGATTTTACGCCTGACGAAAATCCTATCCGGGCATGTTGTTTAAATAACCTCGCATCGTTGCTCGGCGAACGATTTATGCGGATGGGTGAAATAGACGACCTGAATCGTGCTATTGACACAGCGGATTTGGCTATACAAATCACAAATAAAAACATTGCCCGAGCTTCTCGGTTACATAACCTTGGAGAGTTACTTGCCTTTCGATTCAAGAAAACGGGTTCGGCGGATGACTTAAACCGTGCCATTGATGTGGGGAACATGGCGGTTGATATCATGCCTCAAGACCACCCCGAGCGATCTAACTTCTTAATTGACCTTGGTACATACCTCTGCTGGCGATCTCAAAATACGGGATCTGCAGATGACATGAATCATGCGCTCTCCTATTTCAAAGAAGGATGGAGTTGTCATACCGCCTCGCCATCTATGCGGATTTCCCTAGCTGATCGGGCCGCCGAAATCCTCTGCTTGCAATCTAAATGGGGAGAGGCAGGCCAGTTGCTTAGGGAAGCTGTGAATCTTCTCCCTACCGTGAGTCCACGGTCACTAAAGCATACTGATAAGCAGGATACGCTCTCAAAATTTGCTGGCTTGGCCTCTACGGCAGCAGCTGTATCTCTATATGAGGCGGAAGACGAAGAGGGAGCATATCATGCTTTGAAACTCCTCGAGCTCGGTCGCGGCATTATTGCTAGTGTATTAATGGATATGCGCGTAGATGTCTCGGACCTCAAGCAGAAGTACCCCACCTTGGCAAGGGAATTCATATCGATTCGAGATGAGTTAGACGATCCAGTAGACAAACTGGCATCTTTGAATCTTAGCGACGATGCGACTTTCTGGGAATCCCACGTAAAAAGTCGTCGCGAAGCGGACCAAAGATTCGGCGAGCTCATTAAAACGATCCGTGCGAAGCCAGAGTTTCACAACTTTCTTCTTCCTCCGACTAGAGATGAATTGATTGCCGCCGCAGACCCAGATCCCATCATTATCGTTAATTTAAGCTCATATCGGTGCGATGCGTTCATTATCGAGCATAATCGAGTCAGAGTGCTGAAATTGTGTAATCTGACCCTCGAAGAAGTCCGAAAGCGAGTTCGGGATCTGCGATCATCTCGTTTTGCGAATATGATGCCGACGCTGAAATGGCTCTGGGAGGTTGTTTGCCGCCCATGTCTAGACGCATTGGGGTTTCAGGAGCCCACATCCACCGAAGATTGTCCTCATATATGGTGGATTCCTACTGGGCTTCTCAGCCAGTTACCGCTTCATGCAGCGGGATGTCACCTTGAAAAGTCTACCGATACCGTTCTTGACAGAGTCGTATCTTCATATGCTTCGTCCATCAAGACGTTAGTACACGGACGCAGACACCATCTTGACAACCCCGCCCAGCTTCTGTCTAATCAGGCACTTTTGGTTGCTATGCACACAACACCAGGACTATCTGGGAATGGGGCTCTTAGATTTGCCGGGGAGGAAGTGAGTATGTTGAAAGGTCTTTGTCCATCGCTTCAATTAATGCCAACTTCACCAACACTGCGCAAGGAGGATATATTGGAGTCTTTAAGCGGATGCAAAATATTCCATTTTGCAGGTCATGGGCGATCGAATCCAATGGAGCCTTCTCAAAGTGCTTTGCTTCTTGAGGATTGGCAAACCAACCCACTTACGGTAGGAGACCTACGCGACCGTAGACTTCAAGAGAGCCCGCCGTTCCTTGGTTACTTATCGGCTTGCTCGACCGGGTCTAACGAGGCAGAAGATCTCGCCGATGAGGCAATCCACCTCATTGGTGCCCTTCAACTTGCAGGTTTCCGGCACGTCGTGGGAACACTCTGGGAAGTGTCGGATGAGCACTGTGTTCACGTAGCGAGAGTTTTATATGAGACACTGCGCGACGAGGGGATGACAGATACCTCAGTCAGTCGAGGACTCCATCGAGCTGTCAAACAACTGCGCGATGTGGAGATCAAGAGAGAGGTACAAGGGAGACATGCTTCGTTGGTAGATTCAAAGATGGAGACAGGAGGGTACACCGGTTTTTTTTGGGTTCCCTACGTTCATTTTGGCGTTTAGAGATTGCAAGCTTATCCTTATCTCCGAAGTGGAGAAAGCCTCATCCGGAATCTAAGATTGCATCAGCCTACCTAGGTACATTCTACGTAGGCAGGTACCTACCTAGGTACCTAGGTATTGATTATCGATTGAAAAAAAAAAAAAAAAAAAGAGGGAAATAGATTTCAATTCTACTAAATAAACCCGGATCAAGTGACAGTATATTACAGTACATACTAAGTACCTAGGTACAGAACTTGGAACCATTCGGTCAACAGTTAAACCAGGTCCAGGCACACCGGCACCACCGAATTGGGCGTCACAACATTAATACCTAGTGGATACTGTATCTTCCGCCGACCGCTAAAAATCTAGCCTTCGGTACATAACCTTAGAGGGCTTTTAAACGAATCTAATTGGTTGGAAGGATGACTCCACCGGTACCTAGGTAGTAAGCTTATAGTGGGGTAGGTTTGTTAATAACTAATTAACACATCTCTGTTAGATTCAACATCCAAAATCAACTTCAACAACATTATATAATGGTTACGAGATATTATCCTCTTAACCTTTCTGCTACCCAGGTACCTAGTGCTCAATATTCCGATATTCTCAATCGTATTCACCTAGGTAGTACCTGATTGAAGAAGATCCGCCAGGATGCTTAAACCCGTCTGTGCTAGATCTGGAATGGGGATTATGCGGATCTGAATGACTTGGACGTACGAAGTATTACATATCATTAAGCCAAATTGTTATATTTCTAATACTTAAGATTGCTAGAAAGAGAGAGAAAGGAAAGAAATAAAACGGGTTACAGCCGAATCTTTCTTGAGTCAAATACCTAGCTAATTTGATAAAAGCTCTACATAGGTATCTAGTTATAACCAAAAATATCGATCTTACCATTACGAATGAGCTGCTTGATAGCCAATCCGTCGTCTATGTGAGCAACAGCATAGCCCGTGCTACCAATCGAGTCCTACAACAGGGTATGAAAAGCGATAACCGAACCAACAACGAAGAAATAAACTCTGTCAACTTGTTCCAGAAGTTTACCGCGATATGCGAATAGGAAAATTCAAAACCATCCAATCATCTGGTAAATTGTTACGATGGCTGATCACATCTTCAACATCCCCCCTTCCTGGCTCGCCAAGCTTGGGTAGCTCTAGCCAATCGAATGATGTCGGCTGAGATGTGACGAAGATCTTGATAGTATCTTCGCATGAGTCTTGTTCTACATGAGGAACTGTCATCCTAATCTTCCTAGTAGAACACCCCTTGAATCCTATGTCGGTATCGGATGGAGCTTTCTCTGGGGGGATAGCCTCGTAGATGGCATGGAGGATATTCTCCACGTTCCAACAAGGACCCAAGTCGTACAAGTGGGCGTATATAACTTGATGCCCCGTGTTTTTCATCACCACTTCCACGATGTCGTTATGCCGTACCTCTATATGTTCTTCTGGGCCAAACTGTTTCTCATTACTGAGTATCTTGATGTCAAATGATTGTTGGAAAGCAGCTGTAACCGACTCATTAGCCAAGCCTTTGATCATCTTGAACATAGCTAAGTGTTCTAAAATTTCGCAGATGCGGTCAGCATCAGTTTGGTTCCGCACCATGGTTGGCAGGTGGGTGATCACCTGATCTGTCTCGTTCAGGACCTCATATTTGTCGTCATCTCTCAGCACGACCTGGAATACCGGGGCTTGGTTCATTTCGATTGGGGCAAGAGATCGTTTCTTCAACTTCGCCAGCCATTCATCTTGTGGGATATCGCATACCAATCGGATTGGAAAACGTGCAAGAGACGAACAAATCAGTGGTTTTGCAACCCAACCTGTCTGAATATTACGTGGAAACCCCGACAGCTCAGATGTAAAACCCCCGGCACGGGTGACCTTAACGTCATAACTCCCCCTGTCACTAAGACGACCTTGCGATGCCGGGGCAGACACAGAGAACATGTCGCCATTGCAGATTCCATGCGCGCGGCCTGCTAGCAGCTGAAAACCTCCGTTGCTTTCGACCACGGGGATCGATCTCACAACACGAGTCGTATCGGCCGGGTTGAAGAAACCCTGATCCCCGTTCCCATAGAAGACGGGATGTTGGTCCTGGCGCTGTTGCTGGTTCTGTTGCTGGCGCTGTTGCTGGCGCTGTTCCTCGTACATAGCGCACAGGTGACGGTGAATATCCATGTGTCTGCCCCCTAATCCGTATATAGATAAAGTTTTAGACAGGAAGAAGGATAGAGCTCCGTACAATTTCCCATTCTTCTCTATTTCGGACCCTACCATGGCATTTTCGTGGGGTCCGCATGCGACAAGTATGGCATATCGGCCTGGATCTAGGAGCCAGTTGTCTCGCATAGACGCATCCCTGTGAGTAGAACGAGAGGCCTCTTCTACGAGGCCGCTCTCCTGATCTGCTAGGTACGGCTGCGGCACTATGCGATCGTACGGAAGATATCGAACATCTCCGTCGTCATTGCGGTAGACGCTTGCTGAAAAACAGCAGTCTAGGACGAGAGTAACGACTAATTCTTTCTCAACCATCGCCTTGAGCAGACCAGCCAATTCGGGACCTCTTAGAAAGTCGTTGCCGTCACGTTTCTTATTGAGGACAACTAATGCTAAGTCTCCAGTCGAATGATTTGAGTATTTCAAGTGGTGATTCATTCTAGTCCCGTGACCAGAGAAATGAATATAGACATAGTCGCCTCGTTTTGCTCTACACTTGACGTTTTCAATGGCTGAGATTATATTGTCGTGAGTTGGGGCATATTCTGCACCACGGTGGGGGTCATCGCTTCCACTTGCCGCGATGGTTTGGATTTCAACGGAATCTAGTTTCTCGTCAAGTAAGTCCTTTATCATGCGAATATCTCGTACGCAACTCCTCAGGGGCTTTATCGGATAAGCGTCGATGCCAATTAGAATTGCATAATGTCTATGGACAGCGGACTGGTTTTCCATAATGAAGGGGACGACTACCTACCTAGTAGGTACCTATGGTTAATGATATGATTCATTTCTAGTAGATGAGGGTGATTAACTTGTGGTTATAAATAAGATATTCAAAGGCTACTACCTACGTACCTACTTAACTGGTACTTACCTGGTAAGCGCGCGTACCGACACTTCAAATAGTAGGTAGGCAATGATACGAGGCTATGAATGCAATGTATCATCTGAGCCTCACAAGGCATTGAATCTATATGATAAAAACATAGGTAATTAGGTATTTTTTGGAATATGCTAGGCAGAGTACGCCTTATCGGTAGTTGTCTTCCGCTACTGGTGTAGCAAGAGAAAGTTTCTATTGGATATAGAGTATACATATGACATGTGCCTGATGATGACCTTGTTTACGCCCGGTGGGACGTATATCTACCTAGGTAGGTGTCTAGGTGCCTTACGTACCCTTCAACCTAATGCTGTCCATCTGTACTCTTTTGCCATTTAGAGCACGTCTTCCGTTCTTAAAGCAAAGAGTACATTGACCATCCTTAGGGAAAACTAGTTCAACGAAGTAAGTGCCCTGGAAGGATCCTTCAGAGTTCATTAATTCCACTTCCTCCCCGGTAGAAAACAGTGCAGTCTAGGTGCAAGCTCGGTTAGCGCAAGCAAACGATTCAACTGGAACTACTAACAGTGCTACTATAGATTTGAGGACGAGATTCTTCATCAGAGAAGACAAACGTATTCTTGTTGTTCCTAAATTGCGTGTTAGCATCCGACGAGGCTGAAATCTTCGCAGTGGGGATACTTACTCTTCGGACGACATAGCTATTGTGGATATTGTGAGGTTGACTATTCAAACAAAGGCGTTAATAGTCGGGCTATCGCAATTGCCTTTATATACTTGTTCCGGTCGTTGGCAGTGCGGGGATACGAGGCAGAGGCAGAGGCAGATTGCTTTGAGAAAAAAGCCTTACTTTCCGACCGCTTACTTCACATATCTAAGGAACGATGGCGAGGCGTTTTCTACGTTCTAGATCCACCCCCCAGGACGACCCCGAAAGCGGGGGAAGCAGAGACAGTAGAATGCGTATGTATGCGTCTTTAGGCAAGAGCCTTACCAAAATCACTAACCGCACCCATAGTCGAAGAATACAGGGCCGGGTATCCCCGCTACACCGCGCTTCTGTCATCATATCCCTCCTGGTTCATATTTCGCCGTTTCGATAAGCTGCGAGCCCGACTTCTCTTGCTCAAGCAGGATAAGCTGACGCAACTCGAGAATCAGCTGGAAAGGATCGACCAGCAGGAAACATCCCCCCTTTTTCTTGGAGTGAGCCGGTCCGATAGAAACGTAGACCGTCTATCTACTCTATTAGAGATAGAGGCAGCCCTAATTGAATACGGTAAGAATACCTAATAGATCATTTGCAGTTAGGTATTAATCGAACAAGATGAACTCGTCGAGAGAACCGGTCGGATATTAAGCCTACAGTTAGCAGAACAAAAAGATACAAAGAGTCTACAAACCTGGGTGAATGGGACAGGTCAGTTAGCCAAAAACGAGATGTCATACCTCTCCCATCAATGCGAGCTAGTCTCTCTGGTCTCTGTGGCAGACAGCGGAGTCCTACAGCTCGAATCGTGGGTAGAAGATAAGTTGATTCGATACTTATCTATCTTGCGGCCTGTGAGAAAGCTTTTGTGACACTGGGGTGTGCGCTTAGCTAATAACTACCTACCTACAGAAATTATTTCGCGATATTTCCGCCGGACCGGATGTATATATACACAGAGGACCTTGGATCCGACGTGCCGCGAACGCGGTGTTGATTCTCTTAATCATCATTCTCCTGATGGTTCCGGTCGTGATATGCAATGCAATCAGTACCATCTCGGTCCGAATCATCATCATTATTCTGTTCACAGTCTCGTATCTGTCTATAATCTCCTTTTTAACAAGGTCGAAGATAATAGAGTTGATTCTCGCTGGGGCTACGTGAGTATTGTCTCAGTCCAAGGAAGCAGATGATTAATAACCTTTCTTAGGTATGCTACCGTTCTTATTGTGTTTGTTTCTGGCTCTACCACAATAGGAAGTTAGGAAAGTGCAGTTGGGAATTCGACCATGTTAAATGTTGAATTAAATAGAGAAGATTGCAATCATACCTAGGTAGGTACCTATATAGGTAACTTTGGAAATTTAGGGGTTGTTTCGTTGTAAAAGTCAATTGAAATTTATAGGGTTATAGTGGGTCATATAGTACCTCGGGCTATTGTCTATTTCGGCTTATTTTCCAAGGGTTTATAGCGCATTAAGCCCCGTAAGACACTGTATGTATCAGGGCATTTAGCGATAATATGCGCTATCCATAGATCTATTGTTACAGGCAGCCCTAGAATTGACAGCAAATAAAATATAATGCATTATATCACTAAAACTCCTTGTAATTGTAGTGCGCCCTTGCAGCCTTATTGAACTACACCTTTCTAATGCTGTTGATTGGAATGTTGGTTGGGTTGGATGGGAGCCTGGTGGCCATCCATTAACTAAGCTACTAATTGGTTTGTGAGGCTATTCACAACTTTAGTGGGCCGGCAGCGTTGGGAATAGCTTCTAATAAATATTCAAACAAGCCACTCAATCAATGTGAGACCACAACCAGAAAACAGCTTGTTAATATGGAGATTCGTGCTGATTGGTTTACATATATTATAGCAGACTTTGACCCAATCCAATCTATGCCGATATTCCTAAAATGTACATGTCTTATTTGATCTTCGAATATACCTACAGTGATCTACCAGGTCTGTGCGGACACTCCTTACTTTTCCACCAAAACTCACCCTTTTGAAAGACTCTTGTAAGCGACGACAACTAACTCTCGATATATTTACTGGCATATATCTATAGTAATTTGACAGCGCTATCGATCTATATATTTAATCTAATTTTTAGAGCTATATTGGTTGCGCTGTTTCCTAGCAAAGTTGGGGATAGTATCACTTCTTACAATTCTTCATATATTTGGTGCGGCGGGTACTTGAGCTAACTTCTAAAGCCTATAAAACATGTAAATCAATATATATTATAATGAAACTTAGAATTCATTAATTTTAAGCAAAGCTTTATAGCTAAATATGATTTCTATATTTTCTTCCATTTTTTCTTTGGTATATATCTTAATTCGAAGTTAATGAGTTTTGGTGGGGAAAAGGGGGGTGTCCGCACAGACCTGGTAGGTAATTGTACCTATATGTACCTACTAGGTAGGTATGTACCCTAGCTCACTGATTACCTAGGTATTTAGGTATCTTCCTTCAAGGGGTAATTGTGAATTTCTTCAATTCGGTCGCTTACCTAGGTAGGTAGCTATAAATTTATAGTTTTGCTTTGCTACGACATCTAGGTATATTCCTAATTAGGCGGTCAAGATGAGAAGCTTTCGTTTGAGGCAAAGACAGGAATCCTGCCGCGTCTCACGAGAGTCGTCAACTTACAGAGAGGAGGGGACGGGGACTATCAACATTAAGAGACCTGCAGCATCTGACAGACGTCAAGGTGTGCCTCCCAACGGCTCAGCTGACCGCAAATTTACAATTGTGGCAAGATAGGGTCTTAGTATTCCTCCTCGTGCGACGGCCGAGTATGATCTAGACACACCAGGGCCGCCAAACATCGACTCGGGCCGCTCCTGTGTCGCCGAATTGGGATCCCTTTGCTCGCGGGCAGGTTTTGAAGGTTACATGTTGAATGGGCAAACAACGGGCTATTACCTAGTAACGGGAGATTCTTGATGCTATGTGGTTGGGAGCGTGGATCATGCCTGGTGAGCGATGTTACAGAAACGAATTGTCATACAGTGATGGTTTTTTTTGCCGTGAACCGGCCTCATTTACGCACGATATGACGTGGTTATATAACAAGACACAGAACTTCTCGACTGGGGTTTAAGGGGAAACATCACAACCATTCTAGACAGGTAGAACACGCCTTCAACACCAGTCCTGAAAGAAGATTTCCAACTCATATTCTTACCAACAAGTCGCAATGAAAGCCCTCCACGGCCTCCTCACCACCCCAGCCTTCCTCATCAGCAGGACTTGGGCATTACCATATTCACTCTCCTCAACCGACTCAGTCGTCACCCTCACAATAACCCAAACAGTCATACCAATCCCCCTAATCACCAGCACCAGCAGCAGCGCTCCGCAAACAACCTTCGCCCTAGCAGAACTCACAACGAACCCGACAGAAAGCGTGACCGTAGAACCGATCATGACTCTCCCCCCGACTCAACTCGACCCCTCGACCGCAAGCTTCACCGGGAAGTGCGATTACACTTCCTGCTACGAAGGCACCATCGTGTGCTTCTACTTCGCCGGCTTCACGTCCTACGACGTGTCAAGGGGGCCTTTGCCGGGGGAGATCGCGACGATGCTTGGGCCGTGCGATGATGGCATGGCTACGACTCAGTGATGTGGTTGGGAATGGGGATATGAGATTATGACCAAATATGAGCTTTATGATGGGTTAGAAGATAGGTATATGTTTCTCAAAAGAGGAAACGGGGGATTTGGATGGGTTGTTCGTATATACAAGACTGAACTATGCTAGTTACAAGAATAAAACCCGTAACATTGCCCACCATGCAAATATATCCTCGTTTCATCGTACTTAGGTATACTCGGGTTTACGTTGCTGGGAAGTGTAAGCTCAACTACCACACACAAAAGGCATTAGATAACTTAGTAAAACAGGGGATCACTAACCAGGACCGCCAATAGCAGTAGTAATAGCCCCACTCTCGACATAAACGCCCGAGAAGTAGAAATCCTCCACACCGTCAGAGTAGCCAGAGCGCGGCAGTTCGAGAACACCTAAATGCCAGTCCGCACCATTCGACGAAGTCGAAGTCTTAGCCGGCGCAACGACCTGCGTCAGCGGGTCGCCGGCCTCCGAGTGCCAGAAACCGACTGTGCCGGCGCTGAAATCGATCTCGAAGGCGACGTTGTGCCAGACGTTGGCTTTCCACTCCGTCTTCCACTTTGAGTTCTGGGAGACCATGCTGGGGTGGGAGTTAGCTGTCATCATCCTCTCCCCCTTTCCCCCTTCTCCAGGTAATTAATTAATACGTAGGTATCGACAGTACTCACAACTGCAAATTCGGATTCTCCGTCCTACTCTCCCCCGAAATCCAGCCATACTTCAGCTCGGTAAAATGGCTCTCAAAGAAGCAAATCTGATGTTCTCGATTCTTCGACGGGGCATTCGCCTCGGTCCGCGAAATACTGAAATGGTAAAACACCTTGCCGGAATTAATCGCGGCCTTCGTCTGCGGGATGAGCTCGATCCGGCGCATATTCTGGCCGTTCCAGAACGCCGTGCTGTCGAGCGTGAACTTGGCGCCTTGCTTTGACGCCGTGTCTGCTGGGTTCTTGTACGACGACGATAGACTGATGTATTTCTCCACCGACCCCGAGCCGTGGATGTAGTACTGGTACGGCCCGACTTGGTTTCCCCACGACCATTTGTTGAGGTCCGCTGCTGTGCTGAGGTCGTTAAAGCGTCCGTCCCAGAGGACCGCTGCGCTGGCGGCTGTGACCAGCGTTGAGATGAGGGAGGCTTTCATCTTGGGAGGCTTGGGGGAGTTAGTTGTTTGGGCGAAAGAGACGGTGAACCGGGTTTTGGATCTTGGGGGTTAATGATAGGTAAGTAGGTATACATATAGGCTTCTGCCATACATTCGTAACCCTCCATCGTGCCATTGACACCCTATCTGGGGAAAGCTGTACGGGGTAGGGGTTTATTATGGAGATTACCCAGGCACGGGCTAGATTCAATTTAAAGATGGCAGCCCGGACCGTGGGTTTGGGCGATTGTGAAGCATTCTATAGGAAAATGTGTAGAGAACTGCGGATTAGAGCCTCCGATGATCTTGCCTTGGTGGTTGTGTTATATTAGACATGGGGGATTATACGTAGGGGAATTTAGCCTATTGGGAATCGCAGCCAATGCCAGCCGCCCTGCATTTCCGCCATACCCCGTGGGATTTCCGGTTTTCTAAGATGGCCTGGAACACGTCCCAATACTAAACAATCATTTATTAGCACGCTGAAAATAACCTCGTAAACTAGAATACAGACACATTTCTCGATACATGAGCAGCAGTCGCCAGCGCTCCGAGGCAATTTACATCTAGAACCCCAATCCCTAACTAACCGAAATACATGTGTGTTTCATTACTCGTAGACCATTATACTGCTGAACGCGCAGAGCAAAAAAGCAAAGTTCTCAACTTCGTGTGGATATCGTGCTTATGGTCAATATAATGGCCCATCGGACAAGTCCTAGTATTCTAACCCAGCGCTATAACTGCCACTTCTGGCCTCGGTCGCCCGATCTAGACTGGTTCGAGATTGGCTAATGCTCCTCTTGCTATGTGATGTGCCTGGTCGGGAATTGATTAGATCGCCTTGTTCCGCGGCGTACATAGCAACTTCTGGATCGGGCATATCGTCGCTGATTTTATGAATAAAGTACGCAGCAATGAGAGCAAAGAAGCCACCACAAGCTAGGACAATACCAAGACTATGATCGCCAGGAACACCTCTTGGTTTTTGGAAAATTCGGAAGATTATGCTGGAGCCAAGAGTAGCGATAAACTGTGGCGAAGCAATAGCCATGTTGTGGATGCCGAGAATAACACCAGCCTGGTCTGGTGCATCTTCGTCGGCCTTCAATCGCGAATCTTCGTCGAGTCCGTTGACCGAATCAGCAGAATCTAGGTCCTGGTCACGTGCAAGAGATCTCATCTGTTGCTTCCGGGCCTGGTATAATATATCACGACGACTTATTTCAGCGCTGATAATGGCCCATGGTGCCCACAATGCTAGAGCCCATGTAATACCAATAAGGCCAATGAGGAAAGTCGCTGCCTGAACCGATCGGACAAGTACAGCGCAGAACATCGCCCCAGCGAAAAGGAGCTCGGACAATAACCATGCTCTCCGTAGCGTAAATCCTGGAATTACTAACCGATCCAGAAAACTTTTCCCACCCGTAATGTTGCTATGGATTTCTCCATGGGGGTTGGCGACAGCGGGACTATTGTCATAGGTTGGGTCGATGAAGAACGGTAGTAGGACGTTAGTTGCTAAGCTTGCGATAGAAAATATTAGAAGGGCGAAAGTCCCCACCCGGGTTGCCCTCTCGTAGAGCTCATCTAGTTCTTCTGGAGTCATGTGGGGATTTGCTTCTAAAAAGGGTTGAACGTAGATTTCTCCGATATAGGAAGACGTATAGAAAAGCATGGGGAAGAATCCAACCCACGCAGCAATCTGAACGACGCAAACTTTGGATATCTGTGGGGGGAGTCTCTTTATAGCGGCGAAGATCTTTACAAAAAACGATAAAATACCAGGCTGGCCGGTAGCTGGACGTCCACTGAGCTGGGGATTACGCTCGGGAATGAGTACTACGCTCAACACTATTGTGGAGCAGAGGAAAATGCTGGCTATCGCACACAGGTCCTTGAATTGACTGCCTCCAAAAAACCAGACGTATTTTGGGAGATTAATACCACCGGCAATATAACCGATGATGTTGCCAATACCAACCATCCTACTAGCCATGGAGTTCGCGGCTTCCTGCTGGTGGGATGGAGCGCAGTCGACGATGAAAGCCCGAATAGACGCTTGTACTGTATTGACAGCAATATCCAGTACGTAAATCCAGATAACAGCGACAACGATGATAGTGACCTTTACGCCGCGAGATTCCGGATCCGCACCGAACACGCTGAGGAATCCTCCGATAATCTCCCTAATCCAGGCGAGAAACATATAAGCTAGTGACGTGGCTGCAGCACCACCCAGCATAAAAGGCTTGCGTTTCCCCCAAGACACTCTACAGTTATCGCTGAGCATACCAATGTATGGCTGGACCAGAGTCCCAGTGAGCGGACCGGCAACCCACACAAGAGCCATAAGAGACTTGCTCAGACCAAGAGATAACAGATATGGGGTGCCATTGGATAACTCTACTGCCCAAGCAACCTGCAATCCTCCGAGACTAAGTGTCAGAAGTAAGAGGTACCAGATGCTCTTAGTCTTCTGGAACTCATCTTCGGCTTGTTTCGAGTGTTCCTCGTGTAGGAAGTCGTGTTCGGCCCCGCTGGGGGAGAGCAGAGGGGAGTTCTCATTGAGCCTATCCAGTCCGGCAGCCTCCCCAGCATTTACTCTTATCGTGCTTTCCGACCACGCGAGATCGACATTGTTATCTAATTTCGAAGATGGATCATGTTTGCGATTCGACGAAGATTCGTGGTCCGAGGACGAGGAGCTCGACGATGACGAGGTCATCGATTGGTCGGTACCGCTTTCGCGACTAAGCTTCGTTTGTATCTAGTGCCTATGGCGAGCGAGGAAATACCCAGGCCCGGAGTTCCGGATCTCGTTGTAGTTGATGAAAGCGAGCCCAGGGATATGGAAACAATTGTTGTTGCCGTCGTTGCCAACTTTTAATCGTTCTATATGTTTATATTAGAGTTAAGGGGGTTGAATAAATAATTGAAGAGTTCGGTAGGCCAGGGTCGGACAAATTTAGCCGTCTTGACCACTAGTTGGAGGGAGCTAAGAGCACAAGTTGTCACACGGTCTGGGCGGCTTGAGATGTTACCACGAGACCGAGGCACATGTAGAATGGTGGCGCGTCGTAATTGGTCAAGATCGAGTCGCGAGGGATGAGCTGGACGCTACCAAGGTAGTAGGCAATACGTTTACTAAGAAATCATTGGGACACCCGTTTGACTCCGCATGACCTCCAGTCGGAAAGGCGACTGTTTGGATTATCGTGGATTGGTTTTAGTCGCTATGACATCAGCCAGTCTGAGACGCAATAGGACTAGATCAATATGGAGAGCCTTCCGATTTCCGATTTCTGGGTCAGAGGTTCTGTGGAGATTAACGTCTTGGAATAACAACTTCTAAGGTCGATCAAAATAGATTTATTTTATCAAATAAATCTAATTGTGTATATTCATGTGTAAGAGATGATTGTGAAATGTCCTTTATCATTATTAATCCCATAGAAAGACGGCCGTTTACTCATAAAGTTAATGATTTAAAGTTGAAGAACTGTGGATCGTACCTGGCAGCCTGGATCGAAATTGTTCGTGGGGTAATAAGCCTAGGCCGTTTGAAGTAAGAGGACATCCTTATTAACTGAATATCTGTCCTTATATGCAAGATATACATATAGGTAGTTAATATGGTTATAATGGGTTCTAGCTACGTAATTTTGGGTTTGCTAGGTGACCCACAGGCTATGCAGGTGCCCTAGGATTCGGCGGCGCGCGGCGCAATCAGCTTCCAAGAGGAGCAAAAAGTGCAAGTTGTCGATTTCAACTTCTTGAATTGAACAAGCGCAGAGTCGAACCTAAATCCGACCGCATCGACCATTTCGACCGCATTCACCATCACATCAACCCAATCCTTCCACAGTTAATGCGTCCACACGCCAGAATTTCTGTGCTCGATCTGGAGCAAAAGGCCTATATTCCGCCGAAGCATTCGTCTCCGACTTGAGGCCGTCGCCACCGTTCGCCGCGACCATGTTGACAGAAATTGCTAGCTCCGCCATGGAGCTCCTCCGTATGTCACCCACAACCCGAACCATCTCTCATCATCCCTAAATACATAATTGCTAATTGTACGATACACTATAGGTCGGTCGGATGAAGAGACAGATCCTGATGGTATGATTACTACCTTCTATTCGTCGCGCGGCTCCAGGCACCGGTTTACCTATCGGTCTAATCTAACAATCATATAACAGGGACCAACTCGGAAGACAAGGAGTTATTCGCATCACGAGCCTTATTCATATCTATAATGCTTCTCGTCATTGCCTTCTTCACGAGTTATATGCTACAACAGAAAAAGGTCCAAGCTGTTCATGAAACAGTAATTTCCATCTTTGCTGGTTTGTCGCACACAACTACTGAAGAATCTTGTGGACAACGAATAACTAATAGTCAACGTCAGGGATGACCGTGGGGTTGATCCTTAGAGTGACTGCTGGCAACTCTATTCGACAGCTCGTGAGCTTTGACTACCAGATCTTCTTCAACCTCTTACTCCCTCCCATTATTCTAAACTCGGGATACGAACTACACCAAGCCAACTTCTTTCGAAATATCGGTACCATATTAACCTTTGCCTTCGCCGGTACCTTCCTATCCGCCGTCGTTATAGGCTTGCTGTTATGGCTATACACCCGAATACCCCTCGAAGGTCTCGACATGACTTTTGTCGACGCTATATCGGTTGGCGCAACTTTATCGGCCACGGACCCCGTTACAATCTTAGCCATTTTCAACGCCTATAAAGTGGACCCGAAGTTATATACCATTATTTTTGGCGAATCCATTCTGAACGACGCCATTGCTATCGTCATCTTCGACACCGCGCAAAGGTATGGAACCGAGAAGGCCGGATCATATGGAGTGGCTAGCTTTTTCGAAGGTGTGGGCATTTTCTTGGCCGTCTTCTTTGGCAGCTTACTTATCGGCGTCCTCATCGGTGTTGGAACTGCCCTTACTCTGAAGTTTACATATATCAGAAGGTATCCTCAAATTGAGACTTGTGTGATTGTGTTGATCGCATATGCAAGTTACTTCTTCTCCCAGGGTCTCAAATTGTCAGGTATGTCCACCCTTATTTCAACCTGACGCTATCGTAACTAAATCAAATTAGGTATCGTGTCGTTGCTGTTCTGTGGTATTACCCTTAAACATTATGCCTATTTCAACATGTCGCGACGAACACAGCTCAGTACCAAGTACTTCTTCCAAATATTAGCTCAACTATCCGAAAATTTTATATTCATTTATTTGGGATTATCGTTGTTCACAGATAACGACCTTCAGTTCCAACCTCCTCTGATCATTGTTACTATTATTGCGGTCTGTGCGGCACGTTGGGTTGCGGTCTTCCCACTATCGAAGGCTATTAATTGGTTCATTCATCATCGAGCGAGACGTCGGGGCAAGGAGGTCAGCGACGAATTGCCTTATAACTACCAAGCTATGTTGTTTTGGGCGGGCCTGCGGGGAGCTGTCGGTGTGGCGCTGGCTGCTCTTCTAAAGGGAAAGAATTCTTATGCTTTAAAGGCCACTGTGCTTGTGGTGGTGGTCCTAACTGTGATTATCTTTGGCGGCACTACGGCACGAATGTTGGAGATATTGGGTATCAGGACAGGGGTTGTAGAAGAGGTTGACAGCGACGACGAATTCGACATTGAAGCGGCTCCAGGGGGCTCTTATTATAAGCGGTCTGGAACCGGAATTGGGTATAACCCTAGGCAAAGAAATGGGTCGGTGCGCCTTGACCGTGTGGATTCCGGGAGAACTCGGCCAGCCGTAGAGCCAGAACGTGGAAGTTACGTATCAGGACACCGCTCACCGTCCTTCCCAACGTCGCGCGCTACAAGCTCGAGCCGTAAAGGCTCTCGCCAAGGTGGCCAAGGTGGTGATGATATGGAACGAGCAGATCTCTTTGGCCGGAATGGCAGTGTAACCGATTCCGACCTTGGTAGCGATATCGATACATCAGATCTCCCGCCCCCAGCACGTAAATCTACGCGGAATAAGTCAAGTCCTATCCTGACGCCTAGCGCCACGGAGGATGAGGAAGGAATATTTTCATATCCCACCTCGGGCCACCGCGATGCAATGCCGGTAACTGCCCGGGAAGCGATCAAGCAGCTATTTACTACTCAGGATCCTCAGGCATTGTTTAGGCAGCTCGACGAGGATTATATCAAGCCTCATCTTCTCCTGGATGGAGGGAATGGCGGCCCAAGTGATAGAAGAGGGAATGGAGAAGGAGGCTCCGGATCGAACTAAATATAGACGTTATGGTAGGAATTGGACCAATGACTACTTTACGAGCGAGTACTGTACACTATTAGATCAGAGATTCATCGGTATTATGTGGCGTCCTAGGTATTGTGTCTGAAGCGTAGTACGCTATGAGGTAAAATCTCGGGTTATTAGCATCGTGTAAACGTGTATATGTAATGATCATTTGGGGTTTACGCATCAATGATGATACATACTGCTGTACATACAACTTGGAACAAGACCTTGGAATCCCCGGGCCATGGGATGTGTACGTACAAATGTACCTACTAACTCTGTATAAGTCGTGGGGGATGAGGTAATGTTCAAATGTTGGCTGTGCATTAACAGGCTAGACCGGAATAAGTAAGGTTTCTAAACTTAGCCCCCTCCCTAAACCTAGGCGGGGTTATGCATCTAAAGACGTTCGAGATATACTTAGGTACCGCGTAGGCACACTTGTCCAAGAATATTAGGGGATCTAGTGGGGAAAATTACAGGTGGCACGGGCTGTTACGAAACAAGACTGGACAGAACTGGACGGGACAAAATGACCGACTCCATACGTCCATAGTACTAAGCCCACTAACCCCTACAAGTTCCACCACCTTTAATCCGTATATTGTATTGTACATAGAAAAGAAGCCTGGGAAACACACAGGCGACCAAGACGTTCAAGACGCTCAAGACATCGCCCTCTGGCGCATACCCTCCGAATAGATTCACCTTTACTCTCCAACTTCGGCTCGTCCTATCTGTATATCTGATATGCGTCAATTATAGCTGAAAGGCGCACCCTGTCTGCCTCCATGCCACACCTATCCGTAAAAAACGTCCCCCGATCGTGCCAGTGCCAACCTTTACCGACTCCCACCTACTCTCCTCAACGATATAAACCCTTGCCTTGATCCGACATTATGGCTTCATACGGAAATACTATGCCAATGGCCGCTCCTCGTCATGGCCAGCAGGCCGCCTACGGTGCGCCAATGCAGGTCCATGGCCAAATCCCCTTACAAGGACCACCCGCCCCTGCTGGCACCTTCGCTCCGGGTACCAAGATACAGGTCGGCAACCATAGGGTAGTGATTCAAAAATATTTGTCTGAGGGTGGATTTGCACACGTTTACCTAGTGAAGATGCCTCAACCCATCAATGGAACTGACCAAGCCGTGCTGAAGAGAGTCGCCGTGCCGGACAGGGAGACTCTTCGTGGGATGCGGACAGAGGTCGAAACAATGAAACGACTTAAAGGACATAAGACGATTGTTACATATATCGACTCACACGCATCCGAGCTAGGTGGTGGTGGATATGAGGTCTTCTTACTCATGGAATATTGCAATGGAGGAGGGCTGATCGACTTCATGAATACCCGGCTACAACACCGACTTACCGAACCCGAGATTTTGAATATTTTCTCAGACGTTGCAGAAGGGGTTGCTTGTATGCATTATCTCAAACCGCCTTTGCTACATCGAGATTTAAAGGTCGAGAACGTCCTAATTACGATGCATGGATCCCGAAGGAAATTTAAGCTGTGCGATTTTGGCTCGGCAGCACCGCCCAGAGCCGCGCCTCAGACGGTGGTGGAATGCCGTTTGGTGGATGAAGATGTTCAAAGACATACTACTTTACAATATAGAAGTCCGGAGATGATTGACGTATACCGAAAACAACCGATAGACGAGAAGTCGGACATTTGGGCTCTTGGCGTGCTTCTTTATAAGCTCTGCTACTATACAACTCCATTTGAGGAACAAGGGCAACTTGCTATATTAAATGCAAGCTTTAGGTTCCCTAGCTACCCGCCCTTTTCGGATAGGCTAAAACAACTAATTGGTAAGTTGCCTTACCGTAACTACTTACTCAACTTCCTATGCTGATTACAGCCTTAAAGCATCTATGCTGAGGGAAGACTTACGATCTCGGCCGAACATTTACCAAGTGCTCCGAGAAAGTTGCTTGATGCAGGGTATTGATGTACCCATACATGATGTACGTATAGACCTCATTTTCTACATGTATAATAGCACCCACCTAATATGTTCTAGATTTATTCTGGAAAATCCCAATCAGGAAAAGGCGAGAAGCAACCATCTTCTGGAAAGGAGGGAAGAGGTACTCCAGGCATAGGTGCAGTATATTCTCCACCACAGCAACCACAAACCCAGGCAATACCTGAGGTTACACCCATGAGGCGTGGAAGGCCATCTGCTGCTAGCCAATCCGCTCCAAGTCAACATACTCCAAAACTGGCGCCAAAACCAAGCCCATCTCCGGCGAGAGTCACAAACGGCGACCCGTTCGCTGCCCTTGACTCTAAAACAGGATCAAAATTCGACGCGGACGAATTATCGTCAAGATTTCCAACCCTCGATCAGTTCTCCCTCCTACACGATCAGGGCACTAAGTTTGATTTCGACAACCCAACTTCCCCTGCGGATCCGCAAAAGCAACTAAGCCAACGTGTTACCGACCAACTTGCAGACAATGCCTTTGCTAGACCCCAACCTACGGCGGGAGCAGCCCCTCCAGGCCAGAGACAGTCAACAGATTTAAATAGAGTGAGGTCGGTAAACGCCGCGACTGATATACAAAGGACATCTCCCCCGCCTGGATCTACGAATAAGCCTGGTTCTGCTCCTCCTAAGCCAACCGAAATGAGCCGTGCCTCGGCCATAATCTCTAGTAATCCTGAGCTCCAAGCTATCTCATCTCCGCCACAGACTTCCCAAGATACCGCAAAGCCGGGCATGGTGTCTATTGGGACGATGACCAGTGATACACCTCCCCCTGAAAGACAAATTCGGGACTATCCTCCTATTCACAGATTCCCTCCAGCAGACCAACAGCGCACATCGAGTTTGCCAAGACAGCAAGAGTCAACAGGCACTGGCCAAAGACGACCAGATATGGCTTACCCATTGCGACCCACCCCAACTCCTCGCCTTGATTCTATCCCGCCTCCACAAGGACACGCCCGACACTCTTCTTCATCGCGCCCATCCCTTGAAACCGGTCGACCGAGCGCTGAACAGCTAGACGCACTATCCAAACCACCAATCGGAGGGCGTCCCAGGCCTGTTAGTACTTATCTAGAATCTGATATGGATTACCTTCGGGAGCGGGAAGCGGCACCTAGACCACTCCGTTCCCCTGGATTTTCGCCAAAGCTACGTGGAAATTCTTCGTCGCCGAGGCTCGAGCCTCAAGACGACTCGGCAATAGAATCAAATGTGGACTTCCTCCGATCAATGGAGGACCCAGACGGAAAGAAGAAGGATAAGGGTGTTAAGCAACATGGGAAGCGTGCTAGTATCACATCCTTATCTGGTACTAAGAATATCCTTGCCGGGAGGTTTGGCGATGCTTTCAAACGGTTTGAGGGTAATCCTTCGGGTTCTGGTGCACGGACCCCATCTCCACTTAAAGATATGGAACGCCACGATCTCACCCCTATCGCGGGATCAGAGGCAACTGACGGCCGCAGCGATGACGGCCACCTTCTCGGGGAGCCCGAAATGACACCGGAGATGCGACGAGAACTCGAAGCCCAAGCTCTCGCCGAAGAGGAACGGCGGGTAGAGGCGGCAGCAGCCGAGTATAAGCAGCGAATGGCAGCGCGAGACGCAGGAGGCTCGTCAGCCCCGCTACCTAAGAGCATCGGCGGCGTGTCGCGAGCCGTGAGCATACAGAACCGCGTGCAGAACCTGTTAGACGAGTCCCAGAAGTCCTCGCAACAAGTCCAGCGCACGGCAACCGGCTACGGCAAGTTCTCAGACGCGGCCACAGTCAAAAGTCGTCCGGAAAAACAACTCCCTGAAGTCCCAAAGAAACTCGTCACCGGCAACCGTGGCAACGCCCCGCCCCTCAAACCCGTCTCTACGATCGAGGTTCCACGGGGTCGCGCCCCCGCCGACCCAACTTCGCCGAATAAACCCACGCTCCCGCCCAAACCTACGCATTTAAATAAACTGCCAACGGGAGGCGGGCGCGCTAGATCGCCTCCGAAGGGACGCGGTGCGGGACCCGCGCAGCGCAGTTCTTCGGAGCATTTGGCTGGTGTGGGGTTGCCGGGCCGTCCGATCCTCGATATGAGCTTTAAGGAGAAAGAGGACTATATACAGGATTTCACGAAACGGTTCCCGAGCTTGAGCTCGATTGAGATGGTTGAGCGTGATTTGGATGATGAGGCGGAGGGGACGGGGAGGCGGTGATGGGGTGGTGTGGTGGTAATTTAGGGGAGGGGAAAGATGAGTTAAGAGGGGGGAGGTGAGGTGAGAGGTGGTGAGAGCAGAGGAGGGAAGGAAGTGGATAGAAGATAGATGGTGTAGAGGAGGAGCCTCATATCAGGCATAGACGAGTTAAAGACAGCTAAGGCGTGCAAGATAGAGCGCAGCGCAGCGAATCGCGAAACTGGGGTGTGAAAGTTAGCCAGCCAGCCAGAGAGAGAGCCTTGTTTAGGTATACATATATATGTATGTATGTATGTGTGTATGTGCTTGACTTTTTTATCGCGAGGAGCGTTTGGTGTGTTGTTGGGGTTAGTCCCGCAGGCAAGCAAGCAGGCAAATGTTAGACGTGGATTGGCGTTCTAAAGAAAGGCAATTGAATAGTATTCCCCCGCACGTATGTATCGGGTTTGAGATTTTTGGCTGTTGCTGTTATGTATTGTTGTAATGATGGTTGGGTGCTCATGTTTGTATGTATGCTTTTGTTCTAGGTGGTGAGGTTTATATAGTATATATAATGGATCTAATGTCAGTAGATGTCTGGTTGTGTGTTGAATCGAGTAGATTGGTGATGCATATTAGATTTTCCCCTTGATGCCTTTCTTGATGTCTCATAACTTCGTTTTAAATCGCGATGATTGGAAGGTCAGTCCATAACTTCTCGTATTAACCTTGCAAGTTGATTTTCCAGCGCCGAATTGAAATAAACGTCGCGGATCAGCCGTAGCAAACTAAAGTACAGGAATCGAATGGGTATCGTGGCGAAACCGAAATTTTTAGCGCCGATAAGAAAGCAGGAAGTCCTCAGGAATATCGCCAGGAGTACCGTCGTCGGGTTTATAAAGAACCCTCAATCTCAACCCCTTTACCCCTTTTCCTCCTTTTTCCCCTTCCAGCACAAGCTACATGAAAATTTAGAATCCCCTCCACCAAATCCCATCCCTCCAGCAATTCCGAGCCAGCAAACTCTCCACCTCCAGCCTCCTAATTCTGCGTCAAAATGACATAAACGAACTTTATCTCCGGCATCTTGCGCAGGCACTTCTTAACCACGGGATCACTCTCATCCCAATTAAGCCGGAACATCAAACTCTCGTGGTCCCAGCCGTCCACATCAGGCGGATCATCAGGAAGCCCGCGGACATTGTCCCGCTGGTAGATCTCCGACAGCCACGCAAGCTTGTAGTCGAACCACAGCCCATTCCAATGCGCGCGACGCTGTTCCGCATCGAGCTCGCGCTCGATGCGCGTGAGTCCGTTGACGCACGCGCGCGTGTTATCCCACTCATCCGTCCGCAAGACATCCGCTACTCGCGCCACTTCCTGCGTATCCGTCATATCAACCGTCACAACGGAGTCCACGCCAAACATCGCCGCGATGGGAATCGACAAAAGACTCGAGCGCAGCGTGAACGTGTCGCGCGAGCGCGCCGTGTGGTTGAAGATGTTGAGGGTGCGCAGCGCGCAGCGCTCCTCCTGCACGAAGCGGAAGATGAACCGCAGGCCCGTGGGGTCCTGGTCCTCTGGCAGTCGCCACGACGCGTACGCGCGCATCGGGTCCCATTCTGCTGCGTCGTGCAGGTCTTCGACCCAGCTGCTGGAGCAGGCGTCGTGCAGGGTTAGGGAGGTTAGGTTGTGGAAGAAGTTGTCGTCGCGGAAGAGCCAGTGGATTTTGAAGAGGAGGTCGGGGATGGGTTTCCAGATGACTAAGGGGGAAGGGGGTGGTTAGTATGAGTATGTATGTATAGGTGTGGGCGGCAAGAGAGGAAGTTGGAGGGGGGGAGTGCTTACAGATATCTGTTGCGTGGTTGAACCAGCCGAGGGCTACGAACGGGTCTTTGGTGTAGTGGTTGAGGTAAACTCCTCGCGATTCGCGACAGACGTGGGCGATAGCCGGGGGAGGCAACGGAGTTATTTCTTCGTCATCGTCGAGCATGAGTGAGATGGCTCGACGAGGCACGGCTTTCTCCCAGATCATGATTCGTAACTCAGGGGGGAGTAGAGAGAATTGAGGGAAGGGTTTCACGGATGGTATGTCAACGGCATCTTCGTAGATGTACTCGTAGATCTCGCCAAAAGGCTTATCCATTTTGACGGCAACCCCTTTCAATTGAGTAAATTGTTCGATGTCGACAATATTGTCTACCCTCGAGGCTTCAAGAATAGGACAATAATGAGAATAGTGTTGTTTTGATTCGTTCTTGTCTTTTTCCCCGTGAATTCGGGTTATATTGTAAGAAAATCTTAATGGATTTTCTCTTCGTGATTCGAGAAATCTTTCAAAATCTCAAAATATCTTCAAATCTTGTTAGTAATTGAATGTGAAATTCTTCAAGATGATTAACCAGATACGGGAGTGGATATTAACCTTTAGATGATGAACCCCTTCGAGTAGCGAGTTCTTATTTCAAGACTAGGTAGTGAATTAATCGAAGATGATTGAAAGGGATTTGAAGAGTGATAATGATTAGAGGGAATTTTGGTGAATGAAGGAAATAGACGTGTGCTGGTGAAGATGTGGTAAGTCTGGAGGCCTAGTGAAGCCAAGGCGGGAATGTGTTTGTTTACCATTGATAAGATGAAAAAAGTAGAAAGGCTAAAAAGTTTTAAGGGCATGGAATTTAAAAACCAAGGTTATCTGATTAGTTGAATGAATGCAGTTAAAGTCAATGCAAATAGCCCAAACGTTAAGAATAGGGTTGCGGCAGACGCCTTCAAAACTGTGTGTAAAAGCCGCGTTTTTCTTGATATTTACGGCGATGCCATGTTAAAACGACCCTTGCCGTGTGCTCGTACGACTCCTAAGTACATTGGTTATCTCTAGCATTAGTAGACAATTCAGAAAAGAGCCCTGAAGATACGCATAGGCAGGTTTTTCCATGTCTTCTTTTCCATGATCTCCTCGGCATCATCATCAATCTCTAATGGGCGGGCACCGGCCATCAAGTCGATATCGTTCAGCTTAACCCACATCCGCCAGTCGCCACTATAAACCTTCCAGCCTAGGTATAACGCGATGACGATGGGGGCCGCAAGGTACTGTTCGAAGAAGTCCGCAGCATCAGGGGTGGCATTGGGTGAGGGCTAGTAGTTAGGTACATGTTAGCTATGACACCGAGATATCGCCAAGAAAGGGGTGGGGGAGGGGGTAAGGGAGAAACTAAGGTGAGGTAAGGTAGTCGGGTAGCAAAACTTACATAGAGAGCGTTGTAGAAAGTAGCGATCAAGCAGAGGGCGTTCAGGAACAGGCCAATAGCACTACCCCAGATTCCGAGAGGAGTACGGTACGGGATCTCCCTCAGATCGCGTCCCTGGGCATTCCATGCTAGTCGGAAACGGATATGGGCCAAGCAGCACGAGCCCCATACGAAGAAGTATGATAGACCCGAAAGCGAGAGGAGCCAGGTAAAGACATCCAATCCATTCGCAGCGACACCGATATAGCCCAGGAGACCAAATGCTAGCTGGATAACCACACACCATAAGGGTCGGCCGGCCTTGTCAACGTAGGCGAGGAACTTCGGCGCCATTCCTCGCTCGGCCATAGCTTGCATAGTTCGTGTGGAACCGAACGTGCAAGAGTTGGCGACGCTAATGACCGAGATGGTAATGACCGCATTAAATATCGAAGGTAGGACGGCAATGCCGGCATCTTGGATAGCCAAGACGAAAGGCGAATAACTCGAGTTGGCGCCGGACGAGTTCTTCAGACGCGCATCGTCCGACGGTAGGATGAGACCGAGGATGAGGAGGTTGATGATATAGAAGAAGGCGATTCGGAAGAAGACCTGCTTGGAAGCCTTGGGGATAGCTTGTCTAGGGTTTGACGACTCGGCTGCGGCGAGACCAACCAGCTCGGTACCACCGAAAGCAAAGGCAGCAACGACGAAGACGCCGGCGAAACCGTTGAAGCCGTTCTTGAATGCGCCCGGCTCGTACCAGTATTTGCCGCCAATGTAACCCCTATTGCCGACTCCTCCACAGTTTATTACAATGCCCAAGATGATGAAACCTGTACAAGCGGCAATCTTGATCATACTAAGAATGAACTCGACTGTATATTGTTAGTCTAATTGATTGAAGCCATATCTTTTATCAACCACTTACCTTCACCATAACCTCGCACACCGAAAACTTGAATCAGAGTTAGGATTACCAAGAAGACGGTGACCCAGATCGCGACATTGAGATCGGGTCTCCAGAACTCGATGGTAATGCCAGCAGCGATCAATTCGAACGGAAGAACCGTGAGCCAGGCGATAGCATAGTCCCAACCCATAGCAAAACCCCTGAATGAAAGATTAGCGCAAATAAGTCTATAGGCGAGGCGAAGGCGTACCAAGAGGGGTCGACGAATCGGACGACGTAAGTGTAGAAGGCACCATTAACAGGGTAGAGCTATGCACATGTTAGTAATCGAATGCTTCATATGCAAAGTGATTTGATAAAAATAAGGGGTAGAGGCAAGGACGCGCGAAAGGATTCTATACATACCACAGCCAACTCAGCAAGAGCTTGCATTGTGAACAGTAACATGATACCGACAATGAAGTATCCGATGATCTATCAATGTTACTACATTAGTACCAGAAGTAAAGCTGCCTGAACAGTAAGCAAGTTGGTGATGGAGAATATACCAATGCAGCCGGACCACCTTTGTAAAGAGCACTACCAGATCCGATGAAAAGACCAGCTCCGATAGCACCACCTGTCGCGATCGCATCAGTAAATAATTCCAAGTCTCCAAAAGACGACGCGCTTCAAGAAAGCCCTTACCAATCGCGATCATCTGCATGTGGCGACCCTTCAAATCGGTGTGAAGCTGCCCGCTCTTGTTGACGATACCGACCTCCTCGTCATGGCTCTTGGTCTGGTACGGTTGCGAGTTGACCGCAGCCTCATCTTTGACTTGTTTCTCCGTAGTGTCCGACATCGTTAGGAATTATCTGGGGGTTCGCCTCCCTAAGGCTTCGATGTGTTGGAATGGACAGGCTCGTTTTCGGGTCGCTGGATTAGAATGAGCGACGATAAGAAAAGAATGGTAGAAGGTAAAAAAGAGAGGATCGCAAAAAAAGCAATTGCGATGGAGTATGGTGGTCTGTTCGGGGTATATATGCCTGCTATGTATATATACTACATAGTAGGAAATAGAGATAGATAGATGTATGTATGGACGATACTACATGGAATAGGCCGTAGCTGTTTGTTAGGTAGTTCAGACCCCTGCTGCGCGACAGGGCGAGCATCATGGGGGTGCTGAGGAAGGAGCATTCGACTACAGATAGGTCTAGCTGTATTCATTACTATGTCCGCTAGGCAACATGGTAGAACCGTTTTAGCAGGCTTCTATCGTCTGGCGTTGTTGATCCTCTTCGTAAAAATATCACGCGGCTACTGAGATAATACATCCAATGAAAATGATGGCTTCGTTACCTGAACAATAAAATCGACAGGAAGACTAATCTGTGGACCGTCGAGACCAGAGTGGCGCGAGCATGAAGCTAGACAAATGAGCGACATGTCCGAGACATTTACTTCGGGTGTTAGTCTCTGTTGATCACCAGGTACCGTGCTCTCGAGTCTCGACATCTCAACTTTAGCCACCAGTCCTTGATGCTATCGGCATCAGTGAATAACCTCGTCAACAGTACCGAGTAATTCAGCTAAGCACGTGGTCCCCTGCTTTCTTGGGCAACGGGAGTTTGACGAGATATACCAGGGCTTCCTAGATATGTACCTAGTAGTTGTCGCCGGGCGGATTGACACGAATCCTTCACCGAAGCAAGGCAATTTAGATGATTATTAGGCGTTAGAGAAAAGGACCCTTACAATACCAGGTAGTGAAAGAGTAAAAGAGAGTTATGGAGAAATAGGCGCGTTCAGCTCCAGATTCTAGAACATGGAGCCGATAAGAAGGTTTAGGGGGATGGCATTTCTTGATTCCGTCCAATCACATAACGGTAGCCCTTGTCGTTTTCCAAGGGACCCCCAGTAAACTATATCTACAGCTTGCCAGTAGCGATCCACCCACCCGCATATCTAGCTCTTGAATAAACGTCACTCAAGAGTCTTGTGTCTTAAGCCTAAGGAAGCTAGAACCAAGTGGCTTCGGCGATATTATTGCTCTAATGGAATCGATCCTAGAGGGCGGGAGTGTATTTTATCAACCATTTAATTAATAACTAGTCAGATCTTCGATCCTAATAATTCCCCGGTCCCTGCCCAGGTGCCCTACTGATAAGACGAACGAATGAGGAAGGTCTTCCGAATTTACAGGTATACGATGCACACGCAGCCACTGCTTATCAGCAATTTCCACGAGCAGCACGAAGAAGGCTTGGTACGGGTCTGGTAGTCTCGTTTTAAAAAGTACCTTTCGCCGCGCTTGGAAAGGACTCTTCTCAAGCTTCCGCGACTAGTTGAAACTGTTGATACTCGAAGCCGTCTGAACTTGGCTTACTTCGGACTTGCCTTCGCACTTGGACGGATCGAGGATATATCTTGCTTCGAGATTCAAAATCGCTCTTGCGTCGCGTGATAATCACAGGGTTATCTAAACTACTTGGTCTACCGAAGACGTACGTAGTCCTACATACGCACATATACGTGGCGACTCGGCCGGATGCTGGGAGAAGAAAAGGTGTAGAAGACGGAGTTGGAGATCTGAATGCCAAGGAACTACGATTTGCATTTAACTCGTGAGATTATCATCCTATCAATACAGGATACTCCTACATTACTAGAACAAAGACCAGGTGAAGCAATCCGGGCACAGACTCAATGCGTCGTCATCCCATATTCAAGCATAAATAATTGACCTCACGCTAGCAAAGATCCAATTAAATATGCTATCTGGAGTTGCGCGGACACTACTAGTAGTCCCATTCCATCTGCCCAAAATCGTGTGTTTTCGGGGGGTTCTAGAAGGATGATAGCCGTTGGGGAAAACGGCGTTGTGCTGCCGTCCCTGTAGGGTCCACTGCATTGGCTATTTACTCCAATTTTTAAAGGCGACCGTTATTATTTCGTCCGACCATAGGTGCTTTTCATCGGTAGTACATTACTCCACATACAAACCCAGCTGAAGAAGCATGTACCCCTGATGATATTTGGATTGTAGGCAATTAGATGTATTACTCGTGATATGATAATACTGCTACTAGATATCATATATGGAAGTGCTGGTATAAGAATTTCAAACGTTACGAGTTAGTCAAGTACTATGTAAGTAATCAAATGATCGCGTTATTAAGAAACAGGGCAGTCCATCATAAAACTGCCCATCTCGAGTCACGTCGGAAAGCGATAGGTCTCGGAACCATTATTGACAAACCTCTAGTTGAAAAGAAGGCATACGGGTATCTCAACTTAATCAACATGATGTGTAATTCCCCGACATATGATGTCACATTGCGGCTCTTTAGAAAGGATCTGGCGATGCGCCTTATTTGAATCTGTTACCTAATGGAGTCAATTGAAGCGACCCAGCAATGCGGGTACCAAGATGGGAGGTAACTTCAAATAATATGTAAGCAGCCATTCCAAATAGGTAAGCTAGTACCTACCTAGGTAGGTAGGTGAGTAGGTAATCAATCTCGACTATAGTAATCCAAGCCGCCTAGTTCCGGTTGATTTCTCGATAGGATACTTGGCAATAAGTTATAACTAGTGTTATAGTGTTGAGATAATTTTATAAGGTTGTGGAATTGAGATTGAGATTGTAAGGGACCTCGGGATATCTTAGAGACCGTTAGCTTCGGTATCCCGGTGGTTACTAATATGGTAACTACGGGGTGATTAGCCCCTTTCTATGTGGGTATGCCCCCCTTTTTTACCTGGTGCCCCCTTTTGAGTAGGGCTTTTCCCACGCAGATTCTCTTCTCTACACATTATCATAGCTCAAATGCTTCAAAATAAGCGACAAGAGGTAGTAAATACATAATATATAATTTTTCGGCGTTAGCAAGTGCTTCACGACCTTCTCATCAGTTCATCCGCAAGATCCACTAGTGAGAAGTAATAAATAAGGAAAGCGCAGGTAGATAATAGGTATGTACAGGTTGGTTCAAATGAAGTTCCGTTCTTCATCTCGACGATAAAAGCTCTTTCCATCCGCTATCCTCGACTAGTCGCTAATATCCACTCCATCGTCGATAATAGCAATAGTAATTGGGTATTTAAGGGTTATTGGCGGCTCAATATTCCGCCCGGGAGCTTGTAGGAAGTTTATGTCTCTTGTGAAGATTATTGACAGCGCGAACAGCCAATCTCCTGATTAAGAGCAGTGATCCATATCACAGCCACTTCGCGTCACCCGCCGCACCGATGGCTGGCTACTTAGTAACCTCGTAGTTATAGTCCATCCAGACCGGCCTGCAATTCTGGTACGTTGGCTTTCAGCTCTTCGCTTACTTCCTTCCATACCAATTTCTGCAGTGCCCTTGCCTTATCGCTGTCGATGAGAGTGGCCGCTTTCCTATAGACACACATGATTTGTAAGTACTGACTCACAACAGTTGGATTGATACGGCAAGTTTTCCTTTATGTCATGACATACCGTCGATACAGGTCGCCAGCTAGCCAGTAACCGAAGAACTCTCCCTAAGATGCACATCATCAGCACATAATTCAACACTCGAGGTAGAATAGGCTCCTTGACCGTCAGGAGCAGGATATGCGCGCGTGAGTAGTCAGGAGTTCGGACCTCGCAGCCATCATACAGCAAGGATGGGAAATCCCCAACTCACATGATTCTCCTTCGGCTGCAGGGCGGCCGTGACGTAGATCCTGGCGCCCGAGTCGGCCGACTTGGCCGTTATCACCAAAGTTAGATAGACACAGAGCGCATGGAACCATGATCTTGAGGAAATGTGGCGGCCAATGTCAGTTCTGACCATTCCGGGACATACGCTGTTGACAACGACGAGAGGGCTGCTTGGGAGCAACAAACCACTAGTCAGCTCAGATTAGACGGACAGGCTGTGTTTGAGGGCTCTTTTCTCACTCGCCATCCGGCCCTCGGGCCAGTCTACTGATCTCCTCGATTGTGTACATAAGCAGGAGCTTGCTGATAGCGTAGTTGGGCTCCGCGTCCCAAAATCCGCTTGGCCAGTTTTCCTCTCTAGACACCTGTCCCAGGATGCCGTCCTTTCGCTGCGACCACTCGGACAGCTGGTTAAGGTCGGGGTATAGATGCTCGCGTGAGGTGAGGAAGACTAGATGTGCCGGCGAGGATCGGTGGTCGCGGGCTCCACGCATCCATCCCAGTAGAAGCAGGCCGATGAGTGTCGAGCCGATGGTGTTAATTTGGATTGACTTCTCCCTGGACCACTTGTTAGACATATATTAGGTAGGTTTCGACACGGGCGTGCCCAAATAGTATACTAGGTAGGGTTGTAGAGTCAAATAAGGGAGAGATGGGTAGTACCTACCATCCTTGGGCACTCTTTTCCAATTTACCTGAGCTGCAGATGCCGCCGTTCACGATCGCCACGTCTAGGTCGGCGGGTCCAGGGAGACTGCTTTTGAGCTTGATCATGAAGTCAGTACACGAATCGTAGTGTTCCAAGTCCAGCTCCAGACAGGAAATGTCGCCTTTGAAAGAGGGTCCCGCCGCTTCTTCTATGTGCTGTTTCGCTATATCCCCACGAGATGCTACGCGAGATGTGATGATGACATTAGCACCGAGGGTCGCGAAGTGCACGGCAGCAGCTAACCCGAGGCCAGAGGTGGCTCCGATTATGAGGACGGTCTGCCCGTCAAAGGTCCCAGTCGGGGGCAATGACGCAGGCACAAAACGCCCCACGGCCCGTTGTAGAGGTGCGTCAAGCAAAAGCGGCATGTCTTGGTAGGTTCTTGGCGTCTCAATTCTTCTATGGGTGGATTGAAGCTCGATGTATTATATGGTAGAAAGAAAGATCCTTAGCTGAATTTCCAGACGAGATATTCGAGTAATAAAGGGTACCTGCATGTATACGCAAGAGATGAGCATTCTAGGTAAGTATTTACCGTCGTACAATTAATTTAATTTCAACATGTATATTCGTCTTTTCATATACAATCCCTTGCTTTGTAGTAGGTCTTTGTAGCTGTTAGATATTGTACGTACCTAGGAGTACCTACATAGGGGCACGGTATTCTCGGAGATGGCCCCGCGCAGCACACCAACACAGAGGCTTTGTGTAACCCCAGCCTAACCATAGCCACCATTCGTTCTTCCCTTTTCACCTAGTAGGTAGCATGTAGATTGAAAAACTTCTCACACACCAATCTTAAGCTGCAGCAGGTGACCTGGGTACTTACTCATACTGACACCCCTCTATGGTATATTTGGTGGTGTCACGATGCAGCCGAGCAACTTTAACTCGCACATATTGATCCGTTTGCGTTTTAGGGCTGAAATGGAACCTCCCGAAAGTGTTGAAAGCCAAAGCAAAGCATTTGGTGAAGTTGTAATTCTTAAGATTGATGATGACTAAGTAGTCTAAGCACCTGGAAGTGGGCACCTAGGTAGCAAGGGGGACACTGATAAGATCTGTGCGGTAGAGCCGTACCTGCCACACGCAAAAACACTTGCTACAACACTTGCAATTGCCAGTTTGATAATCCCACACATGTCCCGTAGCTTACATTAAGTTATGGTGCGAATCCAGGCATTAAAATTTACGTTATTAAGTTAAAAATTTCATCGATTTATTTAAATGTTTTGAGGAATCGAATAAAAGGTACCTACTAGGTACTACACGAAGCTAGTGCTGTCCGGCGTTGATAGTGATGGCAGTGATGACGAAGGCCTCATCCCGCCGCCGTCAGCTCGCATGCGATCTCGACTTAGCGCCGGATATTAGTGATGGCCGTCACTTTGCAGCCCCATTCTCGGGCAAGGTACCCCACACCCGACATCCAGCACCCCTGAACCGGTGATAATTCCCGATGACTCAGCGAGCCGGACGACTTGATTAAGTTGGGCCTGTTCGTTGGTATCCGTTGCTGTGTTGAAGTACCCATGGGCCATGGTGGATGTGTTCTCCCCTGACAAGCGGCGTCAGCCAACATACTGGACATCGAATATGAGCACGGGGAGGTGTGCTGACGGCAGACGATACCGCCAACCCGCCAATTTATTCCATGTACTTCGTACTGCGCCATATACAGTATGAGCTCACAGTATTTCAAGTCGTCGGCGCCGCCACAACATGCAGCTTTCCAGCCATCGCCACGAACCGTCCAACTTTTTCTTTTGTCGCCCCGTTGTTAAAACGATACTTACCTAGAAATTGAGATCGAAAAGGAGACATGTAATCTAGCCGACTGGCCGATATGATCGGCAACGCGCATTTATAATCACATTTAGAGGCCAGGAAAAACTGAGGTGAAACATAGCTTTCCTTGTGTATATATACAAGCGGCAGGTACTTCATAGCAGGCACGTCATGACTGGCTCGCCAATTGCGTCAGCCATCTTTCTAGATCAGCCATGATGCGCTCTCCAAACATCTTATCAACAGCACAGTCCGGCCAGTTGGCGCTGACACACATTCCTCGGCCAGCGACGCTGATGGGGGCAAACTCGATAGCGGCAGCAGGTATCTCAGCGCTAAGGCCAAACTGTGCTCGATCGATCGACCACCTCTGGTCGTCGTCGGATTTGGTGTCGCCGCCGGTGGTGCTCAGTCTTCTTGACGTGTTGCCGTCCAGCACACCGACATTGGTCACCAGCCACGAGAACTGGCGCTTTTTCTTCGCCATGCTGCTCATCGTCTGCTGCCAGTCCGTCACATACTTAAAGACCCCGATGAGATCGTTTTGTAGCCCGGCTTCCAGCTTATGTACTATCTCCAGCCTATTCTGTGCCGATGCGGCCCAGAGCTCGTGTTGAAGGTCAGAGGACAGATCTCTGTCCTCGCTCGTATCGGCCGGTAGCTTGGACCGAATCTGCGCGACCAGTTTGGCGTCAAATTTATGGAACACTTGAGTCACGTAGTTGCTCACTACTCTGTCAGAGCGAGCCCACGGAGCGTCTGGCGGGGCGGGTGGCAGATTCCGCCGATGATCCATAATAGTAGCACATTGAAAGGCCGGGGCGACCGTGCTGTCAAGGCGCGATGAGAAGGCAAGAAGCGCTAACCCGTTTATCAGGCCGGTGATAGTAGTCTTGTTCTGTCGACAGAGACCTAGGATCGCACGTAGAGCTGCTTTATCTATAAAAAAAGCTCGGAACTGGGTCTTGTATGGAGAGGTGCGAATCGGACACCAGGCTGCTTGGGATACGTCCCAATTAAGAAACTGGGGCCGAATTTCCTCCCAAAACATTTTGGCGAGGTATGTGAGATCTACTGGAAGACTCTTTAAGCTCTCGATTGGCAGTGGAAGCAAGGGCGGCTCTTGAGGCAGTGTCAGGATATCGCCATCCAAGCCCGTCCGCTCGGATACTCCATTCTTAGCATTATTGAGCATCTCGAGGAAGTCTTCGTGGAACACCTTGGCACCTGCACCGTCGAATTGGGGATGATTCCAAGTGAGTAGGACCTCCATAGTAGGAGCATCCCCTTGCCGAATGATGGTAATTTTCCAGCCCGGCTGTTTAATAGAAAGGTCTGGAAAGTATTCGTCGAGGTGAGTGCGAAAGGTTTCCTGGACTGTTTGTTCAAAATCGTCGTGCTCTCTGATGTAAAGCCATTTTATATGTTGCGTTAAGTCGAGATTCTGCAGCTGAATCCACGAGGGAGTCTTGGAAGTTGCATTCACCATGCCGACTTGCAGCATCGGATGTCTCATAACGGTATCCACGACAGCGACCTTGACTACCTCCTCCAGTTCGGCCCGTGAATCTGCCGGCGCAAGACGTGACGGGATTGCATAGCGACAAGAGAGGACAGTGCCACGATATTGGTCCAGTAGATACATGGCCAGTTGGTACGCCTCGCTAGACAAGTGGTCGTAGGTTAGATGGGCCAAGATTCCATGTCAGTATGTAATAACGGGTGCTTACTTTATTCCGAATTTGCGCAGCACCTTCGTCTCTGTGTCATGGTTCGATCCGTTTGCCATGGTTCGTAGCTGACTTAGCGAATCTAAAGGAGACGGAGCTGATAAATGATCGATTACTACCAGAGCACGCGTTTAATAGGTATCGTTGCGATAGCCTCGATTCGAACTTTGCGACAGGTTCGGCCACATGATTGAATTTGAAACTGAGAAAGCGTTGTTCTGGAGATTACCTTACCCAGGTGCCTGGTAGACAGCATCCCTTGATATGAATGTATGTATCCATGTACCTAACACAAAGGAACAAACCAACGATACTATGTGTAAGTACCTACCTACATACCTAGTTAAGCACCAACTACCCTACATACCTAATGCAAGGAGAAGCAATTGCTGGAGCTCAGAATCCAATCTACTCGGGCCATATATGATGATGCTTGTGTTGCTAGCTCTGAGAGTTGGAGCATCCATGCTCATTTGGAAATCTTGCGCCTAACATTATAACAACTGGTTTATACATGACATAAATGCGTGCTGTGGTTTATAAGTGAATAATCAGAGTAAATAATCATGAATATCATCATAGGCTTTTACGTTGACGTTATCCTAAGTTGACGCTTTACCGGCCCGTCTAAAGTCACGGTAATCCACCTTATAAGGCTATACCTAGGTCGAGCTAATCCTGTAAGTACCTACTTTAATACTTATACAAAGCCTACGTAAATTCAAGTATCTTTCGACTAGGGACCTTCTTATCGTCAGCCTTACTGTCGCCTCTTTTAGCAACAAGTCGAAAAGGTACTTACCATACCGTCACCCGGTGGTAGCTCATAATGATTAAATTCCGCAAAAACAGTTGCCCTCTATCATAACCGCTGCTTCATTTAAGATTGGTTGTAGATTCAACAATCATTAGAAAGTCAAACAATCATTAGAAGGTCAAAACAATCATTAGGAGGGTCTATTTGGATGGGTCCTTATACCCACCCACCCCCCCTCGTCACCGTCCCTACTACCTACTACTACTACTACTACTACTACTACTACTACTACTATTTACAAGTCACCGAATTTACTATTCTACGATTCTACTGATCTACGAGTCTACTGATTTGCGAGTCTACTGATTTACTGATCTACTGATTTACTGCTACTAATCTACAAGTTTACTAATTTATAAGTCTACAGGTTTACAGGTCTACAAGTCTACAAGTTTATAGGTCTACGCGTTTACAGGTTTACAGATACTGATCTAGTAATTTACTAAGCCTAGTGTAACGGTGATAATAATGATGAAGTATTGGTAGTTTTGGTGGTGGTAGTGTGTGGGTGTAAAATAAGAAGGGAAAAAATCTTCAATTTTGTAAAAAGTGATGTTGTAAGGAAAAGGAAAAAGGAAAAAAAATATCCTAAGTTTTTTTCTTTAGTAAAGTGTTCTTGTTGTTCCTGCGAAATGTGGGTCTTATTATTATTGTAGGTGGTGTAGCAGGTGGGGAGGGACGGCGATGTTGAAGATCTTGAAAAAAAACTTAGAAGTTTAAAAAATAAAATGTTGGAGGGTGGCGGGTGGGAAATAATAGTATCGTCGACCTTGCTGCCGCCCAGATCACCTGACTAACGGCCCGTTTCTACCTGTTTTTTTAGTCCGCCAGCTGTAAAAAGTGAGTAATGATTCCTATTTTCTTAATGATTGTTGTAGGGACTAATGATTGTTCGAATTTACTAGCGTCTTCTAATGATTATTTAGCTTTTTAATGATTGTGAGGTTTCACTATTTGCCGCTATGGTAGATTTAAATACGCATTATAGATATCCATAAGACTAGCCTAGGTTAGGTATAGTTTGCATGGGTTACCATGAATTTAGCCAAAGACACCGTGCCTTTAAACGAACCGCGATTTACGAAGGGGTATTGGTGCCAAAGGTGATCCTCTCAGTAACTCCGACGCTTCCGGCGTTAGTTGGCTACAAACTCCGGTGAACTCCAGTAAACCCCGCTAGTCCCAAAGCCCAATAGACCACGGACCACCTGGCTGGCAGAACAGGAATTATTACCTAACATGCTATGATTACATAATCGATGTCTTTCAAATTACTTTGATCGTGGCTTTAAACTACGCGCCTCTAATTTTATTATTTTATGAAAAAAATCCAAAGAAGTTGGAATTGATCTCTTTTAAAATAATTAAATTTAGTAACCGCGTCCAGAGACTTAATTCAGTATAACGCTCAAGTTGACCTACCAAATGGATTACGGGACCTAACAAAGTGAGAGCCTTTGGAACTCACGCTTTCCGAAGGACAAGAATATATCATTAGAATCATTGCTGAGGACGGTGCGGACGTCGACCGTTGATTCAGTAACGGTTTAGCTTTCATGCAAAGAGGATTGAACAACGCTGGATTGAGAGCACTCTTGTAATTTTGGCCTGAGTTAGATGTCAAGTCGGATAGTGACGGCGTGCCGCTCTATGACGTCGACGAGGAGACGCCACTTGCGAATGTCAAATTACTCGTCCACGCGGGGTCTGATATTCACCTTACGAATCACGCCGTTTACGAGTCCGATATAGACGGATGGGTTCTTTATACTGGGCTGCAATAGTTGTTGGAATTTATCACACGAGCGGAAGAGGGAATCGATTCAAAATGATCAAGATGCTGCTAATCCATGGTGCGGATAGGATTGTCACATCATGTATCAACGGAAAGGAGTTTATACCAGCGAACATTGTGAGATATTGCAACCATAGCTCTGCTATCTTAGAACTCATGGCTCCAGGCGATGAAAGGGATCGGCAGCTAATCGGCGATAGTTCACTAGCCTCATAAGGCCATAAGCCCCTAGGAGACCAAAGATGCGAGCAGGCTAGTACGACTTCTGTATGTACCCAGGTAAGTCGATTATGTCTTGTATCGTTTCCAGTTCAACAATACAAGCTAATAACTCTATCAGAGGATATAGGGCTTGTTTTGTCAATGTGACTTTGCATTTTGCCATGTTATACCTAATTTGAAGGATAAGATACATTCACCCGACCACGAGTTTGGGAAGATTGGCCCGGAATTTGTTGTGGATGAAGTACCGTCCCACTCTCGAAGCCTTTCAGCTGACTCGTTCTTAAATGAGACTTCGAACTCATTAGACAATGATTCTAACGATGGTAACGGTGGTGAGGTGATGGGACCCAGACGAATGAAGCATGAACGAGTGGTGTCATGTACGCGTGCGTGTCAGGATTCAGGTTTGTAGAAGTTAGATAAATCGTAGAAGAAAAGTTCGAATTCTCGATGCTATTAATACATATTTGCCTGGGATTGATCGCATTTACACCATCTCCTACATTCTCCCTCACAGGACTATCATCTTTCCGAGCAACGCCTTAGGTACTCTTAACATGTAGGTACCTACTCCGAACATTTAACTAGCAGCCTAGCTTTAAACAGTTATAACAACTCACTTCCAAATTACAAGGCTCTCTCCGATGATATTAGAGTGCATACTTCCATGTCACCTAAAACGGCAATTCAAGGCTGCCGAAAGCTGAACATCACGCCACCCACGCATCCAGGACAAGAAGCGCAAAAAAAGTTAAGGACCCATAATAGCCACCATAAAATGCCCTTCCCCTATTCAAGAGCAAAATCGTACGATGGTGGTGAGATACCGCTAGGACCCTAACAACAACCTACGTCAGATCTACACCTCCAAGTGCCTAAAGGAACAAGTGGAATCACCACCGCAACAACCAACGACCCTCGAAGGAACAGGACAGCGGCGCTTTCAGGCCGCCGGTCGCCGTCGTCCACGAAGCCTCGGTGTCGCGACGCAAGGGAAGGATTTCGACGATGTCCGCGCAGATAGGGGGATGTCAGGCTAGGCACGATATCTCAGTCAGGCCACCATTTCCGCAAACACACGTACGCAGACACATATCACCACGGAGACAGGCTGTTCCCGAAAAAAATAGAGAGAAAAAAGAGATCGGTAGTTCAAATCTGCACGTGAGCTGTCGATACCACATGACACGCGTGCACTTCCCTCGTCTGCCTCCGCGAGGAAACTACTCCACGGACGCTACCGCCGCGGACGCTCTTTCCCGCCTCATATGACGCGTCGTACGGGAGTGGTAAGTACGCTCAGCTCGCCCATCGCCGTCGCTTCCTGGAACGGAGGCCGACGGCCGATATTCTCGACAAGTGAGGATATGGGCAGATAGCGCATAATCAGGCTACATCGGACGAGACGAAAAGTGTGATATGTCGAATCTATTGCCTAGTGTGAAGGTCATACACTAGAAGATTCCTATGTAGGAATGCATGTATGAATACGGCGCCCAACTACGACCCTATGCCATAACCACCTACATGCCAGCCTAACTCAAGCATACCCATACGTATGTATGTACGTTAGCTCGACATCCCCAAATCACTAGCCTCCCCAAACATCAACGAATGTAACCCCGGCAAGGACCGGTCTCTCCATCGGCTCGACCATCCCTTTCTCACACATCAGCAACCACACAGCATCAGGATCAACCGCCTCCATCGCGGCCCGAGCCTCGGCATTCGTCGGCAGGGAATCCGCCATCAGCAGGAGGATCTGATCGAACACGTCGTCGTCGATCTGAACAAACGACACAACAGCAACCAGGAGCTCCTGCACCGCCTCCCAAACGCGAACCGCCTGCGTAAACCTGCCTAACCCCGCGCTCGAAACGACGTCTGTAGCCTTGCTTACCTCTCTCCCCTCGATGCCGTTCCGGGAACGGATGGGGATCAGCAGGCCTTGGTCTAGTTTACTACCTCTGGTCTCGACGACTCTCCTTTTACTATTCGCTTGAGCTGCGTCCGCCTTGACTTTCCGGCACCACTTGCCGAGGTTGTCCCACCATTCCGTCTTGATCCGTGTGTTGAGGAAGTCCCCGGCGCTCTGGCATAGCGCGGCTAGGGCTTTACATGCCGACGTGACTACGAACGGCTCTGAGTCGTACAGCCGCTCGACTAGGACTGGCCAGACGGAGTTGACTAGGGGTAGGAATGCTTCCTCGTCGGGTGATAGTGCCGGGCAGACGGTTGCCAAGAGATCGAGTAGTGACTTTCGTAATGTGGGGGTCGGTGATGTAAGGTAATGTTGCGTTAGGTCGGTGATGCGAGCGAGGATCTTGAAAGTGGGTGTTTTAGGTGGTGGTGGTTTATTGACTTCGGCGCCAGGTTCATCATCCTCGTCTTGGGTCTCAACTGGTTCCTTTCCCTTCCAAGGATGTTTCGGATGAGGCCCAATCTCCTCCACCTCTACCTCTTCTAACTGTTGTTTATGCCGTCTTTCGATACGGCTAGAGAGAATGGACTCGATATCTTCGGTTGTGACAACAGGTTGTAAGTTTTTCCGATGATCTTTTGCCGACGACTTTACCGCTTCTAGCAGCAAATGATCAGATTGTGATCCTTGCTGCACCACTTCCGTAAGGACACTAAACAGACTTTCCACGAAAAGAGGGTATCCATGGTAATTATCAAGAGCCGCGAATATCGAGGCAATCACGTCATCAAGGTATGGTATCAATCGTGGACCAGTAAGTTTTACCATCATCCGCAGAACTTGAGTCGACGCGGGAGATATATCAAACGTGTTCAAACGCAAGGATACTGAATTGACCATGTAGTCAACATTGTCAATGATTAAGTCCGTAACGCTAGAGTATCCGCACGAGGCAGCGATATTGTTGAGACTAATGATCGCATGATCGCGCAGTTTTGGAACCCCTGAGCCTAGAAGTGTTGTAATTGGATACAGCACATCAATTAGTTCTGGGCGAAAGCTTTCCTTCATTCTCGACGCGGCAAACGTCGTAACTTCTAAAGCCTGTGCCTGCAGTCGCCAGTCAATATCTTCTGACTCATCCTGTGAATCTAGAATAGCGACCGAGAAGGAATATAGTTCTTCGAATATAGACTCGCTCTCCTCCGGTGGACCTGTCGCGGAGCTTAGGTCGAGGAAATCGTCGAGATCTGAATGTTGAGATAAACTTGACTTCACTAGCTCGAAAGCCATCCAATATGAGGCAACCTGACTTGGTCCAGTAAATTCTCGGGCATAGTTGAGCAGGTCGTCTGCTAGTTTAGTTTGTTGAGAAATAGATCCAACCTTTGACAAAAATTCCAGAAGCGCCGTTCGTGTAGACCGCTCTGTTTCCTGCGCAATTAGTACAGCTGGGAAGGTATTGGGTCCATCACGTCTAGCCAAATTCATATCCAACTCAATGGCGTTCGAAGGAAGCTCCGACATAGTAGTGGGCTTTGATGCAAGGATAAGCGCGGTGGCGCTGTCCCTTAGAGACGCAGCCAATGAGTCATCTAGGATGGACGAGTCAATCTGAAGGGTCGTGATGAAATGTTGACCTTTCATGAGGTTCCGGATGGCTTGTTGTTTGACCTTATTATCACTGGATTGCATCAATCGAGGAAGGCTCGTCACCCAGTTATATATCGCAGTCTTAATCGTATCTGTGAATTCTGGATAGATTCTAGCGAGATCAGTCAAACTCGTCTCGAGTACGGATTTCTCGTTTTCGTCATCGGCGAGAATCATTGCACTCTCGACTAGTATCGATGTACAGTCTGTAAGGGAATGGTGGCATTCGTCCAATAGAGTGATACATAACCTTTCTAAGGCAGATCGAACGTCGTCTAAATCAGCATTTCGTAGCTTTAAAACGCTTGAAAGAGCAAGTTTTATCTTGGCCGTAGTTGCTTTCAACCATGAAGCTGTTAGAACGCCACTCTCGCTACCACTTTCATTTTTCACCGAGGCCTTCCCCTTAACTATTCCCATTACTTTTATATCTCCTAGGACCTTCGTGAGGACATCTCGCAAAGCATTAATGCCACTAACTAAGACTCTTCTCTGATTTTTTAACGAGGTGGGAGGTGTAAGAAGTTGGCTTAGGGATGACACTATTCCGGGTAAGAAAGTGGCTAATGCGGCATGGTCCCTGATTGCGACCAAAAGTGCATCTAGCGTCTTCAGCGCCTCAAGACGAATATCGGGCGTTCTCCCCTCCGTAACACCATCAAGTACGATGGTAACAGCATGACCTAAAGCAGGTACAGCATTCGTTTCTACAAGTGCTGCTGCTCCGATTGACGAGGATCCAGCGGCTTGAATCAATGAGGTTAAGGTCATGAATGCCTCTAATTCGGTTTCTTCCGGAATAGGGTCCTTTCTTTTTTGTCCAGGAACACCACCGATGATGAAGGTAAGGAATATGAGAAGCTGCTGAGAAAGATCTTGTGAGATCTTAACCTTCCATCCATGCTGAATTAACACCCGTAGGCATTTGATAGTGAGCTCCGTCAGTCGGATAGGATACTGCTGCTGATGGAGCAGAATGTTGGACAGTGGGAAGAAGACATATTCAGCAAGCTTCTCATCTAACACAGAGGCATCGGCATTTACTTGGCGATCTAGAATAGAATAGAGGTCTTCCACCAAGCCTAGTAGTTCTTTCGCGCTCGCTCTCTTGTCGGGCGCACGAACGGCCAAATTGATGATGGCGACGCATCGTGGTTTCAGCTACCCCAAATTAGTCATACGCTTCTATCATTAACGATAATGCACTGCAAGGGCTTATCAAACCTCCTTGAAAAACTCATTCCTGCAGGCCGAGTGATTACTACTAGCCATCTTGAAATGTTCTCATCATTTTCGTCAAGAGTAGGTTTGTTACCGTTGAAGAATGTGATGAGAACAACAATAAATTTTGGAAGAATGAACACTTCAAGATCTTTTGTTCAATTACCTAAGTCACATTGTATTGCATATATTGTATAGTAGAATATGAATGTATCAGGCTATGCATCTACACATTATGCTTACATACTAATTCATTCGATTACTAAAGAATATCTCCACATCGACTTTCTCAACAAGCAGTCACAAGTAAATAACTACGCATTTTTGAACTTTGCAATCGCACGTAAATCAAAAATAACTTACGTGGTAATTACTGTAAGGAGGACGAAGATTGGTTGCTTTCAACCTCAAAAATGCCGCCGTCGGGGACCTTCACCGTGACTGTGCATCCGTTCAAATCGCCGACGCCGCATGCCTGTGCTTATGAAGTTGGTCCGGCTAATGCACAAAATGCTCTCGTATTCATCGGGGGACTCGGCGACGGACCTCACACAGTACCATATCCGCGTGCCATAGCCAAGAGACTAGAAGCTGAGGCCGAGCTTAGCTATTCTGTCTTTGAATTCCGATTGACTAGCTCATTCTCAGGCTTTGGTTTTGCCCGCTTGGCTAACGATGTCGCCGATATATCGGCATTGGTCAAATATCTACGAAGTATAGGGAAACAACGCGTTGTGTTGATTGGCCATTCTACCGGAAGTCAGGATTGCATGGAGTATACGTCACCGTCCCATGATGCTGCGCCGGTTGAGGGATATATCCTACAGGCTCCTGTCTCAGATCGTGGCGCGGTGTCGATGGAGATCGGCGTATCGAAACTGGATGAAAGTCTCAAAATTGCGAAAGAGCTCATTGACTCTGGTCGAGGCTACGAGCGCATGGTACCTGAGCATCTTCCACCCTCCTTCCTCACTATTCCGATTTCCGCGTGGCGGTGGTACGCCCTTGGCGCAACTGAGTATGTACCTAATCCAACGATCAATTTTGTGTCGATTTTATACCTAATTTATTTAATAGCGGCGAGGATAACTACTTTGATCCGAACCTTCCGGATGACGTAGTGGCGCCCTTCTGGAAACGAGTAAATAAGCCCATACTCATACTTCATTCGGGCAATGACGAATTTGTGCCTGCGTCCGTCGATAAGGATGCGTTGGTTCGGCGCTGGAAAGCGCTCTGTCAACCAGGCATTGCGAGTGAATTCTCTGGTGCAGTTCCAGGTGCTGGTCATAGAGCAGAAGAGCCGGAGGCCGAGGATTTGCTTGTGAACACGGTTGTTAAGTTCCTACACAGCATCAAATAGTCATGAGAAGTATCCGACAACTAAAAATCGAATAATTCATTCCGAAGCTATTGCGATAAACATTCGGAAGTATCCCATCTCCAACACACCAGGGCATAGAGCAAACATCTCAAATAACTCAATGACGATTTATTCATTTGCGTGAGTCGGTATTTTTTTACGGGTTGTGGAAGTACAAAAAAGCCATATTCACTACTCCGGGGTGAGGTCGGCGATCGCACAGACCGGACACCTCCCTCAGATTATCATCGCCGAGAGGCCTCAGGTGAACGCCGGTCAAGAATCTAGTCAAAACCGGACAAGTAATTAGTGAGATCCCCAGACTTCCCTTTTCTTCTCTTTTTCTTTCCCCAAACTCCATCATTCCGAAGCAATTTGAATATCAAAATTCAACATTATCGCCAACCCCGCAATCGCTTCCCCTCATTCATAGCAACCAATTTCCAAGATGTGTTACGGCGCAACCTGCTCAACCTGCTGTTAGTAATCCCTTAACACAACTTTCCGATCTAAATATATTATCTCTTTACTTATTTAAAGCAATTGGTATATTAACAAGTTTGCAGCAGGAAAGTCTTGGCGGGGCTGCGGCTCGCACATTCCCGGCGCCCTTTCCGGAGTTCCGGAGAAACAGTGGTGTACTTGCGAACCGCGAGTTACGGTCGATGGAAAGGACTACCCTCCATCGGCGAAGATGAGCATTCCCGGCGTATCTTGGTTGTCTAACGTGTTCGGAAGCGGAGGTGGTGAAACGGGAAAGAACGGGGCGGGTACAAAGGGCAAGGGCGAGCTTTAAATGCTACCCGGTTGAGCGGACCCGGGCCAATCCTTTAAAGGGTTTCGGCTATCAACGTCAATTGTCGTTATCAGATATTATCAATGACATCGGAAGCTTTTTCTAGTTTCGTTCCCACTGCGACCTCGCTCCTCACTAAGACCCCTCTCTTAATCGTAGTGCCGCCCCACTCATGACAAGTTACATAAACTTATCACTTGATAAAGGTCATCATCTTTCATTGACTGGATCGATTTAAGAGGGGATGGATAGACATATTATACTGATGGTTGACCTATCTCTTTGTTCGATTTATTAATTCTTGAATATATTTCGACATCATTTTTATGTTAGGTAACCATCTAAAATGCTTCTCCTAAACCCTCTTCTGCTAGGCCCCGCATTCCTGGCGCTGGTCGTCTTATATGTTTGGCGATCCATATCCTCTCCTCTACGGAAACTTCCTGGCCCGAGTATCTCATTATTCACTTCTTTGATTCTAAAGTATCATGAATTCCAGGCCCACCGGACGACATATGTCCATAGGCTCCACCAAAAATATGGACCCGTTGTCCGGATAGCGCCGAATGAAGTGTCATTTGCATCCCTCGACGGCGTTAAGGAGATATATGGCAGCGGCGGTAGTGGCTATAATAAGACGGAATTTTATAACCTATTCACAGTATATGGAAGGAGGTAAGAGATCACGCAAACTAGATGCCTTGATGCTTCAAGTTGGAAGTTGTGTGGAGATAAGCTCATTATGAACGATATAGGACTATGTTCAGCACTCTTAACAAGGAGGACGTAGGTCTTACTTGTTAGATTATGAAAAAGGCAATGATCTAATTTAGATACAGCATGCTAAGAGAAAGAGGGTACTTGCTGACCGATATGCCAACACCAATGTTCTAAAATCGAGTTCAATCGACGGCATTAAGGAACGATCACGAAGATTTGTCGAAAGATGTTCGAAATCTATTGGTGGAAGTTGTGATATATTTGTAAGCATGAGAAGTAAATGGTATCACTGGATACAATTAGCTAATGGGCTCAGATCTGTACAGCAGCTCTAGTTGAAACTCACAAGACGTTCACTAACACAGCATGTAGGCCTGCATAACTATGCATTTGATTGTGTCACGCATCACCTTTTTCACCCTTACGGGTCAGATTCGCTTCGTAACCTAAAGGATGAAGAGATCATGAAGGAGGTCACCTTCGATGACAGCCTTCAGAGTTAGTCAAAGCTCCCAGAACCATTCATATTCTCTTCTTAACAGCAGTAGATCGCCTCATACAATACTATAATCCAAGTCTCCACAAGATAATCGGCAATGTCTTGTCCCTGTTCGCCAAACCACGCGAGACACCTCTAGCAGACGACTTGGTCATGTCCGCGACTGCAAAGACTGGCCCTGAGCAGTTCACCCTGCTGAACCGCATGCAAGACAAGAACTACAATATGGAGCATATCGACATGGCCGCCGAGAGCCTCGACCACATGGCCGCGGGGATCGATACCACCGGTGATGCGTTATGCTTCCTGATGTGGGAGATTTCGCAGCCCCGTTCATTCTATGTCCAACGGCGTCTCCAAGAAGAACTCCTCGCCAACCCGGAAGTAGGGTTCGACAAGCTGCCTTTCCTCGACGCGGTCATTTCGGAGGGGTTGCGATGTTTCCCTGCGATCCCCATGTCCCTTCCGCGATACGTACCCTCTGGTGGGAGAACCATCGACGGTTACTTTGTCCCCGAAGGAGCGATAGTGAGCTGCCAGGCATACTCTGCTCATCGCATCGACGAAAACGTCTTTCCGCAGCCCAGCACATTCGACCCGGACCGCTGGCTGCAAGAAGCGGGCGAATTAGACAGGAAGCGATTATTCTTCGCCTTTGCCAGCGGGGGCAGAGGCTGTATCGGAAAACAGTAAGTTCCTACCTATGCGGCGAGCTATCTAACGCATCAGTGCGTCGTAAAATGAAAATGGTCAATGCTGACTCTTCGAATAGTCTAGCGCTGGCAGAGATGAAAATTCTGCTCAGGGATGTCTACTCGCGCTTCACTACGGTGCCTGACCCGGCTATGACTGCCCAAGATATGGAGATGTCGGATCAGTTGATCTCTGCCCAACCCCGAGGGAAGAAGTGTCTTCTTAGGCTGATTCCCTTAGAGGGCTGAGCTGATTTGCAGTGCGACTATTGAGGAATCTAATATAGAATAAATTGAATCTAGTCCAGAATTGTGCACGCCGTAGGAAAATAGATGGGAAGAAGTGAATTTAGGGGTGATGTTGCTTAGGTATTGTTGAAGCTAGGAATTATTACCTAGTAGATGTCTGCTGCTTATCACATCCCAGATACAAGGCCAAGATAGCCCGCTGTTACGAAGGAGCTGAGGACAGAGCTGTTTCCACTGCGGAACCACGGTGTCAAAATGGCCTTCATTAGGAAAATGGAGCGTACCGGCATATTAGCTAGGATAATAAAGCGAGTCAGGCGAGCAAATCGTCTAGTCAAGGGAAAGTGTAACCATATTAACGATTATAGTGATGCAGGTCGTCGATTCGGGCAGCCAGCTGTAGCAGAAATCTCCACCTTCACAATTGTCCCTAGTAACGCCGGCGCTGTGATCATCATCTCCGATTCCTAGGGCACCATACGGATACAGCACGTTCTGCTACGCGACATTAGGACTGGTGCACGGTTTCTACCGTATTCTAGCTTCTGCGGGAGGCTTTACGGTAGTGGATGGGCAGCTCGAGTCGTTTGGGATGTGAGGATACTTACTAGGTCGGTAGGTATCTTCCGCAAGCAAATTAGAAGATTTCGGTAAGCGCCCGTGTACTCTGTACTTTCCTAGATTTAGACTTGTCTCCTGGGGGAACACTGGCGATCTAAACGCGGTACTAAACTTTGAAAGTCTTCTGGTTAGTTGTAAAGCAGGAAAAAAGGCCTACCGAATTACCCGGTTCGATAACACCTGCTTGGTAAGTGACACTAGGTAAATATGCTTTTCCCTATCTTTTCTAACGGTAGTAGCCTATTAAAGACGTTGAGGTAAAAAGCTGATATGAAATGTCTAACAAGATCGCGTGGAGTACCTAACGGGATGAGGTGAGCCGAGCCGAGTTGAAATACCATAATACACTGAGCTTCATATCTGTCTGCTGCTAAGGGGTAGGGGTAGGTATGTAGGTACTTACATGGCTAGGGATTTATTTAGGAATTATGGGAGAATATTTAGAACTGGAGATTCTATAAAAACGTGTACGTTAGCGACCAAATAGCGATACTCCGCCTAGCAAGGTACCTGGAAAGGGTCAAGGATCTACTTACGTGCTTCGGCATGGATAGCGGAATACCAGATACATAAAGAGTACTTCCCAGGTACTTGGGCAAGCAAAAAGACGGAAGCTAGTCTCGTTATAGCTTTGCGAATTCTAGACTCTTGACGAAAAGGGAGGTGTGGTATTGCTGGACGGCGACTAACCAGGGACATTGTATGGATCCCATGCACAGAATCCCCGAAGGGACGGTCTACCGCTGTCCTGCGCATCTTTTATGCCACATTACATATTCCATGACCCGTCCATGCAAGCTGTATGCAACCCTCGAACGAGGGAAGCAGGCTCCAGGTCAGCCACCGGACGGGATGTGCTACAGGCGTCGACTAGCCTTGACAGGTCCTGCAGTTAGGCAAGCTAGGGTCGTTACCGACCATTGAAAGACGTGCAGCTTTCCTATATCAGGTCGCTTATTGAGCGTGGGGGAGTCGAAAGGGGGTGGAAAAGGAAAAGGTGACTGGTCCAATTCCCATCTCGATGCGGCCAGCAGCACCCATTGGCGATCTAGATTAGGTACGGCGCAGAGAGTGGTAAAGAGCCAAGGAAAAGACAAACGACGTTTTTTAATACAATTTGTCACTTGTGATATTATGTAACGGCGGAAGGAATACCACGAACCTGAGATCTGCTACATAGATGTGCCCATGTACTGTACATCTGGAAGGCCTTTGCGACGGAATGCAAGGCGATTGTCCTAGCTTTCCAGGTATCATGTATTCTAGAAAACCCCCTATTGGACGATTGCCGGGCCTTCGAAACCGATGAGAGCCGGCGGCAAACAAACCAAGCATCGAGGCAACGTTTTTTCGCCTCATTCTGCCCTCGGCAGTATGCACACATCTGGCAGGTATGCAGCCTGGTCTCTAAAAAGATCTAACTGGCCATCTACCTACAGAAAGTGACGCGTTTATTGCGTACCTGTCTAGGAAAATATACATATAGCGTCGTTTCAAACAACATAGCTCCGCGAAGCATTTCCGCCCGCAGACGAGGATCGTTCTGGAGAACTGGAAGTATAGTAGGAACTGGTTCCTTGGTAGCTCCGCTCCGATCTGCACGGCTTCTTGTTTTTGAATACTAAGTCTACTAGCCGACTAGCTGACGTCTGGAAGTGCAGGATGCGTGCTGGATGTCCTGGGAAGAAGGGTGGAGATGGCTGAGAAAAGCCGCCTTTTAGATACCGAGAATTTGGGTAGATCTGGTGATTCTGACGCAGAGCCGACCTGTCAGCCAACGCCCCTTGTTCGCGACCATCATATGCGGGTCAAATGTCCAACAGCCCGACAATCGTTTCCCGAATGACATATATTCAATGCGGAGCCGAGGCGGAATGCTGAACGACCGGCAGCGGAATATGGAAAGGCGGAAGTGGAAAAAAAGAGACGCGAAGTTGGTGATATGCATTTTTCTCTAATGCCGTTTCCGATGGTCAGGATGCTACCAACCAAGTCGTTTCGTCAATCTACTTATGTGAGATATGACCTGTAGCATATCGGTAAAGGAAAACCCCATACCACCGACCCTGCTCTGCGGTACCGGGGGTGGGTTTGCTACCTACATACGAAGGAGTGCATCATCTACAGCCGAATCCTGCGATCTTGCGTGCTGTAGCTGTCTTTTTTGGGACGTTTTTTTTCGGTCTCGAGGCCAGTTGAGCCCAAGCAACTCTGCAGCCTTTGCTAGGCGCGCAATTCTTCCCATGTGTCCATCCTCGCCTTTTGGGAAGATCCTTTATTTCCGCGATTTTATAATTATGATAGCCTTGGCGCCCGAGTTTCAGTAGCGTCTGGTGGACACATAGAGAAATAACCCCGGATTGGCTTGACGCATGGCTCCTACGTAGTATTCGTATGATTTCCAAGGTTGGTACTGAGCCAGGCCAGGGGGGGCGTGGTCGTTTGCCGGGTCAGCGGGTCTGCCGTAATTTTTACATATATCACTTTTCAGAAATCTGTAGATTTGAGATCCCAGAAATAACAACCGCTTGGGATTTGTGAAGTGTGTGTGTACCGTACATATGCACATGCAATGTTATAACGTAATCTGGATATGTATGCGCGTTTACCGGTACTGGGACTCAGATCAAAGTGTAGATTGCGAATAGATCTCCTTAACCTTAATCTAACAATGCTACATGATATATTACCGACGACGTGTACAGAAACGGGATTTTAAGCGGGACGGCCCTTTACCCGTGGATCAGGGCCGAGAAATACATGTCAAAATACGCAAACTTTGCAATGCCCCATGAATATCAGCTGTAAGCGGAGCAAATTGCATCGTCCCAGTTCATCCAATCGTATTTCCACATTAGACCGTTAAACATCAGGTGGGTTTTGATTTTTCTACCCGCATGGAGTGGTTCATCAACCCCGGACTGCAACGCAGAAAACAGCAACTCCAGAGATGATCGTGAAAGTATACCAGGTACATTTGTCGAAGTATCCTCACAAAATTGATAAATTTGCAAATTATTTGTCACAGCAACAAGGCTGTCCAATCTACTACGCCATAAGTGCATAGAAAAAGTGTTGAAACAACTCCCAAGTCTGAAGGAATAGTATAGTGCAAGCAGTAGCTAGTGTGAAGCATCTGCCTCTTGAATTGCTCACTTGTAGGTATTAATTAGATCCTGGCAAGGAATGGGTAGACGCCTTCAGCGCGCGGACCCCGTACTCCAGCCCCCTATGTTCCCTCCGACCTAATGCACATTGTCCAAAAAAACACGCAACAATTTACCAAAAATGAGCCCATCCCAGCCTCGATACCGCTTACCGGGCTGAGTTCTCCGCCGAATTCGCCATCCTCCGCTTCCCCAACGCTCATTCGTCCAGCGGGACAGCTGACAGCATCGAAAAAAGGAAGCGTAACTCCCTCCTTTGGAATAGCTAAGTACACATGAAAACAAATGTAAGAAAAAGAAAAAAAAGCAATGATCGTGACGGCGTGATCTCGACTCGAAAAAATGGAGTTGTGGCGACCTTGGGGAGGAAATAGACAAACAGCGAACACCACCACTGGCGCCAAGACAGAATAACCTCCATTTGCTTCGCTATGCGATGAACGAACCCCATGTCCGGCGAGGCGAAGCGCGCAAGGATATAATAACCACCCGATAAAGCCCTTGACTCGCGTAAGTCGTATGGGAACCGCCCCATGCTATGGAATGAGACGTAGCCAACTCATGCTGCGTGGTATTGATGTGTAGGAAACAAACAAAGCCACCGTCCAGTTGTAGCCTGCCTCCCCGTTGAACTGGCTGCCGCCCTAATGCTTCTTCACTATTGCCGGCCCCCTTTTTGAGCCTCCCCTTCTGCCCTTCTCGTTATCACGTGATACTCGCAGAGTAGGTGTCGACGGTAGAAAACGGCCAAGACAAGGCAATGCTGGAAATAGAACAAAACAAAACAAGGTAAATTGCAAATTGTAAAGCCGTGTAAAGCCGACAGCGCTGAGCCTCTCCCCATGTAAGATTCAAAGTTGAATAACACCACCTCCGCGCTTTGTGCTTTATACGAGAACAGTGTCTCTGATAGCACTTTGCGATTATGTAATAAACTTGCCGCCACCAGTTGGATGATTCGATGTTTGAGAACAACACAAAAGAGCTCGTAAAATGCATGTTGTGTCAGTGTCCTTCATCGTGGAAGGATTGCCTTCTATCGAGCTTCGAGACTCGAAGTATAGAGTAAAAAGTTAAACACCAAGAGCTCTCAATTCTCAAATCAAATTGAACAACCAACAAATCGACAGCGGCGCTGTAAGTGTAGAATTACTCTTACAAAGCATATACAATCAATGCCTGAATGTGGGCTCCAACGTGAAGTTGGAATCACTCGCACGGCGAGGGCGCGAGTATTGTCATGTGACAAGAGTGTAGGTTCCAGTCAACCGACGGTGAAACTACTGCGTCGGATGTCTGGGAAGAGGCTCGGCTTTAGTGCCTGACGATTGAAGATGCCCCGGCTCGTGAGACATATAGCTTGGGTAGCTAGGCTGAGGAAGTGCGCGGAGCATGCCTCCATGCTGTGCATCGTGGCCTCCCCTTGATAACCCGTCGAACGAAGTCCCTAAATATTGCTGGGTTTGTTGAATTGGGACGCTAGGGTGACCAACAAAAGACTGATGCGCATTTCCTGTCTGCTGCGGGAATGTATATAGCGACGGGTTGCTAGGTGCTGTTGAATTTGCTTGCCATTGTTGGTAAAGGGTCGGTGTTGCTGGACTTGTGTATTCCGGTGGGGAAGCAAACATTGATGATCTTCGACTGGAGTCGTGAGTGTTCGTATACAAGTCGTGGAGACCGAGATTCGTCGTAGAATGAAGTGGGGCTTGATTGGGTAAACTAGGCGCGTCCACAAAAGTCTGCCGTTCTGTGGTCATTTCCGGATTGAGGATTGGCTGAGTATATTGATTGCCGCGAACTGGCATATCCCCCACAAAGGTGTCGCTGGGTATTTGCGTGGTAGGGCTCTGTTCTGTGCTGTGAGCTTGAGTCAAAAGAGCCTGTGGTAGACTGGTTCTTTGTGGCGATGCACTCGAAGAGGCTGGCGTTGGGTTATGATCACCGTCTTCTCTCCCAGGAGTGACATCCTCAGTGTCTGACATGTACCCCTGGCCAACTCGATCATTTGGCATCACGTGGACAATAGTCGTTCCATCTGTATAGACATTTAGCAAAACTTCAATACCCTTCCAGAAGCTGTTAGGGTGCTTACCAATTTGACCATCCTTATAACGTTCCTCATTTTGAGCGACTCTGAATATCTCTTTTAAATAAGGCCTCTTCGCCATGTTGCCAGGATTTTCTTTGTCGGCAAAGAATGAGGACAGGGCTTCCGTAGTGACCTCTTCCAACTTAGTCACATTTAAAAACAGCTTTTGGACTGCTGGATGTTGGTTGTGGCGAGGCTCAACAATCAACCGAAGAATATGTACAAGAAGGTGTATTCGTTCTAGAATAGCGAGTTAGCATTTTTTTCCTCTCCTGTATCTCCTTGCCTTATCTTACCTCGCTTGTATAAATGATCCGGTTCCTTATGTCTTACTCGATGTTCTTTGCCTGTCCCCCAAGGCTTGGGCCACCAATCAGGTGCCTTTTCATCTGAACCCGTATAAGGATGTGTTGATTGTTTCTTCGGTTCAACAGCCTTCACCCAAGCCTTAGCCAACAATTTACATGCATTTTGCTGGATGCTTTTAAAGCGCTCTTCGTAAAATTGCCACACGGCCTTATCGTCCCGGATTTCAATTTTTCTTCTCAGAGAACTTGACGGGGGTGCAGGCTCATCCTCGAAGCTCTCAGTTTCACGTCGTGATAAAGCTGCTCTCGGCCGTTTGCGAGCTTTGTATTCCCCATCGTCTTCGAAGCCCGTTAATCCCATAGATTGACCATACCGTCGGTCTTGTGTCCAGCGTCTAGCCGGGTCCATGGAATATCGGCTGATATCTGAATCGAAGGAAGTAAATTCCGATTCAGGATATGTGGGAGTTGGCGCTGGAGCTAAAGCGGGGTCTTAGTTATATATCCAATGCTTTGACGAACTTCCTGAGCTTACGAGGTTGGGCACGCTGCAGTTCGCGGCCGAGAGCTTCCACGTCTAAGAATCTCGATATATTTATCGAGGGTATATGTGGTGCCGTGAAGATGTGGGGCTTTCCCTCGATGACAGTCATGACCACGTAGAATTCCGCAGAAATATTACAATACTCGCGCAAGGCCTTATCAATCGCCTACTTGACACTTAGTATTACAGTTTGACTAGAAGGATGACGTCCAACTCACCATAGGGGGCCGTCTCACGTCTTGCGAGTCGGCGAAGCGACCATCGTCCGGGACTGGCTCCATAGCAAACCTATCCTGATGTGGCCAGTATGTCCTTTGTGGGAAGGGATCCCTCGGTTGGTTTAAATCCTGCACCATGATTGGAAGTAGAGGAGATGGGCGGGTTCAAAATTAGTTATTCGTGGCAGAGGAGATCTTATTTCAGTCCTTGTTCCGTAGAGAGTGTGGCGAACTCGTGAACTTGCAGAGCCTCTCCTACCACTATCAGCTTCAGTTCATCACACGCAGTCGTATCATCTGAGTTCCACTCGGGTCCTTTGCAAAAATGTCGCCGATTTCCGATTTTAATGCTGTGCCCAAGAGTGTCTCACAGGTGAAGGCAGTAAGACAGAATTGGACTGAGAGCGATGATGTAGAATGAAGATACCGGTTGAGTGCAGTCTAAAGAGGATTTCCTGTCAGAGCTAGATATGTCGTGACGATGCGAGTAAAGGTGGTGCGCGTGCCCAATATATGTGCGAGGGTGTAGTTAGGAGGGAAGTTGTGGCAAGATAAGAGTGTAGTACTTCGTATTGATAAACCCAAACGAGCCTAAAGAGGAGTTGGCAGTGACCTATCGAGGTGGAGAAACCGAACGGAAAGGCAAAACGCACATCGAGGGCTGATAGCCTTCAGACGAGACAGTCTTTTCTTTGTTTAGCAGCGGCAGCGGGAGCTTGCTTGCCTAAGAGGGGGGGTGGTTGGCCAGACGGGATGAGAATTAGGTCTTATCAAACCTGGATATAAAGAGTTGGCAGGCGGCTGCGAACTAGGCTAAGCTGAGCATGGATTGCGTGCTAACAAAGAAAAGGCAATATCGTAGGATTAGAGCTGAATAGCCGTGTATTCAGTTTAATGAGCTGGGCAGGCCCGCAATGATTTCAAACGGGTTTATCAACTAGTCGTAAAGGTTGCGCGCGAAGGACGGTGGGTGTCCTCTTTCACTTTTAGAGAGTTGTAAGACATCGAGCAGTGAGGCCTCTTTACTCGCTTGTAATATGCCCCGTCCTGGCTTCTGTAGCTGTCTCAGAATCAGTTCAAGACCGTCATGAGAGCGTGTGAAAGCCAATTCAAGATAAGTTGCACTAAGCTTTGCTGCTGCTAGATATACTTATCCGTTGCTTTTGCAGCCGCAGAGCTGGGGCACACTGTGAAAAGAAGCTCGACGGGCGTTTACCAAACAAATTTAGAGGGGCCCTGTTGAACGCTATGAATTAATAAGGTAAAGGTAACTAACTAGCTAGATACCACCACGGGCTGCCGGCAGTATAATGCGAGGGATAGATGATGATGAGGCGGAGTTTAAGTGTTCGTAAAACCATGTGATTTTCCAATGCTCATGCGGCAAGCGGCAGTGGTACTCGGGGGGGAAGGTGAGCGGCAGCGAGAGCTCAAACAATTGCGATGAGGAAATGATGGTAGGTTAGACCTAGCTGCCGCGCGCGGAAAACGAGAATGCGGCGATACACCCACTCGGTTGACGTGGGACTACCCGAGGTTCGTTCTCATTAATAAAATTCAGCGAAAAGGGAAAAAAGGAAAAGGGATATAATGCGATGGCAAGCGGCGAAGGTCTGTGGAGAAAATACTGTGTGTAGTAGTTGTAGTCTTCGTAGTGAACAAAAATTAGACCAAACACGCACAGATGGCAAGGATATTGGGAAAGAAGCGATTTCGCGAGACCCCTGCCCCTCGTTTCCAACGATAAGCCTGGGGTGTTAAATCTTGAGGAGCATGGACTTGGATTGCCTTTCCCTCAGTTGGTATCTTTTTTTCTCGGGTGTGTACGAAAGAGTACAGATGTGCGTATGCAGCTGGAAGTCCAGAGGGTATGGTATGGCTTGAGGGCTGCGAAGTAGACTACCTTAGTCCCTTAGGTGGTAACGAGAGCCCGTGTGTGGGTTCGTTGCGAGGGGGCCTGCCGTCTAGGGGCGAGCAGGCGAGAAAAGCTCTCAAGCTTTGGGCTATCTATCCACAAGGTCCGAAGAACTCGAAAGCCGGGGGGTCGTGATCATGGATGGCGGCATCAATAAGGCCTTGTAATGTACAAGTACAGTACATGGATCGGCTTCCCAACCAATACAAATACTTCAATGGTACAGTGGGGGAGAGAGTCAAGTACGGACAGGCCTAGATGGCGTATGGCGTCGCTCTCTGCCCGTCTGCACAATTGGTACATATTATGTACACACGTGCCAAATGTGAAGGGTCTCCATTCTCCAGTCCACTACGTCTGAAGTATTCCGTACGCGAGAGATTGCCGAAAGAATCGGAACTTGAGTTATAGTCGATGGTCATCCATCTTTGCAACGTAGCGCATCTGCGCAGATACGTGCTTGAAGAGATCTAACAATCTTGATTCAGTAGAGATGACAGATTACCTCGACAGGGAAGAATCTTGAGCTCTCTCTTTCTTAATATGCCGTATTTTATGCACTGATGCATTATTAGTTACTTGTCTGGTTGTCTTCAACTTGGAGTCTTCTTCCTCTTCTTCTTTTTTTTTTCTTTCTAACCAACAACAAGTAAGACACGAGGGAATCTCTCTACCTAGCAAGAATGACCCGTCAACGATTAGTCGCCGAAGAGGGAAGATGCCCAGAAAAGCAGCATAGCAGATAGAAAAAGACGGAGAGACAAGAGATCAAGAAAATAGTGGATGAATGGTCACGGTCTGGTGATTCTGCATGATGTGTGCGAGTATACCCCTGTTCATTACAAGGGGAAGAGGTTAGAATGGGTTAGAATTGGTTGCCCTTAGCTTATTAGCGGGAAGAGTGGGTATAAGTGGCACTGGAAAGTGCCTAAGCAGCTAAGTGGATTGGCAACACTTGGAAGGGCGGTTCCGGGGCGGTGCGTTGTGTGGAGTATGTGGGGCGACCCGAACTGGCCGGGGCGGGAAAGAGTTCCAAGGTTGTTAGGGGGAGAGCCTCCCGACTTTGTTACTTTATCCTACGCGTCATTTCCGAAAATAAAGAAATCTAAAAGAAAGAGCAGACGATCTGAATCTATGGTACCTCCCCTAGCAGCTTAGGTAGACTAGATAGACTATACCCTAAGTAAACTAAAATCCGACTTCACGATCGCGGATTACTTCTCATAAAACACGAAGATTCTTTCCTTTTTTATCCTCCTATTTTTATGTGTATATCCATACACTAATTACATACTTCATACTTAGTATAACTCAACTTGACCGGATAATACATGACATAAGATATCTACTTATAACTAAAAAGTACTAGGTAAGTAAGTAGGTTAATAAATCTTCTAGAATGTCTTTATATTTAAACAAAGCTAAAATCCTACCGGTATGCAAGTACTTCACTACAAGCCACAAGTACCGCATGTACGTAAGTCAAAGAGTATCGAACCCCTAACACTCTTCACTCCTTGCATCGATTTTAACTAACTTCCTTCATTCCCATCCCAGGCCATGTATTGTAACAGCTTGTGCCGTAAATCCGGTAAATCCAAGTAGGAAAGTCCCTGGAAGAGAAAGAGACGAGGTTCCGGGGAATCATACTCAGGTTCGAACCGGACTAACATGCCGTAAAGTATCATCCCTAGCATGATACCATCATCGATCGTTAGGGTTTTAAACATCCGAAGGGATATATGAAATGGACCCATAGATGCCGCGCCGATGGTATCCATCCATTGCCAAATCTGTCCATAAACCCATCATCTTTCATTTTCTTCAACGACCTTACATGACAAACATCCTACCCAAATATCTGCTTGGCTGCTTGGATGAAGATATCGAATATATTGGATGTCTAGCCCCCCACGTTGTGTCACCCCTGTCGGGGCCCCAAGATCTGAAATCCAATGCAGATCAACCCAGCGGACGGGTTTGTTAATCATCATTTCTCTCCTGCTTCATCAGCAGATGATAGTCCGTCGGTTAAGCATTAAGCGCCAAATACGCTCGAACTCTCGAACGCCTGGCTTGCTGACTTCCAAGGTTATCAAGGCGAAATCTCTTATCCACTCCAGCTCTGGGGTAGCTGGGTAGATCGGGTTTTGTAAGCCTTGAACCTGTACATACATCCTGTACATCCTTACATATCGTTAAGTACCGACTTGACCAGGAAATCATCATTTTATGGGTCCGGGAGAAGACGACTACATACACGTGTAAATAGTCTTGGCATATTCATCACGAACATACACAGCTACAAGGTAGTAGTTATATACATACATGGTACACACCTACCTACATCTACTCACCACCACCATTTCGGTACGCCATTACACATCTCTCGAATCCGCAGGAGAGCAACTGGTACATCCGGGTAAATGGTCTTGCTGTATTGTCACATCGCTAGGTGGGGGGTCTACCCAAAGCTCTAAAGGCCGAACCTACCAATAGGTACACACGAATACACCAATACGCATGTAAGCATGTACAAGATGTAGTCAAACCCAGGTTTCTCAGTTCAAAGAGGCTACGAAGATTGCAAGGATTACCCAAGGAAGCTAAACGACTAGTTGGTCCATCCTATAAATGAAGCTCATCTCATTCGAGCCTCCTAGCGTCTCAAATTTCCAAAGGCAAACTTACAAGAACAAAGCACTATTCAGAGCTGCTAGGTAGTAGGTTGTGTCGGGATGCCAAGTATCTCATATGTAGCTGCTATGTGATATGTAGGAGCAGATAGGGTCGCATCATTAATATCCAAATGTG